TTTAGAAATGTGTTAAAAAAAATCTTTCCATTAAACAGAGGTTGAAGAAAAATATACTTGCGGCTGTATATAATACGTCACACACACATGCACTGTGTTCAGTATGATGTTTCTCACCCTGCTGTATGGGGAAATGAAGCTGGCGATACACACGAGGCCAGCGTCAGCAAACAGTTTGGCCACTTCTGCGATGCGGCGGATGTTCTCCTCGCGGTCCTCAGGGCTGAAGCCCAGGTTCTTATTAAGGCCCTGTCTGATGTTATCACCATCCAGAGTGTAGCAGGGGATGCCGTGACACACCAGATACTCCTCCAAAGCCATGCTGACCGTCGTCTTGCCCGCACCAGACAAACCTGCGCAAACACAACAGAGAAATCATGCAAATTATTTAACATTTTAGACACAACTATGATTAAATATCTGAAATTGCAATATTTTGTTTTGCTGCGAAATACAGGTACAGCAGGGAAAATAAGTACTGAACATGTCATGTTTTTTTTCCTGGGAATAATGTTTCTAAAGGAACTGTTGACATGGAATTCAACCAGATTTTGGTAAAAACCCAAACAATACACAAACATTAAAATAAAACAAAACAAAAACAATCTGGTAAATGAGGTGTGTGTAATATTAATGGAAAGACACAAGGAAAAAGACTGAACTACTGAAAAGTATTTAATTCTTTATATAAAAGCTTTTTTCATGATGGCGGCCTAAAGACGCCTCTCATGAGAAGAAAGAAGTCAAATGCATTGCTCAGACTTCAACAGAGTGCAAAAATCTTGATGGTTCTGTGGGTCTCGTCTATCAAATCTGAGCTTTATTTTGTATTCTCTATTGGATTCAAGTCAGGTGATTGGCTTGGCCATTCTACAGCTTGATTTTGGCATTTGAGAGTTTCCTTGGCTGTGTTTTGGATCATTCTCTTGTTAAAATGTCCACCCTGGTTTCATCTTCATCATCCTGTTAATGTAGATGTTGGACTGAAAAATATTCAGAAAAATGATATTAAGAAAATTGCAAGAGAACTACTGAGAGATTATAGCTGCTGTCTAAGTTTTCAGTGCCTTTGTATACCGTCCTTTCTTCATTTGTTCAGTACTTTTTCCCTGCGCCATTTTATTTTATTACGCATAACTTCATTTGTAAACTAATTAGTTTTCTTTTCTTTTCCCATATGAATTTCTTTGGTTGTTGTCAACATCCGGTGAAAATTTCAAGTCAACAGCACCTTTATAAATATGTTTTCTGAGAAAAATGGTGACATGTTCAATACCGCATTTCTCCACTGTATATTTAGATATGAATACAATTTCATTAGACGATTTGAATAGCTCTATTTGAAAAGTTTTCATTCGGTTAAATCGACAGAGATGATCAAGTCTGTTTCTATGCGGTGCATCTGCATAAAATATAATATATTGCGAAGCAAAAATAAATAAATAAACCGTGCTTTATGGTTGTATGGGGTGTCTAACAGCATTCAAGTACATCAATTGAACAATAAAATAACAAGGTTATCAATGTATTAAAAATAATAAAATATAATAATAATAATAATCATCGGGCGGCTCTGTGGCTCAGTCTTTAGCACTGTAACCTCACAGCAAAAAGGTCACTGGTTTGAGTCCCGGCTGGGCCAGTTGGCATTTCTGTGTGGTCTTTGCTTGTTCTCCCATGTTCGCGTGGGTTTTCTCCGGGTGCACCGGTTTCCCCCACAGTCTAAAGACATGAACTATAAGTAAACTGAATAAACTAAATTGGCTGTAGTGTACAAGTGTGTCTGTGAATGAGTGTTTATGGGTGTTTCCCAGTACTGGATTGCAGCTGGAAAGGCATCTACTGTGTAAAACATATGACTGTAAAAACTGCTGTGGCGACCCCTAAAAAATAAGGGACTAAGCCGGAGGGAAATTAATAAATGAATGAATGAATAATAATCATAACATTATCTTCCAATATTTCATTTACAATCTATTCTTGCCATGTGACAATTACAGACACACACGTTGCGATATCGATTCTCAAACGATATATTAATCAGCCCCACATCATGTTACATTCATTTTTCAGAATAATGTTATTACAGCACCTGTAAGCCACACGGTGCATCCTCGAAATCCACCTCTAGTGCCAACGACCTGGCCACGCTTGTTTCTGCTCACATGATGGGCTTGATACGTCACATTGGTGGCTCTTTGCATCCCCTGCAGAAATTGAAGCAAACGCATCAATTTACTTAGTTGAAGGCAGAATATTTGGGTCAAAGACAAAAATTATTGGGAAACCAGTATTTTATCCAATAAGTTAAAAGGAAATATAAAAAAAAAATACAAATAAAAAAAAATTGCACCTAAAGAACTAAGGGTACGCAGAAGAGAAAAGATACGTTTTGACTGATGCTTTATTATTCCCATTTATGAGGGGTTTAAACACAGTTTTGTGGCAATAGTCTGTGAATATAATAGCTTCTAATGGTAAAAAAATGACTAGTTTTTTTTTATAATCACACCTTATAAAAACAGTCTGCAATAACACTTTGATTGACATCCTTCATTTATACGTGTCATCAGAGGGAGAAAGCCCCGCCATTAGCGATAATCTCACCCTCATTAGAATAGGAAGTTAGTCTTGTTTTTAAATCTGCCACAATGCTGACACACAGGCATTTGTAGCTCCGCCCTCTTTTAAAAAGAGCACAATTTCATTTGCATTTAAAGCAACAGTCGTTAAAATGACACAATTAAGTGTTAAATATTTTTGAGCTGAAACTTTACATACACACTCTAGGGACATCAGAAACCTATTTTATTTTGTAAAAAAAAGAGACAGTATGTCCCTTTTAAAGTGGGTTTAGGTCATATTTTATTTTTCATTCTTTTTTTATTTATTTTTTTCTTATGACAGTTTAATTTTTGTGTTTATTAAATTACTTGTACAATATTATTTCTAAAATATGTACAATGTTTTTACATGACATATCCCATACGCATCACAGTACAAGCTAGTAAAAAATCTGTCTAAAAAAGAGATCTCACTAGGTTTTTAGACAGAGATAAGTGCTAAGAACACATTATTTATAATTAACAATATACTAATATTTCCCAGAGATGGGTTGCGGCTGGAAGGGCATCCGCTGCGTAAAAACAAGCTGGATAAGTTGGTGGTTCATTCCGCTGTGGCGGATATATATATATATATATATTCATTCAAACTTTTTATATTATTATTTAAAACGTTGTGGGTCAGATTTAGCACAGTAAACAATATATTCACATTACGATTTGTATTACTGTGAGTTATCTGAATCAACGTTATATTTGTAAAGCAAATTGTCCCTCATATATTCCGTTACTCACCCAGCTCTCAGGCGCGTTGCTCAGTTTCTGCTTCTTACTCGAGTTCCCAGATGTCTCCATTCTGCGCTACAATTAACGGATAAACAAATAAATAGTGCGATATATATATATAAATATTCGCAGGAGTTGTTTCAATAAAACACCGGGTCCACTGTGTGTGTTACTCCAGGAGGAAGCGAAGAGGTTTTTCGGGCTGCGGCACAGGAAGTGATGGAGGCCCGGACAAGTCCCACCTCTGATGCGTGCAGTCTCCGCGTAAGACATTCGCATTGGTCAGAGGAGCTTTAAGGTTGATTCTAATTGGACAATTGAGATGTCGTTCACATAGCCGTGGCAACCAAAGCAAACAAGTAGGGAAAATAGCGTGGCCAATCAGGTTCAGGTTTATATATATATTCCCCATTGACCCAGTAAATGACGGTAAAGTCATTAAAGGAAAACGGTAAAGGGATAAGAGTTAGAAGACTGGTGACACATGTAAGACCAAATTGTTTATTGTATTAACACACACTCGCACACACTCACTATCTTTTATTACTTTTATTGTGGCAGCACGGGGCGCAATGGGTAGCACAATGACCTCACAGCGAGAAGAACGCTGGTTCGAGCCCCGGCTGGGTCAGTTGGCGTTCGCGTGAGTTTCCTCCGGGTGCTCCGGTTTCCCCCATAGTCCGAAGACATGCGGTACAGTTGAATTGGGTTAGCTTAAATGTCTGTAGTGTATGAGTGTGTATGGTTGTTTCCCAGTAAAGAATTGCGGCTGGAAGGGCATCCGATGCGTAAAACATATGCCGGATAAGTTGGCAGTTCATTGCGCTGTGGCGACCCCAGATTATTAAGGGACTAAACCGAAAATTCATGAACTTGTATTGTACATTTTAGTACATATTTTATTGTGTTTGATTGACAGTTTGTCTGTTTTCACTGTTTTTAGAAACTGGAGCATCCGTAGGAAACCCACGCCAACACGGGGAGAACATGCAAACTCCACATAGAAATGCCAACTGACCAAGCCGGGGCTCGAACTAGTGACCATCTTTCTGTGAGGCGACAGTGCTAACCGCTGAGCCACCACATCGCCCTATTATATTATATGATATTATAAGTACAGTTTTATGGTAATGTACATAAAACTGAAATAATTATATATATATATATATATATATATATATATATATATATATATATATATATATATATATATATATATATATGAATGAAAAACAGTAGAAACTGACTCCTAAAATAATTTTATTTCAATTTCATGGCACATGCCGTTGCGTTGTACATTTTTATTAAAGAAATACTGCAATAAAATAATAAACCATTAAAACATTAAACAGAATGATAAGTTTACTTACCCACTATACCCACTATAATGGCAATATAGCACAGGACAGATAGCATAACTTTAAAAGTTTCAATGCTAAACATGAAATAAGAAAGCAATTTTCTATAAACACATATATGTTATCTGCATCTTTAAAGATCCCATGAAGTTGCTTTGAAATTTGCATCAATTGAATAAAAATTTTGACATAACGTAAACATAGAGTCAGGGCGGGACATATTGTAGCTCCTCCCCTTTATTAAAAACAGCTAATAATGTTTTATTTTTATCACAGCTCTGCCAGTGAGAGTAGTTGAGCTCAAGCGCATCAAATGAAAAGCAAATGATGGATTCAAAATCCCGCCTAAAGTATTGCGGTCGTGGTTAGAAAAATAATGCGCATAAACTAAATAGTGACATCATGTGTGAAATTATAACGCGTAAAACCAAAAACTAAACTCAAAATAATAAACAACATGGTCACGTACCCAAAAGATAATAAGCATGAATCAAAAAATGAAAAAGCGTTTGGACAATATCGGTTTTTCTGCTCATATTTGAATGTTTTGTTTGCTTACGGTCTTCTCATTTGCACTTGCTCCCACATTCTGCGCTTGCATTTCGAAAAGATGCAATGAGTGTTTCATTTAAATCACAGGCGGTTTTCAGTGTCATCATTGGTCCACTAGTTGAGATTGACAGTTGCTCCTCCAGCCAATCAGACGAAGGGGGAGTTCAAATATGAGCGAAAAAATTTATTTTGTCTAAACGGGTTTTCATTTTTGTTTGATAAGTTTTGGTATGCGACCATGTTGTTTATTATACTGCATTTAGATTCCCTTTCACGCATTATAATTTTATGTGCGACGTCAATATTTTAATTTAAGCGCATTATTTTTCTAACCGCGATCCCATAGAGAGCGAAGCATCTCGGATACTAGAGAGCATCTTATTGGTCAGAGGATTGGATGAGAAACTAAAGTATGAGGTGATGTCAAAAAATTGTTAATTTATTTAGACGAAAGTGACAAATTCCAAGCAATGGATGTTTATATCCTCTAAATGCAAATTTAGTGACTGTTTTGGAGCACATCAGCTTATATATCTTTATGACTAACATGCTGATAACTAACATCTAAAAAAAAACTGTGCAACAAGCAAAAAAGCGAAAACTAAACTCAGAACGATAAACAAGATCATGTACCAATAGATAATAAGGGTGAATCAAAAATGAAAACGTGATAGAACAAAATCAGTTTTTCCGCTTATATTTGACTGTTTAATGTGCTTACGGTCTTCTTATTCGCAATCCGAGTTTCATTTAAATCACGGGCGGGCTTTAGCGTCATCATTGGTCCACTAGTTGAGATTGACAGTTGCTCCTCCAGCCAATCAGACAAATGGGGAGTTCAAATGTGAGCGGGAAAAATTTATTTTATCTAAACGCATTTTTGATTAGCTTTTGGCATGCAACTTCTTTGTTTATTATTCCGCATTTAGTTTTTTACTTTATAATTTGACATTATAATTTTACACGCAATGTCAATATTTTGATTTACACTAATTATTTTTCTATCTGCCATTGCAATACTTTAGGCGGGAAATACTTGAAAGCATGTCAGAAGATTGGATGAGAAACCAAAGTATGAGGTGATGTCAAAAAAATTGTTCATTTATATAGGCGAAAGTTACGAATTCCAAGCATTGGATGTTAATATCTTTTAAATGCGAATTTTGTCACTGTTTTTGAGCACACCAGCTAATAGAGATCCTTATTTTAATCTTACAGGACCTTTAAGTACAGCGAGAAGAAATTGAACTGGGCCTCTCAGCGGCCTTCAATCTTTGATAATTTCTGAATATGTTGTAAAAATTGGTACTTTTACCACCAGGGACCTGAAAAGCCATCCCAGGCCTGACGACTACAGGTTTGATTGCCCCTGCTCCATTATTATTTTGCTTTCCTTGGCCATTGCTGTAATTCTTAGGGAAGTTCCCCATAGGTTTTCCACACACCACCCTCGCCTGAGTGTTTCCACTCATTCCTCCCGTATACGGTTTATTATTGCCTTGAGAATTGGGCAGATTCCTCATTGGTAAATACAGCCTCACAGGCGTACCGTAGTACATCCAACACAACTGCTTTTTGGGTGGTATTTTAGAGGTTGGGGCTGGCATTTGTGGTACTTGATTGCCTCTGATTGCTTCAGAAGGAGGAGTTGGGAAAAGACCGGCGGTTTCATGCTCCTCACACCCAACACCTCGCTCCTGATCCTGCGGAGTCACTTCATAACCTTCCAGAATCACAACATCTTCACCCGAACGCTTCTGAAGATCTGAATCCAGGAAGACAAACCTTGAGGACATGCCTGATGTAGGACTTTTATAAAATTTTTTATGTATTATAATGAGAGTATTTAGCATGACATTTTAGAATGTACTTACTGTGTTGACCTTGACGGCACTTAATATTTCTGCCTGAAAAAACAAAAATTAATACAAAAGACTTTAGAATATAATATTGCAAAGTACTTTCAAAAAATTCAGGGTTCAACAAAATTAATTTATGTCATCCCAATACAAATCGATTAAGTTAACGTAATGCATTTAAGTTGATTGAGCATAAAACAATTAAGTTGCCCAAAAAAATATCAAGAATTGTGTTGTTTCTGCTTATTTTAAATAAGTAGTTTGAACAAGCAGTAAAAAACATTTCTCTGAGTGTATTTATTTACAACTTTGGCATCTACGTTTAGCGCAAAATTGTAGACTTGCTATAAAATTAAGCATTAAGTTATCAAAGCAAGGCCCATTGGTTAAGTAATAAATTAACTAATAGAATTGTGAATGTGTATAAAACTTTTAATGAACTCATTCACAAGTGGGGGTGAAGCAGTAGGTAGTGCTGTCGCCTCACAGCAAGAAGGGCGCTGTGTTGCTGGTTCGAACCTCGGCTCAGTTGGCATTTCTGTGTGGAGTTTGCATGTCCGCATGGGTTTCGTCCGCGTGCTCCGATTTCCCCCACAGTCCAAAGACATGCGGTACAGGTGAATTAGGAAGGCTAAGTTGTCCGTAGTGTGTGTATGTGTGTGTGTGGATGTTTCCCAGGGATGGGTTGTGGCTGGAAAGGCAGCCGCTGCGTAAAAATGCGCTGGATAAGTTGGTGGTTCATTCCGCTGCGGCAACCTCGGGTTAATAAAGGGACTAAGCCGATAAGAAAATGAAATGAATTATTTACAAGTGTTTTCAGTTTATTTACACTTTTAAGTTGCATCTTGGGACCTTGATCTTTTTTGTCTAAAGTTTAAATAAGTGACTTTTATTAACATTGTTAGTACACTAAAAAAGTCCAGATTTTTCACAGTAAATTACATTAGTATCACTTTACAGTATTTAACTAATTTTATTGTGAAATTAAGGCAGGTTGCATGATTACAGCAAACTACTGTAAAATGAGCTATATTTTTTGCATGTTATTTAAAGGCATTCAATCTCTTAATTTCATTCAACATATACATTAATACAAATGAACGTTTATGCTAGTGTTGGCACTTTTTAGATATCTAGAAATGACAGAATGTTGTTGCAGCTCCAAAAACAATTTGGTTGCATCTTTAAAAATAACTTGAAAGAAAATCCTCCTGTTTTGAAATTACATGAATATCATAGTAATTTTTTTTCATTTTTGGGTGCACTGCTCTTTTATTTGGCTTTATAATGTTAACATGGAAATAATAAATACGTTTTAATAAACATAATTTTGTGCTTAGCTAAAAACAAAAGTAATTGATTCATAAAACCAAACACTGTTAAACACCCAAAATGATTTCAAAGTCAGGGTAAATGTCAGAATGAATAGCACAGGATCACTTGAATACACGCCTGCTTCACAGTAAAATATAGTTAATTCTACAGAATAATACTGTGAAAGCATCCTAATGGACTTTACTATCTTCTGTGCAGTAACACCGTATGGCTGTAATTTCACAGTAATTCAATGCACCAAAGTCACAGTAAATAACTGTGAACAACCTTACAGCAATTAGCTGTAATTTAGTAGTTTAGCCAGTAATTTACTGTGAATTTAAGGTAAACATTTGTACAGTGTTAAACAATATATAATAAATTACACAGTTGAAGGGAAAATTATGAGATGGATTTTTTTCTGTAATATTTCCCAAGAGATGTTCAACGAAGCACAACATTTTTTTTTTCATATTTTCTTCTTTCTTGAAGGTTATTTCCTTTAGTTCAGCTGGTTTAAAAGCAGTTTTTAGTTTTTAAAAACTATTTTAAGGTCAGTATTATTAGCCTCCTTACAAAATAGTCTACAAATATGTATCGTCAACATCCAAAGACAAAAGAAACTAGTTATTGGAAATATTAGAAACTACTTTTTTTATTTTATTATTTATTTATTTGAGAAAAAAAAATCTACTCTCTGCTAAACGACACATGGGAATTTTTTTGGGGAAAAAAATCAACTTCACAGAATCACAGAACAATTTGCTTTCAACTGCATTGAAATAAATGCACACAATAACAAAGGAAGTACTGACAGATCATGGTTTTTGTACTGAAATTAACCCAGACAACATTTTAAACTATAACTATGCAAACTCAAAAAACGACGCCTTTGACAAACGTACCTTCTGAGTTATATGTCTGTAAGGTGAAAACCAATGCAGCAAGCAGTCCGAGAGCAATGTTAACATCCATGGCTGCAAATGAAGCAGAGATCATGTTAACACCCCTTTATATTTGCTTTAATCCAGGACTTGTGGAGCGCCACAAATTGTGAAATCGCTCTAGGCATTGACTAAATGACTGCATTAGACACTTTTTAATTATGTCTGAATATTTTTTATATGTGGCCGCAGCATTCGCTGTTCTGACAGGTATTGTGAGAAAGTCAAACAAACCTGGATCTGGAGAATATTTCATATAATAAAAACAATTGAGGCTTACTTTGGATTTTTAATCATCCTGGTCATGAAATATGGTCACCACAGCTATGTACACAGAGGTTGCATATGCATTTTCATTATCTTATTTAATTATTTTATTTTTTTTGCGCTAATTAGTTTGTCCACAATATTACAACACTGAACTGGGCCAGCACGGTGGCGCTGTGGATAGTGTAGAGTTTGCACGTTCTCCCCATGTTCGCGTGGGTTTCCTCCGGGTGCTCCGGTTTCCCCCACAGTCCAAACGCATGTGATATAGGTGAACTCAATAAGCTAATTTGGCTGTAGTGCATGTGTGTGAATGTGAGTGTTTGGGTGTTTCCCAGTACTGGGTTGCAGTTGAAAGAGCTTCAACTGTGTAAAACATATGCTAGATGATTGGTGGTTCATTCTGATGTGGCGACCTCTGATTTATAAGAGACTAAGCCGAAGGAAAAGGAATGAATGAATGAATAAACAACAATTCGTACCAGACTCAACCATTCCCGATGGTATTTGGCATTATTATACATTAATAATGGGTTCAGTTTACAGTAAATGATCAATCTGTTTGCTAAAATATAATTCCAGTTTAGATACTCAGGCGAAAGTGTGACATTTGATCATGCTAATGATGCTGAAGAAAATGTTGATTCAGACGAAAGACATGTACTTCAAACCCTCTATGATCATTATCAGCGTGTGAGATGTCTTTCAACTTGTCTGAGGCTGCAAATGACTCATTGACGACTGCCTCATGGCAAAACATAGCCTTGCCCTGCTATTTCAGACACCAGAAAAACAATCAACTTCATTGCGTATTGAATGTCTGATTGAGTCTTGCCCCAGAATTGAGGAAATGATATGCTTCGTGTATGCTTTTATGTCTATTTGTTAGAGGTAAACACGTATTTTACTACTAGACTGCATTAGTGCTTGTTCACTTTACCAATTGTCTCACATCTTCCCAATTTATTTAGATTTTCAAACTGGATTTTAAGTGTTTTGGTTAAACCAACCAGCCACAATGCGAGTCACAAAATGACAAACTTTGATTTGAAGCAAACAAGTATATGAAAACGTTACTGAGAACTACAATCCCACGAATCATCGCAAATAAAATTTGAAAATGTTGGAGAAGTGTTATTCATTTAAAGTTGTAGGTTACAGAAACAGTACATTTATTTCAATATATTTACTTTAGAAAAATGAATAAGGGCGGCGCAGTGGTGCAGTGGGTAGCGCTGTCGCCTCACAGCAAAAAGGTCGAGCCTCAGTTGGCAGTTCTGTGTGGAGTTTGCATGTTCTCCTCGTGTTCGTGTGGGCTTCCTCTAGGTGCTCCTGTTTCCCCTACAGTCCAAAGACATGCGCTATAGGTGAATTGGGTAAGCTAAACTGTCCGTTATGTATGTGTGTGAATGAGAGTATGGGTGTTTTCCAGTGCTGGGTTGCAGCTGGAAGGGCATCCGCTGCGTAAAGCAGGGGTTCCCAAACTTTTCAGGCCGCGACCCCCAAATTGACAATGCCAGTGACTCGTGACCCCCAATATCCTCTGAGGTGGTTATAAATACAGAAACCTTGCATGCAATGGCACACACACACCAATGGACCCAAGTCTATTCTTCTTTTAATTTTTTTATGTATGAGAGCTTTAAATGGGCCACAAAGTTTAACCAGGTGTTATGAAATCTGCTGCATCTGACGCTATTGCTGTGTCTTTAATACAATGCAATTACCCCAGGGGTTGCAATCCAAGTAGTAACTATAAGCTACTATAGTAACTATATATGGTATAAATGACTATTTTTTTCTCTTCAGAAGGTTATGGATAAAATATGGTAATTCTTATGGTTTAATAAAAATAAATAGATTTTTGGAAACCACCAGGCGACCCCCCTTCATTGTCCCGCGACCCCTCGGGGGGTCCCGACCCCCACTTTGAGAACCATTGGCGTAAAGCATATGCTGGATAAGTTGGTGGTTCATTCCACTGTGGCAACCACTGATAAAAAAGGGACTAAGCTGAAGGAAAATTAATGAATATTTAAGTATTTCATTAGAGTAGGTGGAGCTCCTTCGCTTGCCTTGTCTCTCTGATTGGTGGAATTTTCTGTAGTTTATAATAAATATATTATGGGTTCAACAAAAACATACTGTACATGGCTAATGAAGATGAAAGCTATCAATTGGTTTCTCTTCAAAGCATCACATTTTCCATATTATTCCAGCAAATTTGACAAATATGCGGAAAATACTCCGATTAAATAGAAGAATATACTCAGTTAAAATAGATGGGTTAAAAATACCCCAACATATAACCCAACTATAGGTTATTATAGCACCTTCCCAACTTCCCAGGGTTATTTTAACCCAATGCATTGGGTTATTTTGACTGAATGTTATTACTATACTATTACTAGTACTACTAATGTCATAATTTTGGGTATGTTAATAAATAACATACAGTATTCAGAAATATTGAAAATGCTATGTTTGCATTACATTTAAAGTTTCAGACACTTTTGTTAAAATAAATCAAGAATCACAAACAATGAAGAAACAGAACAAAGTACAGAAAGTTAGCAACCGTGCAAGCAGAAAATCATGTGTTGATGGAGCAGAATATGGAGTTCTGTGCTGTGTGACTGTCCAGCAGCTGCAGCAGGCTTCACTTAGTGTCCACAATGTACAATACACTGAAAAAAAAATTATTCAAAGATGATTCCCTGGACTTACTCATTTTTTTTTATGTTAAGTGGTTGTAAACAATTTATTTGGGCTGATTTTAAACAAACAAATTAAGTTGAACAATATTAAATTAAATTTGATTGTTTAAATTCAACACAAATAAATTGTTTGCAACAGTTCTGCATGCAACACTTTTTTCAGTGTACATTTAAACCACATTTAAAAGCTTCTAAAAAGCAAAAACTGTAGACATGATTTAATATAGATTGGCTATGAATTGAGCGTTTGTATCATTAATAATAAAAGTGCTCATGAAATAAACACTACCTGGAGAGGTTATTTGATATGAAAAAAAAAACAATATTATTGCGTTAGAGCTTAAATAAACGTAACAATGTCAAAAAAACAGGTAAAGTATAGATTGGATATGCCACCAGCCAGAAGTGCGATATGTACATCAACTACAGTACCATTTTTAAGGACATTGTATTTATTTATTTTTTTGTATTTTGTAAATCAAAATATTGACAAAATAAACAAAGGGGTCGCGTAAAAAAAGATATCAATTAAAAATGAAAATGTGTTTAGACAAAATCTTATCGCTCATATTTCAATTCCCCTTCTGCTGGAGGAGCAACTGTCAATCTCGACTAGTGGACCAATGATGACACTGAAATCCGCCCGTGATTTAAATGAAACTCGCATTGCATCTTTTAGAATAATTTTGTCTTAATGCGTTTTCATTTTTAATACACACTCATTATCTTTTGGTATGTGACCTTGTTGTTTATTATTCTGCGTTTAGTTTTTGGTTATATTTTTTCAGGCGATTTCAATATTTTGATTTACGTGTAAACTACTATATGTAGCTACTATATGTCCCGCCCTGACTTCTTGTTTCCGTTACAGTAAAAATTTAATTCAAAATGCACATTTCAACGCACTTCACAGGACCTTTAAACGGTAAAGTCTAGATCGAATCCACGGCTGGCCAGAAGTGCGATATGCATATCAATATAGCAGCATGTTTAAATTCCATGTATAACAATAGTTAATTTTTTACGTTACTGTGATGGTTGGGTTTAGGGTTGAGGTGGGGGTAGGTGTTAAAAAATACAATTTACTGGGTAATTTAATATAGCATAAATAACACTCGGTAACTACTGTTCTTACGTTACTGTGCCGGTTGGGCTTAATAAAATACAATAAATGGGAAATTTAATAAATAACATAAATAATTCTCAGTAACTTCCAGTTGCAACCATATCCGATCTAGCAACAACCACAAAAACAACATTACGCAACTATATTAATACAGCTGTTCTGTGTTAGTTAAATCAGTTGACCTTTGAAATTCTAAATTTTTAACCCAACTGGTTATTACATAAATAACCCAATAATGGTTACAATTACCCAAACAAAGCACCAAACAAACCCAACTGGTTAAGTTATAAATAAATAGCCCAATAAAGGTTAAAAATAACCCAACAAATAACCAAATGTTTTTAACTCAACCATTGGGTTAAATAAATTACTCAACATTTTTAGAGTATTGACAGTTAAAAGATAATACACAGGCAGGATTTCCTCTTACGCTTTAATTATGCTTTATTATGTACGGAATTGTTTTATTCCTTATATACAAATGAACTATTGTGGTAATTAACCGATTTACTTTATAAGATTAAGTGGTGGAACAGAATTTTGACTTTATATTTTGATTGGCTCATCGAACGGTCACTCACTAGTCTCATCCAATCAAGGAAAAGGGGCGAGATCTAGTTGCCTGGTAGCAACAGTCACAAACAGCGTTAAAGCGAGTGTTGTGAATGCAAGTAGTTCTAAATATAAGTTTAGAGTCACAATTTTAGGATAATTTTTATAAATTATTGTCCATTACTTTAAAAACGATTTTAACTACTTAATAATCACGTGTTAATATAATGTAAACCATTATTTTTTTTATTTTATGAATTTTATTTTTCATTAAAAAAGCATTTTTGTGAGTGTCAGTGAGCGTGTGTGTAGGACAGAAAGGGAGGAGCTGCTCTAAAAAGGGAAATGTTGAAGTTTCCAGAGGTTGATGTCAGTGTAACTGGATTCCTCCAGTCTGGAAACAACTGGGAACAAGATGGCTGAGTTTGGACTGGAAATGAGTTTTTCTCCACTCGCACCAAAAGCTGGACTGAAACCTCTCGAAATGATTTTCAAGTAAAGCCTGCAAGTATAAAGCTTTCTTAAGGTACTCGGGTGCGTTTTTTAGACAGAAAAGCATCCAGCGGTTTGTGTTTAGTTTCCTCAAACGCGTTTTCTCGCTATTTCTATTGCATAACACCTTAAAAGTCGATTTAGTGCTTTTTTAAACATCTGAAAACCCCGTTAGACTTAACAGAAATCAACATCAAAACTTTTTTAACTCAAATAAAGAATCGCTTTGCGCATTTTCGCATTAAGACAGAGTAAAAAGCGACTAAAATGCAGTCGTTTGTTTATATTAATGTAATGTTACTGTAGAAATACACGATGAGCTCCAGTCGCGTTCGTCCTCAAGCGCCGCAGAGCCCGGCGGCATCTGCATCCGCATCTCCTCCACCGCATGAAGGCATCGAGATGGAAAAAATGCATCATGAAGAAGTGGGCCTCGGAGTGCCCGATGAGACCCCCTCCTCTCCGCCAACCTCCAGCTCCAGACAGGCATGGAGCCGGGACAACCCAGGGTTCGAGCCGGAGGAGGGGATGATGGAGGCGGACTGGCCCCCGGAGAGTCAGGGCCGGAGGTCTGTGTCCACGACGTCCAGCAGCAGCAGCGGCGGCGTCCCGGGGAACTTCTCCGGTATCAGTGCGCGGATCAACAGAGGACTTTACCCGACTCCTCCAGCACAAGAGCACCGCAGCTGTGGGAAGAGGATACTGGAGAAAATGAGAGGTCAAACTTTTGCTTGTATTGTCTTATTGAAGTGCTACTAACCATTGTTACGAGTATTTAAAGGGATAGTTCACCGAAAAATGAAAATTCTGTTAGCATTAACTCACCCAATACTTGTTTCAAACCTGTAGGAGTTTCTTTCCTCTGTTAAACAAAATAGAAGATATTCTGAAAAAATGCTGAAAACCACTGCCATAGTATTTTTTATACTATGTTTGTAATCACAAGTTATGAGCTTTAAAATAGTGTTCAACAACTATGACAACTGAAAAAAAACTGCATTGGAAGTCAATGGTTACAGGTTTTTAGGATTTTTTTAAAATTAATACAGGTTTGAAAGTACTTGAGCGTAAGTAAATAGTGAGTAAATTCTTGTATTTTGGGTGAACTATATCTTTAATTCCTTAAACAACTAGCTTTGAAAGATAATTTGTGGTAAGTTTAAAATGCAAACAATAAATCACTTTACAAATGAAGTTTACTACAGTATATACTAAAACATGTAAGCTATACTTGCTTCTAATAGATAGCCTTCTCATAAATCACACTAAATTTACCAAAACAAGATGGTAAAGATTTTTAGATTGTTTTTAAAAAGTTTTTTTTTCATATTTGTAACCATCAATATCAAACACTTTGATACTGTAAACAAGCACTTTTCATAAAATTGGGATAAATTTATTTCTTATTCAATTGATCAAAGGATATATTCAAGACTTTTGCATTCTTAATAAACCCAATTCTTTTACAAATAGTTTTTTGTTCTAATCAAGAGCCTTCACGTGAAAAAATCAAGTAGCCTTGCACACCGGGATTTCAACCCTAGTAAATCAGAACCAGCATTTGGATTTCTGAAGGTGTAACACTGAAGAATATTTAATAAGATTTAGGTCTGGGCAAAAAAGATTTCAATTAATGAATAATAAAAAACTGTTGATTCAGTATACTGTCTCTAAAGCAGTTTATGTACATTTGAATATAGACCATTTCAATGAGGTGATGGCATTGGTTCATGAACATTTACTGCCTGTTATTAAACTATTTATTAACTGTAATAAGAGGCAATTTAATCATAACTTATTATTAAAACAGCTATCATAGCATAACTATCATAACAGCTCTTTTTGGATTCTCGGAAGCTATAGAAATTAAAAATGTATAACAGCAAATACGTTGGGACTATTGTTTTTGTTCACATCCCTCAAAATGGTCTAAGCATATTTCATATTTTAAATATTGATTATTCATTGCATGCATCTGAACTAAATATTTTTAAAATAAATTTGTTTAAATGTACCCATGTCTAACTTGTATTGTAGATTGTATCCTACAGATGTCAGAAACTAAATTTATTTTTGTTAATTTACCATTAGCCTGCACATTCAATCTGTAAAAGATATATTTTAAAGGCATTAGAAAATCTGATAAACCATAAACATTTAAAGTTAGAGTGTGATTTTTTTTATATAGTCACTGATAAAAAATTGACAATTTTAACTGACATCTAATTTCTCTATTTCAGTGTTGTGGGATACTCGTCTTTTGGGTGAGAGCAACAGTAACAGAGAGATGTACTTGAAAACCGTCCTGCGAGAAATGATCACCTACATCCTCTTCCTGCTCACCCTCTGCATAAGTAGGTTGAAAACTACATGATAGAGTGATACCAGGCTCAAATTACACAACAACAGCTTCACGATTTCTTTATGATAGTGTCATTAAAGTGTCATTTTTCTCATTAAAGGTTCTGTGAAATTAAAATAATATATTTTTTTTTTAGATGTTTGAATCAGTATGTTAGTTTTAGGATATCTTTAAGCTAGTTGTGGATTTCTTCAGATGAGCAGTGCGATCTGATGAAGCAATATTTAGAGGTGAACTCGTTCCTTTCGAGTGCGCATGCGCATTAGATGCCAATTTTGCTTGATTAGAACGTTTAGAAAGGAAACTTATGAGACAGTTGTTGTTTAATTTTATTATTGTAATGTAATTGGCAAACAGTTTTAGAGAATTTGATGTTTTCTTTATTTAGACAGAATGCTTGACTATACTGCCCGAGAGGCATTTCAACGATGGCCGTCGAATGAAATGACTTGCCTTAAAGGGACTTTGGTCATATCTGGTCTTATGAGGACTAAGTTGTTTCTAATTATTAAATGAAAACAGGCTTTTAGGAACCCTAGCAATACTACAGAATCAGATTATGAAAGAAACACATCTATAAACTAAGTGCATTACATTTATGAAGAAAATACAGAAAACATTAATTTAAAAAATGGACATTTACGAGCATCTTGACTGCTTTCCAGTGCTTTCCCTGCTGCTGAATCTGATCCTGCTATTCTGTAATTCATCATTGATTTCTTTAAATGTCATTTTTCCACAGTAACCTATGGAATGGTGAGCACCAACATGTACTACTACACCAAAGTCATGTCTCAACTCTTTTTGGATACGCCACTGTCAAGTGGAGAGCCAACCAACTTCAAGAGCCTTTCAACCATGGAGGACTTCTGGAAAGTAATTATTTCGTTAACTTTAATGCTCTTTCTCGGTTATAATTCCAACAGCTGCATTTGTTCAAAAGTTAAAGAATTATTATTGTAAACGGAAACTGTCTTGATTTACAGCCCCATGTAATGTCACCCATCTTTGGAACTCAAAATCATGTTATTTTTTATCATATCTGAGAGATTTCTGTCCCACTGACATCCATAGTAGCAACCAAAAGTAGTCAGTGGCTGATTTTCCCCCCAACATACTTCACCATATTTTCTTTAGACTTCAACAGAAGTTTGGAACAAGTGGAGGATGAGGAAATGATGACAAAGTTCATTTTGGGGTTAACTATCCCCTCAACTCAAAACTAAAGTAGAGTCATTTGCCATAACTAATCTAACTCGCATACAGTTGAAGACAGAATTATTAGCCCCCTATAAAAAAAAATTATAGCTTAAAGGGGCTAATAATTTTGACCTTAAAATGTTTTTAAACTGCTTTTATTCTAGCCGAAATAAAACAAATAAGACTTTGTCCAGAAGAAAAAATATTATCAGACATACTGTGAAAATTTCCTCTGATAAACATAATTTGGGAAATATTAAAAAAAAAAAAATCCAATTGGGGGGCTAATAATTCTGACTTCTACTGAATAAACAAACATTTTGTAACCAATGCTGCATCTCAATTTGCATACTTATACGCTGTCCTAAAAGTATGTACGGTTTTGTAAAGAAATAGTTAATATTTTTAAGTGTGTAACAGAAGAGTATGCAAGCTTTGGGACACACTACTTCCTCATTAAAGGATCGTTATGTTGCTTAGTTACATGCCCTGTCAATCATCTTGACACATCATACACATTTCTTTCATCTTTAATTGCCCACATGAAGCAGCTATTTGCAAGTCTTCCATGCAGAGATATCTCCTCAGGTCTTTGAATAATTATGCATTCAGAAGTGAATGTCTAAACATGTCTATACATAAGTTCACACTGTTTTTGCAGATGAAATACAAAACAGAAAATGCGATTTAAATATTTTCTAGTGGGCTAGACATTAAATAATAATCATTTAAACAACCAAAGCCTCTCTACACAGGTCCATAATGTTTGAAGATTGTTTATACTTTGTTGTACTAATCGAATTCATATTCAACACGCAATGTATTGTGGACAATATTAGCAGGTAGAGTGCGGACGTTCCATACTTCCAATTTCCACCAAAAATAGTACACCATCCAGGAACCTTTGGCTTACATACTATGTCTTGGGTCGGATACTATTTAGGATGCGAATTGGGAAGCAGCACAAGTAGTTGACTAGCAGACACACATCCTAAATATAAGGTGATTAGAAAAGAAATCCTACAGGACATCCTACCATAAATCCTCTCAAGTAGCTTCATGGGATTGTAAAGTGTCCATTGGTTGCGCACCTCGAATTTTCACTGGAAGTAGTAGGTAATTTTGTGTACTTAGTGTTTTTATAAATTTTATAAATACTATGATTTTGACTCGCAAGTTATTTTGTGTGGGTCTGGAATGACATGAGGGTGAATAAACGATGACAGTATTTGATGACAATTATTATCTGTAGTTCACAGAAGGCCCGTTTCTTAACGGCATGTACTGGGAGCTCTGGTACAACAACAAGAGTCTCCCAGAAAACCAGAGTCTGATCTATTACGAGAACCTCCTGCTGGGCGTCCCGCGTCTCCGACAGCTCAGAGTACGCAATGAGTCTTGTTCTGTCCATGAGGATCTGCGAGACGAGGTTTACGACTGCTACAACGTCTACTCTCCTGCCAATGAGGACAAGGCACCATTCGGCCCCAAGAATGGCACTGCGTATGTTAAATTTCGATACATTTAAATTTAAATAGTAAACTAGAGGCTGATTTGTGGTCTAACCTGATTTATTGCTCTGTTTGTTTGTAAGGTGGAGGTTCAAGGATGAGAGTAGCCTGGGTGAGAGCAGTTACTGGGGACAAGTGTCCACTTATGGTGGTGGAGGTTATTACCAGGATCTGTCCCGCACACGGGAGAAATCAGCCAATCAGCTGCAGGAGCTCAAAAACAACCTCTGGCTGGACCGCGGCACTAGAGCGGTGTTCTTGGACTTCTCCATCTACAACGGCAATGTTAACCTCTTCTGTATTGTGAGGTAACGGGTTGATCTGTTTGTATCTACACTACTTTACAAATGTCTTGTTGTCGATCCCAGTTGTAAGAGCAACAAATAATATCTAGACTTGATCATAGTTGACTAGTTGATCATTTGGAAAAGTGGCAGATTCATTTTCCCATGAATTATCTGTTGATCATCACAAGTACTGCAGAAGACCTATTAGAACCCGCATGGACCCACGGTTCTCAGAGAAATAAGTCAAGTTTGGTGCAGGAAAAATCATGGTTTGGGGTTACATTCAGTATTTGGGCATGTGAGAGATCTGCAGAGTGGATGGTAGCATTAACAGCCTGAAGCAGGTCGCACACCAGAAGCGCCGCTTGGCGCCGCGACACGGCGCGTACATGACAGTTTAAAGTATCACACACCAGACGCGCACATTCGAATGATATTTAACATGAAACTAATCAGATGGCGCTCTGTGGCGCGGCTGAAAAATGAACTGCGTCCTGAGCCGTCGCCGGGCGCCGCCGACAGCCGCCGACTTGCGGCGCCGGTGTGTGTATCCTGATAGGAACCTATGTTTAGAATTCTAAAATACATGGCGCTGCGCGGCGCGCCGCCGAGCGGCGCTTCTGGTGTGCGACCTGCTTGAGGGATCAAGACATTTGTGCTACCCGTTACATAACAAACCACAGGAGAGGGCAAATTCTTTAGCAGGATAGCACTCCCTTCTCATACTTCAGCCTCCACATCAAAGTTTCCAAAAGCAAAGAAGGTCAAGGTGCTCCAGGATTGGCCAGCCCAGTCACCAGATATAAACATTATTGAGCATGTCTGGGGTGAGATGAATGAGGAGGCATTGAAGATTAATCCAAAGAATCTTGATGAACTCTGGGAGTCCTGCAAGAATGCTTTCTTGCAGGACTCCCAGAGTTCATCAAGATTCTTAGACTTTATTTTCTATACTGTGCATTATTTCTGTTAAGTGACAAGACTTTTTTGGGTAAGGGTAATCTAGAGGCTTTTTCCTTTCATTTCAAGCCACTTCTGATACCAATGATCAACTTGAAGTCAAGTTATTATTTTCTAAATTTACTTGGATAGGCGACAAGACTTCTATCTATCTTACAGTAAAAGTTAGTGTGGCCACATTGGTTCTCATTGAACTTTTTGTTACCTTGATTTTATTGTCTGAAAATAAAACGGATTATATACTATAAATAAATACTGAGAATAAATCCATGGCTGTGATTTCTAGTTCTAGTCTTGTGAGGAGCATTGCAAAAGTTATTTTACATAATATAACAGTGTAAAACTGCTTTTTTTTCAGACTGCTAGTAGAGTTTCCGGCCACAGGGGGCGCTGTGCCTTCTTGGCAGTTCCAGACGGTGCGTCTGCTCCGCTATGTCTCCAGCTGGGACTACTTTGTTGGCATGTGTGAAGTGTCCTTCTGCCTCTTCGTGCTGTATTACCTGGTGGAGGAAGCTCTAGAGATCCGCCTGCATCGGCTGCGCTACTTCAAGAGCCTGTGGAACTGCTTAGATGTTCTCATAGTTGCAGTAGGTTTAAATCTTTTCGCCACTGAATATATAGTCTACTGTGGTGATTTTCAGTGTGAAACATTGATCTTTGTTGTTCACCATCACAGTTGAGTGTTCCCGCCATCATTATGAACATCTGCAGAACATCAGCGGTCAGTCACAGACTTCACTTTCTGCTGGAGAACCACAGCACGTATCCCAACTTTGAGCCGCTGGCTCGGCTTCAGGTGCACTTCAACAACCTGGCAGCTATCATAGTCTTCCTCTCATGGGTGAAGGTGAGCTTTCGGATCAACGTCTAACATGTAAACATTTTTTTGTTGTCTTTTCGTCAGCCATTTTGCTTCTCCCACAGCTTTTTAAGTTCATCAACTTCAACAAGACCATGAATCAACTGTCCACCACCATGTCCCGCTGTGCCAAAGACCTGATGGGCTTCGCGATCATGTTTTTCATCGTGTTTCTGGCTTATGCTCAGCTGGCCTATTTAGTGTTTGGAACTCAAGTCAACGACTTCAGCACCTTTCAGGCCTGCATGTGAGTTCCGGAGCCAAGAGTGCGATTAGAATATACATTGACATAAGTAATAATATGTAGTAGTGCTCAAAAACCGAAGTCCTAAAAGGTCATGCATTACATTATTTTTCTCTCGTTTTTTCATGATTCTTCGACTGTTTAAAAATTAAGAAAATTAAGTTGTGATCACGAGAAAACTAGAACGAAAAAATATTTAAATACACGGCCTCTTAGGACTTGACCTGACAATCATAATAGAAAAAAAAAAAATATTTAAAAAAAAGTTGTCATGAAAGTATACCTCTTATTGTGATCAATTCAGCATTAACTTTTGTTTTATTAAAAAAAATTTTTATCTGCTACAATTAAGTTAACATCTGTAAAACAATAAAAATAAATGTCGCAACTTCGGTTTAATTTTTGCATGATCAACACTAGGCGTGCCCAAACTTTTTCCTCTAAAGGGCCAAAAACCAAATATCATTATGAGCTATGAGCCGAAAATAAATATACCAAAGTAAATTACATTAAAATTGCCATATGGTAATTTTCTAATATATTTCATAATATTTATAAATAAAAAAACATTACTTTAAATTGTATTAACTAATGCAGTATAGCTTTTAAAGTGATATCTTATTGCAATAAAACATAATGTGAACTTTGCTTTGATTTGCTCACCAAAGTCTCTGCATTGTCCTCTATCCATCAGGTGACAGTATGTTTAAGCTAAATGAATTTACAGTATTTATTTGAAACATTTAATTTCATGTAGCTTTCAACAATAAAACAAACAAACAAAAGGTTACATTAGATTTTAAAGGACATCAGCATCCCCATCATTCTTCCTCTCTTCTCAGATGGGATGGCGAGCCAAATCAAAAGTTAATATGGACCAACGTTAGCTCACAAGCCCTAGTTTGGGCATCTCTGATCTAGAATTAACAGCTTATGTAACAACATACATTTTCTGAATGTTTACTGGATGTATAGCTTGCAGTGAAGGATAAATCATTAATTAAATAAATAAATCAGTAATAGGTGAAACTAATAATCTATTAGTTAGTTGACTTTCAAACTTTACATCTTTATTTATTTTTTTAAAGTATAAAGGATCATATAGAAGTTTATGTAAATGTATTCTGTACATTTTAATTTACAGAATTACATACAATTTAATTGGGATTTTTGGTTCGGAATACAAACGTTTTATTGTATTTAATAATTTCATAACTCATATCTATAATTATTACTATTATTATTTAGTTAGGATAGTTTTAGAATTCTTTCTTTACTTTTAAAGTTCTGACAAATATTGTGATAAATCAATATACAGAATTAAATACAACTTAATTAGAATTCTTGGTTTGGAATACAGAAATTTTATTGTATTTAATCATTTCAAAACTTATATTAATAATAATGATAATAATAATAATGACAATGATAATAATTATAATAAAAATAATAATAATTACTATTTAGTTAGAATAGTTTCAGAAGTCTTTCTTTACTTTTAATGTTATTGTGATATATCAATAGGTTAAATAAAATTTTATTAGACATCTTTGTTTGGAATACAATCATTTTATTGTATTTGATAATTTCAAAACTCATATTTATAATAATAGAAATAATAATAAGAAGAAAAAGAATTGTTTCAGAATTCTTTCTTTACCTTTAAAGTTCAGAAAAAATATTGCGATATATCAATATAGAAGATTAAATACAATTAGGATTTGTGGTGTGGAATACAAACATTTTATTGCATTTAAACTATTCAAAACTCATATATATGATAATTATTATTATTATTATTATAATTATTATTATTTAGTTAGCATAGTTTCAGAATTGTTTTACTATTAAAGTTCAGACAAATATTGTGATATATCACTATACAGAGTTAAATACAATTTAATTAGGATTCTTGGTTTGGAATACAAACATTTTATTGTAAAAATTTAGGGTATTTAATAATTTCAAAACTCATATTTATTATTATTATTATTATTATTTAGTTAGCATAGTTTTACATTTATTTCTCTATTTTTAAAGTTCAAACACTGTGAAACATCATGAACATGATTAGGAACGTTTGTTTCTTTTGCTCACAGTTTCACGCAGTTCCGGATCATACTGGGTGATTTCGACTTCTCAGAAATCGAGGAGGCCGACAGCGTGTTGGGACCCATTTACTTCACCACCTTTGTGTTCTTCATCTTCATGATTCTGCTGGTAAACCCTACATGAAATGAATGACAAAACATTAAAGATAAAGTAATACTCAAACAACTGAAATACACCAACTATGCTGATTATTTACTGGTTTTGTTCAGAACATGTTCCTGGCCATCATCAATGACACTTACTCTGAGGTGAAAGCTGACATGGCGCAGCAGAGGTCGGAGATGGAGATCACAGACCTCATTAAGAAGAGCTATAATAGAGCCATGGTGAAGCTGAAGCTGAAGAAGAGCTCTATCAATGATATCCCGGACAGCTTACAGCAGGCAGCAGGAAAACTCAGCTTCGATGAGCTCCGCCAAGACCTTAGAGGGTCAGAATTTTTATCTATAACACACAAATCAAACACAGTGTTGGATGAAACTGATTTAACCCATTGTTCAAATTGACTACCCTTTCGTTATGTTGGGGCTGTTTTTGCCCCATTGACTTCCATTATAATGACAATTTTGACTGCAAAGCCATGACACTATATAATCATGTGTTTTGATTGTTGGTGATTTTCCCTTTTTCCCCATTTTTACTGTCAATCAATTGTTGGTACTATTAACCCTTTAGATAGGCCTGTGCCTGTTTCTGGCTTTTAAATGCAGTTCTATGGAGTAAAACAGCTTATTATAGTGTGTGTGTGCACAAATACACTTAAGGCTGATTTATACTTCTGCGTCAAGCGCACGCATATGCTACGGCGCTGACGCATAGCCCTACGCCGTGGCCATCGGCGTCTTTGACGTTCACCTCTCAAAAAATGTAACTACATTTCGCAACGACGCGTAGTGCAAGCTCTGTGATTGGTCGTCTTGGTAGCGCTGACGAGTCTGGGCGGGACCGAGAGCCGCGCGAGGGGTGCGAGCCCAATGGAGCGATTATTTACAATTGTAGAGTCCTGCGAAGGAGCTCCTGATGGAAAGTTTTGTTTTGTGTTTACCTCATAGTTAAAGTTGTTGCATGTCCTGACTTATGTCCGGTTCCTGACTTAAAAATGAGCGAGTTTGAGCCACTTGTACATCCCGGAAGCGTTCAGAAAGAACAAAATACAGGCGAAGAAACTCGACACAGAGACACATTAACACCTCACTGCCAACTAGCGTTTCGGAAGTGTTAATGTAGACCAATAGAGAAACACGCAGAAGTATAAAATGCATAGCTACGCGCGTTGCATGCGCCGTTGGTTACGCCGGTCACTTGACGCAGAAGTATAAACCAGGCTTTACTTACACTTACTATGTTTACTATGTTCCGCGAGCTGAACTGCTTATTTTGATTTTGTCAGACATATCAAGGTTAGTGCGCAAAGACCTCTCTCTCTCACATACACACACACACACTATACTTTATATCAGGGGTCCACAACCACAGGGCAGATCAATTGGAACCGACCCGCACAAGTTATCATTAATTATTCATTCATTCATTTTCTTTTCTGCTTAGTCCCTTTATTAATCTGGAGTCGCCACAGAGGAATGGCCTGCCAACTTATCCAGCATATGTTTTACGCAGCGAATGCCCTTCCAGCCGCAACCCATCCTTGGAAAACATCCATACACACTCATTAACACACATACACTACAGTCAATTTTAGCATACCCAATTCAACTATACCACATGTCTTTGGGCTTGTGGGGGAAACCAGAGCACCCGGAGGAAACCCATGCCAACATGGAGACAACATGCAAACTTCACACAGACATGCCAACTGACTCAGCCGAGGCTCGAACCAGTGACCTTCTTGCTGTGAGGCCACCGCGTTGCCCCAAATCATAAATTATTTCAGTTTAATTTATTATCTAAATCTTTTATTTTGAAGAATGACCGTATTCTCTCGGTTACATCTCTGTCACTTGAGCGCCAAAATTTAACCCACTAGCAAAATGAGTTAGAAACAGACGTCTTTGGCCTAGTGAAGGACCTACGAACTGCCAAGGACTAGATCCGCAACTCATTTGTCAACAAATCAGGTGAATCCAGCATGTCTGTGCAAGATCAACTGCTGGAGATCGCACATGATGTCTGCATATCGCGTGTTTTCTAGAGTTCACGCAAGTTTGTTATTTACAGTGAAGTTGCGCGGCTCACGCTTGTCAAAATGTATTTAGTTGAATGAATGTCACGAGCACACTGTGAGTCAAGTGACAAGAACTAACCAATCAGGTTCAGCTTGTATGGAATATACAAATTTCGGTAAAATATCTCAGACAAACACAGAGCACCCAAACACTGCAGTGCTTTGTAATTTTCTCCATAAATAAAGCTTGTATCAGAGTGACAGCAGTGTTTTGTCAGCTTGTCATCCTCTGAGAAAACGGTTGGTGGTTGCCTAGTAACCTATAAATCACCGCAAACCCCCGACACCAGCATCCCCCCACCTACGTGCCCAGATCTGCAGTAAATTTGTCAAGTGTTGACTGTCCACGGTGATAAAAAAGTTGGGGACCACTGCTTTTTTTTTTGTTCCATATATAAGCCAGAAGCAAAAATTTGTTATGGAAGTCAATGGGGCAAAATCAGCCCCAAACATAATGAAAGGGTAGACAATTTACCCAGATAGTTTGTAGAATTAAAAAAAAAACATTTGAAAGCATTTTTCTCAAAATATGTGTCAAAATAAGATTTGTCACCAGAACTCATTCCATTTGCTGAAACACAGAGAAAGTTGTGACTCAAAATTTCACCAGAGTGGATGAAAACATCCCCAGCAGCACACAAGGGATAATTGTTATTGATGTTTGTGCACAGAAAGGGCCATTCGGACGCTGAAATTGAAGCTATTTTTGCCAAGTATGACCTTGACGGAGATCAGGAGCTGACCGAACATGAGCACCAGCAGATGAGAGACGACCTGGAGAAAGAGAGAGTGAGTGAAAAACCAGTGCTAAAAGATGTCACATGATTTGTTTAATTTTTTTTTTAAATACAATTACTAGGAGCTAAGCTCTCTGTTGGCTGAACTGTAGATAATTGCTTTATACACATTCAATGACTATATCTTTCAAATGACAAATTTGTTTATCACTCACATGACTAAATCCGCCATTTGTCATTATCACGTGACCTACCGGCGTCATTTGCGTTGCTTCACTCCCATTTATAAATTCTCTCACGTGGCATGATTGGATAGCATAGCGTCCATCAGATGCGCACTTCAGTATCTCAACAAAAGCAGTAGGTCATCCGGGTACTTCTAGCTGAGCTGTTTTTTGAACACTGTGAAATTCAGACATACTACTCAGCTCACATACTATTTTAAACGTACTATATATTATAAAAGTATGCAGTTTTGGACGCAGCCCATGTCTGTATGAAAAAGATAAGTGTATTGTTCACTTCAAAAGCCATTTTCAAAGGTTTGGATTTTCAGACAATTTTGTGTTTAATAGCATCTAATAGACATCTAAATGTAGACAGCTTGGCTAAAACAAGGCTAAACTTGGGCTGTCATTGAAAATCCAATAGACATCTAAGAATAGCCCAAAACTAGACTAGTCGTCAAATAGACAGACTTTATATGTGTAGTCAATCATTTCTGTTTATTTGATGACGAGTCTAGTTTTGGCCTATTCTTCGACGATTTTCACTGACAGCCCACATTTAGCCTTGTTTTAGCCAAGATGACTGGGTTTAGATGTCTATTAGACATCTATTTAAAACAGTGTCATGTGAACGCACACTAAACCAAATTAGAACATAATCCTAACAATATCTAAATTATTGTAAAAAGAAAATTTAAGACAACACGAAACAAATATACATTATTAAAATATATCCCAGTACTACCAAATTATTTGCTAAACTCCAATCTAAGGATGCTTTCACACCTAGGGCCCTATCATACACCTGGCGCAGTGTGGCGCAAGACGCAGCGCAATAGTCTTTTGGTAGTTTCAGCTTGGCGCAAGAGTCATGTTGAGGCGTTGCGCTACGCTGTTAAAAAAGCAAATGCATTAGCGCTCATTTGTGCGCCCATAGGCGTTCTGGTCTAAAAAGGAAGGCGTTCTGAGGCGGACCGCTTGCGCGTCGCTATTTTGAGAAACTATAATAGATTTTTCATTAGACCAAAACAAACCCTGTCTAAACTCCAGCGCAGAGTTGCGCCTCGCTTACGCACTGCTTAATACACACAAGAGAGCAATAGGCAAATATCTTTACATATGAAAAAATTTAGTATTAAGGATATATATATAGGATATAATAAGAATAGATATAGAATATAAATATAAAGGATTCAAATAATACAAAACATATTATTTTCTAGCCTACATAAATATGAAAAATCACTGCTTTATGTCTTCTTTATCTCGGTAGGCTTTTTCAGTTCATTCATAACAATTTGCTTTTGTATTATGTTATTATTATTAGCAGTATTTATTATTATATCCATATTTATTGTTTTATTAAAAACAAGCTTAGAGGTTATAGACCATATGGGGCATGGCAGGTGTATTTGGAAATAACTCAGTATTTTGACCACACTTGGTTATTATTGTTCATTTTTTCGTTTGCTAGAAATTAGAACTGAATTTAGAAATAGTTTTGAAACAAATCTTTGCGCTTAACAAACGAAATTAATTATTTATAGACTAATTGATGTCTGTGCGTAAAGGTTTGCCTATCCAAGAGCAAATGTGAAAGTAGTTCCATTATCTCTCATTCTCACGCAGTATATGCTCTGTTTTACATTTTTCTGTTAAAAAACTGTCAACTGTTAACTGTTTGCTAGTGAAATGCTCATTTTTTTCCTCTTAGACTTACTTTGCGTCCTGTAAATAGCGAATACGCTCTTGGCGTGACGCAGCTGGCTCTTAAAGGGAATGGGAGATGAGACTCTAATTGGTTTATTCTCAAAACACACCTATAACTCATTAAGAAAATAAACTCAACCCTTTTAGCCCATGCGCCTTGGCGCAAAGCGAATTTTCCCGTCTGTAAATTTGCAAAAATGCGTTCTGACACGCCCTGAAAGCGTTTGCGCCCTGCGTTTTGCGCTCTGCGCATGGACTGTCAAAATAGAGCCCCTAGACTTTTGTTTCAGATCCTGTCTCGTTTGCCCAGTTGGCGCGGTTCGTTTGGCATTTGTGAATCCACCAATCGTGTTCAGATCTGCGCCAAATCAATTGGTCCGAGATCGCCTGAATGAGGTGGTCTCGGCTCGATTGAAACAAACTCGGGAGCAGATCGATTGTAGTGAGACGTGATTTCTGATTTATATTTGGTGACGATGTCTGTGGGTTTCACAATTTAAAATGAAAGCACCGCTTTTCGCTTATGATGTCTTTATTGCTCATCATCATAAATTAAAATAAGGACGCATGACAGCTGAGCGGGACTCTGCAAAATAAACCCTGAAACTCTGAACAATGTGAGGAGAGTTTACTTGCACGTGACTTGTTTTAGCTCTTTTGGTCCATTTAGAAACTTTGCCATGTGAAAGCGAACCGCTCCAAGAATAAAGAGCAACGATGTAACAATTTAATCCCTGTTTCGGAACAAATGAATCGATTTACAGGTGTGAAAGCACCCTAAATTAAGGTATACATCAGTTCACGCATTCCCTGGGAATCAACCTCATCAACTTAGCATCACCAGTTCCATCTTCTACTGTTAGACCAACAGAAAAACTCTGAAAGTAACACAATAAATAAACATCAGTGAACATCACGTGCACAGATGCTTAGTATCTGTTGAACACTCGCCAGGAGGACTTGGATCTGGAGCACAGTTCGCTGCCGAGGCCAGCCAGTGGACGTAGCTTCTCCCGTAGCCAAGACGACTCAGAGGAGGATGATGACGAGGACAGTGGACACAGCTCTCGACGCCGCGGCAGCAGCTCCGGGGGCGTGTCTTACGAGGAGTTCCAAGTGTAAACATCACCTGTCAATCAAACTAGTATAGTTATCATAATATAGCGAATGTTTGACTGTATTTTTGTGCCGCATCAGGCTTGTGCGCCGGGTGGACCGAATGGAGCACTCAATTGGCAGCATCGTCTCCAAGATCGATGCCGTTATCGTGAAGTTGGAAGCCATGGAGAGAGCCAAGATGAAGAGGAGAGATGTGCTTGGACGGATCCTGGATGGAGTCATGGAGGTGATGATGATGATGATGTTTAGGAATTTCAAAGAAAATACTTGTAATCCTGTAAAGCCGCATCGCTACTTTAGCCGTTGAATGCTTGATTTTCATTGGCTGATGGACTTTCTAGTATGCAATTATTTGCATATAAACACACAGCTAAAGTAGTTTCATACAAGTCTTAATTGAATTACAGTTACATATCAACATACTGAATGATTTCAGTTTGTTCACAGATTCAAAATAGAATCAAAATGAAAAGGTTTTAAATCAGTTGTCTAACAAGAGAAACTAGTCCTACACATACAGGAGAAGTTTGAAGACTAAACCTGACAAACATGCTGGAATACAAAATCTGGACAGTGTCTTTAGGTGTGCTTACTGTAGTATAAGTGGAATAATTGACTCTGGTCTGTTGAATTTCTAGATATTACATAAACACTATAGGCCCTATAATACATCCGGCGCAATAAGGCGTTTTTATTTGTATAATGTTATTATTATTAGCAGTATTATTAACCTGAAAAGACACGTAGTATTAAGTGTCAACATTATCCACATTTGAACCTTAATAATAGTAACTATAGGATAATTAAATAAACTGCGGTTTAATGGAATAACTGATCAGCCCTGAACATATTAGTCATTCACACTGTTAATGATTAAAAATATAACATTTAAACATTTCTTTAAACATAAAATAGTGTGTGTGTGTGTGTGTGTGTGTGTGTATATATATATATATATATATATATATATATATATATATATATATATATATATATATATATATATATATATATATGTTCATTTATATTTATATATATTTAAAGGCTTAACCAGGTTAATTCAACAAGTTAGGGTAATTAGGCAAATCATTAATAATGGTTTGTTCTGTAGACAATTAAAATAAATGTTGCTTAGGGGGGCTAATAATATTGACCTTAAAATGGGTTTAAAACTATTAAAAACTGTTTTTATTCTAGCTGAAATAAAACAAATAAGACTTATTCTTGAAGAACAAATATAGGAAATACTGTGAAAATTTCTGAATGTTAAACATCATTTGGAAAATATTTGAAAAAGAAAAAAAATTCACAGGAGGGCGAAAAATTTCGCCTTCAAATATATATATATATATATATATCACAGTATTACCGTATTGTGATTACTTCTCTAAAATATATTCTTTTTAAGTCTGGGTAAAAACAAAAAGTTTTTTCCCCTTTGAACACAGTATATTTTATTTTGAAAAACATTTATAATATTTTGTAGCAGTAAACGTGAAGTTAAATAAGGAAAATAAATCATTGCTTTCTGCTGACTTCATTTGTTTTAAAAACATATTTCTTTACAATTTACAACAGCATCTTTGGATATCTTTTCTGCTGGAGATACTGTTGTGCTAAAAACACACAAACAAAAAAAAAAAAACGTAAAAATAAATAAATAAATAAAATCGATTTTTTCGACATATATTAGGAATAGTATAGCAGAAAATTTGGCCTTGACTTTACCAAACCGCAGTACACCTTGAAAACGGTTATCATCCCAAGTCTAATATATATATATATATATATATATATATATATATATATATAATGAAGAGTAACTAGTAACTATTTACTTGAGTAATTTTTTCATCAGATACTTTTTTACCCTTACTAGAGCAACTTTTAAGATTGTTACTTTTACTTGAGTATAAATTTTGGCTACTCTCTCCACCTCTGATTGTAAGAAAGTATCTGGTGCAAAAATGTCAGCAAGATGATAGAGTATGTTTTACAGGTGGTTTGTCGAGCCCACTCACCTGGGTGAGGCACTCTCAGAACCGCACAATGTTTTGAAGTTGAAAATAGAACTAAGCAGTCACCTGGAAGCTGTAGATTGTTCACAAATGTTGATCTCCGCTGTAATGTTGTCCTCCTCAGGACGAGCGGATGGGTCGGGATCCAGAGCTGCAGCGAGAGCAGATGGACAGGTTGGTTAGGGACGAGCTGGAGCGCTGGGAGTCTGACGACACCATGTCCCAGGTGAGCCACCATCATCATCAGGCCACTCCCATCATCTCATCAGCTCAGCTCCGCCCACGCAGCTCCCGCCCACCCTCCTCGCTGTCCAACGAGGGCCCGGATGCTGCAGCCAGTGGCCCCGCCCACTTGTGAGGGGTGTTTATTTGTGAAAACACTGCTCCAGTAACACAGCTTGCACAAATCAACTTCAGAAGTATCAAAGCCACAGCCGCTAAGGTGAAATAGTCCTGCAAAAAAGCTATTTATTTGCGTTTCTTTATATTAAAGTTAATCAGGGCTTTATAAAGATAAAATGATGTAGTTATCAAACACCAGTTTCAGTATTAATTTTCCAAAACGTATTTTCTATATTTGATTTTTACATACAGCTATTAATCAGGTGCATTTTTTAAATTTGAGGTACATTTTGCTTTACTGTATTTTCTAGCAGGCAATCCTAGGTTTGATGAAGTGATTTCATTAAATCCAAATATATATATATTTATATATATATATATATATATATATATATATATATATATATATATATATATATATACATACACAGTGTGCTCAAAAATGCCCAGAACTATTTTTCATTACGCAAGAAACGACATTCTGCTTCAAAATATTAAGAACACAAAAAATCGACTATTCAAAAATAAAGACACAAGTCGCTAAAATCACTTTAAATGAAGGAAAAATCACATCATGAGTATTGTATATTTCACGTTTTGTACTGAATCATGCTACGAATGCATGTTTATGTTGTACAGTGTGGAAGAAATGCAGTAAACCATACACTACTTGACAAAAGTCTTGTCGCTTGTCCAAGTTTTAGGAACAACAAATATTAACTTGACTTCTAGTTGATCTTTTGGTATCGGAAGTGGCTCATATGAAAGGTCTGAATTTGCTCAGACATAAGTCTTGTCACTTAACAGAAATAATGTGCAGAATAGAATATAAAGTCATGCTGCAGTGGAGAAAGAATGACTATTGTGTATGACTCCCATGAGCTTGGAGGACTGCATCCATGCATCTCTGCAATGACTCAAATCACTTAATAAAGTCATCTGGAATGGCAAAGAAAGCGCTCCTGCAGGACTCCCAGAGTTCATCAAGGTTCTTTGGATTCATCTTTAATGCCTCCTCATTCATCTCACCCCAGATATGCTCAATAATGTTCATGTCTGGTGACTGGGTTGGCCAATCCTGGAGCACCTTGACCTTCTTTGCTTTCAGGAACTTTGATGTAGAGGCTGAAGTATGATGTAATGTAATGTAATGGGCACAATGTCTTGATACCTCAAGCTGTTGATGTTGCGGATCTCTTGCACAACCCATTACTGGATGTATCCCCAAACCATGATTTTTCCTTCACCAAACTTGACTGATTTCCGTGAGAATCTTGGGTCCATGCGGGCTCTTCTGCAGTATTTGTGATGATCGGGATGCAGTTCAACAGATGATTCATCAGAAAGATCTACCTTCTGCCACTTTTCCAAATGATCAACTTAGAAGTCGAGTTATTATATGTTGCTTTTACAACTGGGATCGACAACAAGACTTTTGCCATGTAGTGTATGCTTAATTATGCATAACTCTTTCGTATTAAAGCCTACATTCATCAGTATTGAAGAAAGCTTACATTATTCAGCAAGCACCAGTATCTTACACATAACCAAACAGAAGAAACGTCATTCATAAACATTCATCTCTGATATGAAAGCATTCACACGTTTCCAACTAATGAAGGCGGTCGCATTGCTTTATATTTAAACGCTGCATGTATTTTATTTCGATACAGTGTTCACCCAGTAATACAAATATGGCATGTTTCATTAAACACATACTTAGTTTTATTTTTAAATACTTGTGATTTTTAAAATCATTTTGATACTTTATTCAACTTGAAACAAACTTCGATTTGGAGTGCATCTGATTTCATGGGAAACCCATGTGTAGGATTTTTTATGAAGTATATATTTCCTGTTAGCATCTTCACATAACAGTTGTTTTCAATGAAGTCATTTAAATATAGAGTCATATAGCTTGACAGCTGCTTGAACAAATCACTGTTTAATGCAGGGGTCTCAAACTGCTCCTTCCCTCTGGCCTGCAACTGATGTCAAAAATATAACAAGATTTGGCCCCCCAAAATATATATATATATATATAATATATATATATATATATATATATATATAATATAATATATATATATATATGTATATATATATGTGTATATGTATATATATATGTATATATATGTGTATATATATATTTTTGTATATATATATATATGTATATATATATATGTGTATATATATATATATGTATATATATATATATATATATGAAGAGTTTATATGCAAAAACCTCTAAAAGCTGTTTGATATTTTCTTCAAAATGTAGCATTTTTCTCTGACTCTTGTGTGTAGGTTCAGAAAGTTAACTTTTTATAGTGACGAATAAGTTATTTTCATTGCCTTTAAAGCAAATTACTTAAACATAAGCATAGGTGGCTCAGAAAAAATGCTAATTTTAGTAAAAAAATTCAGATGGCATTTAGAGGTTTTTGCATCTGAAGTCTTCACATATATATATATATATATATATATATATATATATATATATATATATATATATATATATAGATGTACACCCCAATGGCTCTTTAAAAAAAATCTGAAATGGCTCTTTGCTGAAAAAAGGTTCCCGACCCCTGCTATAGGGGAAGAATGTCTGAGTGCATTAATTACATCAGGTTTCCACTTTTTTGTTGTGCTTGAATGTTAAAGTGGCCCTCCTATGAATCGTCAGTCGCTGATATGGCCTCCTGCCAATTTGAGTTTGAGACCCCTGGTTTAATGGCTTTAGATAAGCAGAGTTTACACACTTCTTCATGCCAAGAGATGATTTTAAAAATGTTACAGAACAAAAATAATGTTTTACTTTAAAAAAAATCTGTGCAATTACTTCTGTAACACTTTATGCTACTCTGATTTTTAAAATATGGGTCAAAGATGACAGGAGATGTTATTTTTACTATTATTGTTATTTTTTACATTACAATGTGTCTTCTATAATTGTTTTTTCTGAGTCAAAAATAATGACATACATTTTGACCGTGATTTACCAAGAATTACACTAAGATTTCCTTCAGTGAAATATGGTTCACTAATTCAATAATAGAATTCATTCATTCATTCATTTTCTTCTCAGCTTAGTCCCTTTATTTATCCGGGGTCACCACAGTGGAATGAACCGCCAACTTATCCAGCAAGTTTTTGCGCAGCCACAACCCATCTCTGGAAAACATCCACACACATTCACACACACATTCAAACACTACGGACAATTTAGTCTAACCTATTCACCTGTACCGCATGTCTTTGGACTGTGGGGGAAACCGGAGCACCCGGAGGAAACCCACACGAACGCAGGGAGAGCATGCAAACTCCACACAGAAATGCCAACTGAGCCGAGGCTCGAATCAGCGACCTACTTGCTGTGAGGCGACAGCACTACCTACTGCGCCGCTGCTTCGCCAATAATAGAATTCAGTGAATTAAAATTAAAAGTCACGGTAGCTCAGTGGTTAGCACTGTCGCCTCACATCAAGAAGGTCGCTGGTTCGAATCCTGACTGGGCCAGTTGCCATTTCTGTGAAGTGTGCATGTTCTCCCCGTGTTGGCGTGGGTTTCCTCCCACAGTCCGAAAGCATTCGCTATTGGTGAATTGGATTAACTAAATTGGCATTTGTGAGCATGTGATGTATGGGTGTTTCCCAGTAAATTGGCGGTTCATTCTGCTGTGGCGACCCTTAATGAATAAAGGGGCTTAGCTGATACGAATGAATGAAAATAAAAATTCAGTTTAAAAACACATTTGTAATATTTGCCACTATCCTTTAAGCCACTTGGTTTTACCTATTTGGTTTTACCTATTTACCTATGAATATAATTTGGAAATAAAAAACCCACGTTATTTCACTCATATCCTAACATTTATATTCTCAAATGTAATTCGAAACGTTAGTCACTTTGCTTAATACGCATTCTAGTATATAAACTCGCTTCCATAAATGCAGTTTGATGCAAACATCAGTTATTTAAAGTGTAATATGCCACTCATTTGAATTCCAATCCTTCCAGATATCATCATGTGCTCATTATTTGGTGACAAAGCTTGTATATATCCTGATCCCAGTCATAACACCCTCTAAAGTGACTGTAAATCTGTACAATAAAGGGATATTGTGTAGCTAAGTGTTGCTGCTTTCTTTTGTTGGTGGTTTTTGCAAAGCAAACGCCGTGGTTCAGTAATCGCATTGATGTTTGCTGGCTGTGGATTAGATCACATTAAGGCGAATTAAATGGATTATGAAGGAGCAAGCCGTACCAGGCCCGTTCACAGCTACAAAATCCTTAAGTGCTGTTTACAACAAAGGTGTTAAAATGACTCTTTATTTGAAGGAAATGAGCCACGTAAATTGACTTTGTGTAACAGACTGAAATTTGACCTGTCGTCATAGCTGAGGCTGAAGAGTTTCATCTTTAAGACTGGTTTATACTTTTGGGTCAAGTGATCGGCGTGACCCTTGGCGCCTGTATGCACGTAGTGGTGCATTTATACTTGTGCGTGCTGTTTGAGTAGCTCTGCAATAACACTTCAGAAATGCTAGCTGGCAGTAGGTGTTTACGTTCCCTCTGTGTCGAGTTTCTTTGCGAGTGTTTTGTTTTTTCTGAACGCTACCTTAATGTACAAGTAGCTAGAACTCAAAGACGGAAACTGGCGGACGTGCAATAACTTTAATCATAAGGTAAACTCAAGACAAAAGTTTCCATCAGATGGGAATCGACGCATGTAAACACTGGCTCCATCGGGATTAAGGCTCTCACCCCCCACGCTTGTCACCGCTACCAAACCGGCCAATCACATAGATTGCGATATGCGTCGTCGGGATGTACAGTTACATTTTTTGCCACGGTGAGGGCTATGCTACCGTGTGAAGGATGCGCCGGACCATACAGTGTGCGTGACGCAAAAGTATAAATCAGTCTTTAGGTCAGGGATTCTCAACCGGTGGGCCTCAGCGATTCTTCAGGTAGGCCGCAGGATGGCTTAAAATGAACTTGAATATTACATTATAATTATTTGATTTCATTATTAAATATGTCATATTAAAACAACAGTAGTAATGGCATTTCCCGTTTTCTGTGACTGATCAGGCTAATCCGGCCTGCAAAAACAGCCTCACTGTTAATTACAGACATAACCGTGGCTTAAATTTAAAACTGCTGCGCGTCAGATGGGACTACGTTCTTAGTTGTATGAAGCAAACAGTCACGCAAATGTAAAGGTAACGATGATTATAATAACCAGCTCGCGGGTGCCTCACGTCTGCGACTCGTGCTGTATCAGAGTCGTACAAATCCGTTGATTTACGAACGCATGCTCTCTTTGTGTAAACACTATAAAATATCTGCATAGTTGTCCAAATTAACGTCTTGCGAGTGTTTTATAACTGACAGGAGGATCCAGCGAGACTCTGTGGTGTTTCAGTAGTGAACAGAGCTGTTCACTGTTCCTGTCAGCGAATTCCAATAATGTCCTGCTACAAACTCAACCGCCTTCAGATCGATGTGTTTCAACAGATTTAGGGTTTTTTTACACTGTATTTTACATTTAGAGTTAGGGTTAGGTTGTTAATTTGAATGAATATAGATCAATAGATGAATAGAAGTCAGTCTAATTCAAAGCAGCAGCAGCATTTTTTTCGGCCATCTCCTGTAGTCCTGTCAGGTTTCTTTACTGAATAACTGAATAATTCAGGAGCTTTGAACCTGTCTGCGTAAAAAAATAAAATATATATTATAAATATGCACAATAATATAATAATATAATATAAACATGCACATTGTTTTTTTAGATAAATGATGTAGAAAAAGAAGAGAATAATAGAAGACAAACGAAATATTTTGCTATTTAATAAAGCTTGGAAATAAGCATTTTCTCTAGGCCAAGGGCGGCCAACCCTGTTCCTGGAGAGCCACCTTCCTGCAGATTTCAGTTGCTACCCATATCAAACACACCTGAACCAATTAATTAGGACCTGAACACCACGTGATAATTACAGGCAGGTGTGTTTGATATGGGTTGCAACTGAAATGTGCTGGAAGGTGCTCTCCAGGAACAGGGTTGGCCGCCCCTGCTCTGGGCAATCAGTTTGGGCCTGATCCACATGTGCACAGGTATTTTATAAACTGAGTTTTGAGTTTTTTGCGATTTCATTAAAAAAAATAATTAATTGCATTAAAAACACACTGGGAATCGTCTTAAGCCTAGTTCACACTACAGGATTTTAAACATCAGCAGATCCCTGTGCCGTTCACACTACATGACCTGACTTTGTGTCTTTTAATCTCTGAGGTGTTCACACTACGCAACACTCCGTGAACGATCCACAAGAGGGGGGCCACACACTACATGATCTGACAACAACTCATTCCCCATCAGTTCATTCAAGCTACCAAACCACAGCCAATGAAATTTTGAGTCGTCAGAAAAAGCTGAACACTATTGGCTGCTTGTGTGCGGATTACATCACTGACAGCGTTTCAAGCTTTGGAGAAAGCATTTAAAAACATTGTCAAATCAGCTGATTTATGAGCGGATTAAACACTCATCTGCAGGTTCCAGTGGATAGATACACAGAGAGTTTTTAATTTTTGTAATTTTATAACTCTTTGAAATAAAACTAACATATTTATAAAACCCTGCCGTTTTCTAACTATTAGTGTATTTCTTTCTGACATTGTTTTTTTTTTTTATTACAAAACAGTAAAGAACTGAGCATTTCTGCCTTAAATTACCATATTGGTTAAAATGACTGCATGCATGTCTAATGCTTTTCACTGTGACTTTAAATATTTGTGCATTTTCTTGCCTAGCAACTTCCTGCTAACATAAACAAAACTTTCTGATGGCAAAAACATCAATTTACTTCAGATATCTTTCAAAACAGCATATTATGTGCCGTAAAATAGCTCCTGTTTGAAAGTGGAAATGAAAGCCAAGACCTTTAAGTGTTTTAGTATCTTAACTGCATATTTATAGGCTGCATTACCAAAAAAAAGATTATATTTTTAGGGTAATGGTGTCATTAAATATGATGCCAGACATTCAAAGCTTAATTTTAATATCTCAATAATAGCTTTGAATGTAAATATGTTGTGACAATATGGCGTTTTATATAAGAACCGTCAGAATGAGCAGTATGGTAATTCTAATAGTTACAGAATTCTAGTTCCACTGTTAATATAGTCTACTCTCATGTCTGTGCTAACGCAGAATGAAGCGAGTGCACCGATGCCCATTCTGACCAATCACAGATGTTTCTGCTGAGCTCCTGAACACACAGGCACGCGGCTCATGCTGATATGCTCTCTCATTGGCTGTAGATCGTCACTACATCCACACATGGGGTTGAGTCGGCCGACTGCTCTGAAATTAGCATGCTGAATGTTGGATTTCCGTCTGCGAGGTGTCGGCGACGCGTCAGCGAGCCTCGTTGATGCATTGTTCAGTAGTTCACACATAAAGAGCGGCGAGGTACCCGCAGATTTCTTCCCGATCACAGCCCGATCTGTCGGCGAGCTCGTTAACTTCCAAATCGGGCTCAAATCAGGCTTAAAATCCTTTAGTGTGAACTAGGCATTAAGGGCACATTGAACCAACAGATGGCGATATTGACACAATGTGGAATACGCAATACGTTTGCTGCAAACGTGCAAAATTCGTGTTTGTTGTGGACCCACCCAATCAGGGATCAAGTTGGCCAATCATAAAGGAGACAACAGCGCACACACTGACACCATGAGGTGAAAACTCTATTTGTAGTGTCCACACAACAATGCTGCACTAAAATAGTTCTAAAATAGTTTAATATGGTAACTTTCAGTAGAAATAAAATATTATTTCAAACTTAATCTAGCCAATTAAAAAGATTCAATTATTAAGTTAAGTGTTGTTACTATTCTATTTTTCTCATGTAATAGCATTCTAACTAATCAACACGAAAGATTTAAAGATATTTTACGTCTCTTATTTCATGTCTCGCAATATGTTGGAATAAAAAAAAAGAAAGAACAACAGGTTACAATAAAGGTGTTAACGTAAATTCTATTTGTATAATAGACTGAAACTTGATCGTTAAACACTGTAGTCGTAGCAGAGGCTGAAAGAGTTTCATGTTTAGTTCATGTCCAAACTCAGTTTATAAAATACATGTGTGTATTTAATAAACTGTTTTCCCCGCTTTCATTTTTAAAAAATGCAGAATACACCCACTTTACATCTCGGAATATGTTTGAATAAAAAAAAACAAAAGAACAACAAGTCCTGTTTACAACAAAGGTTTTAAAATGACTCTTTATTCGAAGGAAATGAGCCACGTAAATTGACTGTGTAATAAACTGAAATTAGACCCTTCAAACACTGTGGTCGTAGCGGAGGCTGAAATAGTTTCATCTTTGGTTCATGTCTACATGTGCACAGGTGTTTTATAAACGGAGTTTTCCCTGCTTTCGTTTAAAAAAAAAAAAATCACATAAAAACGCACTGGGAGTCATTTTTCAGTGCACGATGAACCAACAGATGGCAATAACGACACTTTTATGCTGAGTTTACACGAAATAGAAAATTACGTTTATTTTGTGAGTGAATAGCATGTAAGTCAAAGCTAATGTGAGAACTTTTTCTGTCCTGTGGTCGAACAATGCGGAATACGCCATATGTTTGACACAAATGTGCGAAATCCACTTTTGGTATGAACCCAGCCTATCAAGGATCATGTTGGCCAATTAGCAACTGCAAATGAGGAGAAAACTCCAGTTGTAGTGTCCAAACGACAGCACTGTACTCAGAGTTTTAGAAAATCTTCACCCTGGCTGATGTTTTCGTAAATTTTTGGTTTTAGTAACCCGATATTGTGAAACTGCGTAGTGATTTTTGTGTGGAAAGGGCCTGACATGCACTGTAAGTGGTTGGCCAATCAGAAAAGACAGGGCTTTGATCTGACCAATCAGAACAGAAAGGCGGGGTCTAGAAAGACGGTATGCTTCAGACACTAAGAAAAGGGCCGAAGTTGCAATAAATATTATGAAGTAATTTAAATGTTGTGTTTTTTTAAAGTAAAATATTGTAAACGAAAAGCAGGAGAAATCTCTAAAACAAAATTAGCAAGCTCTAAAAATTTTATATAGAAATAAATAGTATAAAATGTGAACTTTCAGTTAAAATATAATAATTTCAGACTTAATCTAGCCAATTAAAATGATTCAGTTATTTATTTTAAAAAATGTATCATTGTTATCATTATATTTGTCTGATGTAATAGCGTTCTAACAAATCAACACGACCCACTTTACATCTATTATTTACGTCTCGCAATATGTTCGAATAAAAAAAGAAGGAACTATAAATCAAACTGATCGCATTTGTGGGGAAATAATGTCAGCAATATATTTCATTAAGACCACCGATTTGTACTTATAAGTTCATTTTCATTTCATGTTGACTTTGAAAGCGCAATACATGTTCGCACTTTAGTCAAGAAAGACAAAAAATATGATGTTGGTGTTGTGTGTGTGTCCATATAATATGATCCATAAAGCGAACATGAAATCCCAAATCAGAGCATTTAAGAGAACTTGGAGATGAATCTGAGCTTGATGTAAGCGATGATGAGAAAGATCAACGTCATGACTGTAAGAGCAACATGATTCTGCCACAAACCCCAGGACGAGTAATCGATTCCCTGAAACGTCAGATGCTGCTCTCCTGTGCACCTGCAAAAAACAACAAACAGATTATGTGTATAAAATTTATATATATATATATATATATATATATATATATACACACACACAGTTGAAGTCAGAATTATTAGCCCCCTTTTGATTTTCTTTCTTCTTTTTAAAATATTTCCCAAATGATTTTTAACAGAGCAAGGAAATTTTCACAGTATGTCTGATAATATTTTTTCTTCTGGAAAAAGTCTTATTTGTTTTACTTCGGCTAGAATAAAAACAGTTATTAATTTTTTTTAAATCATTTTTGGGACAAATTCTTTTAGCCCCCATTAAGCTAAGAGTACAGAAGTGTCTTGAAAAATATCTAGTAAAATATTATTTACTGTCATCATGACAGACATAAAATAAATCAGTTATTAGAGATGAGTTATCAAAAGTATTATGATTAGAAATGTGCTGAAACAATCTTCCCTCCATTAAACAGAAATTGGGGAAAAAAATAAACAGGGGTGCTAATAATTCAGGGGGACTAATATTTCTGACTTCAACTGTATATATATATATTTTTTTCTTTTTTTTGCTACGCTGTACAGTGTTCAAACGTGCTAAAACATACAAATAGAAAAACACTGACAAATTGTACAAACAGCTTCAGCTGCGCCAAACCAGCCGATCGACCCGACTTTGAAACACTCCAGTGTCCCTGTATCTGTGCTTACACTCAGCAAACAGTATTGAGTTTAGTAAACCCATAATAATACTAATTCCTTACATTTATATAGCGCTTTTCTGCTGGGGGTGGGGGGTGGGTCTCCTCCTCCACCACCAGTGTGCAGCGTCCACCTTTATAATGCGACGGCAGCTATATTGCGCCAGACCGCACACTACACACCAGCTGATTGGTGGAGAGGAGACAGAGTGATGAAGAGGATGGTTAGGAGGCCATGATGGACAGAGGCCAGTGGGCAAATTTGGCCAGGATATCCCTATCCAATATCCCTTTATATTTTCACTTTCCATTCAGAATGGACCATCGGGTCTCTCGAAAGGCAGTTAAAGTATTAATTAGTGTCACTTTCTCTTCGCTGATAAGATATTCAACCAGGTACACAAAATTCCAGTGCGACTCAGTTGATACTTCCAGGTTTCTTCCCACCGCAGCCTCGATTTTACCGTTTAAAATGGCGGCGGCGTGAAATCAGTCTATACACACCTATATGAGCTCCGAAACAGTGACACAATTTGACCAAGAAGGTCGCTGGTTTGAGCCTCGGCTGTGTCAGTTGGCATTTCTGTGTGGAGTTCGTATGTTCTCCCCCTGTGCAAAGACATGCGCTATAGGTGAATTGGGAGAGATAAATTGTCTGTAGTGTATGAGTGTGAATGAGTCTGTATGGGTGTTTCCCAGTGATGGGTTGCAGCTAAAAGGGCATTCGCTGTGTAAAACGTATGCTGGATGAGATGGTGGTTCAATCGCAGATTAATAAAGGGACTAAGCCGAAAAGAAAATGAATGAAAGATTTGACAGGAATGCTAATAACTCTGACTGCATATACACTAACTGTATATGCACAAAGTAACCCTCTTATTCAAAACCCAAGTGTTCATATTCCATATACATCAGCAAATGTAAATGTAATCCACCTACATGAGGACGTGTGCAGCAGGACTGGCCAGCGATTCAGACACGTTTCCACAAAAGCTCAGGCCCACAAACTCATTGATCTCCAGCGCCTGTTCAAGATATTCATCAAAACATCTCATCAGCTGAAAGCCTGGATGCTCCTACGCAAGAACAGAAGTGGAGGCACTAACCTCGAGGCCGTATCGAGGGATGCTGAGATACTTGAGCCAGGAGAGCCAGTCCATGATGCTCTTCAGATTGACCAGCAGACCAGAGAAGATCTGGAAACACACAGGACGGACAAAAGCAACTCTCAAGTTAAAGTACGAAGGCTGCCACAACATACCTGGGCATAAGATGTGACCTTTGAAAGCCTCCGAAAGCAGATTGAGAGTTATAAAAATCCATCCAAGTTGGTTTAATCAGCAAATAATAATAATATTACAAACATAAACAATATTAGCTGAGCAGCTTACGACGTGCTTGTAAAATGTTGGAGTTGTCAATCTGGCAACCTGCATGTGCCTCATGTCGGAGGGGTTGGGTGAAAAAAAAAAAATATTTGGAATTAGACCGCAATACCTAGTTCAACCACTGGAGACTGCACTTTAATGCCGATTACACAACCGGTGTGCTGACATTATATCCTACCCATCAGCTTAAGCTACCAACACTGTATTTGAATGGTTCTGAGGTTGGGGTTAAGCCTGGTTTATACTTCTGCGTCAAGTGATCTGCGTTACCCACGGCGCATGCAACCTCCGTAGCGGTGCATTTATACTTCTGCACGAAGTCTCTGTTGGTGTGCATTAACACTTTCAAAACGCTAGTTGGCAGTGAGGTGTTAATGCTCCTCTGTGTTGACTTTCTTCGCTGGTGTTTTGTTCTTTTTTTATTATTATTTATTTATTTATTTATTTAATGAAATTATTTATTTTATTTATTTATAATTTTTTTATTTAAAAAAATATTTTTTTATTTTAATTTATTTTTTATTTTATTATTTTTATTTATATATATATTTTTTTTGGTGTTTTCTTCTTTCTGAATGCTTCCTGAACGTACAAGTGGCTCAAACTCGCTCATTTTGAGGCAGGAACTGGCGGATGTGCAACTACTTTAACCATGAGGTAAACACAAAACAAAACTTTCCATCTGGAGCTCCTTCACGGGACCCCACACTTGTCAATCGCTCTATCGGGCTCGCACAGCTATTGGTCCCTAGGGCTATGCGTCGACACGTAGGTTGCGCCGTAGCATACGCGTGCGCTTGATGCAGAAGTATAAATCAGCCTTTAGGGATTAGATAGGTCAGAGCGATGTTACAGCTTCATAACACACTACTCCCCAGAAAAACATAACACTGGCAGCAAAATCTGATGGGTAGCATATTGCGTCATCAAAATGTGCTACCTACTTTTTGAATGGGAGGTAGGACGATCAGACAAGGTAGATTTACTGGCAAAATGCAAAATGCTACACACATACAATGTACGTCTGAACACCATACATTTTGTGTCGTGACAAGATGCGAACTTGCCATCATGAAGATGAAGCTGACGGTCATGAGGATGTTGGCGACGGCCACCACTGATTGGTCAGCTGATATTGCCATGGCCATCGCCGCTGCCGTACAAGACACCAGAATCACCGTCAACATGAAGATGAAGAACGCAGATGCTGTGGGCTTCAAACCTGCAAATCAAAGATCTCAAATCACTGCGCACCCTTGTAGACATTTTTCTCTTTCGATTTATTTAATTGTTGTTTTTTGGCTGTGAGAACGCTATTGCATTAGCTTTGTGGTAATATTTGTTATTGAAATTGTAACATACTCTTTCATAAATCTGCTTTAGGCAGGGTAATAGTTCCTCTTAGGAGCTAAATGTCTCGAAACTCAATATTTCATTCCTGTGCCTTAAAAAAAGGATAAAAACAAAATCTAATATCTAATTAATTTAATTAATTAATTTAATAAATTATTTGTTAAATCAACAATTCTTTTTTGTAAATAGGCTTATTTACGACTCCCCTAGAGTTAAACGATTGAGTTTTACCATTTTTGAATCCATCCAGCCAATCTTTAGGTCTCGCAGGAGCACTTTTAGCTTAGCTTAGCATAGATCATTGAATCGGATTAGACCGTTAGCATCTCGCTCAAAAAATGAGCAAAGAGTTTTGAAAATGTTCCTATTTAAGGCTTGACTTTTCTGTAGTTACACCATGTACTAAAACCAACGGAAAAGCTATTTCCTACACTCTCTATAGACTTGTTGAGGTGTAATAATCGAGGAACTTTGCTGTACCATGGCTGCAGCAGGCGCAGTGATATCACCTAGAAAATAGCAACTTTTCACTTTGCGTCTGTCTTAGTACATGATGTAACGACAGTTGCAAAAGTCAAGCTTTTAATAGAAAAACTATTATATATATATTTTTTTGGAATGAGATGCTAACGGTCTAATCCGATTCAATGATTTATGCTAAGCTAAAAAGTGCACCCGCCAGACCTAGAGATTGGCTGAAGGGATTTAAAAAAAAAATGGTAAAATGAGTGTTTCTTTAACATTTAGACTTCAAAATAATAATAAATAATAATAATGACAAAAATTTTGAACATTTTTAAAAAAAAAATTTTTTTAACTTTGGTCTGTTTTATCTGCAAATTATTCTATTTTGCGTTTGAGGATGCTGGCAAAATAAATATATAACTGATGTAACAATGGTTACATAGAAATGCAGCCATCTGTCCAGATCTACAAATACAAACAGCATATTGTATGCATAACGATGATGTGCATACCTATCATGAAATACACCACGCAGCTGAAGAGAACACTAGGGATTGTGCGCTGGGTGATGATGTCAGACAGGATTTTAGACAGGAAGAAGACAGACACCCTGTAGTATCCACTTGTGTATTCATGACTGCAAAACAACACAAAAGCAGAATGTAATATTCATATCATATATGTATATTTGTTATCAGTTAGTATATACGTGCTTAAGAAGGTCGCTGGTTCGAGTCCCGACTGGGTCAGTTGGCATTTCTATGTGGAGTTTGCATGTTTCGTGTTGGTGTGGGTTTCCTCCGGGTGGTCCGGTTTCCCCCTCATTTCAAACACATGTGCTAGAAGGGAATTGGAGGAACTAAATTGGCCATAGTGTATGAGTGTGTGTATGAATATGAATGTGTATGGGTGTTTTCTAGTACTGGGTTTCCGCTGGAAGGGCATCCGCTGCGTAAAACATATGCTGAAATAGTTGGTGGTTCATTCCGCTGTGGCGACCCCTGATTGATTACGTGACTAAGTCGAACAGTGTGTGTGAATGAGCATGTGTATGGATGTTTCCCAGTACTGGGTTGCAGCTGGAAGGGCATCCGCTGCTTAAAACATATGCTGGAATAGTTGATGGTTCATTCTGCTGTGGCGACCCTTGATTGATTAAGTGACTAAGTCGAAAAGAAAATTAATTAATAAATGTGTGTGTGAGTATGTGTGTGTGTGTGACTGTGAGTGTATGGGTGTTTTCCAGTACTGAGTTGCAGCTGGAAGGGCATCCACTGCTTAAAACATATGCTGAAATAGTTGGTGGTTCATTCCACTGTGGGGACCCCTGATTGATTAAGTGACTAAGTCTAACAGTGTGTGTGAATGAGCATGTGCATACTATGGATGTTTCCCAGTACTGGGTTGCGGCTGGAAAGGCATCTACTGTTGAAAACATATGCTGGAATAGTTATTGGTTCATTCCGCTGTGGCGACCCTTGACTGATTAAGTGACTAAGTCGGACAGTGTGTGTGTGAATGAGCATGTGTATGGATGTTTCCCAGTAATGTGTGTGTGTGTGTGTGTGTGTGTGTGTGTGTGTGTGTGTGTGTGTGTGTGTGTGTGAGAATGTGAGTGTATGAGTGTTTTCCAGCACTGAGTTGCGGTTGGAAGGGCATCAGCTGTGTAAAACATTTGCTGGAATAGTTGGCGGTTCATTCCGCTGTGGTGACCCCTGATAAATAAGGGACTAAGCTGAAGGAAAATGAATGGATATCTCTGTAAAAAGACAAATGGATGTTGAATTGGAGTACGCACATAAACAGCTTGCGTTCTGTGATGAAGAGCTCGGCGGCTGAGAGTGTGCTGAAACACTGATTCGTCGTGATGAAGAACAAAACACCAAACCTGGAAAAAATAAACATAATAATAAATGTGACGTTTGCATGCGATTAACAAAAACAAGCACAAACATGCATCTTACTCTGCAGACAGAAGCAGGATGCAATCTACATTTAACTAACAAGTTATTTTTTATTTATATGTGTGAATTTTGTGTTGGTTTAATATCACTTTAAAGAATAATCTGAAACGATTTTAAAAGAAAAATCTTACGTTTTTTTTTTTTACTCAAATATTAATTTCACAAAATATATGCAAATTTATATTCAAGTTACAGATCTTCTTAAAGTCTTATTTTATTTTAGTATTTAGTATTTTGGCGGTTCATTCCGCTGTGGCAACCCTTGATTAATAAAGAGACTAAGCCGAAAAGAAAATGAATGAATATTTAGTATTTTTTATTTTGGCTTATACAACAGTTCTGTCTGGTTTTTGGATCTGATTGGCTGATGAGATATTAAAGTAACATCAGTACAGCCTCTTCACCCTTGTGTATTACTCCGCCCACACGAGTGGCAAGCAGAGGACTACAGTTTGACAAATATTGCAGCTGTTGGACACCATGATGTATGTTTCAGGCTTTATTTAATTAAGAATGTAGTTGTTTAAATTGCAACTATGAAGTTTATTTATAAGGACAGTGCCCATTTTAAAATATTTATATTTTTGGAGATTTAGCATGTTGGTGACCAGCCTGCCATACTGAGCAGAGCAAAGACAGTTCACGCTCCGCCACAACATGACGACAGAGATCGCATAATAAGTCCTTAGGAAAAAAAACAGAATTTGTTTCAGCGTACGCTTTAAACTATAGCTGAACTAATCAATACAGAACAGTTAAGTGACATTCTAAGTCGATCTCTCTCTTTTGTATGTTGTAGTGCTTTATTTATACCATAGTAATCTGCTAGTGTTTGCTAGCTCTGGCTTTTTCAGAGTTAATTATTGTGATCTCCAGAGAAGCACTGGGAAATCTCTGCAGACTGATGCCATTTCATGCCGGTCAGCCTTATAATTTTAAAATGTGAGCAAAAAAAACCTGTTTTGACTTCACTTTAGACATTACGCTAGAGAATCATTCAAATGCTAGCTCTAAAGCAGGAATTCTCAAACCTTTCAGCCATCGATCCATAAAATAACAACTCCAGTGACTTGCGAGCCCCACTATGCTCGGAGGTGGTTATAAGCATACAAATATTGCACACAGTGGTGCACACACATCAATAGGAACTATATAAACATAAGCACATCGGCAACACTAAAAAGTGCAGCGGTCTTACCCAGTGGTGAAAAGTAACTAATTACAAATACTCAAATGACTGTAATTGAGTAGTTTTCCTCAGGAATTGTAATTTACTAAATAGTTTTATAAATGTGTACTTTTACTCTTCCTTGAGTACATTTTTAGTGCAGTAATTGGTACTTTTACTCCACGCCTTTCCTTAAACCTGCAGTCACTACTTTATTTTTCTTGTCTATCCGCTTGTTAAGTGTGACGTCACGCGAAGCGGCTTCCGGGTCCAAGCGCTCTATTCAACTGAATGGGGAGACTCATGAAATGGTAATAATAAACGTTTACAAAGCGATTTAATGCTTTCGAAACTCACGATCGCAGTATATATAGTATGTCCATGCCTAATATCCGATGGCCAGAAAGTGATCTTTTTTTTTTTTTTTTATAAATTGTAACATTTTTGGTATTTGTTATGCAGATTGTTGTGTACACTATGATTTTATATAAAATTAACTTTAATGTGTGATAGGAATAAAACGTGATCATAAACGAATGATTTCTCCACTCAAATGAATGGCGGACCCGGAAACAGTATTACATACGTCACAAACACGTCACCACTTAACAAGCGGATTGGGATTAGAAAAATCAGTCCCGTGATTTCTGTCCAATCAAATCACACACAGAAGGTAAATCGCCACATAATGAGCTACCTCAAGACATGGGCGCTTTATAATCGCAGAAAACTGTTTGGAAGCATTAAAAGTGTCCAAGAACACGTCCAAAATCGTCACACGCACTGACCCAGAGACTGTTTAGATGCATGTCACTGATGAGAAGATGACGGATGTTTACTGTATGATGACAGAAATTACCTTAAACACCCAGAAGATGCAAGACGTCAACATGATGTTGTACCCCAGTGTCGCTGAGACGCTGCATTTTGTTTGGAAATGAAAATCATGTCGACGTCAGAACTCAAGGTCGGGCCAACGTCCAACATAAACCAACCAAATATCAACAACTAATGATACAGCTTGACGTTGTGAGGACATTAACAGTATGACGTCTATTAGACGTTGGGTTTTGGTTGCCATACCTGATGAATAAATTTCAGTATTTGACATCAATATGACGTTGGTTTAAGATGTTGGCTCGACGTTGGATTTTGGTTACTTTCCAATATAATCTAAAGTCACCTGAATATCAACATCATTTGATGTTGTTATTGGACATCAAAATAACGTTATTCTTAGACGCTGGCTAGACATTGAATTGTGGTCACCTGATATCACAACCTAAATTGAACCTAATATTAATGTCTTATGATGTTGTTTGCATGCTGGACAATAACTAATTGCACTACAGAATGTTACGTTTACACACATCCACAAATTACATGTTAACGCATTAGCTTTTTACAGCGTAATACTACTCACTACTCTTGAGTACTTTTGAAAGGGCTACTTTTTATTCCTACTTTGAGTAAAATTTACAACAGATACTTTTACTCTACATTTTTAGGCAAGTAATGGTACTTTTACTTGAGTATGATTTTTCAGTACTCTTTCCCCCACTGGTCTTACCATATATTTTTTATAATCATTATTCAGTTGTTTAAAATTAATCTCACTTAATGAGAATGGCGAGCACAATGTTTACAGCACGAGACTATTCATGGTATAAATTTGGAGACTTGGAAGCACTTGGAGATCATCCTCCTTGTTCAGTAGTGGCTTTATTTTTAATATATGTAAACATTAAGGTGTTTAATATTGTGGTAACACTTTACAATAAGGTTCATTAGTTAATGCATTTACCAACATGAACTAATCATGAACAACACTTGTACAGCATTTATTAATCATAATTGAACATTTACTAATGCATTATTAACATCCAAGTCCATGCTTGTTAACATTAGTTAATGCACCATGAGTTAACATCAACTAACAATGAACTACTGTATTTTCATTAACCAACATTAACAAATACAGTAGTAGATGTATTGTTCATTGTTTAGTCATGTTAGTAAAAGCATTGATTAACATTAACTAATGAACCTTATTGTAAAGTGTGACCGATATTGTATAGCAAAATGAATCTGCTGCAACTAACGCTATTGCTGTGATGTTAATCTAGCATGATAACACCAGGGGTCACGAATAAATAATAGTTTAATTAAATTTATGACATTTTTGAAAATGTCATACCCCCCCCCCCCCCCTTATTATCTCGCAACCTAAAGTGACATTTGTGAGTTAGCAGCAACGGTTTCTGGTGTTCTGGCGTCAGCTGCAGATGTGAATAAATGGCGGAAGAAAGTAGTCCCTCGTACAAAAGGATTTTTGAGACTTTCTGAGTTTGATTTTCATTTTAATATACACGATTATGCTGTTGAACTGTTGTATAAACGCAATATCAAACTCATAGCAGTGCGATATGGCTGTATATAGTCACGGGTGGGACACTAAGAAACTCAGCCTGTGGCCTCGAGCCAGTGCACGCCTCCCACCAGTGCTCATATACAGCCACATCGCACAGCCACTCGTGTGATATTGCTCATTTATACATTCATATATGCATGCATTTATTTAATCATGAATTTTTTTAATTCATGATGCATGACAGCAGATTAGCAGCAGTTCAAAATCAACAGTATTTAAAATTAAATAGTGATTCAATTTGTTCACCTTTAAGCAAAAATGCTACGCTTCATTATACGCAAATGTGTGAAATGTAAATCAAGCTCTGCCATTCCACTAAAAGTGATCAACTCGCCTGTTTTGTATGCCACTCTGGTCATCCTTGACCCCGTAGAAGATGGCACCAACAATGGCCGCCATCAGAGTCGTGACTGCCAACTGCAAAAAACACAGAATGATCATGACTTAAACAGAACGCTTAATAACTCACCTAAACCATTTCAATATAAATTTCACAGGAACAAGCTTTCCTGAAAGAAAAGAGAAACTCTTGAATGAAACTGTTGAAATAACAACACAAAAGAAGCAGAGGGAATGACTAGCAGCAATAAATCTACAGTGCTCAGCATAATATTTTTCTCCATTTCTCAGTGAATACAGGTGATGTATTTTGGTACATTTAAACAAAACAGATTTATTAAACAGATATATTTATTAAAATAATATTTTAGTCACCAAACATATAGGAAATTGAAAGATAATACAATTAAATTCAAGCTAAATATTGCAAAACAAATTACAACCTACAAAATTTCAACTACATTTTCTTTTTTTTCTTTTTTCCTTTTTTTTTGCTTCTCATGATTTTTCCTCATTTTTAAATTTGTACTTAATATATATATTTTTTTATAACATACACATTTTGCTTTACTAGTTTTTGGACCGTTATCGTAAGTTATTTTGTTAGATAAACTTCAGATTTGGCTTCAGTACTGACTAATCTAATGTATATGCACAAATATAATATTGCTTCCTATTAAAAATATGAATTCAAAAGAGAGATTAGTGAGGGGTGTACGTACGCATATATGCTGAGCACTGTATGTCTGCCCCAATTTCAATCATAGCTCTCATTTTTTGAAAAATAAAAGGCTCTAAATGTAACTATAGGAGTATCTTTTTTGTTTTATACTGTAAACTAATCATGACATTTTATCAGACGAGCTTCTTTTTATGCATAAACATTTTCAAATAACATTTTACCCATGCTTATATTCATTTTCACACAATACACTATTAGCCATTCAATATTTAGTTTGGTTTCTCTAACTAAAATACAATTTTATAACAAGATAATAAATGACCATGTTTTAATTTGTTTTCCCACATTTTCAGTATATAATAAATGCTAAGATTTTACTGAAAGAAATAACTAATAAAGTCAGAGAAACATCAAGAAAATTCAACAATAAAATCTTAACTCCAACGCATTTAAAAAACAATAATAATAACAAACATAATAAACATACCAGAGATTTTAGACATGCTTATATTCCTTGTCAATATTAAAAAATCAAAGATGGTTAAATAACCCAGATTTTTGATTATTTCTTTTTCTTTTCATATTTAAAATAAATTAATCATGTTTTGTAAAAAAAAAAAAAAAAATATATATATATATATATATATATATATATATATATATATATATATATATATATATATATATATATATATTAGCTTTAAATTTAACTTTTAAAAATAATTTATAATTTCATATTTTAAATATTATTTAAAGACTCTTAACATACAGAAAAAGTTATTTTTAAAAGCCTTAATGAACATGGCTATTAAAATATATATTTTCATATTTAAAATATTTTTTAATAATATTATATTTCAAATTTCTTCATTATTTAAAAACAATCTTAACATACTCAAAAAGTAAGTAAAAATAATAAAAAGCCTTTATTAACATGGCTATTATTTAAAAAAATCTTTTCATATTTAAATTTTTTTTTCATATTTTATGAAAATTTTATTAATTTAATTTTTCAAAAGTTCAATTTAATTAGAAAAATAAATTAAAAATAAATGTTACATAATTTCATTATTTTTTTTTCATTATTTAAAAAACTCTTAACATACTCAAATAGTAAGTGAAAAAAATTAAAGCCTTTATTAACGTGCTGATTATTTAAAAGGTACCTATTTTACCCCTTTTATAAGATGTAAGATGAGCCTTTGGTGTCTCCAGAATGTGTCTGTAAAGTTTCAGCTCAAAATACCCATCGGATTATTTTTCATAGCCTCCAAAATCTGCCCATTTTGCTGTGAGTAGATTATAGCTGTTTGTAGCCTGTGGCTTTAAATGCAAATGAGCTACTTCTCCCCGCCAACAGTTAACCGCCCACGCTATGTCAGATAAACAGCAGTCAGTGACAGAGAAAGGCTCGGATGAAGCTGAAAAACAGCTCATTAGACAAAAGTACCAAGTAGGTTTATTTCATGTATTTGCAGTGGAGTTTATTCAAGCCTTTCTGATATGATGAGTCATGATGAGTCTTTATTACAAACATACACGGTGTCATGAAGTTTTAAACTTATAAAAACTTCAGAGAGTTGTAACAAATATTTTAATAGCCGTTTATTAGCAAAAAAAAATGGTCTGTGGACGTGTGTATACATGTTAATATAGAAACATGGTGCATGTCAATCAATTTGGTGGGCAGGAAAAACCACACTCTTACGTTAGTTTGCAGTGGGCCTCAAAATCACTAGGATTTGGGTCCTATTTTAACGTCAGTAAAAAAGAGAAAGACTTATTATCTTTGTATCAGTCCAATGTGACTGTAGACACACTATCCCTACACACAGTTCTGTCCAAACAGCTTACAAAAGATGATTTTTTTTTTATAGGGGCCCTTTAAAAAACAAAAGATGTTTTAAATTCTGCCATGTTAAATTTTTTGCTTCTTATTTTCCGAGTGCCTTGGACTTATGATTTTGTTTTTGATCTTCATGAATTATCCAAAGAGCACCAACACATTAATTACTCCTGGAGCACTTTTTATTTTGATTTTATATCTAGTAAATTCTTTATTTTTTATAGGTGTCTATTTATAAGCATTGAAAAATCTCAACAAAACAAAACACAGTGCTATAAAAAAAATACTGCCAGCATTTTAATTGAACACACTTTCAACTATTTACTCGACCACCCACCATATGTCAACATGCTGAACACCACATATTGTGATAATTTACTAACAAAACTATAATTGTAAATGTAACCCTGCCATAATTCACTGAAATATAACGCTGCATATTCAGAAGAAGTGACAGCGAGCAACTTTGAAGGTAATCTCCAGTCGTGTGAAGGTCGTTCCCAGGCTAAAAGGCTAAGCAAATACAGCGGAAAGCAGGCCTCGGTCTCCATGTGCTCGGCTTAACTCCGGTCAGCTGACGCTCTGCTGGACACCGCTTCTCTTATGCTTATAAAACTTTGGTTCAAGATGCACAGCCAGAAATGATATCACTTCAGATCTCTGAGGAGGCCGCAAAAATCGGCTTAGCCTTGACCTCCAGAAATGAGCTGAAAGCCCCTTAGAGCAATCAGCTGTAATTAATATTTAAATCAAGGGCTCCTCTGATGGCATTTGCAGCTTAGTGAGCATCTAAAGTCTCTTTTCGAGGGGAGAAATCCGGAGTGGGGTGGAAAACGAACACAGTTGGGGCAACAAATCTTTGTTTGGTGTAATCCATTCTTAAAGACTGAGCCAAGAGGCCCGATCTCATGAAAACATGCCCAGGTTATGAAGGAAAAAAGATCCTTAACATTTGATTTAATTAATGATTTCTCAAGCAAAGAAATATTTCATTTTAGTTTTTGTAATTATTTTAATAACGTACTTATTCATAGTACTTTATAGTAATAAAGTAATGATAAATGTTACCTGAATGCCTGATTATAAATGTACTACAAAAAGTAGAACAAAAAATAGTACCAATTAAGTAGTATATATATATACACACCATTTAAATAGTATTTAATAAGTAAATTAGAATAAATCAATTAAATAGTTTCCAGCATTTCTTTTAATTCATTTTAGAATAACAAATTTGGGAATTTACAAGAATATCCTGGACGAAAACCTTCTCCAGAGTTCTCAGGACCTCAGACTGTGCTGAAGATTTACTTTCCAACAGGTAAAATAAAAAAAAAGGAGTGGCTTCATAACACCTCCGTGACTATTCTTCAATGGCCTAGCCAGAGCCCTGACTTAAACCCAATTAAGCAACTCCGGAGACCTAAAAATGGCTGTCCATAACATTTTTTACCATCTAACCTGAAAGAACTGGAGAGGATCTGCAAGGAGGAATGCCAGAGGACCCCCAAATCCAGGTGTGAAAACTGGTATCATTCCCAAAAAGACTCATGACTGTATTAGATACTGAGCAAATGGGACCTGGTGATGTTTCAGTTTTTTTTTTTTTATAAATCTGCAGAAATGTCAACAATTCTGTGACTGTGGGGTGCTGTGTGTACATTAATGAGGATTAAATGAACTTAAGTGACTTTAGCAAATGGCTGCTGTATAACAAATTGACAATGTATAATAATGTATAAAGCACATTGCTAAAATAATGAGGGAGTGACTTTACAACAACTTCGTGACTGTTCTTGAATTGCCCAGCCAGAGCCCTGACTTAAGCCCAATTGAGCATCTCTGGATTATTCATTATTTAAATCTAAATAATACAAATATTTATTTATATAATAATCTATATAATATTAATAATAATACATTGTATACAGAAGGATGCACAGCACAAATCAATTAAAATTATATTATTTGCAATGATAATAATGCAAACTCTAATTGTTCAATTCTAAATTTTATTATTATCAATTATATTAATACAAATTAATATATTATTATCAATTAAATTAAATATAATTATTTAAAATGTTTTTTATTTGTTTTTATATTTATATTAAACACTTTTATTTATTGAAATATATTATCAATTATATTAATACAAATTATTAATATATTATTAGAAATTAAATACAAATATAATCATTTAAAATGTTTTCATAATTATATTACACCTTTATGTATTAAAATATATTATTATCTATTATAATAATACAAATTATTAATATATTATTATAAATTAAATTAAAATATAATCATTTACGTTTTTTTATAATTGTATTACACCTTTATTTATTAAAATATATTGTTATCAATTATGTTAATACAAGTATTAATATATTATAATAAATTAAATACAAATATAATCATTTAAAATGTTTTTATAATTATATTACACCTTTATTTATTAAATATATTATTATTAATTATATTATTACAAATTATTAATGCATTATTATAAATCAAATATAAATATAATCAATTAAAATGTTTTATATAATTATATTACACCTTTATTTGTTAAAGTATATTATTATCAATTATATTAATACAAATGATTAATTCCTTAGAAGAAATTAGATACAAATATAATGATTTACACTTTTTTATAATTATATTACACCTTTATTAAAATATTTTTATATTGTTTTATACTCATTTCAATGGATAATTCTAATTACAAAGTGTTCTATAAAATCAAAAGATGAATTGAACTATAAAAGAACATATCTATATAATTCTAATATTAAATAATAAACCAAAAAATATAGCATGTCAAGGTTTATTTTGCGAGATAAATAGAACTTGAATAAAAGTGTAAACAGGCACATATATTCATTCATTTTCAATTAGCTTAGTCCCTGATTTATCAGGGGTCGCCACAGCGGAATGAACTACCAACTATTCTGGCATATTTTTTTATGCAGCGATGCCCTTCTAGCCACAACCCAGTGCTGGGAAACACCCATACACTCTCACATTCACACACTCATATACACTAACGGTCTATTTAGTTCATCCAATTCACCAAGAAAGCATGTGTTTAAACTCTGGGGGAAACCGGAGCACCTGGAGGAAACCCACGCTAACCACTGAGCCACCCAGACAGATATATGAATCTTTAAATAAATTTGTAAACATTGCAGTGTTACCTGAGCTACTGAAGTCTGTGGGTTGAGCATGAGATTCCAGAAGGTTCTCCATAAGACCCAGCGGAGCTGCTGGCAGAAGGAGCTGCTGTAGGTGATGCTGTGGCATTCGGCTGCGACGCTGCTGCTGCTGCTGTCTTTGGTCTGGATGATGTGATCCAGCTCTGCTCTGACAGCACGAGCGAAGCTACAGCTTCTGTATTTCTCCATCAGCTGATCTTCCACAGACTGACGACTGACAGCAGACACGTCACACTCCGCATCTGACCAACAGCAAACACCATTCACACTTAACACTGACAACATTAGATTGAGGGCTGAACAATATTGGTAAAATCTGACATTGCTATATTTTGTTTGTCTGTTGTATACAGTTGAAGACAAAATATTAGCCTATTTCTTATTTAAATATTTCCCAAATGTTCAACAGATTTTGTTTTCATATATTAAGTTTTAGTTACGATACTCCCAAAATCATTCCGCATAAATCCGCAGATTGTTAATTTTGAGCGTTATTGAGTGTGTTCTGAAACAACGCTGATTAGTCACTGTGTTCACATCCTCAACCGATATACTGTGATTGGTTGTGAAGGTCATCGGGTTACTACTGAAGACCAATTGGAAACACAGACACAAGGACAGTGGAGCGTTTCAAAGCTGTGTCCATAAGCTGATCTGTCTATGAGCTGACATATGATCCACAGAGGGTGGCACGGTGGTTAGCACTGTGGCCTCACAGCCAGTGGGTCACTGGTTTGAGGCATTTCACTGGCATATCTGTGTGGAGTTTGCATCTTCTCTGGACAGAAATTTAAAATATGGACCAAACGCTCGCAATTTATGTTTAATCATCTTATTTAATCCCGCCTCATTTCGTAGCTCCGTACGACAGTATTTTGTATGCTCAAACGCTAGTGTGACAACGGCATAACACTGATCAGTGTGATTTATGACAAACGGCCTGCACATCCTTTCCTGGTTCAGTGCGAGTATCACAGAAAAGCAGATTTGAATTTAGCGGCTGATTACGCGACGAGCTGAACACTCTAATCACACCGGTGTGATCATACACTCCTGGGACCAGGGGTGTGAATGTATGTGTCAAATGTAAAAGTTAATGCAAAATATCTTATGTGGAGTCTGTGCTCCAGACCAGTAATGGTACAGTGAGTCTTTTGTAAACCATTTTCTACATCTCTGGCCTTTGATGTGCTCCATTTACACACTTTTTACCATAATAATCGCAGTGCTCGTATGCAAGTTTGGAACAGAATTTAGCAGAATGTAAATAAAACCGGTCATATTGTGATTTTTAACCGTTTTAACCTTGTGTGGATATAGAAATGGGAATAAGTACCTCCGTTATTCTGAATCTTCGTCACTGAGCTGCCATTGATGACGTCCAAGAAGAAATCCGCCGGGTTATTATGAGCCTCACAAGCATATCCTGCGATATCGGGAGGAAAAATTAACACGGATGCATTGAAAGACATTAGCATTTTTTTATCTGGTTATTTTTTTTCACCTTTAATTGGGATCATAGAAAAGTGGAGGATACAGAAAGTATAGTAGCAGAGAGAGAGGAAGGGTTGGCAAGGGACCTCAAGCTAGTTAATAAACCCGGGTTACTGTGCTATATGTTGGCACACTTAACCACTAGGCCAGGGGTAACCAAACTTGTTCCTGGAGGGCCGGCGTCTTGCAGATTTTAGCTCCAACCCTAATCAAACACACCTAAACACGCTAAACAATGTCTTGTATACTTGAAACACCCAGGCAGGTGTGTTAAGGCAAGTTGAAGCTAAACCCTTCAGGGCACCGGACCTCCAGGAACAAGATTGGTAACCCCTGCACTAGGCTATTGGCACTGACAAGACATTAGCATTTAATTAAAGACTATATCTAGTTCGGCGGCTTCAGAGAGAAAGATTTTAAGCATGTGGTGTTTTAACCATGAGGTAAATAATGTCACCGATGTTGCTGAAGTAGTCGAGGGCGTCTTGAGCAGGTCCGTGATAGACTTGTTTGCCGTTGGCCAGCAGGGTGAGGCTGTCGAAGAGCCGGTAGATGGAGAAGCGTGGCTGGTGAATAGACATGATGATGGTGCGACCCTGACCCGCCATTCTGGAAAACACACACACACACACTAATAAAACCATGCTGCCATGACGCTAACATGTCACTTGCTAGCATCATGTGTACATATGGTAAAAGCAGATGCTAACATTAGTAGCATGATGCTAACATTTACCATGCCGAAATAATAGCGCTTGTTTGTTTTAACACGGGGGGGCGGCATAGTGGCTCAATGGTTAGCACTGTCGCCTCACAGCAAGAAGGTCGCTGTTTTGAGTCCTGGCTGGGACAGTTGGCATTTCTGTGTGGAGTTTGCATGCCCTCCCTTTGTTGGCGTTTTTTATACTCCAGGCACTCCGGTTTTCCCCACAGTCAAAATACATGTGCTACAGGTGAATTAGGTACACAAAATTGGCCATAGTGTATTAGTGGGTGTTTCCCATTACTGGGTTGCAGCTGGATGGGCATCTGCTGCGTAAAACATATGCTGAAATAGTTGGCGGTTCATCCCGCTGTCACACCCCCTGATATTTAAGGAACTAAGCTGAATGAATGCATGTATTTCCAGTGAGCGCATGTGTTGTATATGCAGACCTCTTGAGCAGCAGCAGCACAGAATGAGCTGTACTAGCGTCCAAACCGGTGGTGGGTTCATCCAAAAAGAGCACAGAGGGGTCAATGATCAGCTCCATCCCGATGCTGGTCCTCTTCCTCTCTCCACCCGAGATCCCCCTGATTATTTGAGTGCCCACCTGCAGACATACAAGTCAAAGACACTGAATGAACGAATCATTTCCCTGAATGACTCATCAGGGGCTTGCTGCCATCTATTGGCTATTGCGTTATTTATCCAGAAATCCAGTTTGAGATCTATGAAATAAAATGTTCACCTTGGAATCTGCGACTTTGTTGAGGCCCAGCTCGGAGATGAGATGGTTGACTCTTGCCTCCTTTTCTCTGGGACTGACATGAGAAGACAAACGCAGAGCAGCTGAGAAACTCAGGTTCTCTCTCACCGTTAGAGTGCCCATTACAATGTCATCCTGAACACACACACATACATACACAAATTGGATAAAACAATCAGTAAGTTAACCTATGGCCATTGACTCCCACAGTATTTATATTTCCTTAAAAAAAAGTCAGTGGCTACCAGTTTCAAACATTCTTTAAAATATCTTCTTTTGAAGACAATTTGAAGAATGTTGGAAACCAGTAGCCACTGACTCCCACAGGATTTATTTTCCCTGTATAAAGTCAATGGCTACCAGTTTCCAACATTCTTCAAAGTATCTTCTTTTAAATACATTTTGAAGAATGTTGGAAACCAGTAGCCATTGACTCCCACAGTATTTTATTTTCCTCCAAAACGCCAATGGCGACCAGTTTTAAACATTCTTCAAAGTATCTTCTTTTAAATACATTTTGAAGAATGTTGGAAACCAGTAGCCACTGACTCCCACAGTATTTGATTTTTTCCAAAAAGTGAATGGCTACCAGTTTCCAACATTCTTCAAAATATCTTCTTTCGAATACATTTTGAAGAATGTTGGAAACCAGAAGTCATTGACTCCCACAGTATTTCTTTCCTCAAAAACATCAATGGCCACCAGTTTTAAACATTCTTCAAAGTATCTTCTTTTAAATAAATTTTGAAGAATGTTGGAAACCAGTAGCCATTGACTCCCACAGTATTTGATTTTCCTCCAAAATGTCAATAACCACCAGTTTAAAACTTTCTTCAAAGTATCTTCCTTTGAAGACATTTTGAAGAATGTTGGAAACCAGTGGCCATTGACTCCCACAGTATTTCTCTTTCCTCAAAAAAAGTCAATATCAACCAGTTTCAAACATTCTTCAAAATATCTTCTGAGTAAATCTTGAAGAATGTTAGAAACCAGTAGACATTGACTCCCACAGTATTTGTTTTGCCTCAAAAAAGTCAATGGCATTTTGTCTTTCTTTGAAGACAATTTGAAGAATGTTGGACACCAGTAGCCGTTGACTCCCACAGTATTTGAATTCCTCCATAGAATTATTGTCTATCAGTTTCAAACATTCTTTAAAGTATCTACTTTTTAATACATTTTAAAGACTGTTGTAAACCAGTAGCCATTGACACCCACAGTATTTGTTTTCCTCCATAAAATTAATAGCTACCAGTTTCAAACATTCTTCAAAATATCTTCTTTTATGTTCAACAGAAGAAAGAAACCTGGAGACACATGATGGTGAACTATCCCTTTAACCCTATTCTACTGCAGTGTCTTGCATTAGGCATCAGAAAGATTTCGCACCTGGACAACGTAGCCAGAAAGACATTTGAAATTGGCCGGCTGTAGGGCTCCGTTGACGAGAACTTCACCAGAAAGACCAGCGGGATCCTTCCTGCCAGCAAGGACGTCCAAAAACCTGAGAGAGAGAAAAACAAAAGCACATTACAGGAGGAAGCTGTCAGGAAAGATACTCTAAAAGCTTGTCAAACACCAAAACAATAATCTCCTCCTCAATCTGGAGTCGTCGAATATGTACTCACGAAGATTTGCCACTTCCCGTAGGACCCAAAATAGCATTTAAACCAGGTCTCATGATCCCACTGAAAAAGAGAGATAGAAATGAGATTATGTTCATGTCACTTGCTATGGAATTTGCCAGGCCTGAAAGAAAAAAATAAAACATGTTTACGATCAACACTGATATTAGAGTTTCAAGAGAGTCAATCAGGATAAAATCAGACTCCTGGTGAATCGTCTTAATGGTTATATATAGTTAAAACCAGGTTAAAACTGCTTCAGATTGCCATTGTATTTGGTCATGATCACACTTGACTGGATTTAACCCTGGTGGGTTTGCAAGCCAAGAGATTAGAGTCACAAACCCATTCATAATATCATATAATTGACACTAACTCTGTAGAGGGAATGTCCAAAGGAACTATGCACTTGGTTGTGGGAAACGTCAAGCTCTTTTAAAGACTTTACAAGAAGCACAGTTCTGTTGTTCTGGTGAACACATGAAATGCAGAACATGTCAAATTAAAGGTTTCATACAGACTGCCGCATCAGAATCTACAGATTCAATAGAGAATAGCTAAAGGGCCCCTATTATGGTCACATTAGAGTTTGTGCATGCAAAATACTGTCAAACGGAGCTGCGAAAAGGGGCGAGATTAAACAAGATGATTAGACATTTAAAAAAAGCGACCGATTGGTCCATGAAATATTACTTCTAACTTTCAAGGCACTTCATAATCTCGCTCCTCAATATCTCACTGAACTTCTCCATATTTACACCCCTTCTTGTACCCTTAGGTCAGCCAACAACTTCACCCTGGCACCACCTCGCACTCGACTGAGCAAAATGGGAGACAGATCTTTTAGCTCTATGGCTCCTAGGCTATGGAACTCACTTCCAGTAGATCTTAGGAGCAGTGACAGTCTTCACAATTTTAAATCACGTCTAAAGACCCATCTTTTTAAGCAGGCTTTTACTTAACAATTTTTTTATCATGTTTTTATTATGTTCTTTTATATTCGCTATTGCGTTTTAACTTGTCTGGTCAATGAGTGTTTTTAGTTTTATGTTTAAGTTGTTTAGCATGTCTGCTGATGCTTACTGTAAGGCGACCTTGGGTGTCCAGAAAGGCGCCATTTATAAATAAAATGAATTATTATTATTATTAAGATTTACATTTCTGTCCAGAGAGGTCATGATTTGATCTTCATGATTTGATTGTCTCACGCAATTATGTGATGCGATTTCGCTGGTCAGAGTTCACCAACATTTGTCACGTACATTCACACCCCTGGTCCCAGGAGCGTATGATCACACCGGTGTGATTAGAGTGTTCAGCTCGTCACGTAATCAGCCGCTAAATTCAAATCTGCTTTTCTGTGATACACTGAACTAGGAAAGGATGTGCAGGCCGTTTGTCATAAATCACACTAATCGGTGTTATGCCGTTGTCACACTATGCAAAATACTGTCATACGGAGCTTTGAAATGAGGCGAGATTAAAGTAGATGATTAAACATAAATTGCAAGCGTTTGGTCCATATTTTAAATTTCTGTCCAGAGAGGTCATGTTTTGGTCTTTGATTGGTCTCACGCAATCACTTGATGCGATTTCGCTGGTCAGAGTTCACCAAGCTTGAACTTTCCAAAGCGGCGAACTGCGAAACTTGTCGCACGAGCTTGCGTTTCAGGTCTGTCGCATTCGCATGCGTATGAATGGAAATCTATGGGGGTAAAGTCTGTGACCCTGCGACCCGGATAAGCGGTAGAAAATGAATGAATGAATTATTATTATTAACATAAATATATATTACTATTAATATATATTTAATATATTCGCATGGTTGTCCAAATTTGTATCCTGTGACTTGTTTTATAACAGACGTGTGCCCATACAGGAGGATCTAGCGAGACTCAATGATGTTTCTGCCATAGAATGTAAAATAAACCTTCACAGTTAACCACTTAAACTCTGCTGCTATTTGGGGATTTCCGCCTGGATTTTGCCTACCCAAATTTAAAAGCTTCCCAAATCCACATACAGAGGTGTAAAAGCAAAAATTTGGTATAATTTTAAAGAAAACCCTTTGAAATTTCATAAAACACTATTGAAAGTGTTTAAAATAGCTGTATATGTCGTCTGTGTTATAATTAACACCTAAAAAAAGAGGCGCTTTTTGTATTTCTTTTTTTATAAACACAAATTTGAAAGTGTATCTTTTAGGTTCTGTGTGGTCTAGCGTGCTGTAATTATTTTGGTGGTTCCTGCACATGTCTGTAATGATAGGAAAAAAGAAAAAGGTCTATACCATAATCTATGCAAAAGTTATTGTATTCCAACTGATGAGAGGTGCTGTACAAGCCACAGGGGTCGATCATTGTTTTCATATTTCACTCTTCTTTTGTTTGATCATACATAATTCACTGTGTTTGGAGCACGTCAGACATATAAAAGGATTACTTATGCACATCACCTCAAAAACAGAGGAGAATGCCCCTGAAGGGCACAGCATAAGGTAAGAGATGACAGCTGTCTGTGCTATCTGGGGCTGCTTATTGATCATGAATGTTTTGTTTACATTTCTGCGCCATGGAAACACGGCGATTCATTCAACAACTGTTTTGCATATGAATATATTTCAGTAAAAAGAATGCTAGAACTGTATGAGCACCGGCAAGAGCTTTCATTTGACCTATAACTTGTACATGTGTCATATAAAAAAATATGAAAATGAACCAATGTAAAATACCTAGCTCGGTGTCTAAAATACTGTGTATTTAAGTGTAAATAACTTTTATACAGTAGAATAAAAACCAAAGTGATGCATATGTGCATAAAATAGAGATTCTACACTTTCAAACGACACCACTTACGGGGGTATGGTGCATCGCTAGCCCTTTAAATCTGAAGCGAAAGTCGATGACGTCACAGACCCGGTACCGGGTCCGCAGAGTTTAAGTGGTACATAAATTAGGGGGAAAAATAAACAGGGCGGCTAATAATTCTGACGTCAACTGTATATACATATTTGTTAATAAATAAAGGTTTAATGAGCATTTCATACAAACATTTTAGAGAAAATGTCAGACAGGTGAGCCTTCAAAAATTGATCGGAAAAAAAGTGGGCCCCAAAATGAAAAGGTTGAGAAGGTTGAGAACCCCTGCTTTAATGCACGCCTGCATTGGGCTCACACATACAGTTGAAGTCAGAATTATTAGCCCCCCTCCATCATTAGCCCCCCTGTTTATTTTTGTCCCCTATTTCTGTTTTACGGAGAGCACATTTTTTCTCAACACATTTATAAATATAATAGTTTTAAAAACTCATTTCTAATAACTGATTTATTTTATCTTTGACTGTCTTGATGACAGTAAATAATATTTGACTAGATATTTTTCAAGACACTTGTACACAGCTTTAAGTGACATTTAAAGACTTAACTAGGTTAATTGGGTTAACTAGACAGGTTAGAGTTAGGGTTAAATATAGCTTAAAGGAGCTAATCATTTTGACCTTAAATGATTTTAAAACATTAAAAACGGCTTTTATTCTAGTCGAAATAAAACAAATAAGACTTTCTCCAGAAGAAAAAATATTATCAGAAGATTTCCTTGCTCTGTTAAACATCATTTGGGAAATATATCACAGTCGACCAATTGCAACAGACTGCAGCGCAGATCTGCATTGTGCTAAAGAGGGGTTTGGGAACAAATGAATCATTGAACGAATCATATTGGAGCCGTTTAAATCCATTTTAAATCCCTCCACTAACTAGACTCACTTGAGGTCCAGCAGGATCTCCTTCTGGACTGTTGTTCTCCTGCAAACGGGTCCGGTTTTCTGCTCCACTCTATAGCGGATGCTGTGGAAACTGACCGTGGCTCCGTGCTGCTTCTTCATGGGCTCCATGATGATGATCTTTGACCCGTTCTGCCCATTCCTGCCAGTCTCCTCAGAGATTTGATCATGCTCAAAGACAGCATTGTCAGGCATCTTCTGTCAGCTTTTTCCTCCCTAGAAAATACTAAATATGAGTAATAGAAGTGTGCATGATTTGAATCAGAACTATTTACAAATGAGCGCAGGTTTAATTTTTATGTATTGCGTCACGCTGATAAACTAGCAAATCCATTTGGGCCACTATGTGGACTCATAAGTGTGCTGGTCTGAAAAGGAGGTGTGCTAAAGCGTATTGCTTGCATATTGTTAATTTGAGGCAACTGAAATAGACAGGGCGACGTAGTGGCGCAGTAGGTAGTGCTGTCGCTTCACAGCAAGAAGGTCGCTGGATCGAGCCTCGGCTCAGTTGGCGTTTCTGTGTGGAGTTTGCATGTTCTCCCTGCGTCCAAAGACATGCGGTACAGGTGAATTAAGTAGGCTAAATTGTCTGTAGTGTATGAGTGTGTGTGTTAATGAGTGTGTGTGGATGTTTCCCAGAGATGGCTTGCGGCTGGAAGGGCATCCGCTGCGTAAAAACGTGCTGGATAAGTTGGCGGTTCATTCCGCTGTGGCGACCCCGGATTAATAAAGGGACTAAGCCGACAAGAAAATGAATGAATGAACTAGACAGCACCATTGACCATCTTAAAGCTGAAAGTCAATGGCAGTTTTTGTCATTTAAAGAGCACTTTAGTCAGTTAGTTATGCACCTATTCGCAGGTACAAACACACACACATTGCTTTCATCTTTACATATAAAAACAATTAAAATATTATAATGTTAAAAAATATAATATTTTCTAGGCTATGTAAATATAACAACCACTACCTCCATGCCTTCTTCAACTTAGGGGGCTTTGTAATCCTGCTAGTCATTTGCATCATGTTAACATTAGTATTTCTTATTATATGCATATTTATATTTGTTTCAATATAAACAAGTTTAGATTTGTCCACCTGTCGGGTTTTGGAGACGTATGCATCACTATATGGGGCATAGGAATAGGATGCGTGTTTGGAAATAACTCAGTTTTTTGACCACACTTCATTATTATTGTTCATTTATTCATTTGCTGAACTTAGAACTGAATTTAGAAAATAAAAATTGATCCCACTGAAAAGGCAGTTTAAGATTTTTATAGAGTATAATTTGATGCAGACTACAAAATGGGGAGTCTAGATATTGACCCACGTGTACATTAACAATACTTAAGCCCTTTAACAGGCATCATAACCACCTGGTTGACTTTTTATGCAGAGGTTATCATTATTATTTGATAATAATTAGTTGTGGCAGCTTATTGCACTGAAAAAAAATGCTCACCTTAGATTTTTCATCTTGTTTCTAGTCCAAAAATCTAAAAATTCTTATATCATGAAGCACTTTCTAGGTAAGCTACACATAATGTCTTGTTTTGAGAAATAATATACCAAAATGAAGCCTGTTTTTCTTTAAAACAAGCAAAATAATCTGCCAACGGGCTAAGCAAAATAATCTTATTTTCCTTCTGACATGACATTAATTTTGACTCATTATTTCTTAAAACCAGACAATATGTTTTGCTTGTCTAGAAAACGTTTCTTGATTTAAGAATTTTTAGATATTTGGACCAGAAATACATAAAAGAAAAGCTTTTTTTTTTTTTTTTGCAAAAATAGAAGATAGAAAATATTTTCAAGGAGTGCACCTTAAAGGGTTAAAACCAAATAATGTCATGTCAAATAATTATTTTAAGAAATAACTAGATTACAAATAAAATATAAAGATTAAGCAGAAGAATTCAACATTGCACAGAAAAGAATTCAAACAATATTAGTAAAAGATGCTTACCGGACACACGCTGCTGCAAAGACCGATGGACGTCTCCAAAAGTTGAAGGTCTTCTCAGGAGGATCAGGTGGAGGAAAAAAAGTGAATCTGACTGTGCGGCGAAGCAGAGATCTTATATAGACGGAGCAGAGGGAGGGATTCTGGGCACACAAATCACTGCTTAAAGCTCCACTCAACATTTCCTGCATTACATTAACCGAGACACAATAAAAAAAACAGGTTAAATCTAACACAAAATTCCTGGACATTCTGTCAACACTCGAGTTTACAGGCTAAGATATGCAAACGTATGCTTTCAAATGACATTTATCACCACAATTGATGACATACTGTTTGTAAAGCACAGTAAAATATATATAGTATACACTTACTGGCCACTTTATTAGGTACACCTTTCCAACTGCTCTGGATTTAAGTGACTTTAAATGTGGCAGGGTTGTTGGTGTCAGACGGCTGGTGTGAGTATTTCAGAAACTGCTGATCTACTGGGATTTTCAAGGTTGTAGCTGATAGAAAGGCAACAGTAACTCAAATAACCACTCACTCGTTACAACCGAGGTCTGCAGAAGAGCATCTTTGAACTCACAACACGTCCAACCTTGAGGCAGATGGGCTACAGCAGCGGAAGACCACATCGGGTGCCACTCCTATCAACTAAGAACAGGAAACTGAAGCTACAATTTGCACAGGCTCACCAAAATTGGACAATAGAAGATTGTAAAAACATGCCTGGTCTGATGAGTCTCGATTTCAGAATTTGCGAACAACAAAAAGAAAGCATGGATGCCTCTTGTATCAACAGTTCAGACTGGTGGTGGTGGTGTAATGGTGTGGGGGACGTTTTCTTGGTACACTTTGGGATCATTAGTACTAATTGAGCATCGTGTCAATACCACAGCCCACCCAAGTATTGTTGCATGACCATGTCTTCTGATGGCTACTTCCAGCAGAAAAACAAGCCTCATGTCATAAAGCGCAAATCATCTCAGACTGGTTTCTTGAACATGACAATGAGTTCACTGTACTCAAATGCCCTCGACAGTCACCATATCTAAATCCGATAAAGCACTTTTGGGATGAGGTGGAAGAGGAGATTCACATCATGGATGTGCAGCCGACAAATCTGCAGCAACTGCGTGATGCTATCATGTCAATATGGAGCAAAATCTGTAAGGAATATTTCCAGTACCTTGCTGAATCTATGCCACAAAGGATTGAGGCAGCTCTGAAAGCAAAAGGGGTGTACCTAATAAAGTGGACAACACAAAAAGTAAAAAAAAACAAACAAACGAGAATTAACCATTAGAGATGTTTCTGGTGGAACTTTATTCACAGCTGCATTGCATTTAACAATAAACCGCATATCAACAAAGCAAAAGTTAGGTCCATATATAGAGGAAACACTTGTTTGACAGATTGCTCTAGAGATCCATGCAATTGTGTTAACACTGAAATATAATACAGACAGAAATATAATAAGAGTACAGTTTAAAAAAAAAAAGAAAAAAAAGATCCCCGCCATCATACCACATTTGGACCTAAAAGATAGTTCACCCAAAAATAAAGATTTCCCCTCCATTTATTCACATTAAAGTTCTATAAATTTCTCTTTTGTGTTGAGTAAAATCTAGTGGAAAAAGCATCACTCAAAAAATTGTTTTATGTTTAATCCACTTATACTTGTAAGTAAATCTTAATCGATTTGTGTTGGGACGACAGGAATTGTGCAGAACCCAGCGGGTTTTTTTTTTTTTTTTTTTTTTTTACAGTGCAGAAACACAAATACTATGGCCATCAAATTTCCAACATTCTTTAAAACATCTTCATTCGTGTTTTACAGAAGAAATCCTACAAGTTTGGAAGATTAGTAAATGACAGGATTGTAATATTTTGGGTGAACTATCCCTTTCAAGATGAAGACAATAAAAGGAAAATAAATTCCAGTTAAAAGTTTAAAAACAGTAAATAATTGGAAAGAGGAAATATTGACTCCTTATTGTGAACTTTTCATTTTTTTGTTCTTATCATAAAGTTGCTCATTTATTATTATTATCTTTTTTCTAAAGAATTTCTTTAAAAAAATGTTTTAACTTATTATTATTCATTTATTTATTTTTTTGTTTCAGAGGCTGGTTGTTTATAATTCATATTTTTAATTTATTTTATTTTTAGGGGATAGTGGGAAAATAAGAACAATAAGACAATCTGTAATTTTTCCTATGTTGTATTGTATACTTTGATGTGTTGTCTTGTTAAACAACAATTTAAAAAAAACAAAAGCAAAAAAAAAGTAAAAAGTAAAAGTCTAATAATACAAAAAAAATTTAAGTTTAAAACTAAGAGGAAATGATGTAAGGAGTGCAGAAACAGCACCAGAACATGAAGCGAGATGGCGACTTAATGAGGTCACGTGTGTATGGCTCTACCAAAACAAGCCTTTTCCATTAAAAGCCTTTTCATGTAAAGCAGAATGCTTTAAATGTTCATTTCTTGACTTCAGAAGACGTATTTAAATAGAACATTTATACATTAATAACTGCCCATCATATAAATAACAAAACAAACATCTGCACTTTGCTCTATGCGTTATAGGGAACGAACTGTACATTCCAAACAAAAATACTTTGTCTATGAACACTAAATATGCACGCTAGTCACAGTTTAAAACTAGAGTCATGAACCCGAAACGAGAAGTTCCTTACAAGAGGGACACAAAAGCGTCAGATGTTTATGAGGAAGGCACAGAAAAAACGAGAATGGCTTTGCGAAATGGTCCTTGGATAAGAATATATCTTAGTGTAGGTGTTTAGAATTGCTGGTTGTAATGCTGGAATAGAGCATGAATGACTCTTCACAATACAAGCAGAAGACAAAGTTATAGAAATGTGTGCTTGCACAAAGAAAGGAGGCTCTACTTTAGTATACACAGTATATACAGCAGTCCAACTCAGTGAACATGAGCCTATATAGAAGCCCATGTACCCCCGAAGTGTGCTTCTGTTTGTCATTTAACACCACAAAGGGTCACGAAGGCTACGGACCTCCCATAATCTGAAAGTGCTTAGAATTTATGCTTACAGTACAGAGATCAGTTTGGTTTCACTTCGGCAAAGCAAACTATTCTCAAGTATTGTCTGTGAATGTGAAAACCGGTAACCAAATGACTTTCAGCACCGCAGAGAAGCAGCGAAAAGTGAAAAGCATGATTTCTGAGACAAGACAAGTCTTTAACCTTGGGAAAGATGTGTTTTAGAGATGAATTGATAGTTTGATCTGCTCATCTAGGCTCAGGTATATCATTCATCGTCACGTTTGTAACCACATTGTGGCTCTAATGGTCATTTTTGAGGCGGTGACCCTCACAGGATGGATTAGGAGAATATTGCACATTGGTCAGTTTAGATTTGCGAGTCAGTGTCTTCCTTTTTTGTTGTTTGTTCAGGCGAAGCGGCCACTGGAGACGAAGCTGCGGCTGAAGGAGAAGCTGACTTCGGAGCTTTTGTGTTTGCCCCAGGCACCGAACGGCACCACGATGATAGTGCTGTTGTCTTCAGAACCATACTGAAGAGCCTGAGAGAGAGAGACAGAGAGAGAGTGAGAGACAGTGAGTGAGGGGGGGGGAGGGATGTGGGATTAGAGATAGATCTTTGGTTTTTGACCCATTATTAGGCCCACACGGAATCTGAGCGCGCAGAATTCCGCAGATTTTCCACAGATTTTCAGCAGAATTCCGCAGATTTTCCACAGATTTTCCACAGAATTCCGCAGATTTTCCGCAGATTTTCCGCAGAATTCCGCAGATTTTCCACAGATTTTCCACAGAATTCCGCAGATTTTCCGCAGAATTCCGCAGATTTTCTACAGATTTTTAGCCCATTATTAATTCTGTTTATTTAATTGAGTAAATGTATAAATCTGAATTTATTCAGTTTTTATTCAGTAATTTATTACTTTTTATTTAATTTATTAAGGTTTTAGTTATGATACTCCGCTAGATACTCCCAAAATAATTCCGCAGAAATCTACAGATTTTTACCAAAATTCTCCGCAGAAATAGCAAAAAACGTCTGCAGATTCCGTCTGGCCCTGCCCATTATTTAAAATATGTATCTAAGAAACAGTTATTGACTTCTTTTTTTTTTTCTGGTGGGGCCAGTGAAAATTTTGGCATGGCAAGTAAACCTTTGAACCCCTTGACTGATAAAAAAAATCCTTAGTGTTAAACCCTGTGGGATGTTGGATAATGTGACTGACCTGCTCAGATATGCGTTGTGCGGCCTCTTTGGGGTCATGACATTGATTGATGACATCACAGATCTCCTGACTGTTCATGATGAAGTTGATGCCATCAGTAGTGAGAGCCAGGAAGGAATCATGGACGTGATGCAACTGACAAAACAGGTACACTTAAATCAACACTAATTGATTTGAAAAATTGTACACTTACAAAAACAGGTCAAATCTATTATTAACATTTTATAAATAACACTTTTCTATTATTAAAAAGGTTTATGAGAAAAGAAAGATATCAACAATACTAAATATACACACAAGGATTACTGCTGCTTGTTCCAACTATCTGTTTACAATGAGCTGAAACAACACAATTCTTGTTGGCCAACTTATTTGTTATATGTTTTAATTTGTAAACCATTAATCATTTTGTGTTTGGACAACATGAAGGAATTGTGTTGGTTCAACTACCTGAGGGGAATTGTGGTACCCAGCATGCTTTGCATAGGATTGAATTAGGAGAAGGAAATGTTGACAATAAAATTAATCTTCTGTGTTTAAATTTCTTACGAAGACTTGTTAGAGTTTAATCTCCACTTCAGTTTGAAGATTTAGTAGAGTGTCATGTAATGCTTTGAGTTTTAAGATTACCACCTTGCAGAAGCACCCATGCTTTGGGTGTTGGCAGCTTAATAAGCAAAAATGCAGTTTGTTGTATTGCTCAGTGAGCAATAACTGTCCTAAAATGAGTTTCAAGTAACTCATGAAATATGCTTAAAATGACTCTTTTAGTTCATTCAAGACAGGGGTGTCCAAACTTGGTCCTGGAGGGCCGGTGTGCTAGAGAGTTTATCTCCAACTTGCTTCAACACACCTGCCAGGAGGTTTCTTGCATATCTAGTAAGAGCTTGATTAGCTGGTTCAGGTGTGTTTGATTAGGGTTGGAGCTAAACTCTTCTGGATAACGGCCCTCCAGGACCGAATCTGGACACCCCTGATTTAGGATAACTTCAAATAAAACTAAAAGACTTCTAAATGTACGACACATAATAGACATACATGACATTATCAGACCTTTGAGTTTAAGTTAAATTAAAATACTGAGGTATTTAAACTTTTTATTTATTGGATGGCCATCCTGCCCTCAAGTAAATTGAGTTCATCGAGAGTAATTTTTTTGAGTGTACACAAAAATGAGATAAAAATGTACAACTCTTTTTAAAGACTGACTTTTGAAAAAATTCTACAATTTTGAAGGATTCACGTTTAAAAACAAAGTCTCTCAAAAAAAAAAAAAAAAAATCGTTATCTGGCAACATTAAAATTTGGGCATTGCAAAAGTAAAAAATTAGCAGTATAGTAAAAAAAAGAATTTACTAAAGCAACAACAATAATAATAATAACAACAACATATATATTGTTTTTTTATATACATGTATACATAAACATGGATTTTCTATAAAATCAGTAAATCCTATTATTTCACTTCTCAAATATATACATTTTGTAAATTTAAAATCAAGTAAATACTGAACATCTTATAGAGAAATAATAAAAGAAAGCTCTTACAGAAATTCTCTTAGTCTCTGGTTCTGCGATGACGCCTGTCGCTTTGAGGTCGAAATCCCCAATGCTGCGGGTCATGGCCAGTCTGCCATTGACGTGTGGTTGACCCAAACTATTCCATGTAATGAAACCTCCGCTCCTGCGTATCCTTCAGAAACAAACACACAACCATCAAAACAGTGTCAACCACCCCAGCGTCTCAATCCGTTCGGAGGGATGGGTTTCCTTAACAACGACATAACTCGTGACTATAGTATCATAGTCAATGCATTGTTTGGAAAAAGAACAATGCAGTGACGAGTGTTTCCCGAAACCGTAGATTCTCTGACACGGATCCATCGTTTGAACCAAGCTAATTATAACATATAACGCATGGTTATTTCTCTCAATTAAAATACAAAAAAAAAGTTTACAGATTGATATTTTTCTGATCACATAACTCTGTTGCAAGTTGTTTTGGAAAATATAAACTGATATTTCAACATAATGCTAACTTACAATTTCTCTGTGAATTAATGTTTTGAGACTCAACTCAACGCTGGAAATTGCTCACCTCTCTTTTTCATCCTTCCTTTCAGGCGTGTGATCCACGGTGAGTTTGACGGCCTTGCCTTTGCGGCACATCATGGCACGGCTGTCCCCGACGCTGCCCACCACCAGCTCGATCCCATCCCTTAGCAGAGCCACCGTGGCTGTGGTTCCTGCACTCAACACAGAGGCTGAAACACACCAGAGAGTGAGGCAGAATGGTTACTTTATGGCATTTTAAAGCCTGCAGATATAGAATAACACGCTTTTAACATAATATTTAATATCGCACAGAAACTAAACTGTCACTAGCACATAACTGTAGTGTAATAACATACATTATAATGTGTATATATGGCAAACCGTTTTGACATTTAATCTATAACCCGTACCAGTATCCATTTTCATTTACCTAGTGCTTATTTTTTAGATACTAGTATCTTTTCCATTAAGTAGTATTACTTATTCATTAAATACTAGTGCTTATTCATTAAATACTAGTGCTTATTCATTCGATGCTAGTGCCTATTTGTTAGATACTAGTGCTCATTCTTTAGATACTAGTGCTTACTCATTAGACACTAATTCTCTTTATTAGATACTAGTACTTATTCATTAGCTACTAGTACTTATTAAACAGATACTAGTACGCATTCATTAGATACTAGTATTTATTTAATTGGTACTAGTACTATTCATTAGATACTATAACCTATTAAATAGATACTAGTACTTAAATAATACTTATTTTAATAGTGACTAGTAACTATTCTGTTGTTCCTAGTAACAAATGTAACATTTTTTCCATTGATTTCTATGGGATCCGTCATTGAGGTATCAACTATTTAGTTTTGACTAGTATGTATTCCAGCTTGGACTAGTACACATTTTAGTATTTATTAGTTAGATACTTGTTTCTAAATAACAAATATTAGTCCTTATTTATTCGGTACTAGTACTTAATCATTAGATACTAGTACTTATTTATTATATACTAGTATCTATTTGGTTGGTACTAGTACTTATTCTTTATATACTATGGCTACGTTCACACTGCAGCCAAATGTGGCCCGAATCTGATTTTTTTTTGCCCACACTCGGGTTATGATAGTGTGAACAGCCCAAACCGCATGAAATCTGATCTTTTCAGGTCAGATCTGTGCCACTTTCATATGTAGTCTTCAATCAGACACAGATCAGTTGTCATAAATTACAAATAATCAGTGTTTACAATCACAAGTGACTTATTTTATATTTCAAATGCCGAAATACACATTAGTAGTAGCAGAGCAATCATTTACAGTTCATGAAATGCACCACGATTGTCTGTGAAAAGAGTAATAATCATATAAGCATGATTTGACAAAGTGCTAACTTACATACAAAATCAAGTGTGCATATTTAGACATTTTGTGCCGTCCGTATCTGTACTTTTGTATTTATTTATGTATTTATAGGTACTACTAGTACTTAATCATTAGATACTAGTATCTAATTAATAGGTTCGATTACTGATAAATAGATACTAGAATAATGGATACTACATCCTATTTAAAAGATACCAGTACACATTTAATAAATACTAATACTTGTTTAAAAATGGTACAAGTAAAAATTTATTTTACTAGCAAAATGTTTAATTGATCTCTATTCTTCCATTTAGATTAGTCATAACATAAGACGAGAAAAAAAAGCAGAACTGACAAGTAAAATAAGAATTGTTACTAGTAATCGTTATAAAATATACTAGTGTCTAATAAATCAATACTAGTACTAATGAATAACTCTTAGTATCTGTTAAAATAGTTACTAGTATCTAATGAATTGGTGCCAGTATCTACTTAATAAGTACTAGTATCTATTAAAAATATACCAGTATCTAATGAATAAGTACTAGTATCTAATACTCAAGTACCACAGGGTATATGCAGGAATCCTAAAAGTACCTTCAATACCTTTTTAAGACTTTTTAAAGCCCTTCTTAAAATATTTTAAGACCTCATCGCCACTTCAAGTTCTAATCAGTATCAAACATTTAACTTAATAAACAGTTGTGGTTTGCAACATAAGCTCAGAAGAAACAAAGCTTGAAATAATAAATTATGAGGTTGCTTTCAGCGACAGGCTTCAGCCACTGTTTAAACCCGTCTTTCTTCGACCAGGAGTACGCAAACTAGCAATTTTCCCATTTTGTCGTCTGTTTCGCTCTATGGTTTGGCTACCTGTGGAGAGGGCCACATCACCTTCCAGCATTCGTCACAAATTATGTGACATCACCCGGACGGAGGAGATTGGGTGGATGCACCCCGGTCCAAACCAATCGCATGGACCGAGCCTGCCGTTGTAAATATTAGGAGGAAAATAAATATATTTAAACTTTCTAAGAGCGAGACACTTTGGACAATGCTTTTACAAAATTGAAGACCTCATAAAAATGCAATTAAACCTTTTTAAAACATTTTGGGTCTTCATTTTCTCATAATTGATTTATCAACTTTTAATACTTTTTAAGACCCCGCAGACACCCTGTACTAGTATCTATTAAATAGAAAGTAGTGTCAAGCTACCAAGTACTAGTACCTAATGATTAATTACTAGTACATAAAAATATGCACTAGTCCCAGCTGAATTACATACTAGTCAAAACTGAATAGTTGATATCTCAATGACAGATGCCATAGAAATCAATGTAAAAATGTTACATTTGTTAATAGTAACAACAAAATAGTTAGTCACTATTAAAATAAGTACTAGTATCTATTACTTAGGTACTAGTTTCTATTTAATAGGTACTAGTATCTACTGAATGAGTACTAGTATTTAAATAGGCACTAGTATCTAATGAATAAGCACTAGTATCTAATGAATAAGCACTAGTATCTATTGAATAATTACTAGTACTTAATGGAAAAGATACTAGTATCTAAAAAATAAGCACTAGTATCATGAAAATAGATACTAGTATGGGTTATTGATTAAATGTCAAAACAGCTTGCCATACTGTATATTGTAAAAGAAAAAGAGGGAGTTTCGCATTGAGATGATGAACTGCAGTGCTCAGCAGGTAGCAGGTAGCATTGCTTTTTTTACTAGCTAACATTTGAAATAAGTAAACATCATTGATTAAAAAAAGCATTATAACACATTAAAGCAATTAACTTTTTTAGCAAATATACAGTGGGGGAAATGAGTATTGAACATGTTATGTTTTTCCTGGGAATAATATTTTTTAAAGGAGCTGTTGACATGGAATTGAACCAGATTTTGGTATGAAACGACACAAGGAGAAAGTACTAAACTACTGAACTGTACTGAATACTTTATATAAAAGGCTTTTTAGGTGATGGCGGCTAAAAGACGCCTCTCATATAGAGAATGAAGCCACACGCTTGGCTCAGGTGTGAGTTTTTTTATGGTTCTGTGGGTCTCGTCTATCAAATCGGAGCTTTATTTTGTATTCTCTATTGGATTAACATCAGGTGATTGGCTGGGCCATGGCTTTATTTTCTTTCTCTGAAAGCATTTGAGAGTTGCCTTGGCTGTGTTTTTGGATTATTGTCTTGCTGAAATGTCCACCCTGGTTTCATCTTCATCATCCTGCTAATGTAGATGTTGGACTGAAGAAGCTAATATTCATTTACAATAAGAAAGAGCAGATGGTTGCTGAAGAACTACGGAGAGATTTCAGCTGCTGTCTGGGCCTTCACTGCCTTTCTACACCTTCCATTCTTCATGTGTTCATTTCATTTTAATACACATTACTTAATTTACAGACTAATTAGTTTTGTTTTCTTTGCATTTATAGATTTCTTTGGTTGTTACCAACAATTGGTGAAAATTTCAAGTCAGCAGCACCTTTAGAAATATGTTTTCTGATAAAAAAAACTCTTACGTGTTCAATACTTATTTCCCCACCGTATCTTCACAGTTCTCTCATAGTAAATATATTTTCTGTACAGCATAATAAGACTAGCATTATCCATCGACATAAATGAAACTCTGAACACAACAACTAGCAATCATTTTCCAGCAACCATCACATGAGAAGAAGGCAGAGCACAGTAAAGGAGAGAGACTGAGAGTAAGACAGAAAGGAAAAGAGAGAGAGAAAGGTCAGGAACCTTCCAGAAGTCCACGCAAAAGGACCCGCTGGAGCAATCTAGCCCTCTGGCCTCCAAAAAGGTACCGCAGAGCTGCAGCTTTTAAAGGGGGTAAGCTGGGTCCGCGGCTGTTTAAATATAACACGCACACACACAGGGCAAGATTGGACATGTCACGCAGCAGGCCGCACTAGTGGCCCGCACTCTACATGAATAAGATGGTCCTGGAATAATTATGTATTCTATGACAACAGCATTTAACAGACAATTTTAAAGAATAAAAAACAAAATACACTCACAAAAACATATTTATGTGCGCTACAGTATACTAGGGGTGGGAATTAAATGTATAATATTTATAATTATTTCAGGTTAAGGAGTCATGATGTCATTTCAGCTATACATAATTATTTTAATGCTTTCCCAAATCATAGTGGCTTGAATGTAATAGAACAGAAAGATAATAAACGAATTGTTCATTGCTGTGTTAGCAGGTTTAGTTTGTTTAATGGGGTTTAAAGTGTGAACAGTGCCATCTAGATTAACTGTAAGTGGTTCAGCTAATATATTAATAAAACAAAAACCAAAGATATGTAAATGAAGCAAAAACAGCACAGGAATCACAAGACGCGACCATTGAAGGCAAGACATTTTTTTATATATTTAGGTTTGGTCTTTAAAATTACAGACATCTCCAAGATTTTATTAGCAAAATATTTTCAATATTAAATATGGTGTAAAAATAAGCAAGCTTTACTTGTATCCATACACTTTTTTCCCAACATAAACGTTCTTTAAAAAATAAAAGAAAATTAAAAGTTTTTAAAAACTCTAATAAACTAAATCTATGCACAACAGTCTATCCAGGTTAGTGTTTTCAGCAGTAAATACATGAATAACTTTTAAACAAATGCTACTGTAAGGTAACTAATCAAACCATTAGGATAAATAGTTAAAAATTACCTTTTTAAATAAAAAGTTGAAAGCTTTATTGAGATGGATTGCTGGTGATTGTATAGGTTTTGGCCAGATTGGGTAGCAATACATGAAAATCAAGACCTATTTAAAATAGATTTAAGACTTACAACACAATATTTTAGTAAATTTAAGACTTTTTAAGGCCAAAAAAATAGATTTAGAGATTTGAGATTTTTAAACACTCTGCAGAAACCAGGATTTTTTTTTTTTTTTCCCAAATGATTTTTAACAGAGCAAGGAAATATTTACAATATGTTTGACAGTATTTTTTGTTCTGGAGAAAGTCTTATTTGTTGTATTTTGGCTAGAATAAAAGTTGTTATGAAATTTTTTGAAACCCATATTAAGGTAAAAAGTATTAGCCCCTTTAAGCTCTGCCCCCCCCATAGTCTACAGAACAAACCATCATTATACAATAACTTGCCTAATTACCCTAACCTGCCTAGTTAACCTAATAAACCTAGTTAAGCCTTTCAATGTCACATTAAGGTGTATAGAAGTGTCTTGAAAAATGTCTAGTCAAATATTATTTACTGTCATCATGGCAAAGATAAAGTAAATCAGTAATTCGAGATGAGTTATTAAAACTTTTATGTTTATAAATGTGTTGAAAAAAACATAAATTGGGGAAAAAAATAAACAAGGGGTGTAATAATTTAAGGGGGCTAATAATTCTGACTTCAACTGTATATGTATTACATTCTATGATGCTTTTTAAAAAAAAGATTTTTAAAAATTCATGTTTATTCATTTTTAACCTTTAAAATGAAGCGAAATTCTGGTAATTTGTTTTTCCTTAAAGATGTCGAAAGCCAAAGCTTGAACTTAATGGGGTCAACTTCACCTGTTTAATTGATCTCTCAGCTCCAGTGTATGTTTGTTAGAACACTGCACTGTTTAAACACTCCTTTGTGTACTATATTTTCCAATGCATAGATGTCCAGGCCTCAAATTTAGGCACCTTCAACATTTGGTCTGATTGTGCATGCACATTGTCAGTAACATAATTATTAACAACTCATTTTTAAACAATGTATTTAGGATTTATTTTACCCACCCCTAGTATATACAAGCATGTGTTATCTTCATGTTTGATGGACACATTTTACAGAGCCAAACAGAAGTCTGCTCATACATATCACCATTGTTCTGTATTAGGAGTCAAAATGTATTTAATTAAAGAAACAATTTAGTCTATGATGCCACTTCTGCTCGCAAACCTCCATTTGGCTCTGTTACATGTACACCAGAAGCATCAACGCAATAATTATGAGTACAAACTCTAAAACAACAGCTGAGAGACTGAGTATATTGTTCACATTAACATGCATGCATTTCAAAACCCACATCAGTGAAATAAGACCTACCATCTGCACTGAAGTGAAGATGCCTCGCTAATGCTTTGTCCACCTCAAGAAAAGCTTTGGTTAAAACGAACTCCAAGTTAGTTTCCTCCGCTGCGATGTCTCTGAAACACAAATCCACAAATGCAATGAGTTAGACCAAGAAAAAATATTTGGATTGCATTTCTGAACTCCTAATGTCGCTAGTTATCACACTCAATGCATTTTTTCTCCAACAAATCCCATAATTTCTAAAATATCAGCCTCTGCCAAATGGTTGAGATGTTGGTTATGTCGTAAAAGTACCGGACTTATTACATATACTATGAAAAATCTGTAAATATGAAGTGTAAGACCTATTTATATAAAAAAATATCAAAAATAAAACATTTTTAATTACTAAACCACCTTTATTTTTAAAGTATGCTATAAAATATTTCTCATTTAACATGTTTTCTTGTTGTTTTTTTTACAATAAAACTAAAATCAAGTGCAGTTGTGCAACAGGATTATGTATGTTATATATTTTTTTCACAACAATGCTTTGTGGTTAAACAATTACCTAATATGGTCATTCTTTAAATTATTTTAACAGTCATTATTTACAACAGTAAAAACATGGTCAATTGTTTGGTTGAGGGGCAGTGAACGGGCTAAGACTGTAGACACAACATGACCTCAATTAGAAGCACATAATAGTTTAAATAGATTTAGACGTCCTTATCACTTGTGTCAGTAAACATACTGCTTGCGTCAAGACAGAGCTCCACGTAAGCTTTTGCTTTAGCCGGAACATATTGCATTGATTGGTGCTAAACACAATATGTAGTTGAAGCTTTGACATCACAATATGTGCATCGGTAATAATCACAACGCATGATCTATAATGTTAAGTTGAGCAGGATGAGCCACAGTTGCAAAGTTTAAACAGAATAAGACAGTGAAATTTTATCATTTGTATGTGGTCTATATCTGTGCAAGCACTTTAAGAAACTTTAAAGCATTCCAGAATAAGAAATTGTAAAATTTGTGGCTTAAGGTTTAATTGGGCTGAATTATTTATACGATGAACTCTATACTGCTTTTACATTTGATTAATCAATAATTAGCATAAAGCACTGTTTATTCAATTTGTATCTTTGCTTTATTGTATTTATCTGCATGTCATGATGTAATCCTGAATTAACACTCTGGAATAGGGATGCAACAATTAACTGGCTTCACCATTAACCGTGATTTAATTCATCATGGGTAATTAATCGTAAAGGCTTCTCAACAACGCGTTTCTGCACGGAACAAAACTGCAGCAACTAAACAAAATTATGCAAACTGTGCAGTAGTTGTACACAAAGATAACCACGCACATTGAACTAACTATGACTGGGGCTATTAACTAAGTCAAGCTCATCCAGGTTCGTTATTTCCAATGGAGGGACGTGCACGCAACGCAACACACTCGCGCATCTAGTTAAGATGACGGAGGTTTTGTGACCGCGGGAATTGCAAATGGCTACCGGTTTGAGAAAGATGCAATGGAAAGTACACAGGTTTGCAAACCTACTTAAAGTTACAAATAATGGCGCTGATGAGAGCGATCATGTGAGGCATGCCAGCTGAGACTAACCGAGTGTTTTTGGAGAAAGTGCTGAAAGGCACAAGCCTGTTTTACACTAAACGCATGAGCAGAGCGCGTTTTTTTGTGGCATCCATGTTAACAGATTAGAGCTTTCATACTGCACGCAGAAGCAGTGCGTCAGTGTCAAGCAACTGTGGCGCGATAGTTTTACCGCTGTGACGCATTGATAATGAAAGAGAACACATTGAATAAATGCATCAGTAATATTCACTGACTTTTCTATATTCACTCAAATAAACTTAAACGATTAAAACAGCGAAACACATTTAGTTGGGCCCAAACTACAAAACAAAATTTAGAAAAATTTAAACTAGTTTTAAGCTAGTGGGGTTTTGAACGCGAATATTCGTGATGACCATGAAACCGTGATTATTTCTTAGACTATAATCATACAACCAAAAATTATAATCGCTGCATCCCTATTCTGGAACATCATATTTGTTGCAAAATGTAATCCATAATTATTCCCAAGGCTTAATTTGTTCCGGAACACGCCAGATCTGGCATCGCTGAAATCTAAACTGGCACCACATTTTACCAGTCCACACTACTCACCCGCCTTCATCCCCCCTCTGAGTTCAGTGCCTTCTCTTTACTTTTGCAACAACCAGCCCCCACCCCTGCTAGCAAGTTGGCAGTATTTATCTACACTTGTGATTTGTTTGTCATATTTCAGGCAAGTGCACTCCCCCACAAAAATCCTCACAATACAGCTAAAATTATGAATTAGTTCCGAAACAGAGCTATTCAAGTCATCTGGAAAAATTGTATTCATATCGCAACATACAGTCGAAGTCAGAATTATTAGCCTCCCTGAATTACTAGACCCCCTATTTATTTTTCCCCCAATTTCTATTTAACGGAGAGAAGATATTTTCAACACATTTCTAAACATAATAGTTTTAATAACTCATTTTCTAATAACTGATTTATTTTATCTTTGCCATGATGACAGTAAATAATATTTTACTAGATATTTTTCAAGACACTTCTATGCAGCTTAAAGTGACATTTAAAGGCTTAACTACATTAATGTGGTTAACTAGGCAGGTTTGTGCAATTAGGCAAGTTATTGTATAACGATGGTTTGTTCTGTAGACTACTAAAAAAAAATAGCTTAAAGGGGCTTATATTTTTGCCCTTAAAATGTTGTTAAAAAGATTCATAACTGCTTTTATTCTTGCCAAATAAAACAAATAAGACTTTCTCCATAAGAAAAAATATTATCAGACATACTGTGAAAGTTTCCTTGCCCTGTTGAACATAATTTGGGAAATATTTAAAAAAGAAAAATAAATTCAAAGGGGGGCTAATAATTTGGACTTATGACAATATATTGCATATCCATAGCATAACAAAACCTCATAATTACACCAACTGATCCTTACTTGATATGCTTCTCCATGTTCTTATGGCAGAAATCAGCAGCCTCTGCACCCCCGTGTCCATCGAAAACAGCAAAGTACATGATGTTGTCAGTCATTTGTGACATCTGATAGCGGTCTTCATTTTCTTTCCGCTGGCCGATCTGCGAGGCGCTGCCCACCCTGGACAGGTTAACTTTGGGAATAAGTTTACCATAGCGGATGCTCGATGGAAGCAAGATTGGTTCATCGATGCGGTTGTCCCAGATCCCGAAGGAGTCCCAGGTAGTCGGACGACCACTGCTGTCTGGATCAAATCGAGAATTGCTGAACCGAGGAGAGGATGGAGTGTGTAGAGCCCGTCTTGGGTCTTCCTGATGGGCATTGGTCAGGTTGAAAGCAGCTCTGCTGCAGACACGGGACCCGCTGAGCGTGGCATATCGCACCAGGAGAGCCACTGACATGCTCAGTGGCAGAAAACCACACTTATGTGAAAGGGAAGAAGAGTATGCCTCCTGAATATGCCTTGATGAATACAAATCTGAGCTGGAGTCTTCTGAAAAATAAAGAAAGCAAATAAATTATTGACTTGACCTCTGGCTTGTTATTGCCTAGATTTATAGGGTGTGTGACATTATGCACGTACATTTCAGCTTTGTCTCTAATATAAGCAACATGCCAACACTGATTCATTTTAGACATGTTTGATTTCCCACGAAAAAAAAAGCTATTTTGGTAGACATCTCAACAACCTTTTGTTTAAACACTAAATTAGTTCAGATTAGATTAAACTTTGTTGTCATTACACATGTACAATGACAAGGCAACGAAATGCAGTTTAGGTCTAACCAGAAGTGCAATAGCAGCAAGTACAGGATAGAGCCAAATACAGTGCAATTATAAAAAAAAAAAACACTACGGGTAATATTTAAAGATGGATGTACTAGGAATCTTGTATACAGGTTATATTAACTATGATCAGAGATTTACAATAGATGAATATATGTACAGGTTGCTATTAATAATCAGAGGCATGCACTATGAGCATAATTACAAATGCATATGTGCAGTGGATCCGTACAATTCAAAATGAATTAGTGCAACAAAAAGAAATTAATATGTTCAGTATTTATTGTGCAAATATTAAATAGTGCAGTGTTTAGTATTTTAATGCCAGCATCACTTAAGATCATACAACAAACACTGAATACATAAGAATATTACTTGCACAAAAATGCTGTCTAATTGTCAAATATTAAGATGTAGATCATTTTTTGTATTGCGGTAAAGTTCATTTGTTTATTTAACGGCCCCTATATTGTTTACCACGCTACTTTGAATATTCGGTCTGACTTAGCATGCAAGTACGACTTCAAAACAACATTAGCACTATTTCATTGACTGTAAACCATGTTGTACTTTGATCACTTTGATCACAGTCATTGGCTGCTAATATGATTTCACTATTTAGAATTTACAAATAATACTTTTCTGAAATTATATGGAGAAAGTCTAAATGCGTTAATATATTTAAAAAAAAACTATTACTTTCTCTATTTGATGAAACATTATAGATTTGTGGCTTGATAATTCATAAAAAGCAAGTGAAAATGAAAATTTTTTGATGGTATTAATTTTTATTTTGGCAGTGTTTTAGTTTTTGCTTAAGTTTCTGATACGTAAAAGTTTTTTGCACTTGAATCCGTAAAACTATGTTTTCTGCTCAAAATCTTCTACTGAAGAAAAAGAAGTCACTTCTTGGATGGCCTGAGGGTGAGTAAATGAATTGAGGTTAAGTTAGTTTTATATTCGCACATTTGTTCATTTAACGGCCCCTATATTGTTTACCATGCAACTTTGAATAATCAGTCTGAATTAGCATGCAAATACGACTTCAAAGCCATTTTAGCACTATTTCATTCACTGTGAACAATGTTGTACTTTGATAGTCATTGGCTGCTAATATGATTTCCCTATCAAGAATTTGCAAATAATACTTTTATTAAATTATATTATTAAGGACAAAATCTGAATGTGTTAATATAAAACCAACTTTACCTCTATTACTTTTTTTATTGGGTAAAACATTATAGATTTGTGTGTATAACAAGGTCCCTTGGTAGTCCATAAAATGCAAGTGAAAATGACAACCTCAATGATTTTGGCGGTAACTATTTTTATTTTTGACTGTATTTTTGTTTTAGCTCAAATTCCTGGTACATTAAAAGTTTATTTTCATTTGAATAGTTGAATTCATTTTGAATTCTTGGATGGCCTGAGGGAGAATAAATGAAACTCACTGTGTGCCCCACCCCCTTTATCATTCATACTACCGTATATTTAATAAAACACAGACAAACACAATTCGAAAAACAACATCAATATAACGACTGAAACAGGGAAAAAGCTCAAATATAAACGCATGTGCGGAAAAAAATCAACAAGTTAATATGAAGAGGTAAACAAACATGACGCAATAACGTTACCCGCTTATATAACAATATAACCATAAAACAATATCACCAAAACAAAAAAAACCGCTCGATATTGACGTTTTAAACATTCTATGACATAAATTATATTGAACATATAGGAATAACGCCAGATTGAGTTTAACTGGTTAAAACTTTAATCACAACAAACAAAATGGAGATCACTCTTTCGGCTCTCGCGCTGCTAGCAAACACAGACTCCACAACAGCAAAACGCGAATATCGTATCTTCTCTAATTATCTACTTGTAAACGTTATGTTACCTACCTTATGTTTGTATTAGATCGATGAAATGTGATTGCTTTTTGTTTAATTTAACAGGTTAAATGTAAAATCATTCAGTCGGTCATGTCTCAGTGTCAAGGCTTTGGCTGCAGCAACCGCTTCTGAAGGAAAATATCTGAGAACCAATCAGATCCCTGAATTTCGTAGGCGGGGTTCAATGAGTTGATTGGCCAGACATTTATGATTGACGGGAATCTAAACCAATGGCTGAAGAGAAACAGTAGTTGGGCGTACTAAACTCAAAGCGACATTATGCTGCCTTTTGATGTTTTACATTTTTGTTTTCAGTAATTTACACACCAAAATTGTAATTGTTCAGACACCAATGACTTGCAATGAGATGTTGTTAATTTTTTTTGATCATGAGATGTTGATGATTAACCACTATTATTTATGCTTTTTCGTTTTTATTTTATTTTATTTTTTTATTATGCGAAAAATGAGAATATACAATTACACAGTACATTATAAAATGGAAAGACAAAACGAAAAAATTAAAAAAAACAGCAACAAAAAAACAAAACAAAAACAAACAAAAGGGGTACATACATTACAAATTAATGAAAAATATTATATAATTTACAAATTTCAGTTGTTTTTAAAGCCTTTTTGTAAAAGAGTTAGAAACAGTTTCAAAGTAATGCTGCATTTCAGTATGCAAAATTTTTTTAAAAAAAAGGGTTTTTGGTTTGAAAATATACATTTTGTTGATAAGATTAGAAGATTAAGAAAATATATTTTCTTTTTATAGGTTCTGTTTTATAATTAACAAAACCAAACAAAACATTTTCCCATAGTAAGGAAAAGTCTTTAACAACATTCTCAATTACAAAAAAAGAAAAATCTTTCCAAAGCAAATAAGAATAACTGCATTGTCAAAACAAGTAAAAGGGACTCTTTTGCTTGCAAAAGGAACAATTTGTATCAATATCTTTTTTATCTTACTAAGAGAGTATTGACTGGGTATGTTTGAGGAATAATTCTAAATAAAACTTCTTTGCTTTTTCATTTGTTGGTCAAAACTTTATCACTTGATGATGTAAAATGTACTCGACAACCACACTTGGAATAGATGTAGGCTACATCACCTAATTATAACTTACCGGTCAAACGTTTGGAGTCAGTAGGATTTTTAAAATGTTTTTAAATAAGCTTCTCCTACTCACCAAGGCTGCATTTATTTAATCAAAAATACAGTACAAATTGTAAAATTGTGAAATGTTATTGCACTATAAAATAACTGTTTAAAAGTAGCTCATAAATTATTTAATAATTTATTCCAGTGATTTTAAAGATAAATGTTCTGCTTCATTACTGCAGTCTTCAGAGTTGCATGATCCTTTAGAAATTACTCTAATATTAATTATTATTATCATTATATTATTATTATTAATGATAATAGTAATAAAAGCAATAATGACTGGAGTAATAATTTCATTTGAAAATTTATTCGATAAGAAAGCAGTTTTGCATTGCCACAGTGGAATGAAACGCCAACTTATCCAGCATATGTTTAACGCAGCAGATGGCAACATCCATATGGAAACATCGATACACACTCATTTACACTCATACACTACGACAATTTAGCTATCCCAATTCCCCTATACCACATGTTTTTGGACATGTGGGGGAAACCGGAGCACCCGGAGGAAACCCACGCCAACACGAAGACCAAGCTGAATCATCCTCTGTTGATTGTTGCTTCGGCCTGACTTCAGGTAATCAGTTTTGGCCAAAGCAAACCATTATTTTTCATAAGTCCAATCTGACGTAAGTGAAGTCATCTTTGACTGCTGACCAAAACATTTTACAAGTAACTTTTATTCTAAACATTGTACCTTCTTCTTGAAGGAAAAATGACCAACAAAAGTTGTGAAGCACCAAAGGTGGCCCATATTACACCTTTAAGTTTACAAGTAACACTAATTAGGCTATTGTTGTTATCCCCAAATTTACTTTTTTACAAGAGAGCTTAGAAAAATCAAGAAACTCTGCATTATTATCATTATTATTTACATTTTTTTTATTATTCAAATGGCTAAATTCTGACTGAGGAAAGTTGAATGTGCTTGCCAGTGTGTTATTAGGCGTATTGATGGTTTGTAAACATTCAGGAAGTGCACGCAGCAAGGTTGCAGAAAAAAAACGGAAGAGCTTGTGTTTTTTTCTGCAACCTCACTGCGCACGCATCCTGAATGCGGTACAGAGTTTGTTGTTGTATTAGAGATAAATTATATTAATTACACATTATATATATTATTTACATGCTTTCAGCAAATTATAACAGCTTGTCACCTGGGGATAAGCACATTTATTATTCTGCAAAATTAACGTTAAAGTGAGCAGCGTTCGTCTGACAGGTCTATTTGCGGTATAGCACCCTCCCAATGGATATTGGATAAGACGAAATAACCAAGCATCCACCTTGAAATATACAACTATCATATCATATCATATCATATCATATCATATCATAACGTGAATGTACCTGATATAAAATGAGAACTGCAGAGTCAAGCAGACTGGATAAATTAGTGGTTCATTCCGCTGTGGTGACCACAGATTAATAAAAGGATTAAGCCGAAAAGAAAATGAAAGAATATTAAAAAGTGTATAAGCTAATCCCGCAATAAATAGTGCTTAAAATGACTCCAAAAAGCAGTATTTAGACCTCATAAAAAATAAAACTCCTGCAAAAAGTTAACATTTTTGAGAGAGAAAGAACCACTCCTTTCGGCTGTAACTACGATTGATATGAAAACAAAACTTAGCAACTTATCATGCAGTTTCAGCGCGTCACTCTTAAAGTAATATCATATTTTATATGATGGCTGCAAGCAATGCCTTTATGAAATACAGGTTTCACAGGGGTGTGAGCTGGAAATTCGCATGGTTTGCTTTCGTTTTCCTAACTGGCCATAAACGCGGAAGAATAACAAACATTACTTTCATTTCGCGGGAAGTCATGATGTCCTGAGTCAGCAGTTTCGCTCTCAATTTCTCTTTATATTTTGACCAGCGTTCATTCAGCAGTCAATGGTTCAGAGAGACGCTGCTGAAGTCTGAACGTTTCATCCTAACGGTGAACATGTTGTGTTATTGGGGAGCGCAGGTCCGGGAAGGATTCGGTTTGTTAAAACCTGAGTTGGTCAGACATGGAAACTGTGGGATTAAATCCATCTGTCCGAAATCAGCTGTTCAGGACATGTCAGCTGGAAAGAGCTTCGTTGGATTCATCCGGGAAGGGAAGGTGTCGGTACTGAGACTGCGCGGTAAAGACAGTGACCAAGATGGAAAACTAAGTATGATGAATGACACTGTAATCGCATTTTTAAAATATCATAATAATTAGTAAATATGTTATACGCTAATTTAAACTGATTAAGTTAAACTAATAAAAATATAATATTTTTTTCTGTAGAACATTTGCAGCTAAAGAAAAACACAATCAGATTGATTGTCTGTGGTGAATATGGAGCGGTTCTTCTTGATGATGGAGGAAAAGTTCTTATTATGGACAAATCTACTGAGTGCAGGCATGTAACTAATGCAGAAACTAAGTTGCTAAGTGTAACCGGCTGTAGTAGTACTGTACAGTAATGCTGTGTCCAAGTGTTTATAGGCATGACAGTGTAAATGTCCATAAGTATGATGACAAATAAGGCTGAGCAATATGCAAAAATTGTCACACCACAATACAAGTCATCTCATACTGATAATATAGCCTAGCCTTCACAGGTGTCAAAGTCAGTTCCTGGACGACCGCAACTCTGCACAGTTTAGTTCTAACCCTGTTTCAACACACTTACCTATAGGTTTCAAAGAAGCCTGAAGCACTCAGTTTTTTTGATCAGGTGTTTAATGGGGTTAAAGCTAAACTGTGCAGAGCTGTGGACCTCCAGGAACTGGATTTGACACCTGTGCTAAATCTTAATAATTTCTGTAAATTCAATCTGAAAGTTTATATATGTTGACCAAAAGGAAAGGACAGTTTTTATTCATTTATTTATTTACTTACTTTTACAATTTAAGTAGGCCTATATACACTACCGGTCAAAAGTTTTGGGGTCAGTAGGATTTTTAAATGTTTTAAAATAAGCTTCTCCTGCCCACTAAGGCTGAGTTTATTTTTTCAAAAATATATATAGTACAAATTGTGAAATGTTATTGCACTATAAAATAACTGTTCAAAGTAGTTTATCATTTCATTTAATTATTATTCCAGTGATTTTAATGTTGAATTTTCAGCTTCATTACTGCAGTTTTCAGAGTCACACGATCCTTCAGAATACACTCTAATATTAACTTTTTTTTTTGTTACTTTTATTAATATTTTTATTATTATTATTATTATTATTATTATTATTATTTTTGTTACTATTATTATTATTATTGTTGTTGTTGTTGTTGTTGTTGTTGTTGGTAATAGTAATAAAATCAATAATGACTGGAGTAATAATTTAATTTGAAACTACATACAGTATGTAATAAATAAGTATTTAATAAATAAGTATTTAAAATTTACATTTAACAAATGCCGCCTTGATGAACAGAATAATTTTCTTTAAATTGTTAAATAAAATTTATAATAATAATAAAAAAAAACTGACCAAAATTTTTGACCGCTATACACAGAAATGTACACATTGATATGAGATTATATTTCTAACTTTATTTAGAACTTTAGGGCAACTATTTGATTAAAAATATTAAATAATATTTAAAAAATGACAATAAAAAATTATGTATGGGTGTTTCCCAGTGTTGGGTTGCGGCTAGAAAGGCATCCGCTGCGTAAAACAAATACAGGATAAGTTGGCAGTTTATTCCGCTGTGTCGACAACTGATTAATAAAAGGACTAAGTTGAAAAGAAAATGAATGAATAAATAAAATGTTTTATTTTAATTTAAAAACTTTAAAACTGATAAATAGGTCCAACTTAAAAAAAAATTGCTAAATAAATAGCAACATGCAAACATTGTATTTTTACATGGCAACTTTCTCACAATACTAATATTGGTTACTATCTGCATCCCTGTTATGTAATGGCATGTAATATTGCGCTCATAATATAAATTATGCTAGAGTATTACCGTGAAGTGTATTTTGTGACACCCTGAAATAAACTATAAAGCAGGGGTGCTCAAACATTTTCATTTAAAGGGCCAAAAAGTTGATTGAGGGCTGTGGGCCAAAAATATGTACCAAAATCATATATATAAAAATCGTCATGGGTAATTTCCTACTTAATAAAGTAATATTTAAAAATAACTAGAAAATGTTGAGGGGCAGCACGGTGGCGTAGTGGGTAGCACAAACGCCTCACAGCAAGAAGTTTGCTGGTTCGAGACCTGGCTGAGTCAGTTGGCATTTCTGTTTGGAGTTTGCATGTTCTCCCCATGTTCTCGTGGGTTTCCTCCGGGTGCTCCGGTTTCCCCCACAGTCCAAAGACATGCTGTACAGGTGAATTGGGTAAGCTAAATTAGCCGTAGTGTATGTGTGTGAATGGGTGTGTGTGGATGTTTCCCAGTGATAAGTAGCGGCTGGAAGGGCATCCGCTGCATAAAAACATGCTGGATAAGTTGGATAAGATTAATAAAGGGACTAAGCTGAAAAAAAATGAATGAATGAAAGAATGAATCATTTAAGTTCAGCTGGCTTTTTAAGCTTAGAAAATAAAACAAATAAAAACGTTAACGTTATTTTTCAAACGTCGATATCTGTCAAAGGAATTCGCCCCAGCCATTCTCCCTCTTTTTGATGGGCCAAATCAAAGGTTACCATGGGCCAACTTTGGGTATCTCTGCTTTAAAACATAAAATGAAACGATAGAAAATGTATTTTGCCCTTATGATGTACAATATAATAATACAATATATATAAGTATAATAAGTATTGAACAAAGTATAATAAGTATTGAACATGTCACCACCTTTCACAGGAAACATTTTTTATTTTCATACGAAAGGCATCTTGAAGCTGCCATTACCAAAAAAAAAAAAAGGCTTTTTTTATAAAGTATTAAACACATTTTAGTATTTCAGTACATTTCTCTTGTGTCATTCTATGGTTATTGTGCATAACACATTTTTCTGGTTGGTTTTTATGTTTAGATTGTTTGGGTTTTTACCGAAATCTGGGTAAACAGCTCCTTTAGAAATATTTACCAGGAAAAATCATGACGTGTTCAATACCTATTTTACCCTATGTACATTGTCACATGGGTGAGTTGCCATTTCTATGTGGAGTTTGCATGTTCTCCACTTGTGCGCGTGGGTTTCCGGCAGGTGCTCTGGTTTCCCCCACAGTCCAAAGACTGAACTGAATTAACTAAATTGACCAAAGTGTACCGGGATCGGGATGTGTGCGAATGTGAGTGAGTATGGATGTTTCCCAGTACTGGGTTGCAGCTGGAAGGGCATCCGTTGTGTAAAACATATGTTGCAATAGTTGGTGGTTCATTTGACTGTGGTGACCCCTGATGAATAAAGCGACTAAGCTGAAGGAAATTCTTTTTTTTTTTGGCTTAGTCCCTTTATTAATCTGGGGTCGCCAACTTATCCAGCATGTTTTACACAGCGAATGCCCCTCCAGCTGCAACCCATAAATGGGAAACATCCACACACATACAGTATGGACAATTTTAGCCTACCCAATTCAACTATACTGCATGTCTTTGGACTTGCACCCGGAGGAAGCATGTCAACACGGGCAGAACATGCAAACTTCACACAGAAATGCCAACTGACCCAGCCGAGGCTCGAACCAGTGACCTTCTTGCTGTGATGCAATCATGCTACCCACTACGCCACCGTGCAGCCCATATTGCCCATCCCTAATGACAACATTTTTTAATGTCCCTACAGTCCTCTTAAAGGTCTGGAGAACAGGCAGGTGATTCAGATCGCATGTGGAGACCAGCATTCAATGGCGCTAACCAACGGTATTTACAACCATTCTGTCTTCTGACTGAAATGATCTGATTTGATGATAGATTTATTGAGCTGTTGGTCTTTCAGATGGTCAGTTGTTTGTTTGGGGCGAGAACGCTCTTGGTCAGCTGGGTTTGAGGAAAGAGCAGGCCGGCACTCAGTCTCCTCGACACCTCCAGAGTCTGTGTGGGATCCCAGTGGCTCAGATCAGCGCTGGAGGAAACCACAGCTTTGTGTTGTCTCTGTCAGGAGTCGTGTTTGGGTGGGGGGGCAACTCTGCTGGACAGCTGGGTCTCGGAGACACTACAGGTGTTTAATTCATCTTTATTTCTATAGCGCTTTTACTATGTAGAATGTGTCAAAGCAGCTTAATATAGAAGTTTTAGTAAATTGAAAATGTATCAATCCAGTTTTTAGAGTTTAGTTCAGTTCAGTGGGGTTTAATTTCACTGATGAAAGACTAAACACTGACGAGCAAATGCATCGTTGCGCAGCTCCACAAGCCTTAAACCAAGCAGTGGCGAGGAACAAACTTCACCAATTGACGAAAGTGAAGGAAAAAACCTAGAGCAGGCTCTTATCTCATACACAAACTGACCACTCAGGCACTTCATTACTTTTCACTTAAAACAGTTGGGTTATTAATAACCCAACAGGTAACTCGATGAGTTGTTTTGGCACCAACCTGCTGGTGGGTTATTTTAAGCCAATCCATTGAGTTGTTAAGGTCAACCCAAAGATTTGGGTTGCAAAAATAAATAATTTGTTGGGTTACTTTGCCAAAAAGTGGCTTAACCACTAATATGTCAAATATGTGTATCATGTCCTCCAAAAGAAACTGTAGAAATGAACACAGAGGTAGAGAAAGCGCTTTTATCCATATTTAGATGGACTTTAAAGCACGCATTGGTATTATCAAATTTAGAGTGCTGGTGAAACGGATATAAAAACACGACACGAAAAACATGAGAGATTATTTGATGAAAAAAAAAAACAACAACATTTTTATTTGTTAGCTAAAATAAACATAATGCAAAAACAACATTACGTACGCATATTAATACAGCTGTTCTATGTCAGTTAAATCAGTTGACTGTTGAAATGTAAAGTTTTTGACCCAACTGGTTGAGTTATCAAATAAATAACCCAAAAAAAGCTAAAAATAACCCAACAAAGCACCAAACATTTAACCCAAGTGGTTGAGTTAATAATAAATAACCCAATAAAGGTTTAAAATAACCCAACAAAGCACCAAATATTTTACCCAACTAGTTGGGTTAATAATTAAAAACCCAATAAAGGTTCAAAATAACCCAACAAAGCACCAAATATTTTACCCAGCTGGTTGAGTTAATAATAAAAAACCCAATAAAGGTTCAAAATAACCCAACAAAGCACCAAATATTTTTAACTTAACAATTGTGTTAAATAAATGACCCAACGTTTTTTAGAGTGTGATGGCACTTTTAAAATAAGTTTAATGACACATAAAAACCAGTATCACAGAATAAAATATTTTAGAAGTGACCAATACACTGTTTTTTACACAACAGACAGATTCGTCCCAACAGTTGTAAATAGTCTTAAACGAAAGAAGATTGTGTCCATCTCATGTGGAGGAGAACACACTGCAGCTCTAGCAAAGGTAGTATATTAAAATATGTTACATATTCATGTTTTAGATTTCACCAATATTTCCATCCGAATATACAACAAGCTGGACGGAAAAACGTTTGTAATTTTCAGGGAGGAACAGTGTTCACATTTGGATCAGGAGGTTTCGGTCAGCTTGGGCACAACTCATTTAAAGATGAACATCATCCACGACTGGTTGCTGAACTGTGGGGATCTAAAGTGTCACAGGTCACATGTGGGAGGTAAACTAGAGTCTTCAGTAGCTTTATTAGAAATAGGCCCACATGGAATCTGCGCGCCCAGATTTGCGTAGATTTTTAGTCCATCATTGATTCTGTTTATTTACTTGTGTGAATGTTTGTAAATTTATATTTATTCAGTTTTATTAATTTCAGTAATATTATTGACTGATTTAAAAATACTCAAATAATTCATTTACAATACAGTTTGTAAAAGAATATTTTCTGTCTTTTATTATATATCTTGGTCCCACTTTATATTAAGTGTCCTTAACTACTATGTACTTACATCAAAAATAAATACAATGTACTTATTGTGTTTATAATGTATTTGAGAACACTTGTGGTGCTTTTGAGTTGGGATAGAGGTTGGGTTATGGACAGGTTTGGTGGCATGGGTAGGTTTAAGGGTGGGTTAAGGTGTAAGGGATGGTCAACAGTGTATTTACAAATACAGAGATGTAATTGCATACATGTATTTAATCAAGCATAAGTACACAGTAAATACATGTATTTACACAATAAGTACATTGTAGAAAACTATTAGTTCCTGTGTAAGTACATATTAGTTAAGGCCACTTAATATAAAGTGGGACCGATATATTATATGAGAGACTTGCTTTTTTGCCAAATAACCAAGGATCTAATTTGTAATTGCATTGTAAACATTAAAAATAAGTTGTAAAGGTATTATTTTTTTATTTCATATATTAAGGTTTTAGTTACGATCCTCCCGAAATCATTTCACATACAGTAAATCCACAGATTTTTAACAAAATTCTATGCAGAAAAAGCAAAAAATTTCCACAGATTCTGTTTGGCCCTAGCAAAAGGCAATTCAGAACAGCTGAGTTGTAAAGCTGAACTCTCAGTTCAGAGTTCAGCTTTATTTACTCAATAATTTCCCAAGTGAATTATTAATGACATTAAATAGTGAAGGTAAATTGAAATTCATACGCAACTCTGAAAAATGGCTCCAGCTGTGTTCAGTAATTTGACTTTTCATTTTTTCTGCATTAAGAAATCACACACTTGTATCGACTGCATCACCAAAGCTGATCTACTCATTTGGATGTGGGATGCAAGGGCAGCTGGGAAATGGAGAACAGGTCAAGCAGTCTGTGCCGTTACCAGTAGACCAGCCAACTGGTGACTTGGTTTTGTAGTAGCATAGTATTTTGTATATACATATATATTATATATATATTTATACATTAAGTAGATCAGAACTGTAAACTAACTAAATGCTTCTCACACACAGAATATAATGACGAATATACAATTCAAAAACTTGTCGCGGGGGAGAATCATTCGTTTGCCTTGTATTTCAAAGTAAGATGGATAGTTTTCATTCATAAATAGTTTGAAAGATAAATCACTGCTACACTGTGATGATTAATTATATGTTATGTTTTGTAGGAACTTGGAAATGAGGCTAATCCAGATCCAACCAGAGGGATTATGACATTTGATAACGGAATGATTGAACAATGCGAGTGTGGAAAAGATCCACGGAAAGCGATAAAGTGAATAAATGGCATCTTTATACTCTTTTCACTTGTTAGAAAATATCACAAACAATAATAAATAAATGGAAAATGACAATAATACAAGTTACAATTATAATTGTAATGCACTCTTTTAATAATTTCTGTTTCATTTTAAAAAATGTATATACACTCACCGGCCACTTTATTAGGTACACCTTACTAGTAGCTGGTTGGACCCCCTTTTGCCTTCAGAACTGCCTTAATCTTTCGTGGCATAGATTAAACAAGGTACTGGAAATATTTCTCACAGATTTAGGTCCATACTGACATGATAGTATCACGCAGTTGCTGCAGATTTGTCGACTGCACATCCATGATGTCAACCTCCCATTCCACCACATCTTAAAGAAGTGCTCTATTGGATTGAGCTCTGGTGACTGTGGAGGCCATTTGAGTACAGTGAACCCGTTGTCATGTTCAAGAAACCAGTCTGAGATGATTCACGCTTTATGACATGGTGCGTTATCCTGCTGGAAGTAGCCATCAGAAGACCATGACCATCAGAAAAAGATGGGTACACTGTGGTCATAAAGGGATGGACAGGGTCAGCAACAATACTCAGGTTGGCTGTGGCGTTGACACGATGCTCAATTGGTACTAATGAGCCCAAAGTACCAACACCAGCCTAAACCATTGATACAAGGCAGAATGGATCCATGATTTCATGTTGTTGACGTCAAATTCTGACCCTACCATCAGAATGTTGCAGCAGAAATAGAGACTAATCAGACCAGGCAAGATTTTTTTAATCTTCTATTGTACAATTTTAGTGAGCCTGTGCGAATTGTAGCCTCAGTTTCCTGTTCTTAGCTGACAGGAGAGGCACTCAGTGTGGTCTTCTGCTGCTGTAGCCCATCTGCCTTAAGGTTGGACATGTTGTGTGTTCAGAGATGCTCTTCTGTGTACCTCAATTGTATTGAGTGGTCATTTGAGTTACTGTTGCCTTTCTATTTACTGGTACCAGTCTGGCCATTCTCCTCTGACATCTGCCATTAACAAGGCATTTGCAACCACAGAACTGCTGCTCACTCATTCTCTTTTCAGTCCACTCTCTGTAAACTCTAGAGATGGTTCTGCATGAAAATCCCAGTAGATCAGCAGTTTTCTGAAATTCTCAGACCACCCCGTCTGGCACCAACAACCATGCCACATTCAAAGTCACTTAAATCACGTTTCTTTCCCATCCTGATGCTTTAAGCCACTTCTATACACCTTTAAGTGACATTTAAAGGCTTAACTAGGTTAATTAGGTTAACTTGGCAGGTTAGGGTAATTAGGCAAGTTATTGTATAATGATGGTTTGTTCTGTATATTATCAGAAAAAATAGTGCTTATAGGGGCTAAAAATTTTGACCTTAAAATGGTTTTAAAAATTAAAAACTGCTTTTATTCTAGCTGAAATAAAACAGATAAAACTTTCTCAAGAATAAAAAATATTATCAGACATACTGTGAAAATTTCCTTGCTCTGTTAAACATCATTTGGGAAATGTTTGAAAAAGAAAAAAAATTTAAAGGGGGGCGAATAATAATTGTGACTTTAACAGTTTGTGTATATGTTCGCAGGGACTTGAAAAAAGTGTTCTCCTCTGCTGCATCTCTAAATGGAAGTTTTCTCAAAACAAGGTAAACTTTCGTTTGTTTTGGTACTTTTCCCACCAATGTATTAAAAAGAGACACTTAGATTTCAGTGTAGATGTCTTTCTTTGTAGGCATGATGGTCATTATCAGACGTCTGAAGAGTATTGTGGTTTGGATTTTGGTCTGGTTGAATCTTCCATTGCAACTTTATCAAGGAATGAAAGGCTTATCTCAACGGTATGGTGAATCCAATATTTGCTAACAGGTTGCACCTAAAAAATGGAGGTGCTTTCCTGTTTATTCTAGTGTGTAAATATGACTCTTTTAACTAAGTTTTTAAGGGAGAGACCTTTGATGGGTGTATGTACACTGAAAAAGATGAAACTACAATGTCTTTCATTCAAAGTAGTTTTTTTTATATTGAATTAAGTGAAAATACATGGTTTCTGATTTTAACCTTTTTTATTTAGTTTGCCTCTAAGCGCAAAATTAACCCCTATGAAAAATTAAAAGCATTGTTTTTTTCCTAAAAGTGATTTTACTTTAAAGCAGCAGATCATGTGACCACATGAAAAATATTGCTATTTTTGTTCTTTTAGTTTTTATGTATTTATGTATTATGTATGTTTGGTTACCAGCTTGACTGACATTTATAGTCATACTGAAAGATGTTTACCTCATTATTGAAGATAACTCAGGTCCATAGCCAGCCTATTAAAAGGGGTGTTTTTTTCTCCAATAAGTGGATTTTTTTTTGCAGTTATTTGCCTCAATTTTTAAAAAATTGAATTATGAGATTTAAATAGGCTGACATAATGGCACAGTAGGTAGTGCTGTCACCCCACAGCAAAAAGGTCGCTGGTTCGAACCTCAGCTGGGTCAGTTGGCATTTCTGTGTGGAGTTTGCATGTTCTCCCTGCGTTCTCGTGGGTTTCCTCCGGGTGCTCGGTTTCCCCCACAGTCTAAAGACATGTGGTACAGGTGAATTGGGTAGGCTAAATTGTCCATAGTGTATGAGTGTGAGTGAGTGTGTATGGATGTTTTCCAGTTATGGGTTGTGGCTGGAAGGGCATCCGCTGCGTAAAACAGGTGCTGGATAAGTTTGCGGTTCATTCCGCTGTGGCGACCCCGGATTAATAAAGGGACTAAGCAGAAAAGAAAATAAACGAATGAATGAGATTTAAATACTGTAAGTTAATGAAGCTTTTAGCACTATTTTTAGCTGAATTAGCTTGTAGGATGTTCATTATAACCACACTTTTTGATGTATCAGAAATATTTCCTAAAGATTTAAAATAAAAAAATATGTAAAAAAAAAAACTGTATTTTTTAAAATACAAATTTATTACATCATAATATCATTAGAAAAAATAGTAAGTTTTCAATTAAAAACTGGAGCCTATTGTCATTCATTAGGCAAATAACAAGCTAGCCAGCATATTAAACTTTCCTCAGTCAGAATTTAGCCTTTTGAATAAAAAATAGTTGAATAATAATAATAATAACAATAATAATAATAATAATAATAACAACAACAACAATAATAATAATAAAGCATTTCTTGTAAAAAAAAAAAAAAAAAAACAAGTACATTTTTAAAAATTCATGGATAACAACGATAGCCAAAATGGTATTCAATTTCATTTTAATATGGACCACTTCTGGTGCTTCACACCTTTTTATTGGTCATTTTTTTTGTTTCAGGAGTAAGGCCTAAGATTTTGAATAAAAGTTACTTGTAAAATGTTTTTCTATTTAAAAAAATACAGTAGTGAAAAATGTTTTCTTTTATGTCAGATTGCATGTTTTCTTGCACAGCTGAATGTTGCTCTGATTGAAAATGTTTGTTAGCATTGGCCAGAACTGATTAGCTGAAGTCACACCAAAGAGACAATCAACAGAGGATTCCACTTGTTCTTAAAGACTTTTTTGATGAGTGACAAACTGCAAGCTTCACATGTTTATGCCAGCTTTATATCTTCTAAACATGTATTTTGTTACTGTTTTGGAGCACACCACTAGCTAATGGATATCCTTAAAATTAACAGAATGAAACTAACTTCTAAAAGATATATATTTTTATTTCACGGCATCCTTTTCACACCTGTGTTTAATATCATCCACTTGTGTGATTTATTTTTTGACCTAAGGTTTTGAAAGTGCTCCAAGAGTCACTGTTGCCAACTCTAAATCCAAATCCAACTGGTGAGGAATCACTGAGACTCTATATTCTCCTGCCTGAGCTGATCAGCCATCTCAAGAGTGAACAAAAAGCAGAACTTACTGAAGCTCTGGCCTCCAAAATACTTAATCTAAGTCCTGCTGCTCTGAGAGTGTTAGGTAAAACTGGAAGATATTTAAACCATTCATAATATTGGCCTCGCTGGTCATAGCCTAAACATTTTTTCATTTTTATTTGTATTCTCAGAGATCTACTGGTCCAAACTCCCTGATGACTGGCTTAAAAACTTGGTTAAGTTATTCAAAAAGGCATCAGCTAAATTCTTTGGGAGGATCATTGTCGAGAACGTGAACAATGTGGCTAAAACACACATGCTAAAATTTGTGGAGATTCTTCAAAGGGTCTATCAGGTGCCTTTATTATTTATTAGGTCAAACCTTAAACATGTGACTGTGTTGTTTTGATGAAAGTAGTTTCAGTAACAAAGTTTCTGTTGTGAAGGTCTGCTGCAGCGCCAACAGAAATATCAAGAAGAGGTATTTCATCATTCATGAGGTCAACAATCTCCTAGATGTGGTGAGAACTATTTCTGCCAGTGGGCATCCTGTACATGTTTTATTTGTGGGAAGGAAGAGTTCAAATGAGGACTTTTTAGTAGCATTATTTAATAAATAAACAAATATGTTTGTTATCTAAACAAAACCTGCCAATAATTAACTAAACTGTAAAAAAAAAAGAAAAAAAAAAAAAAAGCTGGGTTCCAAACAATCAAATTGTGTTGGAACAACATAAGTGAAGTTTATTTATAAACTAATTTAGGTTATAAGTTTAAAAACTTAAGTTTAAAAACTTAAGTTTAAAAGTAATTTACTTAATTTTAAAATAGAAATAGTATTATGCAAAAGTATTGTAACGAGATATTGCACAATGTTGGGTTAGTTTTACAATACTAAAATGTCTGCATGAACACTTTGCATATGCAGGTGCGGGTATCAGTAATGAAAATGTATTTATTAGAAAATGCTTACCAAATGTTGATTAAAAATGCCTTAAATGTTTAGTTTACAACACCTATAGTTTTGTTTTACCAGTTGTTTTGTATTATAGAACTTAATAATTAATGTTTTTGAGTTTCTTTAAACATATACATTTAAAACATGATTCGTGGAAATTACTCTTAAAGTCACGTTGCCTTTCCAGTATTCTTTATTTTCATAGGTATTGTAATAAAGAAAGAGTTGTCTAACATTTTATGTACTTTTTTATGAGAACAACTGTGTACCTTCATTTCAATTGTACCACAAAAGGTACAGAACAACATTATAGGAGGCCTTTTCTGTACTATATAAGATACAATTTTTATACAAAACTGTTTCTTAAGGAACATTATTTGTACCACTGTGTACCCTTTTTTCTGAGAGTGTATGAAATATTTTTTTTTATTTTAAAATGTTTTAATATGTTTTAAAACAAAACAACAAAAGTTGAAAAATTGTGAAGCGTTATTGCACTATAAAAATAACTGTTCAAAAGTAGTATAATTTAATTTAATAATTTATTTCATCAATTTTAATGGTGAATTTTCAGCTTCATTACTCCAGTCTTCAATCACATGATCTTTCAGAAATCATTCAAATATTATTTTATTATTATTATTATTATTATTATTATTATTATTATTATTATTATTATTGGTAATAGTAATAAAATCAATAATGACTGGAGTAAAAAATTATAAATAAGTATTTAACAATTAAATTTTTTTACATTTAATAAATACTTCCTTGATGAACAGAATAATTTTGTTTAATTATTAAATACATTTATTAATAAAAAAAAAACTGTCCTCAAACTTTTCGGTAGTATATATATATACATACTGTCCGCGTTCGCGATGGTTTCCTCCGGGAGCTCGGGTACCCCCGCATTCGAAAAACATATGGTACAGGTGAATTGGGTAAGCTAAATTGTCTGTAGTGTATGTGTGTGAATGAGTGTGTATGCTTGTTTCTTATGGCTGGAAGGGCATCCGCTGCGTAACACATATGCTGGATAAGTTGGCGGTTCATTCCGCTGTGGCGGCCCCAGATTAATAAAGGAACTAGGCCGGAAAGAAAATTAATGAATAAACATCTAATTATTTTTTGACGTGACACAAAAAGAAATGAAGACTTCCAAAACACTTCCAAAACAATCATCCTTGGTTATCAGATGATACTTTCCATATTAATATGACTTTCCATATGACTTTTAATTCCCCCAAATCAACAGCTACAAACTATGAATGCAGATGTTAATAACAACTGGCCTTGGTTTAACCTTACTGGACAAATCCATGCCCTGGAGGCACAACGAAATGCGTATGAAGTGAGCAAGTCTTTTGGTCTTATGTTTGATTTGAATGCAATTTTTAGCTCAAGCAGCATGATGATTCAAATTGCGTTTGTTACAGGAAACTTTTAGAAAGCTGACATCATTTCCATGCATCTTTAATCTGGAGGCCAAATGTAGCTATATGAGGAACAGAGTATGGAAGGTAATTTTGCCTTGACTTAAAGGTTCCCTGCATATGACACCTGTGTCCATATTCATGATCACAAAGTAAAATTGTGTAATTGCAGGGTCGTTTTGAGCTGACTGTGAGACGCACAGCACTGCTAGAGGATTGTTTATGTCTACTAAACCCAGGCACCCAACAGCATCTCAGAGATAAATGGCTGTCGGTAAGCAACAAGAATGAGTTGCACACAGTACAGTGTTTGCATGTTTTGTTTTGATTTAATAACAAAGCAACAATTTAGTATGGAGGACAAATCCCTGCGGCTAGTTTCTTGATAGCTTGCTTCTTATCCAATTTTTAGTACTTCTAAAGCACATGTATTTATAATGCCTCATTCTGAATGCGTTTGTTAAAGCAATATAAATAAAATATAAATAAATAAAATGTAAATATAAACAAATAAATATAAATAAAATGTCAACCAACCTTAGTATAGGGAAGAATATTGCTTTGATAATCTGTCATGTTTGTGAAGGCTATTTATTAATTTCTTTTAATTTATAAGCTTTGGTATGAATTCATTTTTGGACACAGATTCTTTTCACTGAGAACGTGAGCAAAAGAACAGACGTCCACAAGAGGGACTTCTTTCTCAACGTGTTTAAGGAGCTTTGTGATCCAGCTTCTCAGCTCTTCATGTATAACGACAACGAAACTATGATCTGGTTCCCCGCGAAGGTAAGGCAAAGACTTTTTTTATTATGTTAAAGGTTTATTTGTGATTGTTCCCATAACTCATTTTTACAGGATTATAGAATTATAGCACTATATGTACTTTTAATATTTAGATTAGTTCAGTGAAAATAAAATAAATAAAATATCTAATGATGCAAATTTAGATTTTTTTATTTAAATAACTTTTTGTTGTTGTTATTAATTTATAATCTACATTTTTATTATGATTTTATTATGATCACCAAAGATTTAGCAGTTGCAGATAGCTGGAGAACTACAAATCTTTAAATTTATCGAACTACAATTCCCATCATGCCTGGCACTCACACACCAGTTCTAGATCAGATTTTTGGAATTCACTTAGTGACCCCTACTCATTGTCCTGTGACCCCCACTTTGTGAACCACTGTTCTAGATTACCTCTTGATTTCACACTCACAGCTGCAGATCATCCTCATTGGTTACTTGGACTATTTAAGCACCACAGCGACATTCATTTCTTGCTCAGTATTGTTCTGTGTTCCATGTTCTGTGTTCCATGTATGCAAACTATGTTTGCATAGTCTGGTTTTTGATTCTTGGTTTTTTGTATTGTGGTAGTTTTCTGCCTCCCCTGACCTTTGCATGTTTCTTGAACTACTTTTTTTGGAATGCCATTACTATTTATGTTTTGTTTAGTGGTGAGCTGAGTGAGGCTTCATGAAACACTGAAACAGGTGAAGCAAATGTGTCGAAGCTTCATAACGTTTTGAAACCCATGTCTACAGTGGTCACCTAGTGGTCATTTTGATGTATTGCTCCAGAGCAGCTTCAGCAAAGAAACGGTTAAGCAAATTGAGGAGTTAAACCCCATGTTGTAGAGTTGAGGTTTCAAATAATTTAGTGGAGTGGTGAGAGATCCAGACTAGCATGCAGAGATAATGGGTTCGAATTCAGGCTGGTGAAGGTATAGATTAGTTTTTAAATGCTCTGTTCTTGTTATGCGTTTTATTTTAACATTGGTCTGTAATCCAAATTAACATCTTGTGTATAAATATGTCTTGTTTTGGTCATAAAACATAAAGTAACATTATTAAAATACATCAAGTCATAATTTCAGAGTATTTTTATACAAGTCAGGATTTGAACTCAGTCCATTTGCCGCTCAGTCATTGTGTGCACACGCACAGTCCACTAGACTACATGAGATTGAGGTTTTTCTGACCCTGTCGTTCAAACGCAGATTCGCCACAGCTCGAAACATTTCTGAAATGGCAGATGTTTTGAACAGCTTTACGTGTCCTGGTGTTTCGAAACCAAGGTTCGAAACACTTTAGTCAAATGACCTTAGTGTTTCGAATCACCTTAGTCATGTGACCTGGGTGTTTCGAATCATGCTATGGTGCAGTATTTCGAAACACGCGTGCTTCGAGATCTCGACACTTTGTCAAAACCATAGACTGTAAAAAATATGGACGTAGTATCGGTGGCATCACCCATAGGTTTCTGAAGAGCGCAAATAAAGCTACAAGTGGGAGTAGCCAATCGTCGCTACTTTGTTCGCGCTTAATCGCGATAACCGGGAGATACCAAAAAAGACCAAGGAGGCAGCTACAGAAGCCTGATAGCATTTTGCTTAGATGACATTTTCTTTGGGAGAAACGCTTAATACTTCATTACCTGCAACTCGTTTGTGTTCTGACCACATGTGCTTGGTTGTGTACTATATTAATAAAGTGTTTAGTCTTTTAAAAACACTGCTGTAATACATTGAGCCACTAAACATTGTTCTTATGACGTTTTTCAACAGAAGGAAAACGCGAATTACTTCCAAACATTTTAAATATAGTCTGTGTTATTAAATGCAGGGCTATTGATGAAATCTAGCATAACACTGTATGACAACGCTTCAGACGACTGATCTAGAGCCTACAGCTAATCAATCTGTCAGATTCAGGAGTGCTTTACAGGTCTAATGAACATTTTAAATGATAAATTATCTTAAATAAAACAAATACATTTATAGAGATGGTATATGAGCAGATAAGAATTTCGCTCACTTAGGAGGCCACATAAATAGTTTATGAGCACAATTAAGTGCACAGCATGCCATATAATCTGTAATTGTAGGAAATAAATCTAAAAAGCAAACAGACTGTGTAAAGCCACATAAAACAAAACAAAAATACAATGTATATGCAGAGTTCAGCAGCTAATCAGCTGAAATGATGTGACGGTGTCCAGTGTAACCTAGCTGTCACTCAAGTGGCCACACCCTTAATTATGCAGACTTAATAAAAACTATACGGATGGGTTAGACAAAAATTCACATGAAGGGTAATATTAGCTTCTGTAAATACACCAAAATCGTTTTTGTACCAGGCTGTAAAAAAAAAAGTTCTGCTGTAAATTTGAACATCATAATAATGGGGTCATTAGAAATTTGCTCTATTTTGGAGCCAGGACTAACAGAGTTTTGATAAATTGCAGTTATAGCTACTTCCGTATTAGCTTTACGAGGGAAAGTGGGATTTTGCCGCATGGTCGAAATGTCATTTACACTATAGCCATCCCTAGTTTTGTTTTTGTTTTGACCCCTGCCTGCCTGACCATTCACTGAATAAAGCTGCACATGAATCTCTGTTCCCATGCCTTTATAATAGTTAGAGTTATCAGAACTAACAAAAAATACATGATCCAAATCTCATAAAAGATTGCAATTTCAAATAAATGGATTTTAAATCAGATTTATTTTTTGAAAATACAGTGAAAAGTAAACAGTAATAATAATAATAATAATAATAATAATCGCTTTATCTTTGTTTAATATAAAATGCATTTTGGCAAGCGATATAAACTCATCATTCAAAGTTGTAAAGAAATAAGATAATTCTCACTAATGCCAAAGTATATGTATACTGTATATGTTACATATATACATATATACTGTATGTTACAATCTGTTTGTTCATCATTATTTTCCTTTGATCTTTAACAATTATAATACCTCACCAGCTCACCGTGGAGAAGAAGAAGTACTTCCTGTTTGGGATTCTGTGTGGCTTGGCCTTCAACAACAGCTCTGTAGTCAATCTGCCTTTCCCTTTAGCCCTGTTCAAGAAACTTCTCAACATCAAACCATCTCTGGAAGATTTTATAGAGTTTAATCCAGTCCATGGCAGGTGATTATTTAAGTACAGTCAAATGCTACTAACTATTTATGTTCACTCTCTCTTTTTTTATACCAATGTGAGTTAAAATAGCTAATTGGTAGTGCTCACAGAATCAATCTAATGTTTTATTAAACCATGTTTTCAGGAGTTTACAGTACATCCTAGAGTACAGTAATGATGTTCTGGAGGAATCGTCCTTGCCCTTAACGGTTAGTTTGTCTTGTCATCACATGCAATGATGGTATAGTATATATTTTTTAAAGAGAAAGTGATTTAGGTTTTTGAAAATTATTAGATAATATGGAGTGGATCAGAGCTGGACCTGGACCCTGCTGAGCCAGAACAGCACATCACGACTTCTAACAGGTGAGAATTTTTTCAGATTACCCACAAGGACACAGTGTGTCTTGTATACCATCAACAAAAACACTGATCTTTCAGTTCAATTCATGTTTATTTCTATAGTGCTTTTACAATGTATATTGTGTCAAAGCAGCTTACATAGATGAAGTTCTAAAAAATTGACTCCAGTTTTCATAGATGAAATGTTAGAGCTTCTTTAAATATATCTTCTGCAGAACTAAGTTTGTGGATGAATATGTGGATCACATCTTCAATCAATCAGTGAAGGAGGCGTTTGAAGAATTTAGAAGAGGCTTCTTTAGAGGATGTGAGAAACGCTTGGTGGAGATGTTTGAACCAGAAGAACTGAGGGGGGTGCTGGTGGGCAATGAGGAATATGACTGGAATATACTCAAGCAGGTCTGTAACTATTAGCATATTCAAACATTTATTAGCTAATATGTTTTTGACTTACAGAACTCAGAAAAGGCAGTCTACTTGTGTATGATTAAAAAGGGCTGCCAATGACTTCATTTTCCAATAGTCTTTCATTTATGCAAAATGCAAATTTATGATATTAATATGTAATGAAGGGCAGCACGGTAGCTCAGTGGTTAGCTTTTTTGCCTTACAGCAAGATGGTCGCTGGTTCAAGTCCCGGCTGGGCCAGTTTACATTTCTGTGTGGAGTTTGCATGTTCTCCCTGTGTTGGCGTGGATTTCCCTTGGGTGCTCCGATTTCCCATGCGCTATAGGTGAATTGAATAAACTAAATTGTCCGTAGTGTATTAGTGTGAATGAGTGTGTATGGTTGTTTCCCTGTACTAGGTTGCAGCTGGAAGGTTATCCGCTGTGTAAAACATGCTAGATAAGTAAACTGTGGCAAGCCCAGTTTACTAAAGGGACTGAGTTGAAAACAAAAGAAATGAATGAATGAATGTACAGCAATGCTTATTAGGACTAGTACATAAAATGAATGGCACATGTTGTTTTAAAGGGCACCTATTATGAAAATCATCCGTTTTAAGCTGTTTGGACAGAGCTGTGTGTAGATATAGTGTGTCCACATATTGGTGTGATGTTAAGACATTAAGTCTATTTTTTTAAACTTCCTAACATTAAAATAGGATCTAAATCCCTCCCATTTTGAGGCCCACCGCAATGTGACGTAGTCGTAGATATGCGGTTTCCCCTCCCACCAAATTGATTGACAGCCGCGTATTAACATGTCTCTAGTAACGCGTATAATCATATCAACAAGACAAACATGTGCAAAAGAACTGGGATTAAAAGATCTGTTCAGCTCTCTGTGATCATCAACCATCATAAAATTTGATCAAGAATTTTACAAGTTTACAAGTTACTTGTTTTACAAGTTTAAAAACGTTTTTTGCTTTTTTGTAATATAGTAAGTTAAAAACGTTAAAATCGTTGTAATTCATCAGCATAGCTGCATGGCAGTACAATTATAAAAGTAGATGCTTCAATCCTGGTTTGTGGACATTAAAGGGCACCTAGGTTACCCCTTTTTTCAGATGTATTATGAATCATTTGTGTCTCCAGAATGTGTCTGTAAAGTTTCATCTTAAAACACCCATCATATATTTTATTATACCTTTTATAAGATTCTGTTTTAAACATTTTTGCACTGGGTGGCAGTTTTGCTGTTCTGCGCCTTTAAAGCTAGTCCTGTCCGCCCACCGTTTCTATGTGCCTTGCAGCCTTTCTGCATGCCTTAATCTCATCCCTCGGCTGCGTCAGACAACAAACAGACATAAAGGAAGCAGATCTCATGTAGTGTTTGTGAAAAATACTAGAGTTAGAACTTTACCCATGATTATTTGATGCATTTGCTGTATTAAGTTACAACGTCAATGTCGTTACAAAGTTCACGCGCACACACACAGACACACATATCCGGCACGGACACGATACGCACATACATACAGACAGCGCGTTTAGTTTTGCACTCTTTTTGCACGCAAATGTGACAGGAAACAGGCTTATATCCACTGCTGTTTGGGTATCTGTTATGCTAATGTACAAAATAAACCTGATTTAAATGCCATTTAGCATTAAATACCCCTTGCCGTACTATATGGAAAGTCAAAACAAAGGTTTAAATGCTAAAACGGCTAGCTATGGTCATGAAAAACCTGGAAAAGTCAATTAATTTTGACATGGCATTTTCCAGGCCTGGAAATGTTATGGAAAATCTTAAAAACCCCCAAAGTCATGGAAATTAGTTTAACAAATATCTGTATACTTAAATATGGGTTAGTTGTCTTCTGTCCATGGCCAAACTCATGCTCTCACATTATTAGTCTATTATCTAAATAAATTTGATGTATTTATAAAGATCATTTAAATTAAATAGATTGTTGCATGGGCGACGCAGTGGCGCAGTAGGTAATGCTGTCGCCTCACAGCAAGAAGGTTGCTGGTTCGAGCCTCAGCTGGTCAGTTGGCGTTTCTGTGTGGAGTTTGCATGTTCTCCCTGTGTTCGTGTGGGTTTTCTCCGGGTGCTCCGGTTTCCCCCACATTCCAAAGAGATGTGGTACAGGTGAATTGGGTAGGCTAAATTGTCTTAAAGGGCACCTATGGTAAAAAATCTATTTTTCAAGCTGTTTGGACAGATCTGTGTGTTGGTATAGTGTAGCTATAGCCGGCAGCTAGCTCTCTGCAACTCTCACATGGTCGCCCACTGAAGCTAAGCAGGGCTGCGCCCGGTCAGTACCTGGATGGGAGACCACATGGGAAAGCTAGGTTGCTGCCGGAAGTGGTGTTAGAGAAGCCAGCAGGGGGCGCCCAACCTGCGGTCTGTGTGGGTCCTAATGCCCCAGTATAGTGACAGGGATGCTATACTGCTCAGTGAGCGCCGTCTTTCGGATGAGACGTTAAACCGAGGTCCCGACTCTCTGTGGTCGTTAAAAATCCCAGGATGTCCTTCGAAAAGAGTAGGGGTTTAACCCCGGCATCCTGGCCAAATCTGCCCACTGGCCTTTGTCCATCATGGCCTCCTAACCATCCCCATATTCAATTGGCTGCATCACTGTCTCCTCTCCACCAATCAGCTGGTGTGTGGTGTGCGGTCTGGCGCAAAATGGCTGCCGTCGCGTCATCCAGGTGGATGCTGCACACTGGTGGTAGGTGAGGAGATTCCCACCACTGTGTAAAGCGCTTTGAGTGCCCAGAAAAGCGCTATATAAATGTAAGGAATTATTATTATTATTATTGTATAGACCGTCATACTGGGGTGATATGAACACACCCAGTCCTTTTTTTTCAATTTAACTACAAAAAAAAGGGTCAGCCAATTGGAGCTGTTTTCAAATCGATCGCACCATTACGTAGGTGTGCGATCCCCCCGCCCACCGAATTGATTGACAGCTGCGCATTAACATGTTCCGGTAGTCACGTGTATATGTCAACAAGACCAGGCAGACATACGCAAAGCAACTGGAAATAAAAACTCTGTTCTGTTCGCTAGGAACAGCAATCATCATCAAATGTGATTAAGAGTAAGTTTCACATGTTTAAAGTGTTTAAACAGATTATGTGTGTAATTAATTACAGCTTTACTTCAGCTTTACTTCATCAGCACAGCCGCGTGTCAGAACAATTATAAAAGCAGACGCTTCAATCCTGGTTTGTGAAAGTTAAATCAGGTTTATTTTGTACATTAGCATAACAGATATCCACACAGTACTTGAGGTTAGCCTTAACTAAACTAAGCGCACTCTGTCTGTCTGTCTGCCTGCCTGTGTGTGTGTGTGTGTGTGTGTGTGTGTGTGTCATCTGCGGTGTGTGTGTGTGCGCGGGCGCGCGCGTTAACTTTGTAACGATATTGTGTGTGACTCATCAATGCAACTTCACAATACTGATTAGTAAAGGTTAGTTCTTACTGTAGTATCTCACAAACGCTATGTGAGACCTTCTTCCTTTAAGTCTGTCTGTTGTCTGACGCAGCTGAGGGAGGAGGCATGTAGAAACAGTGAGCGGGAAAGACTCGGCTTAAAGGCGCAGTACGACAAAACCACCCCCTGCTGGAAATCAGTATAAAACAGCATCTTGTAAAAGGTATAATGAAAAATCTGATGGGTATTTTGATCTGAAACTTTATATACACATTCTAGAGACGCAAAAGACTTATATTAAATCTGAAAAAAGGGGTAACCTAGGTGCCCTTTAATGTATGAGTGTGAATGAGTGTGTATTGATGTTTCCCAGAGATGGGTTGCGGCTGGAAGGGCATCCGCTGCTTAAAAACATGCTGGATAAGTTGGCAGTTCATTCAGCTGTGGTGACCCTGGATTATTAAAGGGACTATCTGAAAAGAATAAATGAATAAAGATTGTTGCATGTTTTATGATATGCTGTAATAACTATGAACATGCATTGTTTTTCTTGTTATTTACCACGTTTAAGTAGATGTTACATGAAACATTAGGTCATGAAAATTTATTTGAAAGTCCTAGAAAAGTCATTGAATTTTAGTTGTAAAATGTGCATGAACACTGTGTATCTCTTTATGTACAGAACACTACATATGAAGGCGTATTTAATGCGGATCATCCAGTCATAATCTCTTTCTGGGAGGTGTTTGATGATCTGACACCAAATGAGAAGAAGTCCTTCTTGTGTAAGTTCACTGTATAGGTACTGTCAATTGAAAACTGTATGTTGTTGAAATCTGCTGAATTCTGACTTTTTTTTTTCCAAGTGTTTTTGACGGGGTTTGAGAGAGTGCCTATTCTGGGCATGAGCGCGGTGAAGATGAGAGTGACACATTTGGCTAACTCAACTGAGGATCATCTGCCAGAGACTCTCACCTGCCATTCTCTTCTGCAGCTTCCTAAATATGAGAAAAGGGAAACCCTCAGAGCCAAAGTTATTGAGGCCATCAGCCACAAGAGGGGGTTCTGGGAAGAATGAGGCGGATGATGCTCGTCTGAGGCACGTGTAGTCAATGATCTGATGACTTGATTCTGAAAATGTCTTAATAGTAAAAATTACTTTAATTAATATTCAGTTGAAGTTAGAATTATTATCCCTCCTGAATTATTAGGCCCCCTGTACTGTATATATATTTTCTTCAACGGAGAGCAGATCTTTTTAACAAATATCTTAACATAATAGTTTTAATAACTCATCTCTAATAACTGATTTATTTTATCTTTGCCATGATGACAGTAAATAATATTTTACTAGATATTTTTCAAGACACTTCTATACAGCTTAAAGTGACATTTAAAGGCTTAACTAGGTTAATTAGGCAAGTTAGGGTAATTAGGCAAGTCATAATGATGGTTTGTTCTGTAGACTATCAAGAAAAAAGGCGGGTAATAATATTGACCTTAAAATGGTGTTTAAAAATTAGAAATTGCTTTTATTCTTGCCAAAATAAAACAAATAAGATTTTTTCCAGAAGAAAAAATATTATCAGACATACTGTGAAAAATTCCTTGCTCTGTTGAACATCGTTTGGGAAATGTTTAAAAAAGAGCAACAAATCACAGGATGGATAATCATTTTAGCTTCAACTGTATGTGAGCAGTGTGTAACTAAAACATAAGGGAGAAATATTGTAAATGATATGCAGTAAAAACATTCGCCAACAGCGTCACAAACTTGTGTGGTTGGAACTACATCTTCAGACCTATAGTTAGGAGAATAGTTTTTTACTGTTTTGTGTTCTAATGGTATTGGCCTGTTCGTTTTTATGTTCATGTTTTTTAGTCTCGTGTGGACTTAAACCTAAATGCATACACACTCATGGGGACTTGTGTCAGTGTGGGGATCTACACAAATATGGTTATAAATCATAAAGAATAAGATATTTTAAAATGTGAAAATGCAAATTGTTTTCTTTGAGGGTTGGGTTTAGGGGTACAGTTCGTACAGTAGAAACATAATTATGTGAGTGCAATTATGTACATGTGTAATGTTGACAATGTTGTAATGTATGAGATGTTTTGTATTTATGAATTTAATTCAAAATAACTTAGCATATTAATAGTATCATTTATTATTTATTTTTGAAAATAATTAGATTTTTGTGGACTTATTTGTATAATAATAGAAATTATGGTTGTTCTTTTAAGTCATTTTCTATTTGTCAATCCAGTTATGGTGTAAAAATATATTTAACTGAATAAAGGTTTGGAAAAAGTAAAGGGTGAGTAGATGATGACTGATTTTTTTTGTTTGTAGAACGATCCTTTTAATAGAAATATCTACATAGAAATAGCTAACCTCGCAAAACGATTACATTTCATATTACATTATTGTTCATAGGTGGCATGGTGGCTCAGTGGTTTGCAGCTGGAAGGGCATCCGTTATGTAAAACATATGCTGGAATAGTTGGCGGTTCATTCGGCTGTGGTGACCACTGATAAATAAAGTGACTAAGCCGAAGGAAAATGAATGATTTATTGGGTATTTCTATGAGGGTGGTTTGGACCAATAAGGATTAAATCTTAAATACAACTATCTTAATTTTCAATCAAGGTTTATGTTATCGTTTTAAATATGTAAAGATGAACATGCTTACAAATAAACTATTGGTTTATATCCTGGACTTAAACTAACAATTTGTTAGCCTGTGTTTAAAAATTAATGGGTTTCCACACCACTCGATTTAAAATAAACCAAGCTGTAATAACAGCAGTAATATCTAGTAATGTCTAGTTAATCTCCACTATTTATTGTTTGTTAGTATGTGAAACTCTAGATTATTATAGAATCTTCCCAACTATGGGTTATTTTTACCCAATGCATTGGGTTGTATAATTTAATGTTATTTTTTCCCATTCTTGTATTACTATTACTACTAGTACTACTATTATTTTTATAATTATGGCTGTGTAAATAAATAACATACAGTTTTCAAAAATATTGAAAATGCTTTATTTCCATTTCATTTTATTTTCAGACACTTTTGTTAAAATGAATCAAGACTCAAAAACAATGAAGAAACAGAACAAAGTACAGACAGTTAGCAGCTGTGCAAGCAGGAAATCATGTGTTGATGGAGCAGAATATGGAGCTGTGACTGTCCAGCAGCTGCAGTAGCCTTCGCTTAATGTCCACAGTGTACAATACATTATAACCACATCCACACTTCTAAAAGATGGTCATGGATGGTGAAACGGATATAAAAAAACCGACACGGAGAGGTAATTCAATAAGAAAATAACAATATCATTGCATTATAGCTTAAATAAACTTAACTTAATAACGCAAAAACAACATTACGCACCCATAATACAGCTGTTTTATTTCAGTTAAATCAGTTGATTGTTGAAATTCAAATTTTTTAACCCAATTGATTGAGTTATTAAGTAAATAACCCAATAAAGGTTAAAAATAACGCAACAACGTACCAACTATTTCTCAACTGGTTAAGTTATTAATAAATAGCCTAAAAATGTAAAAAATAAAATAAAATAAATAATAATAATAATAATAGCCTAATAATAATAACCCAACAAAGCAATATATATTTTTAACTCAACCATTGGGTTAACAAATAACTCAACGTTTTTTAGAGTGTACTAATCTGGCGCCCTCTATCGCCTCAAGTGTACTTACAGCTAGGTTGACAGGAGTCACGTGATCACTGACGCCGTAATCTGAGTCGTAACTTCCTTGTTTTTGTCGGAACCATTAAACTGAAAGCATTCCAGCAATATACGGTCAAAATAAAGAGGAGGCGAGATGCATTTCACCAGGTAACACTTTCCAAATTAACCCACCTTCATTACAGCATGTTCGCGTTTGACTTGTGCCAGACAGAGAACTGCATTCGCATGCTAGAAAATGACAGTTTAGTGAGTGTCAGTGGGGTGTTATGTGTCAGTGTGTCCTCACGGTATCCTGAGTATTAGTACTGAGGTTACGCATTTACCACACAGACAGTCAGGTCAGAGGTTTGACTATTGTTATCTGCAGTGTGCGAACCATAGCATTGTTTAGCGTATTAAAGCAACCCGAGAGCTGTCAGGCTTGTTCTTACAGGCCGACTGGACAGATTGGACCCACATATGGACGTTTCTAAACCCAGTGAGCTGCCCTACCTAGTGAACATTATGAAAGCGCCATTGAAAACTCTTATATCTGTTCAAATATAGAACTTCAAAGGCGATAAAAGTCGACCGTTTGGAACGCGGACTTCGCTCCTGTAATGTAATAACGTTAAAATGTTTGAGAACGCGGTGTTCTGATCAGTCGAATCGAACGTTTGGAATTCGTTAACGATGTTTAAAAATTCGAATAAAGTTTGCAGAACCCGCGAATGATTTCTCAGACTTTCTAATGTACAGTGTAAGGAACACGCCCCAGAAATCACATTCCAACTGCACAATCGTTTCAGCATTGATATCGCATATTGATATGCGATCATTCTCTGTAGTCATATCGCAGGAGATGCAGGATGTTGAGGCTGTATTGTAATTTATCATTTGCATTCGTTTTTTAGTGCCTGTAATTGTATAATGACTTTAAAGAGCACCTGTTTCACCCCTTTTACAAGATAAGCTTTTGGGGTCTCCAGAATGTGTCTGTAATGTTTCAGCTCTGAATACCCAATGGATTATTTATTATAGTCTCCAGATTATACTCAGTTTGGTGTCTGAGTAGATTGTAACTGTTTTTGTAGCTTGTAGCTTTAAATGCAAATGAGCTGCTTCTCCCTGGCCTCTGTGACCTACCGGTCCTGCCTGGCGCGTTGCCATGCAATTATACACTTCTGCATACTGTTTGTGTTGCTCTGCAATAACACTTCCGAAACGCTAGCTGGCAGTAGGTTTTTATGTTTCTCTGTGTCGAGTTTCTTTGCTGCCAGGTGTTTTGTTTTTTTTTCTGATCGCCACCTAATGTAAAAGTGGCTCATTTTGAGGCGGGAACCGGCGGACGTGCAACAATTTTATTCTTAAGGTAAACACAAAGTAAAACTTTCCACCTGGAGCTCCTTAGTGGGACTCGACACTTGTATACACTCGCTCCAGCTGGTTCACACGGCTTCCTGTCCCTCCCACACTCGTCAGCGCTATTAATCACAGCAGACCAATCGCACGCTTTGCCTCATAGCTGCCATTTTGGTTAAAAAAAAAAAAAAAAAAACTAGCTAGCATGTAAATCCATGCGAATATAGGATGTTTTTGTTTTTGCATGGTTTGATATTGTGACAAATTACCAACACACATGAATTTTTTTTTTTAGACTTGACTAAATTTGTAGCAGCCATTACATATGATAATTTACCCAAAGCTGAAAATCCTGTCATCATTTACTCACTCCTTACCTGTAAGTGTTTTTATTTGTTAAAATTGATCTATTACATGCAAAGTTTCTAGCAATAACGGTATGTTGTAGCGAGGATGTAAACAAGGGGAAATGCTGCTTGGCACCGCTAGCAATTTAGCTACAAACTCATATTTCTTAGTGAAACCTCTGTAAACACGCACAATCTTCAGCAGCACTGCAGCATCTCTCTGTGCGGATGCGTTCCCTGTATTCAACAGCTCAAATAACAAACTCCAAAACATATGTGAACATTTTATATTACTTACACATGCTTATAACCTGAATATATGTAATATATATAAAAAAATATGCTGATGCACTTCCTGCTGAAACAAATTATTGAGTAGGGGGCGGGGCTTTCTGTTTACTCATCAGTCCCTTATTGACCTTATTCTCCGCAGACGAGTGGGCACTGCCATTTGAATCTTTTTGGCTTGAGACTTCTGGTCTCATTCACTTCCATTCATTTTTTGACGTTAAAAACTGCTCATTACGCGGCTTGATGTTGCAATTAGATATTTTCTTATTATATTATTCTACTTGGTCTGTATAGTCATGCAAACATTTGTTTGTAGAGCAAGTACTTTGACCGTTTTCTGCCGTTTATTATTCTCAGTCATTTCTCCCATAGGCGACTGAATCGGAAGTTCTAAGACAATCGCGAAAACAGGCGCACTTCCGCATTTTAGAATAAGGTCAATAGCAAACTAACAGTAAAATGGGCGTGGCTAAAAATATTGTGTCTGAAGCATCAAACTGACATCATCTGAGAAGGACCGCCCCTTCAAACACAAAAGCGAATGCTCAGAATTTGATTGAAGATTACCAAAACAAACATTTATTTTTTACAGCAGATTAACAAAGTAAGTGTTCATCTAAAAAATAACAATGTGGACTAGCAAAAGAAATGTAGGAGATTTTGATCTCATTCAGATTTACATTTTAATGACACGTTTTTTAACCCAAATGTTGGGTTTGTCTATATAACCAAACATTAGTGTATAAAAACTTAGCAAATACAAAAATATCCTCTACCTAGCAGGTTACTGAAACTGTATATAGCTGTTTAATCGGGTCGATTATAATCTTGTATCAAGTGTCTGACCATCCACATATAGTCGTCATCTATACACACACACACACACACACGCACACACACTTTGGCCATTATGTAAACAGGGGAGTGACCTCCTCCATTCTCTTCCCCCAATTCCTCACCTACTTGTTCACAGCGTCTCAGACTTTGTTTTTGCTCTGTTCCAGATCCGTCATGTACAGGCGGAGACGGCAAGGCGGCACAGCCTAGGAGCTCTCCCCGATTCCAGATCCTTCCATCTGTTTCTCTCTCTGTATGTGTGAATCATGATGCTGTGCTGGGGAAGCAGTGGCGCGGGTCAGCTAGGCATCGGTGCGTCAGAGGCGTCAGTCTTTGAGCCTAGGAGCTGCTGCGTGTTCGACGGCCGAGGGCTTAAAGAAGTGGCGTGCGGCAACCAGCACTCGCTCTTCCTGTTGCATGATGGAAGCGTCTACACCTGCGGATCCAACAGCTGCGGTCAGCTGGGCCACGACAAGGGAGGAAGCAGGCCAGGTAACTGACATTGTGATAATTTGAGTGGATTCGACAGAATTTGATGCTACCTTTAAACTATAACTTGACTATAATGAAAGCTTTTGGAATGGTCATATTCAATTCAATTTAATTCAGCTTTATGTGTATAGCGCTTTTACAATGTAGATTGTGTCAAAGGAGCTTCACATAAATGGTCATAGTAACTGGAACAGTGTAGTTCAGTTTTTAGTGTTTAAGTTCAGTTCAGTTCAGTTCAGTTCAGTTCAGTTGAGCTCAGTTCAGTGTGATTTAAAATCATTACTGAGAGTCCAAACACTGAACAGCAAATTCATCAATGCGTAGCTCTACCAATCCTGAACCATGCGAGGCAGTGGCGACAGCGGAGAGAGAAAAAAAACTTCACCTGATAGGAGTGAAGAAAAAAAAAAACCTTGAGAGAACCAGACTCAGTTGGGCACGACCATTTTAATTTCTCCGCTGGCCAAAAGTCTTGTACAGAGCTTCAGTCACCGTGGCACCGTGGCATATCTCGCATCTGGTATGTGTGAAATGGATCAAGTCATATTTTCAGAAATGTGTCATGTGATGTTAGATTTTTGGGATGTACCTGTGATTGCCAACAATTTGGACAGATGTTATATTTGTATGGAGCTTACAATGTGACAAAACAATCTGAATTTGAAATGTATTCATTTGAACTATTGACAATTTTAAAGGCTGATGTATACTTCTGCGTCGAATGATCGGTCCGACCCACGGCTCCTGCCTTGCGCATTTATACTTCTGCATGCTCTGGGGCGGCCCTTGGGAATGGGTTGTGGTGTGTGGGTTGGGAGGAAGTTAGGATGATTCAAAGGGCCCTTGCTGTTTTGGAGCCCCCAGAGTTACTATTTGGGGTCCTCCTATCTCACCCCACACCTTGCAAGTGGTGCTCGCTGCAGAGCCATTTGAGGAGAGGTGAGCTCCAGAGAGGGGGAGCTTAAGCTTGAGCTCCACCTTTTTTGCACTTCTTCTACGAGTGATGTCACTGGGGGTAGGGTTAGGGGTGGGGTTGGTGTACGCATTAAAACAGCTTACAGGAGGAGGAGCGACAGCTCATGCTCCCCCTCTCTGGAGCTCACCTCTCCTCAAATGGCTCTGCAGCGAGCACCCTCTCACACCTTGTGCCCTCTCTCAACCCCCAACCCGTTCTTCACTTTTGCCGCAAAGCTCCGGACCAGGCAACGTTTCTCCAATCTTCTATTGTCCAATTTTGGTGAGCCTGTGTGAATTGGAGCCTTAGTTTCCTGTTCTTAGCTGACAGACCCTGTGTGGTCTTCTGCTGCTGTAGCCCATCTGCCTCAAGGTTCGACGTGTTGTCAAGTGAATTTAAACCATTTGGGCACATGAAGAAATTATCAAATTTGTGGCTTTAACAAAGATTAATTGTAATTAGCAATACAATGAGGATCAGCATTTGAAGTGGATCGAAAATGGTTTACAAAATTGTTTCCAAAATATCAGAAAGGGTGTTGGTGAATAGTTTTAGGACAGCTTTGATGAAATGTTTTAATCCCCTCAAACATTGGCGATGGTATACAGCAGGGATCACCAAACTTGTTCCTGGAGGGCCGGTGTCCTGCAGATTTTAGCTCCAACCCTAATCAAACACATCTGAACAAGCTAATCAAGGTCTTACCAGGTATACTTGAAACCAGACAGGTGTGTTAAGGCAAGTTGGAGCTAAACCCTGCAGGGCACTGGACCTCCAGGAACAAGATTGGTGACCCTTTGGTATTTAGCGTGGCCTGGATTTAATAAAACGCTTCGTGTTTGTTCATGTTATTATTATTGCATTATACTGCATTGACAGTCAGTGATGACTGCAGATCCTCTTTTATCCAGCATGCACTGGGACTCACCAGTTCAGGATTGCTAATCCGGTTTATAAGAAAACAATTCCAAGCAGCAGGCGCACTCTCTCTCTCTCGCATGTCTGTGCTAATGAGATGGCAGCATTCGTTCTGATGCTGGAACGAGGGATGCGTTAAGAAAAAAGTCCAGAAAATAATATGGAGAAAAAAAGATGCGCTGCTTTATTAACTGCAAACGTCTTTATACTGTATGGCCAGTGCAGAAATAGATGCATGTTTAAGAAGCCGTATATTAATGTAATGCGTAATGATGCATGCTTGATTGCATTCTGAATCATTTATTTATTATTAGATAGCATTGTTGCCTATTGTGGACCATGTTAAGCAGAAAATGCTTAACAGATGTTGGCCAATGATCAGAATTGCACAGTCATGAGTGCAGCTTGTAGAGTTTAAATGAATTTGATCACTGTAATGAAAAGCTCTTGAGAGGAATGTCGTTTTCACATTAGTCTGGAATTTAAAGCATTCACTGCAAAGTTTCTTCATCGTTTTGGTTAAGGAGGCATTCAGTTTTAGCATGCCTATTTACATCTACGTTAGTTAGTTAGTTAGTTAGTTAGTTAGTTAGTTAGTTAGTTAGTTAGTTAGTTAGTGAGTGAGTGAGTGAGTGAGTGAGTGAGTGAGTGAGTGAGTGAGTGAGTGAGTGATTGAGTGAGTGAGTGATTGAGTGAGTGAGTGAGTGAGTGAGTGAGTAAGTAATTGAGTGAATGAGTTAGTTAGTTAGTTACTTAGTGAGTTAGTTAGTGAGTGAGTGAGTGAGTTAGTTAGTTAATTAGTGAGTGAGTGAGTGAGTGAGTGAATGAGTTAGTTAGTGAGTGAGTGAGTGAGTTAGCTAGTTAGTTAGTTAGTTACTTAGTGAGTGAGTGAGTGAGTGAATGAATGAATGAGTTAGTAAGTTAGTTAGCTAGTTAGTGAGTGAGTGAATGAGTGAGTGAATGAGTGAGTGAGTTAGTTAGTTAGTTACTTAGTTAGTTACTTAGTGAGTGAGTGAGTCAGTTAGTTAGTTAGTGAGTGAGTGAGTTAGTTAGTTACTGATCGAGTGAATGAGTTAGTTAGTTAGTGAGTGAGTGAGTGAGTTATTTAGTTACTGAGTGAGTGAATGAGGTAGTTAGTTAGTTAGTTAGTTAGTGAGTGAGTGAGTGAGTGAGTGAGTGAGTGAGTGAGTGAGTAAGTGAGTAAGTGAGTGAGTTAGCTAGCTAGTTAGTGAGTGAGTCAATGAGTGAGTGAGTGAATGAGTGAGTTAGTTAGTTACTTAGTTACTTAGTGAGTGAGTGAGTGAGTGAGTGAGTTAGTTAGTTAGTTAGTTAGTTAGTGAGTGAGTTAGTGAGTGAGTGAGTTAGTTAGTGAGTGAGTTAGTTAGTTAGTTATTGAGTGAGTGAATGAGTTAGTTAGTTAGTTAGTTAGTTAGTTAGTTAGTTAGTTAGCTAGTTAGCTAGTTAGCTAGCTATTTAATTTGTTCATTAATTAATTAAAGTTTTTTTTAATTTTGGCATCTCCGCCACTCTTCCTATTACATACATGTGTGATCAATTGAATTTATTTTATGCTTTGGCTGTTTTTCTAAATTTAACCAATCAGATGAGGCCTTGCTTATTTTTATTCCCGCCTCCCCAGTAGTTGCTGTTTTGCTATTGGCTGGAGCTGCCCAAAGATTAACCTAGAGCTGAAATAAACAATAATGGGCGGAGTCAAACAAGGAAAATGACAACAGCCAAAGGCAGAATATCGACAGAGGTTTTCACTTTTTTATATTGTTTTGAAAACTGAATGTGTGCACCTTGACACAGCTTTTTAGTCTGAATTAGATTTAATTAGATCTGAAAAATATCCTGTTCCTGTTTATTTTAATATCAATAAATACATATAGTGATTTTAATGCATAGCTAATAAAAATAGCATTTTCTTGAGAAATGTTATACTGTACATTTGCATTTAGTCGTTTAGCAAATGCTGTTGTATAAAGTGACTTAAAATTGAGGAGGCATTCAGTGATTCAACAAAAAGAGTCAATACACACAAGAAGTTCTAGTTATACAAAGGAACTGTTAGTGCTCAGAATTTAGTGCTAGAGTAAGTAGTGCTAGTGCTAGAGTAATTTGTTTTAAAAGAGAGAGTGGTTTGGTGGTTTGTCAAGCCCACTCACCTGTGTTAATTACACTTCATAAATGCTAACTCTTATATTGTTACAAATATGTTTTCGCAATACTCAACAACAAAATCAAATACTGCATATTTTTCCAGTATCGTGTGCAGCTTTAAATTGTGTGTGTGTTTGTTTTGTAGAGTTGGTTGGCGCTCTGGACGCTCAGAAGATCTCCGGCGTGTCATGTGGTCAGGCTCACTCTCTGGCGGTGAACGAGCAGGGTCAGGTGTTTGCGTGGGGAGCTGGAGACGGAGGGCAGCTTGGTCTGGGAACAGCTGAAGAGGCGGTCCGCGTGCCTCGGTACTTTTTTAATTATTATGTCTGAAAAGCAACTTAAGTACTCAAGTATTTTTTTTTTTCAATTTTGATTTTCTTTCTTAAGATTTTTATTTAAATATTTTTTTAAAAGTTAATTTAAGAGGCATTAATAATATTATAAATTAAGAAGAAATAATAAGTCAAAATGAAGTGATTTTTTTCCTAAAACAAGGTAAATAATCTGCCATTCGGAGTAAGCTAAATATTTTTTGTTTCAGATCAGAAACAAGATTATTTTGCTTACGTCATTGGTGGATTATTTTGTTTGTTTAAGGGAAAACTCACTTCATTTTGTCTTGTCATTTCAAACAAAAAATAAAAGATTATTTGCTTTTCTACGCTTTGATTTAAGATTTTTTTTTGATATTTTGACTAGAAACAAGACAAATACTGCAGTGTAATTTAATTACTTGGCTCAGCAATACTCACAGTATAATTCCTTTACATCTCAAAACCTCAACAATAGAAAATTAACTTATTTTTAATTAATAGAATTAATAGAAAATATAACTTATAAATTATTAATTTATTTAAATATAAGCCAAACATGACCTTTTTGCTTTATGAAATAAATACTTATTAAAATAATAATAAACATTATATCTATCAAAACATTTCAAAGAAAGGACACAATATTTCATACATAGCATATGCTGATGTACGCTTCTGACATTTAATCCATTCAATCATCTTGATATAGATACCTCAGCTTCTGTGAATTGCTCTATATAGAACTGTTGAATTTATGTAAAGCCTGCAAGGTTAGTGCATTATAAGTAACTATAATTATAATGAAAAGTAACCCCTTACATTACACTGTAAAAAAAACTGTAATAAATTTAAATTTTAAGCTAAATTAAATTAAACTTATGAGTCCATCGAACTTATATCATGTGATACTGTCTTAAAACAGTTTGCGTAACTTATAAAATTAAGTTAGAACATGATACACTTGCAGTGAATTAAAAACATATGCTGTCATGACTAATTGATCATATAATTTTTTACAGTGTACCTTAAAAAACAGAAAAGTAATTACAGTAACTGGTTACGTTGTAAACTTGATTCAACATTCACCTTTTAAGCATGTAACAGAGTTCCCTGTTTGTGTGACACCGCTGTAAATGCATTTATACCACTAAAAATAGAAAAATAATCCTTTAGATTACCTTTTAAAGAAAAAAAGTAATCTAATTACAGTAACTAGTTACTTTGTAATGGTGTACATGCATTTATACTACAAAAAAGTAATCCATTATGTTACTTTTTACAGCCAAAAGTAATGTAACTACAGTAACTAGTTACTTTGTAATTCCAGAACTGATCAAAATTCATGTTTCAAGCTTGTGACAAATGGTTTCCTGTTTTTGTAATACGCTGTAAATGTATTTGTACCAATATAAAAGAAGTAGTCCCTCATGTTACTTTAAACAGCAGAAAAGTAATCTGATTGCAGTAACTAATTACTTTGTAAACCTGATTCAAGATTCACGTTTCAAGCATATGACATATGGTTTCCTGTTTTTGTGACACTGGTATAAATGCACCACTAAAAAAAGAAAAGTAACCCCCTTCATTACTTTTTACAGTAGTAATCTAATTACAGTAACTAGTTACTTTGTAAACTTGATTCAACATTCACCTTTCAAGCATGTAACAAAGTTTCCTGTTTGTGTGACACCGCTGTATATGCATTTATACCACTAAAAATAGAAAATAATCCCTTATGTTACTTTTTACAGAAAAAAAGTAATCTAATTACAGTAACTAGTTACTTTGTATTGGTGTACATGCATTTATACTACAAAAAGTAATCTATTATATTATTTTTTACAGCAATAAGTAATCTGATTACAGTAACTAGGTACTTTGTAATAAATTGCACCCAGAAAGTTTCAACCAAGTTTCCTGTTTGAATGAAACTGAGTTACACCGCTGTACATGCATATATATCACAAAAAATAGAAAAATAATCCATTATAGTAATCCATAATAGTACTTAATAATATATATAATCCATAATAGTACTTTATACAGCAAAAAGTAATCTGATTACAGTAACTAGTTACTTTGTACTCAGAACTGATCAACATTCTCGTTTCAAGCATGTGACCAATGGTTTCCTGTTTTTGTGATACCGCTGTAAATGCATTTATACCACATCAACAGTTATGTTCCTTTTTTGTGGTGTATGTGCACTTTTCACATGCAGCTCCCAGCATCATAAAGCCTGCTCTAGATAAGGGGAATCTAATGAGGATTTAATTGCCTCCTAACCTCATGAGGGGGTCCCAGCGTGAGTCCCTCCACACAACAGGGGTCTCCCGAACACAAGACTTAATAATAGTGATAATGCGCTGTTACTGAAAGCTCTGCTGTTCTGTTGTAGATCGGTTCGCTTATTTGCTCTAGTACTGCTAAATAAACCACAACAACTTAACATATCTTGACATGCAGCACTTCATTTGAATGAGAAGATCATCTCAGCTATCTGAATCATTTTACAAGCACAATACAGCCAGGCCGAGTTAATGATTGAGGATTATTTAGTTGGTTTCATTTAGTGACAGATATGACTCTGACATTACTGGCTAATCAATGAGGAAGTGCTTAAAATTCTCATAAAGCTTACATTTACACTGATGTCCATTTAATAGCCATACATATGTCTACATAATAGTCTCGTGAAACTGAAATCAAATTTTTGGATGTTCATTTTAAGGATACCTATAAGCTAGTGTGCTCAAAACAGTCACAACATATGCGTTTAAAAGACATAAACATTTTATAAATGTCCAAAGCTTGCAGTTTGTCACATCTGCAACGTTTTTTTTTCATGGCAACTCATACTTCAGTTTCTCATCAAATCTTCTGAGCAGTCAAATGTTCTCTAGTATCTGACAGGGCCCGCCCCCTTCACTGCCAGAGCTGTGATGAAACAAAAGCGCTATTGGCAGTTTTTTTTAGGGGAGGAGCTACACTATTAAATTACGTCAAATATGGAATAAATACAGGGGGTATTGTATACAACTACTGATGTTGCTACCACTGCAATTCAAATCCCGCATCTACCACCTGTGCAGATATCAACCGTGTAACTGGGTTGTAATGTATGTTGCCAGATTAAGGTAAAAAAATGCTTTTCCTGCTCTGTTTGCTGTTGACTCATGAATGAACAGGTTAACAACAACAACAACTTCATTCACACTAGCAACTCACCAGCTTATGCTAGCGCAGTGTTAAAAAACATGTTAAGCAGCCATTTTGTCATTTTTACTTCAAGCATTTATGCAAGGTGGCGTAAAAGCTATTTGTGTGTCATTTTTGATCTATTTATTTTTATTTATTTATTCATCATTTATTCATTCATTCATTCCTCAATTTCTGTTTAACTGAGAGAATATTTTTGTAGCACATTTCTAATCATAATAGTTTTAATAACTCATTTCTCATAACTGATTATTTAATCTTTGACATGATGACAGTGAATAATATTTGACTAGACATTTTTCAAGACACTTCTATACAGCTTAAAGTGACATTTAAAGGCTTAACTAGGTTAATTAGGTGAACTAGGCAGGTTAGGGTAATTAGGCAAGTTATTGTATAATGATGGTTTGTTCTGTAGACTATCGAGAAAATATATAGCTTAAAGGGGCAAATATTATTGACCTTAAAGTGGTGTTTAAAAACTAAAAACTGCTTTTATTCTAGCCAAAATAAAACAATTAAGACTTTCTCCAGAAGAAAAAATATTATAGGAAATACTGTGAAAATTTCCTTGCTCTGTTAAACATTGTTTGGGAAATATTTGGAAAAAAGTATTCTGACTTCAACTGTGTGTGCGTGCGTGCGTGCGTACGTGTGTGTATCTTGCGTGTATATATTGTGTGTATATGTTGTACTGGTATCTTGTGACAACAAGTACAGCAATTTTTGTTCGACATTCAAATGCATAAAAATGCTTGAAAGCAAAGACAGAAATGAAATTATAAAACCAAATTTAGAAAGACACAGTCACTGAGTACCCTCAAGAAAATTCTAGAGGGAGGACCAAATGCACCAGAACACCTCAGATCTCTGATGTAAATCGTAGGTTATTTTTTCCAGTGGTAAAAGTGTGGTCACCTGATTAACCTGAGGTATCTGAGCAGTTGACCGTAATAATAATATACATTTTTTGGCCAAGTCTATATAAAAAATTAATACACATTCTTTATCACAATCAAGACACAGTTCCACTGTACAATTCAGAAGGTATACCTTTGGGGACGAAGCACAAGTTTTTCCAATTATGTTTTGAATAGTTTTGTGAATCTCTTTACAGTACATTTAGATTTGGTCACAGTCCCAAAATGTGTGTCTTTACCTTTATACAGTAGATATTTTTTAACCTGTCAAATTTGTTGGAAATGATTATGAATGAACAGATTTTGACATAATATCCTCCACATTAAACTGTAAAACAATATAACTCCCGTTGATTGCACATTGTTTAAGGTAATAGTTATTTTTAACAGTTATGTAATAATTATTATAACATTTATACTATAATATAAAGTAATAATTAACATTAATATTCTGTAATAATTATCATATTTGAATTGCATCCCTAATCATGGTAAATCACTGTATTATTATTAAGCTGGTATATTTATTAGTAGATCCTGACCTTATTAAATGTGTTTTTTCTGTATTGATTTCTTTAGGTTGATTAAAAAGTTGTGCGAGCATCGGATCTCTCAAGTAATGTGTGGAAACCATCACTGTATAGCTCTTTCAAAAGGTAAGAGCAGCTGAAGTGTATCTTCGGTTTTGTTTTGTGTTGGACTTCTGCTGTAAATGAAGTGTCCCGCTGTCCTTCTCTTCTCAGATGGTCAGTTGTTCGTATGGGGAGAGAACTCGAGCGGTCAGCTGGGTTTAGGGAAGGGAGAGCCGAGCACTCTGTCTCCTCAGCCGCTCAAATCTCTGTGTGGGATCCCACTGACCCAGATCAGCGCCGGAGGAGACCACAGCTTCGCCCTGTCCTTCTCTGGAGCTGTGTTCGGGTGGGGCAAGAACAGCGCTGGGCAGTTGGGTCTCAATGACGAGCAAGGTAATAATGAAAGTCAGAATTATTAGCCATCCTGTGATTTTTTTTTTTTTTTTTTTTTTCTTGTTCAAATATTTCCCCAAAGACTGAATTTTTCAGAGTATTTCCTATAATATTTTTTCTTCTGGAGAAAGTCTTATTTGTTTTATTTCGGCTAAAATAAAAGCAGTTTTTAATTTTTTTAAATGTCAAAGCAGTCAGTAAATCAGCATACTATCATCTCAAAAATATTGCAAGAATCAGATGCTTTGTTTCCAGTGAAGACTTAGAGAAACTTGTTCATGCTTTTATCAGCAGCAGGGTGGATTACTGTAATGGACTCCTCACTGGCCTTCCCAAAAAGACAGTCAGACACTTGCAGCTCATCCAGAATGCTGCAGCCAGAATTCTGACCAGAAGCAGGAAATCAGAGCACATCACACCTGTCCTCAGGTCTCTACACTGGCTGTCAGTTACATTCAGAATAGATTTTAAAGTATTATTACTGCTCTATAAATCACTAAATGGCCAAGGACCTCAATACATTACAGATATGCTGACTGAATACAAACCTAACAGATCACTCAGATCTTTAGGATCATATAAACTAGAAGTTCCAAGAGCTCAGTCAAAGCAGGGTGAATCTGCCTTCAGCCACTATGCTCCTCGCTGCTGGAATCAGCTTCCAGAAATGATCAGATGTGCTCCAACATTAGGCACATTCAAATCAAGACAGAAAACACATCTGTTTAGATGTGCCTTTATTGAATGAGCACTGTGCTGCGTCCGACAGATCGCACTATTATGTTTTTCGTTTTCTTTTTCATTCTTTTATAGCCTATTTTAACTCATTTTAATTTGTTTTTATCTGTTTTTAAAAAATTTTATTGTCTGCATTTTATGTTCCCAAACTTGTCTTTTTTATTCCTGTTTATGTAAAGCACTTTGAATTGCCACTGTGTATGAAATGTGCTATATAAATAAACTTGCCTTGCCTTGCCTTGCCTAAAACTGTTTTATGGTCAATATTATTAGCCGCCTTGACCAATATATTTTTTCAATTGTCTACAGAACAAACCATCATTATAAAATGACTTGGGGGCTAATAATTCAGGAGGGCTAATACACAAAGGACGACATAGTGAAGAATGTTGGAAAAAAACTGACCTTTGGACCCTTTTCACATTCCCAAAAGAAGATATTTTAAAACATGTTGGCTGCTAGTACCCTTTGACATAATATTTTTGTTTTATTTTATGAGGTGCCAGTAACCAGCATTCTTCAAGACATCTCCTTTTGTGTACAACTTGTCAAAATGGTTTAAAACCGCATGAGGTAGAGTAAAGGATGAGGGTCATTTTCATTTTTGGGCAAGCTATCCCTGTAGATACAGTAGGTGTCACAATAGAGAAGAAACCATACTTTAAAAATAGCCTCATGTTTTCTCATCTTTGTCCTTGATCTGACAGACCGAGCTGTTCCCTGCCACATCAAGTTCCTGCGCTCACAGAAGGTGGTTTACATCAGCTGTGGAGAGGAGCACACGGCTGCCCTGACAAAGGTATTAATCATATGGCCAAAGCACAGCAGTATGCTGAAAAACACTCTTATTTGACCTTCTTTAAGGTTTGACAATGCTGCATGTCCTAACAATTAGAACATTCCATCACTGAATGAAAGACAAACAAGATCATTTAATTTACAAACCTGCCATACTTTTTTATTCAAGGAAATAAACTTGAATCTTCAAAGACGTCACATCTCTCATGCTAGGCCCTACCACCAGCACCCCCCCCCCCCAATAAAAAAAACATATGTTTAGATTGCAATACAATATTTCATAAGCATTTAATATTGTAAATGTAATATTTTTTCTCCACATTGCACTTTACCAATACTACTGTTAGCATGTTGGAAACTGATAACTATTGACTTTCATTGTTTTTTCCCCTGCTTTGGATGCCGATATTCAACATTCTTCAAAATATCTTCTTTAGTGTTCGACATAGGAAGAAAACATTCATTCATTCATTTTCTTGTCGGCTTAGTCCCTTTATTAATCCGGGGTCGCCACAGCAGAATGAACCGCCAACTTATCCAGCAAGTTTTTATGCAGCGGATGCCCTTTCAGCTGCAAACCATCTCTGGGAAACATCCACACACACACTCATACATTACGAACAATTTAGTCTACCCAATTCACCTGTACCACATGTCTTTGGACTGTGGGGGAAACCGGAGCACCCGGAGGAAACCTACGCGAAGGCAGGGAGAACATGCAAACTCCACACAGAAATGCCAACTGAGCCGAGATTCGAACCAGCGACCCTCTTGCTGTGAAGCGACAGCACTACCTACTGCGCCACTGCCTCGCCCATGAAGAAACATACTTGATGTAATGATGAGTACAGTATACTACTGTTATATGGGCGTTATATGGGCGTTAAAGGGATAGCACAGAAATGTCATCATTGTTTACTCATCCTCCATTTTTTTTTAAACCTGATTTAGGTTTTCTTCATCTGTAAAACACTAAAAAAGATATTTCAAAGCATGTTGGAATCCGGTAACTATTGACTTTCATAGTTTATTTTCCCTACTATGGATGCCGGTTTGCAATATTCTTCAAATTATCTTCTTCAGTGTTTAACACATGAAGAAAACACACTTGCGTTAATGTTGAGTACAGTATAATACTGTTGTATGGGCATTAAAGGCAGAGCACAAAAACTCTGTCATCGTCTACTCATCCTCCACTTTTCCCAAACCTGTTTTAGGATTTTTTTATCTGTTAAATACTAAAGAAGATATTTTGAAGCATGTTGGAAACCGGTAACTATTGACTTTCATAGTTTTTTTTTTCCCTGCTATGGATGCAGATATTCAACATTCTTCAAAATATCTTGTTTTGTGTTCGACAGATGAAGAAAACACACTTGAGTTAATGATGAGTACAGTATACTACTGTTATATGGGCATTAAAGGGATAGCATAGAAATTTCATTATTGTTTACTTATCCTCCATTTTTTCCAAACCTGTTTTAGGTTTTCTTTATTTGTTAAACATTAAAGCAGATACTTTGAAGCATGTTTTAAGCCGGTAACTATTGACTTTCATAATTTTCCTCCTGCTATGGGTGCCGATTTTCAACATTCTTCAAAATATCTTCTTCAGTGGTCATATGATGATGAGAATAATAATAATAGTAATAATTAAATAATAATAATAAATGTTAAGCATTTGGCCCAATCAGAGATGGGTGTCTGGTTTCGTGCTGCCAGAGACTGTACATTAAGTCATAATTTTTCATTTTTATTCATTAGGTATAAAATTTATTTATAATTGTTTAATAAGCACATATATATTCAAAACAAGAATAGGGCAAAGCCCCATAACACTGCAGAGAATGACATACAACAGTTATTTGTGAAAAAAATTATCCTAAAGTGTTGCTAATGCTTCTGCGTCAAACACCGGCGTATGCTACGGCGTTGACGCATAGCCCTTCGCCGTGGCCATCGCCGTCACTGACGTGCACCTCTCAAAAAATGTAACTACACGTCGCAACGACGCGTAGCATAAGCTCTGTGATTGGTCGGCTTGGTAGCGCTGACGAGTCTGGGCGGGACCGAGAGGCGCGCGAATGGCGCGACGCCGCGCGAGCGATTGTTTACAAGTGTGGAGTCCCGTGAAGGAGCTCCGGATGGAAAGTTTTGTTCTGTGTTTACCTCATGGTTAAAGTTGTTGCACGTCCGCCGGTTCCTGCCTCAAAATGAGCAAGTTTGAGTCACTTGTACATCCAGGAAGTGTTCAGAATAGCAAAACAGAAGCGAAGAAACTCGACACAGAGGAACATTTACACCTCACTGCCCACTAGCGTTTCGGAAGTGTTAATGCAGACCAACAGAGACAGCGCGCAGAAGTATAAATGCACAGCCACGCGCGTTGCCTGCGCCGTGAGTTGCGCCGGTCACTTGACGCAGAAGTATAAACCAGGCAATCTCCTATCATAAGTAATAGCAGACATACGGTTTACACAGACAGCACACTGACTCGGCAAGATGCACAGATTATTTTTGTTTAGTGTTTACGAATGCATACATTTGTTATAAACGGGTTGTTTTTGTTTCAGTCACATACATTAGGTGTTTAAATATCTATTATGTATGGAAATGTGTGGGTTTATGGGTGGGGCTGTGTTGGTGTGGTAGTGGGCTACTGTGGCTACATTGCCAGGGCTGAATTTTTTTCCCAGTCCGCCCCTGGTTGTTGTTTTTTTGCGCTCTCATTTTTGATAGAATTTGAGAAGACTAATTGTTTAGTCTTGCTTTTTTTTTAGTAAATGCTACCAGTTGAACTAGCCATGCTGTGGAAAGTTGCTCAAATGTATTTTTCATCTCCAATCTTGAGCTTTGCTGTTTGTATCATGTTTGTTCCAGGAAGGGGGTCTGTTCACATTTGGAAATGGTTCAAAAGGACAGCTGGGCCATGACTCCACCAGAAACGAGCCTCTTCCACGCAGAGTTATGGAGCTCATGGGCACTGAGGTGTCTCAGATCGCTTGTGGGCGGTAAGTAAATGCACTAGACAAAATGCACACTTCTCTGTCCATCTGCTTCAGCTTAGCAAATGCGCTCAATTCCTTTAAAGTGTTAGCTTTTATTTCTGTCATTGGCAAAATGTTTTTAAAGCAAATGGATAATGCAATTGTGTGACAATTATGCAAAGAAAAGAAAATAATTATAAAAATCACAAGTAAATGGTTACAATTAGCATGCATAACAACAATGCAGAGTTGTTTTTAACATGAATTATTAGCAAATTCTAAAATGCATCTCATATTTGAAGCACTTGTCATGATGACTACGTGTCTGCTTTGTGCATGCAGTCATCAGATTAGTAGGAGATGAGATATTTGACAGCATACCTTTATGTGTTTGTCACAGGAACCACACCCTTGCATTCGTGCCCTCCACCGGTCTGATATATGCTTTTGGCTGCAACACTCAGGGCCAGCTCGGTACAGGCATAAGAGGAAGCGCCAAGAGCCCCGTTCCTGTCAGTAACATCCAGCCCCTTTGCATTGGAAATGCATACACAAGTATGTACATGTCACCAGGCCATTGTAGTCATTTTGCAACCCAGGCTCATTCTGGAAACGTAGCCCCATGGACGTTTCTGAAGACCGCGAAATACGTCCCGGAGGGTACGTATTTGTATAGTTTTTGTTTTTGCGAATCCGCGAGAGGACGCTGTTCGTGCTTTTTCGCGTCTCAAACGCGTCTCAAACACCACTCGCGGGCGAGTTGTTCTTGCATAAAGCCGTCGGAGGCACTGTCGAGTGACTATCTGTCTGACTGACCGAATGACGGAAAGGTTGACTGGGTGGCGGGCCAATCGGCCGACCCACCCTCCTCCTCCTTCCCTAAATCCAACCGGTTTACCAATTGACCTGCCGGAACACCCACCCGCCTGCTCGCTCGCTTCCCTTCTTTAAACCCAAGCAACGATTTACTAAAGCCATCCAGAAAAAGAAAAGCCCTCGTCTGATTTTGACCGCGTTTTCGGATTTCACCACGTTCTCGCCCTGTTACGAACTCGTTCGCTTTATTTTTTGGATTTAAAAAAATTAAATGCAGCCATACATGCCTCTGGCCACGTAAATCGTGGTCTCCAGAAACGTCCGCGGGGCTACGTTTTCAGAATGAGCTTGGGTTGTCATTATGTGAGGCGTTTCCCAAAACCATCGTTAGTCAACTAAGGTCGCAAGTTTCTTCGTTACAAACATAGTTCGTTGATTTGTCATTGCCCAAATCGCCTGTTTCAGCGAACATTCGCAAACTGCGTCGCAGACTTGTACACTTGCAACTACACCTCTGGAAACATATTTCCTGGCTATGTTCTATTCCCAGTTGTCCCCCTATGCCCTATTCATTTAAAACATTCTAACATTTAAATTTGAAATGATTAACAAAAACATTAAGGTCATCTCTCTTAGCTGTAATTTGCTTTCAGTTCAGTTTTAGCGATCTTCATGTTTACAATTGCGCTCTCTTCGCAGTGCACTTGAAACATTGATGTTATTTTGATCACAGTCCTACAACGAAAGCTATAGGTGACCTATTATTTAAAAGAGGAACTTATGTCTCTAAAGCTTGTGAAAACAAAAAACTGGGGTATTTTGCAAACAGAGTTCGGTCGATGTGCATTCTTCAAGTGCGCTCAATATGTATGGAATGAGCTTCATGATATACTGCATATGAAATCTGTACCATCTATCGCTACATTCAAAAATATTTGGTAACACTTTATTTTGATGGTCCACTTGAGTATGAGTAGACTGTCTGCTTAATATCTGCTGATACTGCTCCTTCAACAGACATTAAACTGACTATAAGAAACTTTGCAAGACCATGTCAACTTACACTAACCCTAACCCCAACCTAACAGTCTACTTATAATCTCATGAGAATTAGTTGCCATATAGATGCAATGTAACTTAAATTCAACAAACGGACCCTCAAAATAAAGTGACCAAATATTTTATTTTACAAAATATTTAATATTACTTTTGTGTGTGCTTTTTATATATTATTTGTAACTAGATTATTAACCATACACAACTTTCAATAAACTTTTAAAATTATTATATATTTAGATTTTATTAATAATTTGTGTAGGGCGAGGCAGTGGCGCAGTGGGTAGCATGTTCGCCTCACAGCAAGAAGGTCGCTGGGTTGCTGGTTCGAACCTCGGCTCAGTTGGCGTTTCTGTGTGGAGTTTGCATGTTCTCCCTGCCTTCGTGTGGGTTTCCTCCGGATGCTCCGGTTTCCCCCACAGTCCAAAGACATGTGGTATAGGTGAATTGGGTAAGCTAAATTGTCCGTAGTGTATGAATGTGTGTGTGAATGTTTCCCAGATGGGTTGCGGCTGGAAGGGCATCCGCTGCGTAAAAAAACTTGCTGGATAAGTTGGCGGTTCATTCCGCTATGGCAACCCCGGATTAATAAAGGGACTAAGCCGACAAGAAAATGAATGAATGAATAATAATTTGTGTAACATTTTTAATGGATTATATGGATTATGGAACTTAGAAATGTGCAATATTTATCGTCTACAGTAGCATTGTAACTGTTTTATGATAATATGTCACTCACTTTGCCTTGAAACAATCTAAAGCGTGTTTTTTTTTTTGGGAGTCTAAAAGCATCGGCTGAGTTCTGAAGCTTATTACAGTGCAGTAACAATGAAACCCTGATCTCTGAAATCTCTGATCTATGTTGCCTGTCCTGACCAGGACTTCTGGTATAAGAGATTTTTTATCTCAATGGGACATTCTTGGTGAATCTAGTAAATAAATAAAAAAATAATGACAAATTACCTTCACGTTTTTAATTAGGGTTTCATTGTTACTGCACTATAATAGGCTTCAGAACTCAGCCGATGCTTTTAGACTCCCAAAAAAAAAACACGCTTTAGATTGTTTCAAGGCAAAGTGAGTGACAAACTATCATAAAACAGTTACAATGCTATTGTAGACGATAAATATTGCACATTTCTAAGTTCCATAATCCATAAAATCCATTAAAAATATTACACAAATTATTAATAAAATCTAAATATATAATAATTTTAAAAGTTTATTGAAAGTTGTGTATGGTTATTAAACTGGTTTCGTCCACTGTTTTATTATATAAGTATATAAAAAAAGCGAATTCGTTTTGTCAACAGGAACAGAGCACTGCACCATTGCGAAGATTCACAGTGGAGGAGATCATAATTTCCTGTTGTTGTCGACTGTGGAGGTAACTCATAATCCATATAAACACACATGTTCATTTTCTTATGAGAATCAGCAAGTGGCTTCTATTAGGCCAGTATCTGCTTTTATCCACATGGTGGCGCCGATGCATCATTAAAAAGGGTTTACAGTCCATGACCATACGAACACACATCTTCCCGGCAGCAAGAGTGTGATGTGTTTTATTTTACTGCTACGTTTTGATTTATGTGTACATCAATTATTGCCAGTTTTAATTAGGACACTTCTGATCATAATTGTGAAAATGATTGTATATCTGATTGTGTGGTTTTATAAAATCTGATTGTTTATAGTGTGTAAATATAGAGTGTATATATGTAATATCCGATTGTGTGTTTATGAACAGGGTTTGTCTTGTCCTGATGATTTCCGCATTCTGAACACCACCAAAAGCATCGCTCTGATTAATTCTGAGAGTCTGGACAGCTGGAGGATGAAGCTTCATGACAACAGCGATTCCAGCATCACTAAGTGAGTGTGTGACATCATCCCCATTGATCATAATAATGGCCTCACTAAGGAAATAGTTTCATGACTTCATAGACTACACTGTAAACATATCTGTGTATTCACTGTTTCCCTATTTTGTGATTCACGAATGTTTTCAGTTTGTTTACGCTTGTGAATTGCATTATGGGATGTTGATCTCTGCTCTGGCGACTTTTGATGTTGAAAATTTAACTCTGCAGTTTAACAAAGTAAAATAATATAACATGAATATAATACAAAATAACAATAATACAATGTATAATAAATAATAAATAGAGAAATTAGTTTGTAAAATAACAGAAAATGTGCTGGCAGTTTATTATAAGGTTTTTGTAGCGTAATACACAACCCCAACCCAGGAATTATATCACTTTAAAGGATAGAAAGTTTTCATAAAAGTCACTTTTTTCAAACTTTTTAAAGTTAAAAGTTGTTGGATTAAAGATCAAAATCCCATAATGCAACTCAAAAGCATAAATGTCAGCAGAAAATAAATGGTTTCAGAGGTAAAGAAAGATGTAATATTTGCCAAAATAAATAATTTAATCATTAAAATATATGAATTACTAAATGAATAAAATCTCATTCCGAATGCTTTTAATTTGTAATAAATGAGGTCAGTTGTGATGTATATTTTAAACACACGCTGCATAAATATATATTTGGGTGAAAGACGAGACATCCTATTTTGATGTCTTTCAAAAATGTATAAATATCTATATATTAATATATACTTCTACATAGAAAGGCAATTAAAGCAAAAGAAAAAACTTAAATGTTTCAAATGATTAAAAAGTTATTCATTTAAGTAATATTTTTGTTCCTAACTGTACAATTTTAAATATATAAAGGAACAACTGACATCACAAAATTATGTTTTAGTTGATTAAAAATAGTAATTTGAAGGATGCAAAGACGCAATATAGTTTTTTAAAATGGCTATTCGTATATTTAGACTTAAATTTTAGGCAAAACGGAAAATTAAAAATAATCGTAAAATCATTTACTCCCCTTTCACTTGTCACCAACCTGTTTGAGTGTCCTTCCCTGTTAAACACAAGAGAAGATATTTTGAAAAATGTTACAAATCAGCAACCATTGACTTCCACAGTATTTACATAAAACACCTTAAGTCAGAATTATTAGCCCCCCTGTTTATTTTTCCCCCAATTTTTGTTTAACAGAGAAAAGATTTTTTTTCAACACATTTTTAAACATAATAGTTTTAATAACTAATTTCTAATAATAATAAATTATTTATTTATAATTCTGACTTCAATTTTATATATATATATATATATATATATATATATATATATATATATATATATATATATATATATATATATATATATAACCTTTATTTAACGTTTTATAAAATAGTTCACACTATTCAAACACATTGACTTAAAAATTTGGTTCAGCAAACATTTACACAAAAAAACATTAAAAGATACAATATACAAACAATACATAAGAAAGTAAAATAATAATAGATAAATACAATAAATGAATAAAAATGACTAACTTTCAATTTGAATCTAAATTAGTCTAGTCCTCTTCAATTTAGCTCTTTCCTGTAGAATCTGAAAGACTCCTGTAGAGTCTTTAAAATAATCGATGTGAGGTTGCCAGATTTTATAGAAATGGTCAGGATTGATTTTTCTCCATTTTCAAACATAAAACTCTTTTTTTTAAAGCAGTTTAACACATTTAATGTTTTATCTTTGTCTCATTGGTTATTATTTGAATGCCGAATTTGAATTCTCCTAACTTCTCTTCATGTAGTGACATCATTCTGCTGTTGTCCTCGACTGCATGTTGGAATGCCAGCTTTTTGGACCAAAGGTGAGCGTTTTAAGACGTTCCTGTTTTGCTCATTGCTCAGATTCATCATTCATACATTGTTAATATGTATTCTTTCAATGTACAAATCATTTCACTCACACTACCTGACAGAAGTCTTGTTGCCTATGGTCTCCTGCAATATTTGTGATGATTCATATCTGATGATATCAGAAAAATCAACCTTTTGCCAGAAGTCAAGTTATTATTTGTTGTTCTTACTACTGGGATTGACGACAAGACTTTGGTCATTAAGTCTATTTCACTTTATGAGATAGAATAATAGAATAATAAATCCAATTGCAGTCTTTTTCAGTTACTCTTTCTCTATCCACTCGTTACACACACACACACACACACACACACACACACACACTACAACTATTATACAGTATGGTGTGTCACAATACCCTTCGTTTATTAATAACATCTAAAGGACGTAACATTCCCATGTGTGCGTGGGTTGATGTGTGGTTTTTCTACGGTGGTGCATGCTTCTGCTTACCATCAGGAGGCAAACTACAGCTCTGTCTGTGAACACCACAGTCCGACTTTAACAGAAAATGTTGCATGATGGGTATCTTTTTTTCTAAAAGACAAGAGCCTCTGGAAAGCTCATGGCCGACGCAGTCCTCGATGTTCATAATCCAAAAACATTTCAAGAGATTATCTGCTTACATAAGGAACAACTGGTGTCGCTGGCGTTCAGACGGGGTATTATGGGTTGTGAGGTCGAGTCTTGGTTTTTTTTTTAAGTGCGGTTTTGAATATTTGATTGAAGCTCTGCTGCGCACATGTCCTGGCAGGCGTTTGAGAGCGACACATGCTGCTAAAGCTCACAGTGATTGCAGATCATTTGAAGAGCCCAGGTTTCTACAGGTCGGACCGGGCTGCTTTTATTCAATTTGACTGAATTGATTTGAGATTGAATCATATAAGTGCAATCTAACTGAATTAAAAAACATTTACATTGATTGAAAGGAAACATATTGAGCAAATCCAGTTGCAAATAGTGAATTGAATCAAAACAAATCAAATCTGAATGACTTAATGAGCTGAATCTGGTCGTTCAAATCTATCTAATAGAATCCAGGGAGTTTTAGTGGAACTGAATCAAAAAGTGATTCAGGGTGAATTGCATATTTTTAATCTGGTTAAGTCAAAGCTGAAATATTATTAGTCAATAATATGATTGATTCTAAATGAATCAGACTGTTCAGATGAACTGAATAAGTTAAATGGTGTCAGAATATAATCTAGTTCAATTAAAATAAATTGATTCAAATCAAATCTGAATGATTCAATGAATAGAATGAGTCAGTTTGTTCAAATCTAAGTAGTTGAATCAAGTGAATTTTCATAGAACTGAATCAAAAAGTGATTTAAGGTGAATTGCATATTTTTTGCTAGGTTACGTCAAACTTAAATATGATTAGTCAATTGATATGATTAATTTGAAATGATTCAGACTGATTCGACTGAAATGAATGAATTATGTTAGGATCTAATCCAAAAGCGTATAATAAATATAATATAATAAATTGATTCAATTCGAATCAAATCAAATCTGAATGACTAAATTATTAGAATAAGTCAGTTTGTTCAAATCTAAGTAGATGAATCTAGTGAATTTTAATGGAACCGAATCAAAAAGTGATTCAAGGTTAATTGTATATTTTTAGTCAGGTTATTAAATAAAACTCAAATAAATACTGTATAATTTGACTGATTCTAAACGAATCAAACTGATTCAAATGAACTGGAGGAATTAAATGTCAGAATCTAATCCAGTTGCATATAATAGTTCCAGATGCATTTTGATTCAAATCAAATCTGAATGATTAAATGATCAGAATGAGTCTGATTGTTCAAATCTACCAAATTGAATCATTGGAACTGAATCAGAAAGCGATTCAAAGTGAATTGTATATTTTTAGTCTGGTTAAGTAAAACTGAAATAAATACGAATAGTAAATTAAAATAATTAATTTTAAAATTAATCAGATGGATTTAACTGAAATTAAATAATTAAATGATGTCAGAATCAAATTCAGTTGCATATGGTAAATTGATTAAAATCAAGTAAAATCTGAATGATTAAACGATTAGATTAAGTCAGTTTGTTCAAATCTAAGTAACTGAATCAAGTGAATTTTAGTGGAACCAAATCAAACAGTGATTCAAGGTGAATTGCATATTTTTAGTCTGGTTACTAAATCAAAATTAAACAAATATGATTGGACAGTTATTATGATGCATTAAAAATAAATCATACTGATTCAATTGAACGGAATGAATTAAATTATGTCAGAATTGAATCCAGTTGTATATAGTAAATTGATTCAGATCAAATCAAATCTGAATGACTAAATGGGTCCGATCATTCACATCTACATAATTGAATCAAGTTCATTTTAATTAGAACAAATCAAAAAGTGATTCAAGTTGAAATATTGCATATTTTTAGACAGGTTACTCGATCAACCTATAGTAAATATGACTGATCATATAAGTATGTATGATTTCAAATGAATCTAGCTGATTCAACTGAACTGAATGAAGTAAACGATGACATAGTCCGTTAATTTCAATTGATTCAGCTCTTATCGACCAAATGAAATGTAATAGGATTCAGTTGCATTAAGTCTGAACCTCTAAATTCCAATTTAATCCAATGGAGCTGAATCAGATTCGATCAAATTGACTCCTTAAAACCTTTTTAAATTTGATACATTCTGTCATCTTGCTCAACGTTCATTCACAAAATGAATCGGTTGCTCAGTGACACGTTTGCATGCAGTTGAATTGAACTAATTTGAAATGAATCAACTCCAAATGAACTAATAAAATACACATGAAACCAGTTCATATTAATTAGTGTGGTCAAATTTATTTTAAATGGATCAATTTGTATTATATCATGCATTATTTATAGTACTGATTGAGTCAGATCTGAACAGCAAAATCTGATGAGTCAAATCCAGTTGAATCCTACTTAAACCCTAAAACAATCCGATTTAATTGAATCAATTTCTGTCACATTATTCTGATTCAAATTCAACTGAATTTAATATTGAGCTGAATGAAATGAGTCTTAGCAATTGAATCAATGGAATTGAAATGATCTGACCCAGATTGCATCAAATGAATGTGAACATGATCTAAAAGGCAGTTCAAGGGTAAACACATCTTGCTGTCTCATTGAAACTGGACTCAAGTTAATCGCATGTCTGATGTGTGACAGGCTATTTATTATAGATCGTCCGTCTTCCACCCTGACATGCCTAAAATACACTGGCTCGTACTGGACGTGTGCAGGATCAGCATCAGACTCAAACACCTGCAGCTCTCCATTTACACCCAGTGTATGTGTGTGTGTGTGTGTGTGTGTGTGTGTGTGTGTGTGTGTGTGTGTGTGTGTGTGTGTGTGTGTTTGTGTGTGTGTTTGTGTGTGTGTGTGTGTTTGTGTGTGTGTGTGTGTGCGTGTGTGCGTGTGTGTGTGTTTGTGTGTTTGTGTTTGTGTGTGTGTGTGTGTGTGTGTGTGTGTGTGTGTGTTTGTGTGTTTGTGTGATCTACTTTCATCCTTACAGAGCTACAGGCACACAGAAAGACCCTAAATCTCCACACCTCACATTTAGCATTAGTTGACCTGAACATAATTTAATCAACACCTTGTCATCCAAGATGTAATCTTGATTTACTCTCGTCAGTTGAAAACAAATCAATGTTTTTAAGAAAAACAAACAGGATTTTTTTCTCAATATAATGGATTTTTAATGGTGCCCAGTCGTTTGAACTTCCAAACTGCGGTTTTATTGCATCTTTATATAATCCCAGTCAAGAAATCACAGTTTTATTAATCAAGGTAATTGATTTTCAAAGTCATTTTAAAAAGTCATTAAAAAAATAACATAAATAAATAAATATCAGTCAGTCCTAAAATTATTCATCCCCCAAAAAACTAAATAAATACAATTATTTTAGATTACAAATAAAGGAGTAAATAAAATTATTTTCCTAGGGGAAAAAAAACCCTATTTCTCAACTGGGATTATTAAAAGCCTTTTAAAGCTGCATTTAAAGCACCATAGATCTCCAATATATGGAGAAAAGTCCTGCCTGTTTTCTTTAAAAGCCTTAACTTATTCTCGACTAAAGAGAGCAAGTCTTGGATGAATAAAAGAATGGAAATTTTCATTCTTAAAGTCAACTAATACTTTAGCTTGTTCCTATTTCCAGTGCACTAAATGTCACCGTTACGTGTTTCTAACTAATGAAGTAACACAGCAAATGCAAACCATTGTAAATTAGTCAATTAATCAAGGATGCTCCCTGCGTTCGCGTGGGTTTCCTCCGGGTGCTCAGGTTTCCCCCACAGTCCAAAGACATGCGGTACAGGTGAATTGGGTTGGCTAAATTGTCCGTAGTGTGTGAATGTGCGTGTGGATGTTTCCCAGAACTGGGTTGTGGCTGGAAGGGCATCCGCTGCGTAAAAAAACTTGCTGGATAAATTGGCGGTTTATTCCGCTGTGGCGACCCCAGATTAGGGACTAAGCCGACAAGAAAATGAATGAATAATCAAGTATGTGTAGCTTTTGGGAAGTAATTTTAACCTGCTGTTTCCACAGTGATGACGGGCATTTCAAAACCAACCCCAAAGTCCCAGGCATCGATTTCAATGCTGTTCGGCTGCTTTTCGAGACCCTGATGAAACCAGCCTTCGCTAGACTTTTGGAGCAGGTGTGTCTGTGTGCTTTGATGTTTCACCATCATCTCATCATTTATTTAAAGCACAGCATGCATAGAAGGCAGTTGCAGTGCTGTGGTACTGACCAGGTTTCTAAAATATTCAAAGCCTTATTAATAGCATAACAAACAAGTTGGTATATGTATACATTTTTTGAAACTTTCTAAATTCTATACTAAATTCAGAAAGCAAAAAGGAGTAAATCAAGTTCCTCTTGTTTTTTTCTTTTTTTCTCTCTCTATTTTCTTTTTATTTATTAATTAATAATAAAAGAAATATGTTTATAAGCTTTATACAAATATACACATACAATTGAAGTCAAAATGATTAGCCCTCCTGTAAAAAGCTCATTCCCAGCCACATTAGGGATTATAGATAGCAAAATTGAGCTGTTTTTATTTTAGCGGAGTTGTAAAGCACCGCGGTTAAACATGAACGTGGTTTTGAATGTATTAAAAAATGTTTGTTTGTTGTACAAATTTGTAATAATGACTAAAAATACTATTTTGTGGATCTCCTGACTTCTGGGTGCAGCTATACTGCCTTTGTGGCTGGTGTATTCTGGGAAATTTTCTTACCTCTTAGTGTCGAGTGTGGTCCTGAAAAATCTACGTTCAAAGGGCTATCTACCCCTTCCCCTTTGTCATACGCCTTCAACATAAAGAGCATTGGGACACCCCTACCCCTTCACGTGAACGTGCAAAATGAGGGCTAAGGGGAAGGGCTAAGGTGTAGAGTTTGGATTGGGCCTTAGCCTACAATCCTTGCACAACTTACAGTTTCATCTGTTATCTCTCTCTTTTGGCAGTACCTAATTTAAACCTGAGATTTTGGAAACCAGATCTAAATTTAGGGGGAACAGTTGGTTTGGGTAAAAAATATTTTAAGTGGGAAGTGGGTGATCAAAGGCTGTAAAGTAAACGACGGGAACGGTCGGATGTGGAATAAAACCTCGCGGGATTGGGACAAAAAAATTTGTCCTGCGCAGATCTCTAGAACAAACCATCGTCATACAATGACTTTCCTAATTACCTTAACTGGTCTAATTAACCTTGTAAAGTTATTAAATGTCACTTTAAGCTGAATATAGTATCTTGAAAAATATCTAAAATATTATTTAGTGTCATCATGGCAAAGATAAAAGAAATCAGTTATTAGAAATGAGCTATTAAAACTGTTATGTTTAGAAATATGTTAAAAAAATCTCTCCATTAAACAGAAATTGGGGAAAAATATTAAATAAGTCAAATTTAACAGGAGGTCTAATAATTTTGACTTGCACTAATGCATCTAAAAGCATCAAGAATTAAGAATGCACTAATCATGTTACGAACGCAAATGTACTTTCATATATATTTATAAATTTAAATTCATATATATATATATATATATATATATATATATATATATATATATATATATATATATATATATATATATATATATATATATATCCTGCAAACGTGTTCCTCCAGATCACAAAGAGCTTTGAGAGTCTCCTGATCCCCCAGCTGCCCTGTTCTCCTCCTGACGTGGAAGCCATGCGGATCTACCTGATCCTGTCTGAATGTCCCGCTTTCCAGGACTCCAAAAACTACATCACTCTCACCATCCCTCTCGCCATGGCCATCCTCAGACTGGACGCCAACCCAAGCAAAGTGCTCGGTATGAACCCACCGCCAGCCTCTCTTCTGCCTGGCAACACCTCTAGTTGTTGCTTAGTTACAGAGTGCCTCAAATCTCACAGTCAAAACGCAATCTTGATGCTGTTCCTCAGATAACTGGTGGTCGCTGATGGACTGCACGGTGTTTACCAGATTAGTGGAGATGTACAAAAGCATCGTTGTGTTTCTGTTGACCGGCGGGAAAGCTCTTCTGATGCCTGTGTTTCTGGAGAGCTACACCAGCGCCGCTTTGCGACTGCTGGAGAAACTACACAAGGTGAAAAAATCATGTATAATAAGTCTCTGATGTTTCTAGAGTCTGCATGTGAAGTTTCAGATCAAAATACCTCATAAATATTGTTTTATAACTCTTCAAACTGACCCTTTTAGGCTTTGATCCAAATTATGCCATTTTGGTGACTGTCGCTTTAAATTCAAATGAGATTGTGCTTTATTTTGAAAAGAGGGCGGAGCTAAGAATTCATATGCATTGGCATATTCAAGCTGCGGTCATACTGGGCTTTTCCTTCCATAGACTTCCATTCATACGCATGCAAATGTGTCAGACCGGAAGTTTCGCAGGTTGCTTAGGTGCAACGTTCAAGCTTGGTAAACTTGGTAAAATTGCATCACTTGACTGCGTGAGACAAGATCTCAGATACAAGCGGCCGAAAAATGAGTTTCCTTCCCCAGGTGGCAGGGTGCAGCCTTATAGATAGGGTGAGGAGCTCTCCTCCACATCGCTGCTCTTCCACATCGAGAGAAGTCAGCTGAGGTGGCTCTGGCATTTGTTTCGGATGCCTCCTGGATGCCCACCTAAGGATTTTCCATGCATTTCCCACTGGGAGGAGGTCCTGAGGAAGATCCTGGACACGCTGGAGGGACTAAGTCTCCTGGCTGGCTTGGGAACACCTCGGGATCCCCCTGGAAGAAGTGTCTGGGGAGAGGAAAGTCTGGGGTTCTCTCCTGAGATCCGGCCCGGCCCCGGAAAAGCGGATGAAAATGAATGAATGATTATAAACAATAGAATGAAGTATTTTTTTTACTATATTCACACATCCGTTTACCACACAAGTGTGTTTCAACACCTTATAAAAATAATATTTGCATAATGGGTGCCCTTTAATGAGTAAAGAATCAGTAATCTCCCCAAATAAGTAATGTAATGTAATGTGTATTTATATAGTGCATTTATTGTGTATGGCCGTACACCCAGAGCGCTTCACCACCACCAGTGTGCAGCATCCACTTGTATGACGTGACGGCAGCCACAGGACAACGGCACCAGTGCGCTCACCACACACCAGCTGTAGGTGGAGTGGAGATACAGTGATACAGCCAATTCGGTGGATGAGGATCATTGAGGCCAGGATTAAGGGTTAAACTCCTAGTGCCACGGAATTTTTAATGACCGCAGAGAGTCAGGACCTCAGTTTAACGTCTCATCGGAAAGACGGCGCCCACTGACAGTGTAGTGTCCCCTTCACTTTTACCAGGGGCCGGGGCATTAGGACTCACACAGACCACAGGATGAGAATTGATATGAGATATGAGAATTGAAAATGGAAGACTTTTTCTAATGTTGGAGTCATTTTGAAGTTAATTATCAAATGTAAAAACATAATTTATCATTTATTAATTTTCCTTCGGCATAGTCGCTTTATTTATCAGGGGTCCAGAATCCAGCATATGTTTTGCTACCCAGTACTGGGAAACAGTCATACACACTCACACATTCAATCACACTACGGCCAATTTAGTCAATCTAATTCACCAATAGCGCATGTCTTTGGACTGTTGGGGAGCATCCAGAGAAAACCTACACAAACACGGGAAGGACATGCAAACTTCACACAGAAATGTGACGTGACAGTGCTAACCACTGAGCCACCGTGCCATCAAAAAAAAAAATGCACTTATTATTATTTTTCTTCCTGCTATTAAAATGGTCACAGGTCATTTTGACCTGTAAGTCAACAGAATGATTAATCAAACTGAGCTTCCCCCCAGCAATAGAGCTGAAATGCTTGTGTAACTTGGGGAGTTTTGTTTAAAAAACAAAAAAACTAATTTTACTTCATCCCTGCAGGTCAACCTGAAAGCCCATCGTGTGGAATACAACCACTTTTACATCCCCGACATCGCAACCCTGGTGGACATCCAGGAAGACTACCTCAAATGGTTTCTGCGCAAAGCTGATATTGTGCGTATACTGTTACACATATGCATACAGTATTTCCATGTCACATTGCCCTTCGCGGAGACGTTTGCTAAGTTCTGAAACGTCCAGGATGTTTTTATGATGAACTGGATTCCTGGAGGGCCGCAGCTCTGTACAGTTGCAGTCCAACCCTAATCTAACACAGCTGATCCAACTAATCAGGGTGTTCAAGACTACTAGAGACTATTAAGCGGGTGTGAGTTGGAAGTGGTTGGAGCTAAACTGCAGAGCTGCGGCCCTCCAGGAATTCAATTTGAGGTCATCAATTTTTTATTTTATTTGATTTATTTATTCAAACAGAAACATCATACATAAAATATCATTAACAAAAAAAATGCTTTTCAACATGGTCGAAAATGGAGCGGGATGAAGCATAAGCCTATTATTCTCCCACCTCATTACCACATACATCATTCGTTGATTACTTAAACTTATTTATTCTTTTACCTATCTCTTCTTTGTACATGAAACATAGTTTATCCTTTTGGCATCTTTGACAAATAATATGTTTAATTCTATTTTTACCTTTTCATTTTGTAACATAAAAAATTAACACAACAAATACATAGAACTGCAAATAGAAAAAACAACAACAACAACATAGTACTGCAAATAGCCATTAATTAAAATTTCATCATACCTTTCTTTTTTTATCCTTTTTCAATCACCTTCATCATTATATTCCTTTATTAATATATATTTATACAGTTTTTTTTTTATTGATTAATATCCTGACGTTGTTTTAGAGTCTAATCTAGACTGTTCCAGTTTTACACCACAGACAGACATACACAAACTTTTTAAAGTTGTTCTTGTTTTCAACATCCTACAATTTCGTTCTTCTCTCAGATTATACCCCCCTTGTCGTTCTTCAAAAAATCTTTTGTTTACATTTTGGAAGTTTTTTTATTCCTAGCTTTAAACATGAATTGTGCTGTTTTAAAATTAACCAAATCATTGAACTTGGGTGTCTTTGATATAAAAATTAAAGGATTTGTATGCCCCAAATACCCCACATGTTCTATTAGGTAATTACTTGTTTTCTGCATTGTACATAAGGATCGTAAATTAGATTTGTATGTATTCCCCCAAATTTCAGCACAATAACTCCTGTAATGCAACATATGTGTGTTAGATAATAAATACATTGATTTATTGTCCAGGATAAATCTTGCTTTAAACACTATTGCTACAGTTTTTACTAATTTTGATATCAAACTATTTATTTGCGGTTTTATAATCCAATATCTTGACATCATTATAAATTCACAGTGTTATAGTTGTCAATGAACACCTCATATCTTAAAGAGATTCTTACTTCACCAAAAAATGATAATTCTGTTATCCTTTACTACTTCTGTCAACATTTACTTGTTTCTTTCATCTGTTAAACAAAAGAAGATATTTTGAAAATGTTTTTCCTACTCTGGAAGTCAATGGTTACAGGTTTCCAGCTTTCGTTTCAGAATATGCTCTTTTGTACAGAAAGAAACCCATAAAAGTTTGGAAGGGAGTAAATGATGAGTACATTTAAATTTTAGGGTGAACTGTCCCTTTAATTAACCCAAGCTGACCAATTAAAAAGTAACCCAGAGTTTAACACGTGTCTTTGTTTTGTTTTGTTTTTTGTTGCAGAAAATGCGATACCCTCCAGTGCAGGTGTGTTAAATGGAAAACTCTGTTAGTGTATTTTTTGTTTGCTTGTTTGTTTGTTTTTTAGCACAAACTTAGCTTGTTTGTCTGAATCTTATTTCCCAGGGTTCTGTCACGTTATGTGCCTATCCGTTCATATTGAACGCGCAAGCCAAGACAACCGTGCTGCAAACAGATGCTGAGCTGCAAATGCAGGTAAAACACAGCAACTCAGTGTGTTTATATGCTCCTGAAATTGTTAACTGAACTGAAAGAAGGCTGTTATTATCACCAAGACTGCATTTATTGATTAAAAAAAACAGTCTAGTCAATTATATTGTGAAATATTATTACAAATTATGTCTTATGTAAATAACTGGTTTGTTTTTAATTCATATACAAATAATAATCTATAAAAAAATCTTACTTATTCCTCCAAAATGTTAATTTCAGCCTTATTTTCTGTTAAAGAAAATCATATAAATATGCAGAAAACTGTTTTTATTATGTTTTTGATAACAAAATTTATTTAAAATATAATAAGTAGCTGTTTGAAATCCTTAACAGATGCAACTTTATCTATATAAATATATTGCAACTATATGTTATTCCTCTTGTTTTTTATATATTTATATGCACTTTTATTATTTTAGAAAATTTTACCTCAGAAAAATAATTATTAAAAAATAAATTTTCTGACATATTCTATTAATGTTTGAAGTTAAGGTGGACTTATTAAATTAGTATTTTTTTTATTGGCTATCAAAGTGGTTTCTGTTGGTTTCAGAACAGATACAAATAAATCTGATCTTGTCATTTCTTAAAACCCCACCATTCTTAGCCTTTTTGACTAGTTGTTCTTGCTGTTCAGATGGCAGTAAGTGGTGCTAACTTGCACAACGTCTTCATGCTGTTGACCATGGAGCCTTTGCTGGCGAGAAACCCTTTCCTGGTGCTCCACGTACGGAGAAACCACTTAGTCAGCGACGCTCTCCGGGAGCTCACGATCTACAATGATGTAGACTTGAAAAAGCCACTCAAGGTGTGTATTCATCCCAAAGCACAATGCCAAAATGACATGCTTGACTAATGTGCAGTCTCATTGTTTACTTTTTTTCAGGTCATCTTTGATGGAGAGGAAGCTGTGGATGCTGGAGGAGTCACCAAGGAGTTCTTCCTGCTGCTGCTGAAAGAGCTGATGAACCCCATCTACGGCATGTTCACGCAGTATTCAGAATCCAATCTGCTGTGGTTCTCTGACAAAGTGAGTTCAGTTGTATCTGCTTTGAATCCAAAAGAATAGCAACGCAACTATGGGCAAAACATGCTAGCAAAATACCAATTCATGTTAGCAACACTGGAAACAGTTTGTAAACAAGCTAGCAACATGTTCATTCATGATAAAGGTGTGTTTCACACACTAAATGGTTGCCAGCATGTTTCCAAGGTCATGCTAGCAATCTGTTTACCATGTTAAAAACATTAAAAGCATATAAATAACATTTAACATTTTGTTTACCCTATTACAAACTTGCCAGCTTTGTGTTAAAACATGCTAGCAACCCAATAAACATGCTAGAAAAATGTTAGACCATGTTAGCATGTGTAAATGTTAAATTAAATAAAATGTTAATGTTACATGCTAGTTTACTGTTAAAGTATGCTGGCAACTTAATAACATGCTAGCAAAATGTTAAACCGTGTTGCTTTAAACATGTTGCAACATGGTTGCTTAGTGTTAAAACATGCTAGGAAAATGTTAAACCATGTTTAGCATGTATTAACAGTGTTAAAGAATTCTAGCTCAGTGTTAAAACATGCTAGCAACTTAATAAACATACTAAGTAAATGTTAAATCATTATAGCATGTGTTAGCCATGTTAAAACATGATAGCTTAGTGTTAAAACATGCTAGAAAATAAATAAACAGGCTAGGAAAAATGTTAAATTATGATAGCATGTATTTACAATCATCAAACATGCTAGCAACTTAATAAACATGCTACGAAAATGTTAAATCATGTTAGCATATTTTCACTGTGTTAAAGCATGCTAGCTACTTAAGAAACATGCTAGGAAAATGTTTAATTCTGTTAACATGTATTCATCGTTTTAAAACATGCTAGCAACTTAATAAACAATCTAGCAAAATGTTAAATCATGTTAGCATGTATTCACCATGTTAAAACATGCTAGCAACTTAATAAACATGCTAGGAAAATGTTAAATCCTGTTAGCATGTATTCACCATGTTAAAACATGCTAGCAACTTAATAAACATGCTAGGAAAATGTTAGATCATGATAGCATGTATTCACCATGTTTAAACATGCTAGCAATTTAATAAACATGCTAGGAAAATGTTAAGTCATGTTAGCTTATGTTAATGTTAAAACATGCTAGCAACTTGATAAACATGCTACGAATATGTTAAACCCTGTTAGCATGTATTAAACATGTTAAACATGCTAGTTTACAGTTAAAATATGCGAGGAACTTAATAAACATGCTAGGAAAATGTTAAGCCATGTTAGCGTGTGTTAATAATGTTAAAACATGCTAGCTTAGTGTTAAAACATGCTAGCAACTTAATAAACATGCTAGGAAAATGTTAGATCATGATAGCATGTATTCACCATGTTTAAACATGCTAGCAATTTAATAAACATGCTAGGAAAATGTTAAGTCATGTTAGCTTATGTTAATGTTAAAACATGCTAGCAACTTGATAAACATGCTACGAATATGTTAAACCCTGTTAGCATGTATTAAACATGTTAAACATGCTAGTTTACAGTTAAAATATGCGAGGAACTTAATAAACATGCTAGGAAAATGTTAAGCCATGTTAGCGTGTGTTAATAATGTTAAAACATGCTAGCTTAGTGTTAAAACATGCTAGCGACTTGATAAACATGCTACGAAAATGTGAATTGCTGTTAGCATGTATTTACCATATTAAAACATGGTAGGAAAATGTTAAATGTGTTGGCGGTTTGCTAAAGCCTTGTGGAAATGTGTCATTGTGTTTAAACATTTGTTTTCTTTCATTCCACTTTATCTTCAATTAAAACTTATAGCTTGCAATGCTCTTTCATTCAGCGCATTTCAGATGATAGTAAAAAACAGGACAATCTTCAGTGTTCTCCAAAAACTATAATAGTGCAGGATGAGAACTGAAGGACGTACTGTCATTCACAGGTGTTTTTCAGGCAGGAGTAGTGCCGCGTGATTGAGAATGTCAACCAATAATCTTATCATGATTTGAAAATGTCTCGCCAAGCTCTGCTGTTTTCATGAAAACATGATGATCCTGCAGGATTTCTCTAGAGCTCGATGACGTCCAGTACTCTCGGCTGTGTACAAAACAAGGCTGAGATGAGGACTGCACATGATTCTGCAAAGTTTATATTCTACAAAGATTGTTTTTTGCACACAAATATTCTTGGATAAATAAAGGGTTGTAATGGAAAGTTAGCTGTTAGATAAGTATTGCAGATTTAGTTGTATGTGTACCTTAAACCTGTACGTTTGTTTGCATTGCAGTGTTTTGTGGAGCACAATTGGTTCCACTTGATTGGCATAATCTGTGGTTTGGCCATCTATAACTCCACTGTGGTGGACCTGCACTTTCCCCTGGTGCTCTACAAGAAGCTCCTGGAAATTTCGCCCACTCTGGATGACCTGAAAGAACTTTCGCCTACAGAGGGAAGGTATAACACAATGCTTTTCCAACGTTTGTATTTAGGCATTGTTCGTTCAGAAATTACCAATTTCCTAGAGCTTCGCAAAAGGGATTGTTTAAGTTGTCAAGCTTGTGATTTAATAATGTTAGCTTATGAAACACCGATCTCCTGTTTAAGCTTCTTCTTCCGAGCCCACATTTCTAAACGCATCTTCTCCTAGAGCTTTAAAGCTACAACTACCAAGGTTGGCTCACACCTTCAGACTGATCTAAATTTATATTCTATGTCTTTTCTAACTGATCAGATTTACGGGTTTCTCAAAACAGCTGATCAAATCTTTGAAAAACCCACATAGACTTCGATTGAGGGGGTGAAAACTTTCAGGCAGTAAATCTTGCTAAACATTTAGCATAGATGCTGCCAGTTCAATGGGGTGTATGCCAGTATGCTAATAGGACTTTTAATTTGCCAGTAATCTGGGTTAAGTGCTTCCTTTGAACAGAATGCCATTGCAAAATCGGCGTGTTTAAGGTTTGTTTTCTTTAAAAATCTACAATCTCCACTGACTGAGTGATATCCGATATAAAGTGGGTCTCAGATTGTACAAGAAGCACTGCACTAAATTACATTTCCCCCCACCATGTCTTTATAATATGAGCATTTAATTTACCCAAGTATTTTTAAAGGAGCTTCTGCGCTAGCCTGCCGATTCTGATGGGCACTTGCTAGTAAACGGCTTTTTGTCTCGTTTTACGCTTGAGCATCTAAATGAATGCCAAAGTCTGTTTAACTGATTATATTTTAATCACATTAAAACATTGATGCTGTAAAAGGAACCGTATAAAATGGAAAAAAAATTCACAATAACAGGTCACCGGAAGATTATCAGCATGGGAACAACACTAGCTTGGCATATACCCTATACCTTCACACTTTAGAATTGCTGTCAAGCATTTGCTAGCACAGCTAAGTAAATAGCTTTGGACATATAAACAAGTTAGATCATTATAAAACGTGTTAAAAAAAGTGAAAACATGCTAGCCATGTGTTTAAGAGTTTTACTGTTTTATGTATAACCATGTTAATGTTATGTTAGCCAAGCTAGAAACATGTTAGCAAAACTTAAATTTATACTAAAACATGTTAACAAAATGCTAATACATGTTAGCAAACTGCTAATTCATGCTACTGATATATTAACTGTGATAGATACATCCTAAAACATGGTACACTTTATAAGTCATGTTAAAAACAAGCTAAACATGCTAGCAAAATGTCGAACATGTAGCTATTACATGCCATCGACATAACATCGACACATAACAAAATGTTGTAGCAACATTCACCAAACCAAAATTGTCCTGTGGGTTAGCAACAAAATACCAAAATATGTTTGTAAAACACAAAATTTGTTAGGATATGATGCTGAATGTATGTTAGCAACACGCAATCTATCTGCCCGTTCATGCTGGCTACTTGCAAATTCAAACGCTAGCAGTGGGATAATGCATGTTAGCCTATTGACAAAACATACTTGAAAAATGTTAACAACATGCTAGAACATTATGAATGTTTTTATTAAAGTGCTAACATGCAAGCACTGTGCTAAAAGAGGTTGACTACATGCTAGCAGCATAAAACTAAATACATTTTCAAAACATGCTAAAACATGTTACGTGCGTTATCACATGCTAGCTCGTTCTAGCCTCATATACTAGAAACAAACTAGCAATGCCGTGATAGAACCATACTAACAATAGCCGCATTTCCACTATCGGGCCAGTGCGAGCCAGGGCTTTAATCGGGCCGGGTCGGGCCAATAGCCCGGGAGGTTGAGAAATGAGGCCGAAATCATGTCGCGTTTCCACTGACGGGCTAATAGCTCACAGCGCGTCACGCAAACACCGCCCACAGAACGTCCCCGAATCAAACGTCACACAACCCGCCCACTTCAGATAAAGCACACCATAGAATCATCACGAAACGAAACCATTAAAATGAAGACAACTGAAACAAACAAATGACACGTTACTGTACAGCAGTACATGAAATGTCTATACGCACAGACCTGTGTATTTCCATTCATTACATTTGTTTACTCGCCGACCAACTGGCATTGTGCATCGACTGCTCTCGCCGAACGCAGGGACCCATCACAGAGAGCGCACACATCCATAATATACAGCCACAGAAATTCTCCTTTATAACTCGATATTGCATGTATTTTATAACATCCTCGTTTTGATAGAAGTCGTGTTAAGTGTTTCAGCATAAGAGCGAGTAGCCTTATAAAATATAGCCATATTTATTGCTCTCGGCAGCTATTCACTAAAACTCTCCATTTAAAGTTTCATTTATAAATTTAACCACGTCATATAAAAACATAAACAGTTGTTTGAGGATATAGAACACATTTTGTGTTTGGACTTTCCCCCATATGCGTTTAAAACAGCGAGCGCTGCGCAGGACTGGGTGAAAGAAAAAAAGGTAATAGGCTAGATTCTGCTTTCAAATAATGCTCTGTTTGCGCGATTTGATTAATATCATCTTATCCAAATACTTTATAAATAATATTTCAAACCGTCTCCGTTGTTGTTTTTATAAAATATCGAAAATCTTTTTTTTTTCAGACAGGTCTTTGTAAAATGAAAGTTATAGGCTATATATGTGGCTTTAAAACGGTTCGATTTATGTATTGTATATAGGCTACCTACATATAGCTAGCTTTTGTTTATTTTATATTGGTTTATTTATTTAATGTTATTTTATATTTATCCGATATTTGTAATTCTTTAAATTATATTTCATTAAAGCTTAGGCTATTTTATCAAGATATGACACTATATTGCTTAAAGTCTATGAAAGTGGGCACGTATTTTGTTAAGTTTTATGTCCTTCTGTTGTATTTATATTGTGTATTCTCTCCAAAATAAATTAAGAAAAAAGCCGCTCGCGGCATAACAGAGCTGTGAAGGAGCGCTTTAGTCCGGTCTCACACACACATACAGGCATCTAAACGCGCACAAACATTTTAAACTTGACAAAAACTCTCGAAAACCTTTACTGTCTGCTGTGTCTTTAATATGGTGTAAAGATTATTATGCGTTATTGAAACATAAAGGAGGACGCAGCAAAAAAACGTCACTATAAATTAAAACTAGCTACTTTATTATTTTATGCAGCAGCCTTACATTTAAAAGGGAAACATAAGGGTGATTATACGCAAAAAGACCCCAGACTATAAGGCTAGATGTTTTCTTTCCCTTATTTCTTTATTTGTTTGGCGCATCTACTCATGTGCGATCAGAAAACTGCCCGCCTCTCCTTTCACTCCCCCCCGAAGCCCCAGCTGGCCCTCCTTGGCCCAAGGTATTCGGCGGGCCGAAAAAGGCCGGCCGCTGGCCCCAAGAAAGCCCCGCTTTGGCCCGATTAGGCCCCGGAAGTGACAGTGGAAACCCCACTGGCCTTGGCTCGCCCTGGCTCGCTCGCTTTAGGCGCGATAGTGGAAACGCGGCTAATGTGTTAAGCCATGTTAGCAGCATGCTAAATGCATAATAAAAGCCAACATGCTTCTTAAACCCTATTTTTAAAACATGTTCTTAATGTTTTTAACATTCATACTAGGTTTTCTGAGTCTCTGTCTAAACTCTCATCTCTTGAGACACCATGTTGTTGTTTTTCCCCCACCAAAAGCCATCACTGGCTAATGAAATCAGCTCAGCCTCCCACACAGCACTGTATCACAGCCCTCTTTAGACCAAATCAATGGAGTTCCTGTGACCCGCGGGGCTTTACTGAGAAATCGAAGTCCTAAACGCACCAAACAAACCACTGAAGAGAAACTGTTTTGCTTTATTTTGTTGCCCTGCACTCCATGGCCTTTGCCACTGCATTGCATAAACAGGTTGTTTTTATGTAACCTTAATTAAAAGCCACCCCCAAAAAAAAGCTTTCTGAAGCGCTCGGGTTTGTGAGTCACTATCACACCACTAATTGGTCACAGAAGGAGAGCAGAAAGGCTGGAGTTGATGGCCGGTTCAAGTCTGTAATCGTGTTTTTTTGATTAGTGGCTGTTCCGGAGTCATATCTGCTTATAAAAGCAGACTTTGACACGGCAATTATAACTTTCTTAGGACAAGCATCAGTTAATATGGCACTGCGCCCCATGGCAGATGATTAGATTGTGTACTAACTAAGGCGTTTAAAAGGATCAGGGATTAATTGGTTTCCTCTCGGGTAAATGTGTTTGCCACTGACGCCACATTGTTGGATTTATCTGTGGATGGTTTTAAGCTTATTAACAGGTTTAAGAGAAATGCAAAGATTCACAGGGATTGTGAAAATAGTTTTAAATTTAATTTAATTTAACTTAATTATTTTAGTTTCATTTATTTAATTTGTGTTTTATTTCATTAAATTTATGTTTCAATTATTTTAATTTGTATTTTATTTAATTTGAATTTTTTTTTTATTTTATTTGTGTTTCATTTAATTTAATTTGTTTAATTTAATTTAATTTAATTAGTTTCATTTAATGTGTGTTTAATTTCATTTAATTCGTGTTTCATTTAATTAAATTTATGTTTTATTTCATTGAATTTGTTTAATTTAATTTTAGTTTCATTTAATCTGATTTGTCTTTCTGTTAATTAAATTTGTTTCGTTTAATTTGCGTTTCATTAAATTTAATTTGTGTTTAATTTAATTTAATTTGTTTCATTTAATTTGTGTTTTATTTCATTTGTGTTTTATTTTATTTATCTTTTGTTGGATTGTTTTTGTTTGTTTTCCACTTAGGTTTAATTTTGTACTTTAAACTGGTAAAGGTAATGTGTTAATATATTTAAAATAACATTATTTTGTTTCTCATCACAGCTATTGTTATTGTAGCCTTAATTTATTTCAATAATTTAATTTAATAAAAAACATGCTGTTGTTTGATATATTCCACATTTTTGGTCAATTTATTTTAATGTCTTTATTTTATTATCTTTATATAATATTAGTGTCTTGTTATTAATTTATTATCTTATAAATTTAAAAAAAAATATTTGACTGCATGTCACTGTATATCAAACGACTGAAACGATATAACTAGAGAAATCTCCTCTCTGCTGAGCTAGATCGCTTACTGAACAGCGCAGCATCGATGATGTAAGCGTGCCCAGGCCCGATTGTAGTGTGAGTGCGGGCCGTTGGGGGAGACGGGAGGGGGGACAAGCGTGCTTTGGCCCAGTTCGAGGCAACTGTACATAGTGTGAGTACGGCCTTAGTGTCCAACCAGTGATGACATACAGCCATATTGCATTGCTTAGAGTGTGATATTGCGTTTGTACAACAGTTTGACGGCTTAATCATGTAAATAAAAAAGAAAATGAAATGCAGAGAGTCTCAAATCCTATTTAACCTTTGCTACTTCACAAACGTCCCTTTAGAGCTAGTATTTAAATGATTCTCTAGCGTAATGTCTAAAATGATGACAAAACAGGTGATTTTGCATTTTAGGTCTATAAGGCTGAACGACTTGAAATGCCATCAGTCTACAGAGATTTTTCAGTATTTCTCTGTTGCAATCAGGAGATCACACTAAATAACCCTGAAAAAGCCAAAGCAAAGCAAACATTAGCAAATTACCAATGGTATAAATATAGCACTACAGCATAGAAAAGCAAGAGATCGACTTAGAATGTCACTTACCTGTTTTATAATGATTTGATTAGCTGTTGTTTAAAGTTAACGCTGAGTTTTTCTCCCTTAAAGACTTATTATGCGGTCTCTTTCGCCATCTTGTGGCAGAATGTCAACCGTCTTTGCTCTGCTCAGTATGACAGGCTGATGGCCGCTGATCTCCGAAATTATAAATATTTAGAATTGGCACTATCCTTCTTATAAATAAACTGCACAGTTACAATCTAAACAACTACATTCTCATCTAAAAAAGCCTCAAAAGTATTATATTGTCCAACAGCTGCAATATTTGTCAAACTGTAGTGAGTTTATTGATCTGCTGTCACTTTATGTGGGCAAAATAATATACAAGAGTGAAGGTGTATAAGTGCTGTTATTCGAGAACCAGCCAGAAATGTTGTATAGATCATAATAATAAGAAAAACAGATCATATTAAAAGTATTATTCATCCTAAAACTGTTCTTAACTGTTCTGCATCCTAAAAATTGCAAGTATTATTGTTTGTTTAAATGCTTCTTCAAACTATCTTCTTTTGTCTTTAACACAACAAAGAAACTCATCAATGTTTGGAACCACTTTAGCATGAGCAAATTTTCATTTTAGGATGAACTATCCCTTTAATGTTGCAATAACCATGTCCTGGTTCTTGTTTTGAGACCTCATTTGGCCTCATTTCTGACTCTCCGCTTATATAAATGCCATATTTTATATACATTTAATAAAGTCATGGGCAGAAAAGTGCCATTTGTTAAAAGTGGGAGATGATGTGCAGCCCCTGGCTTTCCTGCATAAGCCAGGGGTTTGTGTTTTTATCCTGCAGCTGCTGAGCTCTTAACTGCGATTACACCAGAGAAGGACAATTAAATGCCTGTTGATGACTTTACAGATTAAAACAGAGAACATTTTCCAAAACTGCAGGTCGGATGTTTCCTAAACGTTCGTCATGTGCTGTTTTTGTCTGTGTTTTGCCAGGAGTTTGCAGCAGCTGCTGGAGTTTGAGGGTGATGTGGAGGAAACCTTCTGTCTCAACTTTGCCGTAAGTTCATGGACACCAAAATATGACTCCTTTATTTAGGCCACATCAGGTCACAAGAGGATTTATCTGATTAGAGGAACGTCACTTATAGCTGTAGTTTAAAGTATAGAGCCGTTGACAGGTCAGTATTTTTAATTAAACAAATTGAACTAAACCTGTTTTTGATATCTCACACACACACACACACACACACGCACACACGCATATGCTGTCCTGATGATGTCCTGAAAACCCTTACAAAAACCCTTGTGATAAAATGACATTAAGCAGATGTTTTTTGTGGTTTATTATGAAGAGTAATACAATAATGCAACGTTATATTGTTCTTTGACAGTGTTAAGTGAAATTGCTAGTGAAAAATTGTATTATCATTTTGTAATAAAAATTAATTTAGACTTTAGTGCAATTTACTTATGGGACGGTTCATATGTGCTTGTATTATAATAATCATTGTACATCGAATATTATAGTATAAATCTGTCATAAAATAATCTGTCATTCAAAATATATGACAATATATGAAAAATGCTGATCCGAAGTGTAAATATTACAAAATAAAATTAAAAGATTTCATAAATACGTGTATATCCTAACACTTTCATAATTTATAAATAATTTAAAAATCTCATAAATAAGAGTTCTCAAATTAAACAAAAACTACTAAAGTACTAAATATATGTATATATTTTTACACACACAAAAATAGTAAAACATCCAGAGGACATAACAAAATATAAGCCAATTCAGTTTTTTTTAAATGTATAAAATTATTATTATTATTACTAATAATACTAAAAACAAGACAAGGGGGGCAGCACGGTGGCGCAGTGAATAGCGCTGTCGCCTCACAGCAAGAAGGTCGCTGGTTCGAGCCTCGGCTGGGGCAGATGGCGTTTTTGTGTGGAGTTTGCATGTTCTCCCCGTGTTGGTATGGGTTTCTTCCGTGGTATTTTTTCTGTTGGTGTGGGTGCTCCGGTTTCCCCCACAGTCCAAAGACATGCGCTATAGCTGAATTCATTCATTCATTCATTTTTTTTTTCGGCTCAGTCCCTTTAATAACCTAGGGTTGCCACAGCAGAATGAACCACCAACTTATCCAGCATATGTTTTATGCAGAGGATGGCCCTTCAGCCGCAATCCATCTCTGGGAAACATCCATACACACTCATTCACACCCATACACTACGGACAATTTAGCCTACCCAGTTCACCTGTACCGCATGTCTTTGGACTGTGTGGGAAACCGTGCATCCGCTGTCTAGAACATATGCTGGATAAGTCGACGGTTCATTCTGCTGTGGTGACTGCGGATCAATAAAGTGAATAAGTCAAAAGAAAATTAAATGAATAAATGAAATATTAAATATTAAAGTATTTTTCTACAAAATGTACTTTTATTAAACTGTTTGAATTATGAATTTAGTGGTATTACAGCATGATATCTGCTATTTTGTTTCATTATATTGCAAAAAAAATGTATTATCTTTGCCACATCTTTTTATAATCTTAATCCACACTTGTATGTACATTTAGTACATTTAATACATCAGACAAATTTGGTATTGTGAGATTCTTTCCTGGTGATGACCGCTGCTTTCTGTCTACACTACCTGACAAGTGTTGTCGTCGATTTCAGTTGTAAGAGCAAGACATAATAACTTGACTTCTAGTTGATCATTTCAAAAAATGTCAGAAGATAGATTTTTTGATGAATCATCTGTTGAACTGTATCCCAATGATCACAAATGCTGCAGAAGACCCTTTGGAACTGGCATGGGTCCAAGATTTTCACAGATATCAGTCAAGTTTGGGGAAGAAAAAAATCATGGTTTGGAGTTACCTTCAGTATGAGGGCAAATTCTTCAGCAGGATATTGCTCCTTCTCATATTTCAACCTCCACATCAAAGTTCCTGAAAGGAAAAAAGGTCAAGGTGCTCCAGGACTGGCCAGCCCAGTCACCAGTTATGAACATTATTAAGCATGTCTGGGGTAAGATTTTGGCATTCCATATGACTTTATTATTAAGTTGTTTGAGTCATTGCAGAGATGTATGGATGCAGTCCTCCAAGATCATGGGAGTCATACACAATAGTCTTTCTTTCTCCACTGCAGCATGACTTTATATTCTATACTGTACATTATTTCTGTTAAGTGACAAGACTTTTGTCTAAGCAAAGTCAGACCTTACTGTCCTAATTAAATCATTAATAATTAATATGATCATATTTTATTTTGGTAAAATAAGCGTAATCTTGAGGCCTTTGCCTTTCATATAAGCCACTTCTGATACCAAAAGATCAACTAGAAGTCAAGTTAATATTTGTTAATCCTAATACTTGCATAGGCGACAAGACTTTTGTCAGATGGTGTGCATGTATGCGCTCAATTTTATTTAATTGTTGTTTTCACCAGTCAAAATGTTTATTGACAGAATGCAACAACTGTGTCCGCAGATCACGAGAGAGTATTATGGGATCACGGAGGTGAAGGAGCTGGTGCAGGGAGGAAAAACCATCGCTGTGGACAAAACCAACAGGTATGAGTGTTAGCATGATAGAGGGTGCAGTGTGTGTGTGTGTGTGTGTGTGTGTGTGTGTGCGTGTGTGTGCGTGTGTGTGCGTGTGTGTGCGTGCGTGTGTGTGTGTGTGTGTGTGTGTGTGTGTGTGTGTGTGTGTGTGTGTGTGTGTGTGTGTGTGTGTGTGTGTGTGTGTGTGTGTGTGTGTGTCTTTAAATGAATGTCTGAAAGAGGTCATGCTGTTCCCTCCTGTGCTCCATATTACAGTCAGCGTGTGTGTGTGTGTGTTTTCACAATCACACGGTTTCAGAAGCCGCAGGAACAGATGGGACAGAATCCACACAAATCTGAACCCAAAATGCATTGCACACACATTTGTGATGTGACTTTAGGTGGAGAATGGAGATGGTAAGAAATATTAAGGTGGTATTTAGGCTTGTATGGCTCAATAGAAGATAAGTGAGATACAGTTTTAGTCAGAATTATTAGCCCTCCTGAATTATTAACCGACTTTTATATTTTTTTCCCAATTTCTGTATAATGGAATAGTTTTGAATACCATAATAGTTTTAATAATTCATTTCTAATAACTGATTTTTTTTATATTTGCCATAATGGCAGTACATAATATTTGACTATATATTTTTCAAGATACTAGTATTCAGCTTAAAGGGACATTTCAAGGCTTAATTGCATTAAAAAGGCATGGATTAATCACTTGAAGTCCGCCGGAGATGAAAACTCTTTCAGTTTGGCTAATAATCTCAGCTGGAAAAAACTATATTTAACTACTGCATTTACCTGTTTGTCAAATACAAGTGCAGAATCCAAGATCAAACCTAGATTTCTTACATATGATTTAATGCAATTGGATAAATTGTCCAACATTTGATTTAGATAGAGGTCTAAAAACAATAGCCTCAGTCTTCCTCTTATTGTACAACCTGGCAGACAGTATAGCCCGGCACTCTCATTTTGCTAGAGAGGCACGTAGATTTGCATATCACCAGCATAAAAGTGATGAGATAAACCATACTTCCTAAATATTGAGCTCAAGGGACACATATACAAATAGAACAGAATAGGGGCAAGATTAGATCCCTGGGGAACCCCAGAAGTTAGGCGCACTTTCAATACATTCCTCAACACATAATGAAAAAGATCTGTTTGACAGATAAGATCTGAACCACTCAAGTACAGCACCTTGTAGGCCAGCACAGTGAGCAAGTCGAGAGACAAGAATATCATGGTCAACTGTATTAAAAGCTGCGCTCAGATCCAAAAGCAATATTACATACTGACCAGAGTCAACAGATAATAAAATATCATTTCACACTTAAAAGAGCCGTGTCTGTGCTGTGATGTTTTCTACAACATGATGTTTGCTCTAAAAAAACAGTATCTGGATGGATACTACCTCCTCTAGAATTTTAAAATAAGGCTTACTCCAGAAGAAGAAATATTATAGGAAATATATGAACATCAGTACATCCTCTTGATCACATTTACATGCCCAAAATGCATATGATTTTCTGATAAGATATTATCTTAACCTAATAAAGCGGCTAGTGTGTTTGTTTTGGAACACGTGTGTGTGTGTGTGTGTGTGTGTGTTTGTTTGTGTGTTTGTGTGTGTGTGTGTGTGTGTGTGTGTGTGTGTGTGTGTGTGTGTGTGTGTGTGTGTGTGTGTGTGTGTGTGTGTGTGTGTGTGTTTGTGTGTGTGTGTGTGTGTTTGTGTGTGTGTGTGTTTGTGTCCTGCTCTCTGATTAAATAGAAATCCAGTCATCTTGCGCTCAAATCGAGGCTTTTGCCAAACACACACACAAATGCTTCAACAAACAAACCTGATTCTGCCATATGACCCCCTGAAGAGATTACAAGCCTTCAGCCCAGCTCAGATTATCAGTCTTAATTCACTCGGTCTGGTGCACGAGTGCATGTGAATATGTGCACAGGATTACATTCGGCAGATATGCTTTATTGATCGACATATGAACTCTAAGCAGTCATTCAGCATTGTTTTCAGTATTGTAGATTACCAGATTAACTCTTCTTGACAACTAACACAACCACATCAGGAACACGTGTCACTTTTGTATGGCTAAACAAAATTATTATTATTATTATTATTATTATATTTTGTGTAATTAAAGTGAACAGACTATTGCACAGTGCATCCGATTATTGTGATATAAATATTTTTAAACTAGTTTTAATTTTTTTAATCTAATGAGGATTATTATTATTATATAACAGTCATCATCTTTATTAAAATGACTGTAATACCATGCTATTTTTTTTTTGCTAAACATTAACATGAAGGCAGTACAGCAAATACTACTAGTATGTAAAACGACATCTGAATACATAATTATTTATGCAATAATGTAATGAGTGAGGCTTTTAGCATTACCGCACATCAGTCGGATCCGGAAGTAAAATTATTTTCTTTATAGGGAAATGGGTTTTTAACTATAAACCAGACAAACCATATACAACAAAAAGACAACCACTTTAAAAAGACAAAACCATCTGTCGGATATCAGATATTCACACAGTTATTTTGTGTGTGTGTATTGCTGAAATACTTTAAAAATATCATTGTGTACACATGATCAACGTATTTAATTCAATTCAATTCACCTTTATTTGTACAGCGCTTTTAAAATGTCGATTGTTTCAAAGCAGCTTCACATAGAAGATCACAGAAGATGTTTCCCTGTGATGGGTTGCTGCAGAAAAGGCATGCGATTTGTAAAACATATACAGGATAAGTTGGTGGTTCATTCCGCTGTGGTGACCCTGGATTAATAAAGGGACTAAGCTGAGAAGAAAATGAATGACTGTCTAAGAGAAAGGGTCAACGTCTCCATAAAGAGATATCATTTTTGTGTGATTTCCTCTCTCAGGAAGGAGTTTGTTCAGGCGTATCTGCAGTATGTGTTCAGCGACGCAGTACAGGAGCAGTATTCGGCCTTCTCCAGTGGTTTCCTGAAGGTCTGCGGTGGGGAGATTCTGTCTCTCTTCCAGCCCTCTGAACTCATGGCCATGGTGGTGGGCAACAACAACTACAACTGGGAGGAGATGGAGAAGGTGGGGGCACATCCAGCTTTAACATTTAACGACACACTAATTCAGCATTCATGTTCAAGCCATGTGACTTTGGATCTCTCTGTTTGTTCCTAGAATGCCTCATACAAGGGCGAGTTTTCTGCAACCCACCCAACAGTAAAGATGTTTTGGGAAGTGTTTCATGAGTTTTCCTTGGAGAAAAAAAAGCAGTTCTTATGTAAGTGGGAGACGGCAGTGGAACTGATTGTGTGATGTAAAAAAGAAAGCAAGTGTATTTAATCCAAAAGTGAAATCAAAAAGCACAATACAAACTATTTGTATATATGTATTGTTCTAAATGACACTGATGCCAGAACTTTAAAAGCTGAAAGGATGCAAACAAGCATAAAACAGATTACATTTAAAATGTGGAGGGATTCTAATAATACCAGCAGTACAGACAAGTTTGTTTTATCTTACACTGTGCTGAAAAATATTTTGAGAAATTGATTCTGCATCAATTCTGCAGTTATTTTTCAAAATGAGCTTAATTTTAAACAGCAGATGGCGCTATATGCTTTACAAACAACCATACTTTGCTAATGGTCAATTCCCTACATACACCACTTTGACCTGAAGTTATCACTAATAAAGTTAGTGAAGGTTTACGTGTATTACAAGTGTTGATATGGTTAAAATCTAGCCTAGAGCACTAGCTGCTGTTTAAAAACTAGCCTAGTGTGCCATTTGCTGTTAATAACTAGCCTAGAGTGCTGTCTGCTGTTAAAAATTTGCCTAGAGCTCCATCTGCTGTTCAAAACTAACCTAGAGCGCTGTATGCAGTTGAAAACTAGCCTAGAGTGCTGTCTGCAGTTCAAATTTAGCATAGAGCATCACCTGCTTTTAAAAACTAGCCTATAGAGAGCCGTCTGCTGTTAAAAACTAGCCTCAAGAGATGTCTGCAATTCAAAATTAGCCTAGAGTGCCATCTCCTGTTCAAAGCCAGCCTAGAGCCCCATCTGCTGTTAAAAACTAGCCTAAAGTGAAGTCTGCTTTTAAAAACTAGCCTAGAGCATCACCTGCTATTAAAAACTAGCTTAAAGAGAGCCGTCTACTGTTAAAAACTAGCCTAGAGCACCATATGCTTTTAAAAATGAGCCAGAAGCACCATCTGCTGATCAAAACTAGCCTTGATCGCAGTCTGCTTTTCACAACTATTTGAGAGTGCAGTTTGCCATTCAAAACTAGCCTAGAGGAACGCCTAGTGTTAAAAACTAGCCTGGCACTCCATCTGCTGTTCAAGACTAGCCTAGAGGGCTGTCTAGTGTTAAAAACTAGCCTAGAGTGCCATCTGGTGTTAAAAAACTAGCCTACAGCCCCATCTGCTGTTCAAAACTAGCCTAGAGCGCTGTCTGCTTTTCACAACTATTTTAGAGTGCAGTTTCCCATTCAAAACTAGCCTAGAGAGCCATCTGTTGTTAAAAACTAGCCTACAGCGTCATCTGCTATTTAGACTAGCCTAGAGCGCCATCTGCAGTTCAAAACTAGCCTAGAGCGCGGGCTGCTGTTCAAAACTATCTTAGAGAGCTGGATTCTGTTCAACACTAGCCTAGAGCGACATCTGCAATTCAAAACTAGCATACAGCACCCTCTGCTGTTAAAAATTAGACTAGAGCACCACCTGCTATTAAAAACTAGCCTACAGCGCCATCTGCGGTTCACACCTAGCCTAGGGCACCATCTGTAGTTCAAACTAGCCTAGAGCTCCATCTGCTGTTCAAAACTAGCCTAAAGTGCCATCTGTTGTTTAAATCTATGCTAAAGAGCTGTATTCTGTTCAACTTTAGCCTAGAGCAATATCTGCTGGTCAAAATTAGCCTAGAGCATCACCTGCTGTTATAAAGTAGCCTAGAGCACCATTTGTTTTTCAAAATTAGCCTAGAGCACCATCTGCTGCTATAAACTAGCCTAGAGCACCATCTCACCATCTGCTGTTAAAAAACTAGCCTAGAACACCATCTGCTGTTCAAAATTAGCCTAGAGCATCATCTGCTGTTTAAAACTAGCCTAGAGTGACATCTGCTATCAAAACAAGCCTAGAGCGTCATCTGCTTTTCAAAACTATTTTAGAGCACAGTCTGCCATTTAAAACAAGACTAGAGATCCATCTGGCGTTTAAAAAAACTAGCCTACCACGCCATCTGTTGTTAAAAACTAGCCTAGAGAGCCATCTATTGTTCAAAACTAGCCTCGAGTGACGTCTGCTTTTCAAAACTAGCCTGTAGTGCCATTTTCTGTTTAATACTAAACTCAGAATTGATCCAGGAGAGAATAGCGATGCATTTTGTAAATCGCAGAATCGATTTCTCTATTTTGGTTGTTCAGAAATCATGCATCAAGTTGCTGAAATGTCATAAATGTGACAGCGCCTTTTGAATCCCGACCAAAGAATTGTTTTTGTTGTCCCGCAGTGTTCTTGACAGGCAGTGACCGCATCCCCATCCACGGCATGGCCAGTTTGCGCATTGTCATCCAGTCCACGGCTGCAGAAGAGCACTACCTTCCAGTGGCTCACACCTGTTATAATATGCTGGACATGCCCTGCTACCAGACCAAAGAGACCCTGCGGCAGCGCCTCACACAGGCCGTGGAGCAGTACGAGGGCTTCAGTCTGGTCTAAACAAGAACTACGGAGGGGGCTTTCTATATGCTGAAACTGCACTTTAAACCCGTGGAGAAATGGAAACGAACGCTGCTCTCGCATTTGTTTTACCACAAACGAGCACATCTCGATTCTCATACGAGTAAAATCTATTATTTTCTTATTTTTTACTGACTGACTCTGACTTGCTTGTTTGGTCGCATCTTGAGACGTGCACAATTTTTTCCCTTTTTTTTCCCTCTTCTTTTTTTTGGTTAAAAAAATTATATTTTTTAAATGAAAAAAAATAATTATAATATTAGGAATGAGTAGTTGGCAAATAAATTAAGATATTTGACTTTCGTTATATATTTTGTATAAGTGTAATTGTTTTTGAATCAGATTTAAAGACCAATAGGTTGCTCTATAGTCTTAAGTTATTTGGTCATGTTGGTTTACACGGATTTGGAATGAATTTTCTGGTTAAAACACCTTTACAAAACCTTGTTATTAAATGTTAAATGCATAATTAACAGCAATGGTCTTAAACTCAATTTCTAGAGGCCTGCAGCTCTGCACAGTTTGGCTCCAACTACCTCCAACTCACACCTGCTTAATAGTCTCTAATGAACACCTTGATTAGTTGGATCAGCTGTGTTTGATTAAGGTTGGAGCAAAACCATGTCGAGCTGCGGCCCTCCATGAATCCAGTTTGAGACCTATGATATACAGAGTAGTTTAATATGAATATTTACTCTCAGGCAATCTAAGCTGATTTTCTTTAGCGGAAATAAACATGGGTGCTGTCATTTTTAAAGTAAGAAAAAAAATAGTTAATTGACTACAAATAAATCCATATTGCTTTAAGGTGTTTTACCAGTGAGGGGTTGCAGCTGAAAGGGCATCCGCTGCGTAAAACATTTGTTGGATAAGTTAGCGGTTCATTCCGCTGTGGCGACCTTAGATTAATAAAGGGACTAAGCTGAAAAGAAAATGAATGAATTCTTTGAGGTGGTATGATATAAAACGATTGGCCTGTGTTTAAGACGTCTAATAATCCATGCGCGATGGCATTCTGAACTGGCGCCATTGCGCATGCGTCATGTGAGAGACCTCGTTCACCTGAGGCGATAGATTACACGAAGTAAAGTAGTATGAAGTTATGTATTTCTTTGGAAATCTCGATGTTTCCTTTACAAAAGACGTCAGTATATCATAAGGAGCGACGTGTATTCGTTTGAGGTGGCTTGTGAAAGCGTGTTTGACTCTCAAAGTGACAGCACCTGTGGACTTTATGATTTACCAAGGGCAACGAGTTCACCTAAAATCGTGTCTGAGGAAAGAAAGTAACCTAGGCGTCTTGGTTGGCCTGAGGGTAAGTAAATCAATCACAGTTTTCATTTAAGCGTGAACTATTTCTTCAATCAGAAAGCCATTCACAACACTTCAAATTGGACGTTAGTTTTTTTTTAATGAAAACGGTAGAAATAACATCCCCATCAGCAGCACATAACACCAACAGACACTTTCGGACACGATACATAATTTTATAATAGAGGTAAAGTTGGTTTTATATTCACACATTCGTTCATTTAGAAGTCTATATTATTTACCATGTTACTTTGAATATTCGATCGGAATTAGCATGCAAATATGACTTGAAAACAACATCAACACTGTTTATTTGACTGTGAACAATGTTGTACTTTGATAGTCATTGGCTGCTAATATGATTTCACTGTTTGGAGTTTGCAAATAATACTTTAAAGGAATTATATTATTAAGGGGAAAGTCTGAATGTCTGACTATTAAACCAACTTTACCTCTATATTTTAATACTGATTTTCGCGCTTTACTCATTCAGTCAGTGCTCCGACCGACGTTAAAGTTATGCATTTTCGCGCCTACCAAATTATTTCCAACGGTTTTCTTTTCACTGTATGTACAGTAGCAAGTTATTACCATGAAATATCTTTTATGATTGACATGCGCATGTCATGCCCAGGGTGAACGCCCGAAGCTGCTTTTCTGAAATATTTCATTGGTATTGTTATTTGGGGAAAGATGTTTCTCTTAGGGAAAAAAATGGGATTTCATTAAGGAACGCGATCCAGCAATAACTACTGGTTGAAGTGTGTGTACTAGTTCTGGGATTTTACTCCAGCAAATGTGAATATACTAACAGCTGTGTTGTTTTCCCCGGTTAAAACATTGCCGCTTTTTTCGATTTAATCCCTCTATTTCAGAGGACAGACATATGATGTAAACTGGATTTTGTTTTCTACTCGCATTGCTGGGTTTGCAGTTAAAATGGCTAAGAGTGTCTTCAAGTCCAAAGTGGGTGATACGGGAATATTTGGGACCACGGTGACGTGTTTGCTGTGGCGTTCTGCATCAAGCTGCATGAGATGTATTTGTTTGTATATGATGGAAGGTCATATAAAGAAGTGTTTCTATCCAGCTTATTACTTTCTGTCAATGTATGCGAACAAGGGCTTCTTAGTGGCTACTGATGCATTGTTATTTTAGTAAAGTATATTTACTTTTATAGCTTTCAAATGGAGTATATTGTTTTATCTATTTTGTTTTCCAGAACAATAAAATGAATTCACCTCAGATGAAATATCATTACGCAAGTCATGGCTTTTTCTTGAACTCAAGAGACTTTGAAATGAATACCCGACACCAGTGTGTTCAGAAAAAATAGTTTGGTTTTTATATCATATGTACAAAATACAAATACAATCATGTACTAAAATGTACACACAGTATTCATCTTTATCCATCGGTCTTGACACGTTCAGTAAAAACAAAGGTCACGCTACCATTTTCCAATCTGGAGAATAAGAGAAGGGGGTGACGTGCTCACTGGGTTTGCATCTGCGTTCACACAAACACACAATGAGGCCCCATAGGTTTGCTTTCTATTGCATGCTAACAATAGAGATGTTTTGTGGGAATCTAATCCACCCACATCACTGTCAAAACAGCATGTGATGACCAGTTATATGCTGGAGACTATTTAGTGCAAAAAGTATACTACAAAAGAAACAAAACGACAAAAGCTGGTTTATAGTACCTTTGTTTGTGCGTTTCTACACAATTTTTTCCCCCCAGTTTTCTTTTGGTTGTTCATTTGCACTCTTTTTTTTTTTTTGTCTTTCATAAAGTTACTGACTTCTAGCTTAGTCAATGGTCTTAAAAATTACAGCTTAAGATGAGGGTTAAGAATTTGATAAATACAATCGATGCAAGTATTCATATTTTCAAAATAAATCCATTTGCATGAATTATGGCACCAGTAAATAATGAGTAATATACAGAGAGGCTTCCTTCCACAAATCAGTTACCTTCAATTAATCGAAAGCGAAGAAAACAAAATTCCTATAATGATAAACTCTCTTCATCTCTAAGTATATACATAGACAATTATTTAAGATGCAATAACTTGGGTGTTCTTCAAAGCTTATGCCTGATTGCGCAAAACAAACGTGCTTCTATATTACAGCATTGTTAATATAGAAAAGAATGATCTAAAATCAACACGAGCCGTCGTATTATACAACATAAAAGCTTTCTTCTGGGCTTCAAAATGAACAGGGACGATTCACACAGGTAATCTGATTGTGTTCTGAAACCCACAGTTCTTTTTGCAGCACTTGTACATCTGTTATTGGTGAACCAGGCATGTCTTGGCTTCTTCCAAAGTCGACTGTTCTTGTAATGGGGCAATAACAAAGCGGAACATGTCTTTTGTACACACTGTATTGCTTTGGATGGCATTGGATGGTCCTTGGTTGGCTAGTAGAGCAAATCCCAGCTGAGCACTAGATGAACTTGGAGGAGTCTTGTTTACTGATAAGCACTTCCAACAGCCTTAGCTTGGCTTTGATATGCTTGTATTCGTTGTATTCCCCAGCCAAGGGCGAGCGATCTTCCTTTTGCACGTTTCTATGGAAACAGAACGTTCAGTAAGATTTTTTTCTCTCTCTTTCTGTAGACACGTAAATCTTTACAATGCATCTAAAAGTAGTCTTGTACAACTCTGAAAATTGTTTTGAGGAAGTTTGCTTACCTGCCATTCTGTTTGAAGAACTGATCCTCGAATTCACGAAGGTTTTTGCGGATTCTTTTCTTTTCTTCACGTGCTTCCTGGAGTTCCTCTACCAGTTCCTGCCTGTATGTTTGGTTAAGAGGGAGTGGAGAGTTTTAGGTTTCTTTCAATCAACCGCAGTGACAGTGCAATATTTTTGCATTGAATAGATTCAATAGTTGGTAAATATCACTGAACAATTAGTTTTTTTTAAATGTAAAGTTTACGTATAGGCATTTGTATATTTGACTTTGAAGCTCCACTATCTGAATTATTCATATAAACAAAGTACAATGTCTGTAAAGGCATTTACACAGTAGTGTTGTCAAAATATATCGATATACTGCTAAATATCCATACTGACATTTTTAAAACGATAAAATCTTGCTTTTGGTAAGTAGCGATACTGGCTTTACTCTCTTGTCAGACCCCCTAGTTTTAATTTTGCGATTAAAAATGACTGATTTTGTGGTGGTAATTTCCAGAAATTTGCTGACAATTTTGCTCGATATTATTTACCATATTAGGTAGCCTACTATGTTAGGTGTGCAATCATAAAATAAAGTTCTTTAATACAAGATCTAAATCAGTAGAGATTAAGCCAAAGGGAGGTTGTATAACTCTTATTTTTATTCATGATCTTACTTTATCTTTATCAGATTTCACTCCCTGGAGCATCTTACATGTACCTCACTCAGGAAATGCATTAAGGATCCACTACTGTAATGAACCTAAATTCTCGTAAACGCTGTAAAACTCGTTAATGGCAGAGAAACGTTTTCTCTCGTCAGTGGCAGGGAAATAGTTAAGCGAAATCATTTATCGATTTTAAGCACATCAATGGCTCCAAACCATACATGTAAAGCAAAAATAATTCTGTCACATTCAGCAGCCGTCCACTTCTCCGCTTGTTAGATGTTTGCTCACACTTTCTTTTGCAGTCTGAAGCGAATTCGTGCTGTGTTATCCACTCAATTTGCACTACAAGATGTCTAATTGCATCTTTGCATTGACTTTACATGTAAATCACTCACGCTTCATCAGCGTCTGCTCACTGCATAGGCTGAAAAACCATTTCCCCGCACTTCCATGTAATTTAATGACTGTGAGGGAGCAGATGAGATGTGATTTTTCAAGACACACTCAATTACATCATGGTGCTCTCCATATGCGACGTCTATATGTCATGTAAAGCAATTAATTGCAAACAAATCCAATTTAACTGTATAGTTTAGAATTTTCGTTTTTATGAGATTGTAAATAATTATTTTGATTTATTTTGTTTAAATGAAAAATTTTGCATGATCGTAAAAATTTTTGTTAGATTCAGCGATCGTAAAAAACTTAGGGGTCTGTCCTGTGAATGCAAGACATTGAATGGTTTGTTGTACTGGATTTGTATACTCTAAATGTTGTAGAATTTGTTCCTCCATGGTATCATATCAAATATGGTATTGAATATAGAACTTCTTATAGAAGTTGGAAATTCCAGTTTTGTGAAACACTTTAACACAGTAGAGTTTATAGGTCATGGGAATTCATTGAATTGCAATTGTTAGCAAAGGTGACCATGTCTTACAAACATAATACCACTTTTAACAACAACAATGCACTGACCAACAATGTATTCTGTTCTACATTTGAAAATGTAAATATTTGTAAATCTGTATTAGTTTATTAAATAAAAATGTATTTTTCTAAAGCTGCATTTTACCCCCAAAAATAAAATAAACTTGATTAAATCTCTTTTACTAATGGCTGCTGCTATCTGCTTGGATTTACAATTCTTTCGGGAAGTCCATGTTTATCTGGCCATACAGAGCTGACCTTTGCCTACTTTATTTCAAATTGTTCCGGAACTTTCATTAACCACAAAATAGATCTCAAACTACAAATATTATCTAGTACACTATTAAAAAAATGCTGGATTCCACACAATCAATTTCTGTTGGGGTCTTGGGGGACATGGAAAAAAATTAAGTTAACGAATTAGTTTTTACAAATATAAGTATATTAAACAAAAAACAATCAAGGTGTCCCCAAAAATCCCTTAAGAATTGTGCTGCTTCAACTCGTTTTAAATAAGTAGTTTGAACAAACAACAAACGTAATTTTTTTAAAGTCAATGGCCGTGCCCTAAAACACGTTTCAACTCAACCTAAAACTTACATCGTAGCAGCATGCAAGTTGGACAGTCTCATGTCTGTGGTGTTCTTGGAAGGGGATAGTTCATCAACAGGTGAGATGAAACCGTCTGCGTCCTCATCCAGCTGGTCGAGAAGTCCTAGCATGCTCAGCTCTGGCTTAACCGTGACTGTGAACTGCGTCCGGGTGTCATCATCATCCGAGCCATCCTCCTCCTCCTGGAAAAGAGCAGATGGCGCTGGTTAGTTCAATTGCAGCTTAACCGTGAGGGTTTACACTAGCATGACAAAGCAGGATCTAACATTGATTATCAAGGGAGATCTCAGTGACAATCATTGTGCAACAAGCCTCTGTAGTGACTAGGGTTAGTACAAATGAAAAGCATCTGTGTGCTAGGAGTGCAGTAAATCACATTCATTCTAGTTGGAGAACTAGTGCACTGCATTATATATGAGTCGCCATCCCTGGAGCTAAAAACCCAACAGGGATGTGATCAAACGGCAATGGAATCAGCAGGAGTCGAATCTCACAGCACTCCCAATTACTTGCCCATGCAGTTACGGATTCATGATTGGGTTAATGAGGAAACTAGTGAGGTGGGGAAGGAGGTGGGCAGCCGAATCACTGGTTGGTTGAGCGGTAATGGCTCTTCACCTTGGTGTCGCTGAAGAACAGAGCTGGTACACCCTCGATAATGGGCTGCAGCAGGGGGCTTCTGCGCTTGCTGGAAGGCGAACCCTGTGGTGGGTGTTAATAGTGACATTATAACCTGGTAAACTACGGTCACATCAGACCACTCAGGGCAGTACTCATTTCACTAATAAGGTCCAAATTAAATAAACCTTAAATTCTGAAGATGTCATTTAAGGGGGTTCATCAAATTGGTTTAAAATTGGCGGAAACGATAAAATAGACATGGTTATATTTATAAAATGGTGGTTAAAGCTAAAAGATAACACAACTGCAAATCAGACTTTAGAGTGTTACATAATAGCATCCACTTTTGTGTTGCATAAGCCACAAATGTCATATTTTCCTGCATTTAGGATGTTTTTATTCTTGTATTTCATATGCATATCATGCTATATTAAGAGGGCAAAACACTTCCTGTGGTGTGGGAATATGACCAGGGTGGCTGTTTTATGCTTTGGAGGACTTTTAAGGCTACGTGTGTTAGAGAATTAGGTATTATAAGGAATACTGTTGCAAATATCCAGCTACAGGATATGACCTGAGTGAGCCACTCTTGAGCTCTTGCTAAAGACTGGCTTAGTTGCACTAACAAGCCCCTGCGCTGTCACTGCATCAATACTGCAGCTAAATGCTTATATTGTGCTACTGCTAATGCTATTTCCTCTGCTAATACTGTGGAGATTTATCCAAACGGTTTAGTCCTAGAATAAAGCAGAAATGGCAGCTAGCTAGCCTTTAAAACGACAACTGTAGCTTATGCATATTTGCTAGTGTGGTTTGGATAAGTATTAGCTTTATTCCAAAACCTGTCTCACTGCCAACTGCCTACATGGGCAGCAACATTACTTTTATGGAACCTTACAAGTGACCGATTTGGAATGTTCTACCTGGGCAGTAAAACCCCACAGTTCACACGTAACACCCAATTTAGACTTGAATGGCTTTAAAAGACTCAAGATGTTAGAATTTTGCTATGCTAACTAGTCTCTAGTATGCCTAGCATGTATGCATGAATATGAATTATTTTTTATTGATGCTTTTTACAACTAACCAAAGTTTCCCTTGCTGGACAAAGTAATATATTTTAGGCTGCAGAATAATGATGTTACCCATCTTGTAATACAACATCAGAGATGGATCTAAATGTAGGTTGTGAACACCAGAACTGGAGTTGTTCGTTCGAGGTGTTCTATCCTGCTTCTAAGGGCCAGTTCCTGTTGAGTTTAGCTCAGTCTGACCCAACATACTTCTCTGAATTTTATTTAATTTTTTTTAAATAGGACTATAGCAAAACTTAAGGATACTACTCAAGGATAGTGGCCCTCCAGGGGCAGGATTTGGACACTCTTTTATACCATCTGCATGTAACTCCTACTTGAGCAATTTCTCTAGAAACTGTGGTGTCATTTGCTAATGCGTTTTCATTTTAAAATGGTTAAGTTTTAATAAAGTTACGCCTAGCTTCCACACTACACCAGCATCTTTCGGCCCATGAATGTGGGTGTTTTGGAAGTGTTGGTGTCATGTTTCAGTATTGACGGATTGAAAGCCAACTTTTGAAAATTTAAGCACTGCTGTACACAATCGCTCTCCGATTTGTCTCCTGGAATACAGTGGTCCATTGTTTATCATGGGAGTTACGTTCTAAAAAGGATGCAGTACACAACGCGCTTTAAAAATAAAAAAGTCAAATTGCACACAAAAAAATCAGCGAAACTGTGAGGCCCCGAAAGGTGAACCAAGTTATAGTGAGGGACCACTGTATTCCATAGCATGCTCTGATTGTCAAGCTCCTCTCAGTGAGTATGAATAGTCATGTATCATGCGTTTTAGGCTGGATAGTGTGGACAGAGATAGTTTTTCTGAAATGCAGTAAACTCTGTTTAGATTGAGAATTATTTTCATTTTAAACATAGTTTTACAAGGGAAACGCACTAGTGTAAACGGCACCTGAGAGAGGGGAAGGCGAGAACAATAATGGAGGAAACCAGAACTTACAATGACTGGAATGGCAGACGCTCTGCAGAGGATCTGTTTGACTAGTCTGTATCGGTCGTATAGAGGCTTCATGACCTGCCTCTCGTTCTTCGTGATCTAGAAAGAATGGCAGAAATACCTCAGCCTGTGTAGTTAATCATTTCTAGGCCTCCATGAAGTGAATTTACTTATTTGCATACTTACGGGTCTTCCGTGGATACTCTCGTAGTATAGAAGAGCTTTCTGAATAGCCACTTTTTCTGCTCCTATTTGCTCACGGGTCATGTCCTAAAGAAAAAGACAGGATGGAATTTTTAAAGATTCTTGCAATATAACAAAAAAATGCATCAAAAGACGAGGGGAGAACTCGAAAACACACCTTAATGTCTTCTGGTCTGCCAGCCTCTTTCCGCTTCTCCTGCAGTTTGTTTGTGACCGTCTCCAATGTGCTCTCCACAGGGGGTTTGGGGGCTTTGGTCTCCGGGGTTTTTTTCTCCAGCTGAGATCCAAAGCTCTTGGGAAGCGTGTTGCTGCGTTGGCGGGGGATGGGCGTCAAATCCTCTTCTGACTTTAGCAACTTGTGATCTGTGATGTGAAGCCAGAACATGGTGGCACTTGTTTATAAGAACTTTGCAAGTCATGAGTAGAGCAGATTAGATGTTTTCCTAGTAGACCCAAACCACAAAGGCTAGCGGGAAATTACTCCCGAGACATTTTGTTCAAACTAAATATCATGAATGTTGGATTAGCATGGATTATGTGATACAAATCACTTTCGTAATGGTAATTGTTTCCCTTGTTGGGGCATTTCATTCATACCTTTCAAGTCTTTACGTAGCCTGGTTAGTTCATTCATCCACCGTAGAACTTCTGGATTGCCGGCTTTATCGCCATGTGAAGGCTGTTGAGATAACAATAGACTTAGCGTTTTTGTTACAAATAAAACTATTCTTTTTGCACTGGTCATTTTAGTGTATTGACATTGTTCTTTCATGTAAGGGTGGCCACAACTATTGGAAACTTAATGGTTCAAGTCTTCCAGTCTCATTCACCTCCAGGGTTCAACGCTAACTGTATGTTCAGACCGAAAGCGGCAAGAGCGTCAAAGAAGCCGAAAGTTTTTCATTTTTATTGGGGGCCAGCGGCGATAAGCAGCAAGGAGCAGCGCGGCATGTCTTCGCCGTTGTGGGCATCGAGCAGAGTTGAAATCCTGTCAGCTATATGGTAATGAGCTATATGACGCGATTCGCCGGCAAGAAATCGGAATGTAGAAGTCCACCGCTTGAGAGGAGTCCAGAGAACACAGTCACTGTGAACTTTGGTTCCTGACCACAGTTGTTCCCAAGGATTTGATTATTGCAGTCGTCAGATTTCCAATTATTTGCAATGTTTTCTTACAGAAACATACATTTAAAAAAAAGTTACTAGCGAGTTACTGATATGCATTGATGTTATAAATATTTTTTTTTCTTTAAAGCAGGAATCTCATGCGACAATGCAAAATAGTATTGCTGCTTAAGTAGAGCAAAACCACATGCAACTTGATCTTCCATAGTTAAATGAATTTAATAATAAATGCGCAATGGCCCCTTTAAATACGAGATCAATGTAGCGAATTTTGACGCTCTCGCCGGCGGAGCTGAAGGCAGACAGCGTTGTCGCCAGGGCAGCCAGAGCGACCTTAGACGCTCTCACCGCCTATGTTGTGAACACACAGTAAGGAGTTTTTTCTACTGGCCCGAATGTGTGGATATTTCTTGGCCACATATTTTAAATATTGTGTCAAAAATAATGTCTGTGAATCTAGAAATTACATATTTAATTTTTTTTTTATAAATATAGAATGAGCAAAATTCAAAATGTTATGCAATCAGAAAAGAGCAGTATGGAAAATATGCAGGTATTTTAATGCAAAACAAAAGGTGGCTGACTTGCCAAACTTAGGGCAAACTGTGCAAAACATCACTTTTTTTTTTTTTTTTTTTCATATTGTAGATGTCTGCTTCAAGACAATAGAAACAGACATGCTCTATTAGTCTCTTCATTTGACCATGCTGTCAATCTTTTTGCTGTACAGGTTGTTACCAGGTTACGGTAAAAAAATAAAAGCTCACAACATCCAATCAGATACGAAAAATCGAAAAATAAAATGGTGTTTATGACTTTTTTGAGAAACAGTCGCAGGCAAATTAGACTTGTGGCAAGGCAGCACTGGTTCAATCGATGGGCTAGTTAGGATGGGCTAATTGCCCTGAGCGTCTCTTATGCTGGCCCTAGGTCTTTGGGCAGTCCTTATTGTTGAGCCCTGACCCCATTGATTTTTTTTATTTTCATGTATAGTCAGAAACACACTCATTTATAGAACAAGTAGTTTAACCGTTCACTGCTATTTGTTATTCCTAGTCATTTCCATAAAAGACATAAGAACATGAAATACTTCCTTCGGCATTGCAGAGTAAGGTGAATACTAAGAATGTTTTCTTAAGACTACTTCATTATAACGAATCGATTTATAAGTGTAAAGATCGTAGTTTAGTTGTCACAGTATAGATTTAGTTACTCACTCTGTATTTGCGTTCCTCCTCAAACTTTTCCTCATATCTCCGGATCTTTTTCTTGAGTACATGGATTCGCTTTGAAAGCTGGGCTGAGGTGAGTTCTTCCCGTTCATCTTCGCACGAGCCCAACGATGAACTTCTTCGCCTACTGCATGGGGAGCATGATTAATTATACTCTTTTAAAGTACATTGTATTTCATAGACCTCACGAGGGATTGTTGTTTTACCTGACAAAAGAGTGGGCGTTGGGTGGAGATGGAGGAACCTCTGTGTCATCGAGATACTGATGACCATCCCCATAACCGTAAAATCGTGGTGATACCATTGGGTCGCTGTCTTCCTCCAGGAGCTGGCGGATCAGTTTGCCACCAGCGTGAGGTGAAAGACGAGCTTCATCACGGTCCATACTCTCCCTTTGCCACGACGAGTAGGCAGGCACTGGTTCTGTCAACATGGAAAACATGCGTGTTAAAATATAGGGAAGTCACTCAGGGCATCCATCAGGTTGGTTTAGTCTTTGTTGATAAACATTGACTGCTTAATGTTTGAGTAAACATTACATTTAAGCTAGGTTGATAAGCTTTTAAACTTGTTGCTATATCGGGAATCCTGAGGTCAACTTGTACAGCCAAAACAACTACAAATATGTGTGCTCAGCAGATCTACACCATCACTTTCGTTAAAATAAAGCTCACCCAAGAAAGAAAATTCTGTCATTAATTACTATTTATTTGTTCCAAACATGTTTGAATTTATATTTTATGGTTAACATAAAACAAGGTATCTTGGAAACCATAGCCATTGACCTCCATTTGTTTTTCCTACTATGGATTAGAGCTGCACAATATATCGTTTTAGCATCGATATCGTAATGTGTCTGCAATAGTCATATTGAAGTATATGCAATTAGAATTGCACGGTTTATCGATACTAAGGTAGTATCGTGATACTGTGGCTCCAAAATACTGGCAGTGCCATTGTTTTTTGTAAACATTAGTATCGTCATTAACAGTTTGTCTACAGTACATAATGGTGCATGTGGAATAGTCACTGAAATGCTTATGTTTGTGCAACAAAAGACTATTTTAATTTCACAGTCTATAGAAACCCTTTTAAAGTTGCAAAACTGTGTTGAAATCATACCTTTTATAGTAGCCTATCGCACATTTTCGGACGCATCATTTTAAATCTGAATCAGTTCATTTTCTTCTCTGGTCAAAATGATTTAGTAGCTACAACAACCGCAACAATCTCTTTAAAAGAACGACTCACAATGTGAAATTTTGAATTACTTTGGATTCTAACAATAGATGAAAAACCCAAAATAGCAACAGGAAACAAATTTGACCACAATTTTTTTTTTGTAACAAACTTCATTTGGTATACTTTTGTATCTTTAGTTTAATGAATATTTTGTTGGCCAGTTATCTACAAAAAAAAAAACCTAAAATTAACTAATACATTTTAGGTAAAGTGTATTTTAATTCTAGTAGGCCTATTATAACATTTTTAAAATATAGTATATTTTGACAATTTTGGAGTTAGGATTATAGTTGATTAGCACATTATACTTGATGTTTGGAGTCATTGCAATTTCTGTACCTGAATACTGTTTGAGTCTCCAGAAAACACTGTTTATTTGAGTTTTTTTATTGCTCTGTTATAAAAAAGTATATATAAAAAAACTAATTACAAAAATAATGTATAATACACACATTACAAGCAAAATAATTAATAATTTGCTTGTCATTTTTGTAATTTGTTTATTTTTTATACATCATTTATACTCTTACAAAATCACCCCAATTAATCTAAATGATTGGTTTCTTTCCAAAAAGATCTGGTGAAGTTGTAGTCATATCGCAATATATATACATATTGCAATGTCAGATTGTTTCAACATTGTGCAGCCTTACTATGGATGTCAACGGCTAATTGTTTCCATTTTGCAAAATAGATTCTTTTGGGTTCAAGAAAAAAAAAAACTCATTAAGATTTGGAACAACCAGAGGATGAGTAAATGATGAATTTATTGGGTGACTCTCTTTTAATAAACAATACACATGTACTTTTTTAGTACAAGCGTACTTGACAAAATGTTCCAAAGAGCATTCATTATGCACTACATTTTCTTAATTTACCATAATGAGCACATAATTCCCGAATGCTTTGTTTATTTACTACGCAGATGCCATGACCGTAAAGTAAGGTCAGAATGGCAATTCAATCATGCAGCTGACCTGCGAAACTGGCGTGCTTAGAGGCTCACTCTCGATTTTATCTGTTATACAGTTGATATCAACATATTTATAGCGCTAAAGTGAATCTAAACCCCCCAGAGTGTTTGCATAAGGCAGAGCTCATTAGGACAAGTAATAAAACAATACGTGTTTGGAATGCACTAACTTTTTTATTGATGTACCATCTAAACTCGAAAACAACATATCATTATGGGATATGCCAACACACTGCTGGACTGCTTGGTAAACATTTGCTAAAGTGTTGTAATACATTTTCATTCATTTTATTGCTGGTGTTGCTGTGCACATTTAAAAAAACTATTTCATCATTATCAATGTTTAATTCTAGCAGTAACAATAGTGATGCATGCTATTGTTATTGCAAAGAACATTAACACATGCACATTCATAAACCAAAACAAACAGCTCAACATGCTGTGCATCAATCCGCTAGAGCCCAAATTCCTACAGGTTTTCTTTGGGCTTTTTTGAGTCCTGTCATGTGCTCGCTACAGCCATGCTTGAGGAGCTAATAGGTCAGGTGGAGCTCTCTCTCACTCATGGCAGTGCATTTGAAGCCATTTTGTTGAACCGGCATAATACAACCAAGCATGTGGTACAAGATGGCCTTTCGCTCAAAGACTCACAAAAATCTTAGTAGGCCATTGCGGGCATAAATAAAACCACACATCACAGCTCCTGTCCTTAAAGCAGCAGGTTGTTAGATGCTAGGTGGCTATGCATGCCAGTTTGGGGGTGTTTAATGGGTTTTTCCATGCAGCGTTTAAAGGTCACCCGTGAGAGATGGGCTCAAAATGTTAACAAAAGCAAATCTCAGCCCTCTTACCATCATTGCCAATTGACTTTAAAAGGTTTTTGAAATCAAGGAAAGAGGCGCTAAAGAAACACGAATCTGAAAGACAAAAGGAAAGAGAGGTAGTTGTAATGACAGCCCAAGGAAATGCTACTTTACTCAAGGCAGGCAGAAAAGCAGGGAGTGATATTTAAGACGGTGGCTGACAAACATATGGGCAAACCGCTGCTTCTTGGCACCGCAGTCGATCACCGCAATGTGTTTTGGCACCAGCGCCAGTGGGACAAAGGTCTGGCAGCTCAATGTTACATACTGTCCTGAACTCTTATTTGACCGCTCCCATGAGCAACAGCTTGTTTTTAGTGCCACTGTATTTTACAGTCGCGTGAGCTCCTTTACTGCAACCATGCGCTTTTAAAGACGTTAACAAAACATTTTTAGCTTGTTTAACTTGTTCAGCTGCAATTTTTCCACTTATCATAATAAGGATAATTGCTACGATATGTAAAATATAAATGAAATGCACAAAGTATTTGATTTAGTTTTTCTCTTCATAATACATTTGGTCTTAAAAAAAGATCTTTCTCTTCTTTGCCTGTGATTAAGTTGTTCCATTTAGCATAAGAAACATATTGCTAGCTAGATATCTGTATGAAAAAAATCTTGCTGAGAACATTTTTTAAGTTGATTCAAATGAATGTCAAAATGAGGCAAAAAGTGCCCAGGGGTAGCTTTAATAATGTGTCTGTGCTCTTTGGGTAGGGATTCATTAGAATAAGCAGCAAAAATCAGTCCAAGGCACTCCAAAAATGTGGAAAAATATTACAAAGCCTTTACTCATGGCTGTTCTGTAAAAGTGCGCCTACATGTTTCGGCAAACAACTGCCTTCATCAGGGTAACAGTGATCAGGTGCTTCTAAAACTTTTTTTTTTTTGTCATTTCAACTAGGGCTTAACGATATTGGAAAAATCTGATGTTGCGATGTTTTATTTTTCTGCGATTTCAAATATTGCAATATAAATGCCGTTTTCCAAGATGGATGAATAACACTATTTGATCATTTTTGGGGGAAGTCTTAACAGTATTCTGGTGCAGAAATTAAATAACCACAATAGAAAAAAGCTTTTCTTATTTTTTATCTTGTTTCCAGTCCAAATATCAAAAAAAAATTCTTAAAACAAATAAATACATTGTTTTGTTTTGACTCGTCAGAAGACAAGTAAAAGATTTTCCCTAAAACAAGGTAAATTATCTGCCAGTGGGGTAAGTGAAATAATCTGGGTTTCACTTGGAAATGTAGATATTTTGACTAGAAGCAAGACAAACATTTTAAGTAAGATTCTTTTTTTTGGATAAATCATAAATTTCGTACAAATACAGAGATTAAATACAAATCTGTAGCTTCTGCTCAACTATAATTCAGACTCAACATTGCATATCTTGAAAATTGCGGATGCACACATTGCACATTATCAATGCTAAATGATATAACTGATATAAACATGCATCAATCAAATTGACTAAAATATTAAGCTATAATTTGTATAACCTAAAATGTTTAGTTGAAACCGGATAAACGTATTAAAATAAGTTAAATTAACAAACAAATTTGTTTGTGATTAAACTTTTTACAGTGTTTTTGTAAAATGCACTTCTCAAATTATCACAACTACTGATTTGAAAAAAAATGTCTTGATTTTCAAAATGTTGTTGTTAATCGAACATTACCTCACTTTACTGCTATTATCTGTGGCATACATTTAGGTAATATGCACTACACTACCCAAAACTGATGTTTATTCATTTGAATGTGGCTTCATAATAAAACTTGCTCATTTTCATCATGTAATCAGTTATTAGATTGTTCCTCTTAGCATAACACACATCATTTCTAGGATCATGCACAATCTAATGATTTAAGATCTTTCCAAAATAACTATTCCATTGTTATTACTATGTTCTTAGCCTAAAGCATTAACTTAATTAGATACACAGCATAAAATTTGGAACAATCCACCCCAAATCTACTCCCTTTAATTGTAAATCATTTTCACAACAGAGACAGTGCCGTAATTGTTTTTGTTTTTAAATTAATTACACAAAGCATTTAGGTTTTAGTTAAAATTCCCTGAAAATAACCCTAAATTGTATCCATTTAAACATTTTTGTTTATCAAACAATACCTAACTTTATTGCTAAAATTTGTGGCACACAACTAGGTAATATGCACTACAGGACTATTACTGCCGCAAAAGTAATCTGTTTATTCATTTAAATGCGGCTTTCACAATAAAAACTGCTCATTTTCATCATGTTATCGGTTATTAGATTGTCCCTCTCAGCATAACACACATAAATTCTAGGATCATGCACAATCTAATGATCTCAGATCTTTTCGAAATAACTTTTTCATTGTTGTTATTATTATTATTATTATTATGTATTTAGCATAAACACATTAAATTACTAGGATACACAGCATTAAATTTGGAAAATTCACCCCAAATCTACTCACTTTAATTGTAAATCATTTTCACAACAGATACAGTGCCAAAACTCTTTTCTTTTTAATTATGGTAATTACACGAGGCATTTAAGTCTTAGTTAAAATTCACACTGAAAATAGCCTTTAATTATATCTAATTCACATTTGTCAAAGCCTTTAAAGGAACATGCAGAGACTTTTCGAGAACCTTTCTGCCCACATACAAGTCTCCAGGAGTGCGTATGATCTCATGTTTCACCCATAGGAATGTCTCTATGAAGACCTTAGAAAACCACAGGGCGATGGTTTGACCATCCCAGCTTAGCTGTCAAGCGAGATCTGCCATTATGTAAGCAGCTACTTGAAGCTCTCACTAGAGGGTGCCATAAAACAAGTACACCATACAGCATACAGATTCTGCCAAGACTCTGACAACAACATTAACCACTATATTAAAGTAAAGGGTAAGTGTGAATCAACATGGCAGGCCTGTCAGCGGGGCAGCTGCATATGCTACGTTCACTTCACTGCCTAGGGTGCATCTCAAACGAAGAAATCGAGCATACATACATCAAAACATTTCCAAGGTCATGGCAAAAAGGGGTGTGTTGGCGCATGTTTGTGCTAGTCTACAACTGGCACATGCTGCAGGAACAGCGGAGGAAACAGGAAGGTAGACTATTGTGACAAGTTTAAAGACTCAGACGTGACTTGCACATAGCAACAGCTCCAGAATTCTGGATTCAAACCTCCTAGTGTTTCACTGTTCAGTTGCTATGGCTATACTGTTGTCCACTTGTAGAGCCTAACGTCTGCTTGTTGCTAGGGTTGCTCTCTACCCAAAACAAATTAAAGCAACTAATGCTGAAAATTGTGAACTTATCTCCAATACAGATCAACCGTTTTACTGTGATGCAGCTCATTTAGATTTCAGAGATTGCTTCCATAGAACATGGCCTTATATAGTCAAATATTAACGTTGAAAACGATATAAATAAACAAAAGCGGTATATTTACATTCATTATTGTATATTATGAATAAAAAGTGCTGTTCTATTGTATTTAGATTTAATCTTAAATAATTTGCTTACTTTGAATAAAGTCAAAAGATAATGTAATCAGAATATAGCGTTTATTCACTGTGTATATATGGCACTATATAGCTAAATATGGCACTAAATAGCTTTTATAAATAAGCAACGTTTGAATATTGTAGATTCTTTTTATTTAATGATTAATTTATAAATATGGAATATAACTATATTTATTCACTCGCAACATTTAGTTTGCTTTATTCTTTTTTCTATGTTGAAGTTTTATTTTATTTGATTTTAACTTGTTTGTAAATTCATTTCGGCAGCAAGGGTTGTTGTGGAACAATACAACCTTGTTTGTACAAAATATTTTGTTAAACTTGGAAAACAAATCACTAATAAAATATAATAAAAACATTTAGTTTGCTGTTTGTTCAAACTACTAATTTAAATGAGCTGAAGCAACACAATTCCTGCGGTTTCTTTGGGACAACTTAACTGTTTTATGTTCAATCCGCTTAAAATTGTAAATAAACTAAGCTAACTTAATGTCCCAACACAAATCGATTTTGTGGAACCCCACATTTTTTACAGTTTAGCATTTCTTTAGTTTAAAAACATTATTTTATTATAATAATTGTATTATTTTATTAATTTATTTTATTTCAAATAATATAATGAATAAAAAGTGGTATATTCTATATTCATAACAGTAAAAACTATAGCATTCAACAGTCTTTTTAATGTTTACAAACAAAGAAATATTGGCAAAGAGGAAGTGTGGGAAGATGAAAAAAAAAAACTGCAACTGCAAGAACCGCAGATGAATCCAGAGCAACTCGATAAAATCCCAAAAGGCATGCAAGTCACAATTCTCAAAGGACATCGCAGGGCTTTGAAGAAGCTTCAAGCTGTAGCTCCAACCTCAATATTTACATCAACCACGAACGGAAAAAAAAATAATGCGTCAGTAGCACGCTGTTGCAATGCAAAATAAGCCTTAACACAACACCCAGGAGGAAAACAGGCTGCAGACTGCTTCTAATCTCGCTTAAGTGACTTAATAAGATCCACTGCATGAGGACACAATGTGGGCAGACTTGCAGCTGCCGCCCATGTGCAGACACACACGCACAAACACACATAGCAACAAAGTGAGAGACCAACAATAACAAAAAAAAAGCTACTGACCTGCCCAATTATTGTCGTCTGTCAGAGTAGACAGGTCCAACCGAGGGACATCGTCACACGGCTCTGCGCCACTAAGAGCCTCCTGGATCTTCATGGCAGGCGTCTAGCAGAGAAAAGAGCGAAGGATAAACACCTACTACACCAGTGTGGGGGCAGTGCGCTTCTTAAGTTGAGCAATACTCCTGCTTGCGCCTGCCCCCATCTATTACAGGCTGGGAGGAAGCAGGAGGCGGGATTGCAGGACAAGCCCCTGAATGCTGATTGGATCTCTGCGCTTCTCAGCCCCTCCCATGTTTTTTTTTAGAGTGGGTGTGGTTAATTTCATGTTTTTTTTTCTCTCCACCCCTCCTTTTCTGTCTGCGCAGCTGTGTGTCCCAGTATCAGAAAGAGAGAGAGAACATGCAGAGCACGCAGAGCACGCAGGCTGATTACAGGAAGACATGCTTTCCCAATATGTTCACTTCAGCATTCCTCAAAGCCTTCTTTCGGTTTCGATGATGAACAATCAGGCTGGAGGGCTTTGCGAGAGGTGCAGACAGATCTAATCTGGACAAACATGCAGTCGGTCACTCGCACAAACACACACTTCCGGCTTTGGGGCGTGGGACGGGGGCTATTTTTGGAGCAGAGAGGGGAATTGGCCTAACTACAAAGATTGAAAAAAAAAAATCTGATTTTTTTTAATTTATTGCCTGCCATTTGTTAAAATGTTGAAGTGAAATTAGCTTTGATGCCCTTTGTTTTTTTCAAGAAGACATTACAGATAATTTTGTATGTATAGTTTATATGAACTGGATCGTTTCAACTTTCAACATGGGATGTTACCGACTTTACTTGTTGTAGGTGGCTAAACATGCTGCAATTTAAGAAAAGACATGCAATTACAAAATAACCCCAGCAAATTAAGAAAAGATCTGTTTGACAGCACACGTTGCAAATCGTCACAACGCAAACAAATTAATAAAACACACTGCATTTTCTCACAACGCAAACAAATTAATAAAACACGCTGCATTTTCTCACAACGCAAACAAATTAATAAAACACGCTGCATTTTCTCACAACGCAAACAAAGGAATAAAACACGATACATTTTCTCACAACGCAAACAAATAAAATGCACTGCAGTTTCTAACAACCCAAACAAAGGAATAAAATGTGCTGCATTCTCACAACCCTAACAAATGAATGAAATGCACTGAATTTTCTCACAACGCAAACAAAGGAATAAAACGTGCTGCATTTTATCACAACGCAAACAAAGGAATAAAACGCACTGCAGTTTCTCACAACGCAAACAAATAAAACTCGCTGCAATTTCTAACAACGCAAACAAACAAAACACGCTGCATTTTCTCAAAACGCAAACAAGTAAAACGCACTGCAGTTTCTCACAACGCAAACAAAATGCACTGTAGTTTCTCACAATGCAAACAAAGGAATAAAACGTGCTACCTTCGCACAACCCAAACAAATGTTTGCATTGTGAGAAAATTCAGCGCATTTCATTCAAATGAATAAATCGTGCTGCTTTTTCTCACAATGCAAAGAAACGAATAAAACGCGCTGCATTTTCTCACAACACAAACAAATAAATGAAATGTGCTGCATTCTTTCACAATACAAACAAATGAATAAATTGTGCTGCATTTTTCCACAACGCAAACAAATCAATAAAACACGCTAAATTTTCACAACTCGAACATCATTATTTTAACATCCTGATTAGCCTAAATAACCTAAATATCCAGTCAGTCACGTTTTAGCGTTCCTTTGAAACATTTTGTTGTGTTCCGTTCTGTTTGCAAGTGTTGTGAGAAAATGCAGCGCGTTCAGTTGTTTTTGTGGTGGGAAAATGTAGCACGTTTTATCAATTTGTTTGCGTTGTGAGGATTTGCAACACGTGTGCTGTTAAATTGCTAATGTTTTATGTAGTTGCATGTGTTCTTATATTGCACCACGTTAAGCTCTCTCGGCCACCATACTGTTGTTTCATTTTGATGCTTAAGTCGCTCTTAAAAATGAATGAACAGCCTTGCTTAAAGAGATGGTCCATCCAAAAATCATTTTCTCACCCTTCACTACCTAACCTGTCAAAACCTGTTTGAGTTTATTTTTCCTATTGAACACAAAAGAATGAAATTTAAAAAAATACCCATTGATTTTCGTTGCAATTTTTTTCTACTAGTATAGAGGTCAATGGATGCAATAACTAGCTTGCACCAGAACAGAAGACAGAAACTCGTAAAGGTTAAAGAACCATTGACTTCCATAGTAGGAAAAACAAATACTATGAAAGTAGTCACAGTTTCGTTTTCAAACTGTTTGCTAGTTATTTTATTTTCAAGATTTGTGGTGAACTATCTGCTGCTGCTTTCAGTAGTATAGCAATAAATATCACATATAATGGTATTCAAACTCACATTGGTAGCATTGAACACTGAAGACAGCACATAATCAGTACCTGAGGGTATCATTGACATAGTAGAATGGGCTGTTGTTTTGCTAGAATGTTTTGGAAATAAAAACTATTACTGTTTCTATTATAGTTAAACAAACAACCCAGCTGACATTCTCATTTTAAAGCAAGCCAGCACAAGTGCACTTAAAGCTGAACATTTCAAGATATCCGATCGTTTTAAAAGCACACTGCAGTATCTATTTTTTGCCGAATTCTTTAGTGTACATGTCCCGCATTACTGTCAGTGTGATAAATGTCCCAGTTTACTAATATTACGCCACACATGGCTTACTCATGCTAAAGCAGCTCGATCTGTAACGCACTTGTGCCATTGCAGACGTGCTATTTATGGCGATCTGATTTTGATGATGTGAAACATAAGTGCATAAAATTGCAACACTGCTGATACTCCATCAGTCCAAACTTGGGGAAAGGACTTTGTGCTGTTTAGGGTTGTGCACAAGGCTGTGTAAAATGCCATCCTGCCAATGAGATGATGTTTATTACCAATAGGGAAGATAAGCAATGGAATGGGAAACAGACTGTCCAGACATCCTGTATGTGAGGACTTTGGCACTTCATTAATGTCTTCTGTAAGGGATTCAACACATAATGTCTCGCATTGCACAAATACACACTCATCAAAACTAAACATCAGTTCATGTGTAGGCTGGATGTTTTTTACAGCGCGCTTGTGAACCCGATGTATAGTTGAAGTCTTTTTTTAAATATTTCCCCAAATTATTTTCACAGAGCAAGGAACTTTTCACAGTATTTCCTATAATATTCTATAATTTTATTCTAGAGAAAGTCTTGTTTTTTTATTTAGGCTAGAATAAAATCTTTTTTTTTTAAACCATTTTAAGGTCAAAATAAGGCAATATTTTTAGCAGTTTTTTTTTTAGTTTGTCTGCAAAAGAAACCATCATTAAACTATAGCCTGCCTAATTTTTTAACTTGCCTAATTAACCTGGTTACGCCTTTAAATGTCACTTTAAGCTGAATACTAGTGTCTTAAAAAAAATATATTGTCAAACATTATTTACTGTCATCACAGCAAAGATTAAAAAAAGTTATTAAAATTAAAAATAAATGTTTAGAAATGTGTTAAACAGAAATTGGAAAAAAGGTTATTAGCCCTCTTGAGTACTTTTGTCTTTATATACAATGCCTACTTGCTTAAATTATGGCAAAAATACTTGAAAGGTGGAAGTCAGTTGACTTAGATCAACAGGCTTTTTAAAAGATTTGCAGCCTTCACATGATGTTTGTCCCAGAAAAACACCGGCTGAAATCTCTCCAATCATGGGCAATCAACAGTAAACAATTCATCAGATGATCTTCTCGTCATCAACTGTTTACGTGATTAAAGAGGTGACAGCTAACAAGATTATATGGCTGATGAGATTTGAGTTTTATTATGGATATAAATATTTCAATCTACGCATCTTATCATGCCCAGGGATGCCAAAACATCAGTAATCCGCTCTAGAAAATCAAACTAAAGGGCGCTGCAGGTACTTTAAAGAAGTATTTAGTTGAAAGCAAGTAAATTTTTGAGCACAGTATAGTTTTTCTTATGGAGTTATTTTTTGTATAGTTAATTTTTTCTTTCATTTTCATCAATTGGTGAAGTTTGTTCCTCGCCACTGGCTTGCTTGGTTTGGGACTTGTGGAGCTGGGCATTGATGGATTTGCTCATCAGTGTTTGGACTGTCCGCAGTGAAAATTAAACCACACTAAACTGAACTTCAACTCTGAAAATTACACTGAAAAAAATTATTCAAAGATGATTCCTTGAATTTACGAAAATATTTTAAATGGTTGTAAACAATTTGTTTGGGCTGGATTTAAACAAGCAAGTTAAGTTGAACATGACTAAATTTTCTTTGTTTGCTTAAATTCAACACAAATAAATTGTTTGCAACAATTTTTCAGTGTAAACTGACACTTTTAGTTCACTAAAACTTCTATGTCAAGCTGCTTTGACAATCGACATTGTAAAAGTGCTATAGAAATAACGATAAATTGAATTGAATGTAGTTCAGCTATAGCCTTCAAATTGTGTAATGCAAACAAAACTGACCTAATGTTCAAGTTCTTAGAAACTGATGTTGTGTTTCTGATACCAGGCCACAACAGTAACACTATATTCCCAGTCAGCCATGATTAATTTCTCAATTATCCGATAATGATTACAGAGGGTTACAGAGATCAAGTGAGTAGTATTCATCTGGGTCATGTGACCCCAAAATGACAGACCTCATAAGGCAAAGCTCTTAATGTGATTTCTAAACAGCGGTTAGAGTGCTGACACAACTGAAGTCTTCATTTGACTTGAATGTTAAGAAGTTAAACACTCATTTTCTCCAAAATTACTTATTATGTACTGTAGAAAACCTGAAATATAAGACTTTATTGCAAATAATGCTACATTCATTTACAATTAAAAGGGATAATCCATCTAAACATAAAGAATTCCTATGTACTCATCCTAAAATGATTACAAGCCTTTATGGTTTTCTTTCCTCAGTAGAACACAAAATAATATACCTAGAAGAAAGCTGATAACCATTGGACGTTCCATAGGAAAAACAAAAACTTTGAAAACGAAATTCAGAGCTGTGACTCCTTTCAAACCGTTTGCTAGTTATTTATTTTCAAGATCTGAGGTGAACTATCTGCTATAAATGTCACATATAATGGTATTCAAACTCACATTTTGCATTTGCGCATAAAAAATGTTTGATGGACATGGCAAGATGCGCATACATTTTGAAAATGTGCATTAAAAACGTGCATAACTGAGTAGGATCAACTTTTTATTCAATAAGGTGCGCATTAACTGCGAAGAAAACACTTTTACCAAACACATTTCAGTCTGCGCATTTAAGTCAGGTGATTTTTATTTTATTTATTTATTTTTAAGAGATCATGTAATGATCAAAATGTGTGTGTACTGATAAACCAGCAGGATGAGCCCATTGTAAAATATCTGAAATGTTGTTTTAGGTCATTTTAAAACGCCGTAACCATTTCAGTATTGGTGCTATCATATTATTAATGACCTCCAGAATCAAGAGCATCTGTGCTCCGCATCTTACGTCTTCAAACACCACTGCGCATTCACTGCGTGTCAGGATTGTCTTCTGAGATGCAAGTTGTTTATTAAATTAAGAAAAGATTAACGCAGCCTCTGCTAACACAGCAAATTCAGTTTTTACTGTTGATATTTGGCGCCAGTAAATCAGGAAGTGACAATTTTGTTCGCTTTGACTCATTGGATGGAAGCGCTGCTGTATTCGCACATCTTTTATGCAATGATCCAGTTTGCACATAAAATTAATTCGCATTTTTGGGATGGAAACATAACTAGTTTCATAGTAGTTTATGTTGTTGTTTTGTTGCGACATTGTGGAAATCGAAACAGTTTCTAAAATAGAAATTTTGCACATCGATGCCACTCTTGATGAGGACAAAGATTAGTTTTAACATGAAAAGGATACCGTTTATTGCGTGTCACGGCGTTGTGTGTAGTTAGAAAAAACATGGTGGGGAAAAAGTGACACAACTGGAGTCTTCATTTGACCTAAACATTAAGACGTTAAACACTCATTTTCTCCAAAAGTACTATTTACGTACTGTAGAAAACCTGAAAATCGCAGTCTTTATCACAAATAAAGCTACATTCATTTACAAATTAAAGGGATAGTATATCTAAAAATAAAAATTTACTATGTACTCATCCTAAAATGGTTCCAAACCTTTATGATTTCCCTTCTTCTGTTGAACACTCAAGAATATATTTAAAAGAAAGCTGAAAACCATTTACTTCCATAGTATGAAACTATAAAACAAATATGAAATTCAATGGTTAAAAGTTTCCAGCTTTCTTCAGAATATCTTCTTTACTATTCAACTTAAGAAAGAAACTGAAACAGGTTTGAAACAAATAAAGAATGAGTAAATTGACAAATTTACAATTGTGTGTCTCTTTAACACTCCGCTATCAAATCAAACCTATCATCTAGTCATTTTTTGATAAACTCTGTGGTTAACTGATAAAGCTCTGCATGTGAGCAAAGGATTGTGACTTTCAACACGTTCACTGAAATAAAAGTATTTAATCAGCTGCCAGCATCAGAGCAATAGGAAGCTCTTTTACCACAATGCATTGCATACGTGTCGCAGATGGGTACAACATGTTCTGTATGCACTGTTAGAGCGCATGAATGAGTGAGATCTCACGCATGACATGCAATGACACACGAATTTAACATGTATGAGTTTGCACAATGAGAGTGAATTTAGCAGGGGCTTAACAAAACTAATATACCTTGCTAAAGAAGAAGCAAAGCAGACTGTTTTCAAGAAAACCTTACAAAAAGCCTTGGAAGGAGAAAGGAAGTGGAATTGAAATATACCATACAAATAATTTAAGAGTGCATTTACACGACGATGTTCTAACATTCAAAAAGTTTCCATTTTCATAATATACTGTGTACAGATGGTAACGGTGTTAAAACCAAACCCTACTCGCATTAATAAATATATTAAGTCATTAATGCCAACAGATTAATATGCATTCACAGGGCTCGAAATTAACCTTTTTGCTTGGTAGCACCGGTGCTCCTAACTTTAAAAATGTAGGCGCATCAGCCAAAATTTAGTCGCACCCAACAATTATGAGCACCGTTACTACAGGTTTTATACAAACATATTTATTGTATTTGAAATCAACACTAATCAAACTAACAAGCAAAAAAAAAAAAATATATAAATATGCGTGCGTGACGAAAAATGTCGAAATCCCGTGATCACAAGAAAATAGATTTTTATAACATAACTGAGTGACCAAAGCATACACGGAGTGCTCACCGGCCCTGCACGCACTGCTTGAATGAATCTGTTAATGGTAAAACGTTAACTGTGCTGTTCTCACAAGTGCTGTCTGATATTGCACTGATGCTTTTGACACATATTGTACCTTATTATATGCATACGTCATGTTAATAGCCATACCGGTCTTTTCATGAGTAGCGATAATAATTTACTCAGTGCAAGCCCGTTTGCGATGGTGTACGTGATGTTAAATTTGACATATAGCTGTCACTTGCACGGCGGACAGCATCTGGCGATTATATGAAGGATTAAACAGAAGCTCTCGTGCTAGATGTGGCAAAGGGTTACCTGAAAACTCCATCCCACAGACTTTTTACAGCGGACTTGAAGCCAATGGAAGTCTTCTACTCTTGGAAAAGTGTAGATGGTGGATTAACATTTAGCACATGATCACTAGTAAGATGTGTCATTATGTGTAACTAGATGGTTTCTAAAACTAAATCTGTCCGCGTTATCTTCAATCTCATCTTTAGCTCTTTAGTTTTCCGCAGTAGTAGCTCTCTCTGTCATCCGAAGCCAGAAGGCGCTGAATGAGTGATTGACAGCTGATATTAACCAATCATTCGCGTTCAGTGCTAGAGCAGTGGGCCAATAAGAAGAGCGCGAAGCCGGGGCAAGCATTACGGACTTGGATTTGTTTACTGCAGCAAGTTGACATGACAACTGTTTTAAACCATTCCTGAGCACTGCGTTTCCCGTTCCAAGTGCAAACAAAGAGCTTAGATTTGCATTCTGCGTGAATGTCTCCCGAATCCGCGCATGTGCTGAACATTTTGCCGTAAAAACTGGTCGCACACAACATTTTTAAGCACTCGCAGAAATGCTCCCAAATATATTTTAAGGTAGCATAGATAAAATTTCGGGCGCATATGCGACCAAAATGGTCGCAATTTCGAGCCCTGATTCACATGACAATTTAATAGGGAATAATAATAGTATTGTTTAAAAAAAAAAAACTTGCACTCTGAATCACATTTTCAAAAGTTTGACTATATTTAGCCCTCCAAATGCCAAATAAATACAATAAAACTTTCTATTAAAAAAACTTGACTATCTAACAGTGTGCATTGTTGTTTAAATGTATCCTAAGTGTTCAAAAACTTTTTGGAGCCACTTTATATGAGTATTGAGTATTGATGTGCAACCAGTGATGTGCAACATCAGTCAGTGCTACAGCTTCATAAAGCGACATGCAGGTAGACGCAGCTAAAACAGAAGGCTTTTGGTCCGTTGGCGCATTGACATTAAATAGTGCCAGAGCCCAGATGGCATGACAGCAGGGGTAAGGCTAGGTGGTGGTCCAACAAATCCAGGATGTTCTCACAATCACACCAACAGACTGTTTGGATACATTTCAGAAACTCCTCTCTAATCCCTTTATCCACAGATCTGATAACGTAAATCAGTGGTGACGTCTATTTTAATGCCATTATAATGGATGATCAAATCACATTGTGAAAGATTTAATATGCTTAGCTATTTAGTGTCCTTCTTGCGGGCATCTTCTCATATTAAGTCAGTCACTGAAATATATTGTTCATTTACATTTTATCTTTTGAAATAAATTGACTTTAACAGTTTTTAAAAAATGAAAGGAATGAACTAAACTCACCTGAAAGTAAGTACAGCTTCTGTCCTTTACGTGGTTCCCTCTAAAAACAAAAGAATGTAACATTGATATTGTAAAAACAATTCACAAATGATCCACAGTAAAATCAAACTTTTGGTTTTTAGCTCAAACTTTTAAGTGTGAAATTGTTAGAAACAAAAATGCATAATTTGGAAAGCAATACTTCCAGAAATGAAGCAGGTTTGACGTTTACAATTCTACTGTTATTGATCTTGTAGGAAATCCAATAGTATTGCTTTAAAGGTGCAGGATGTAAGTTTGACACCGGGTAGTTGAACTAGGTATTGTACACATGGTTCAAAACATATGCAAGCGCAGGTTGCCAGATTGATGACACCAATAGCAGTGTGCCTGACTGTCGAGCCTAAAGGCTGATTTAAACTGTTCTAAATAAAACAACGGCACACGATTAGAAGGATATTTTCATATTAAAAGAAGTTTTAGTTCTAACCAACACCTGAAATTTTAGAAACGGCTTCTATTTCTTGCAGCTGAATATCAGAAATATCAGTGATCACCTCAGGTACATTTCATGTGCCTAATTTAGTGTTAAATGCTAATACTGGGAGTTTGAATGCCATTTTACATGACATTTATTGGCTTACTACTGAAAGCAGCAGCAGATAGTTCACCTCAGATCTTGATGGAACTTTAGAACTGTGACTCAGTGCATGATTCAGCTTGTACAATTAATAATGGTAAAGAGGTTTAATATGTATTAAAATGATTTTAAACCTTACTATTTCGTTGGAGGGCAGTTAGTGCACTATTCTGTGCTTCTGAATGGCTGTATTTAAATTTCTGCAGTGTTTCGTCTAGTGCAAACAGATAAATGACGTATCATTGCAAATCTTGCTACAATGTTCACCTTATGTTTACATTCATAATATTTATATTTTTTGCTAATTAATAACCACCTCATGTGGAACTGAAATCTGGGTCTCATTTCGGAGGCTGCTACTGTCCCCGGGAGGTCGCATTTCAGTCGTGGACACATACTTCGAGAGCCTTTTTGGCTGAATGAATGAAATATGCTGTTTTCTACCAAGGCAACTCAGGGTGCTGAAATATAATCGGGTAAACTGTCATTGGGCGGGTTAAATTACCAAGACATTTTGGCACGTAACGCACATTTTAAAAGCAGAATATCTGACTTCAGCATTGTTTTTCAGATAAACAAGAATGTTCACTTAGCACTTCTGAAATATCTGCAAACATTTTATGGTATTATTATGCTTTAGAAGAGTCAAAAACTTGCATACAGCACCTTTAATGTTCTTTTGTACTATTTGGATTTTTTCAGTCATGAGAGGTACAATCTCAATGTAAACTTAACTGGTAACTCAATGAAATCCCCATAAAGTTAATTCAATATCCCTACATGCATAGAACTGCCATAAGGCGTGTAAAGAAGTTTAATTTACCTGTAATCAGATGACTCCATGTTTTCCGTAGCATTTCGGTTGTATGCCCCAGACGGCCCTTGAAATTCCATTGACTATGTTAAAAACAAAAAAATATATAATTTTATTTGGTTTTGTTCGAAAATCACGGCAGTAAAGTGAAAATATCTTGTAATGTCCAATTGCTATGGAAGTTTGCATCACTAAAATGTATTGTTATCATCATGTTTGAAAAACGTTTTTCAAGTTATCAAGGTATCCGCGGGGTCTTAAGTCTAAAATTTCAAAAGCCTTAAAAAGTCTTAAATTCACTGAAATATTGTCTTTAATCATTTTAAACAGGTCTTACTTTGTCTTTGTTTATTTAAAGCTACCCAATCGATCCAACACACATCCAATCACCAACAACACATCTCATTAAAACGTTTAGCAAAACTATTCATAACTAATATTATAATAGTCTGTTGTGTAAACATTTAGTCTTTAAAGAGTTTTTTTTTTATTATGTTGAAAAAAAAAAGTATGTAAACAACTAAGGTTGGCTTGTTTTGAAACATTATTTAAAATATGTGGCTAAGAGATGACTGATTAGATTTTTTTTCTGCTGGGCCATTAAAATATCCTTAGCATTAACCCTATAGAAGTCTGAAATTTCATTCTTTATGGTCTTAAAAAGGTCTTAAATTTAATTTTTGTTTGGTGAAGCCCTTTTTATATACATTTTAACCAATCAGATTCTACTCAGTGTAACTTCCATAGTTTTTATTAATAATTCTGAGTCAGTCAAGTTAGTGAAAAGTAGAAAAATACTTTTTTTTTTTTTAATTAACTGTTTACTGTCTACCAGTGTTTGAGCTCGCAGCAGTGAATATTAAACCACACTGAACTGAACTAAACTGAACTTCAACACTGAATACTGGACTAACACCGTTTCAATTTAACATAATATTCTATGTGAAGCTGCTTTGACACAATCTATATTGTAAAAGCGCTATAGAAATAAAGATGCATTAAAATACTGTCATTAGAATTTGTGTGTGGCGTCAGATTTTTGTCTACACAACAAACTTTATATCTAATTACGCTAATCAAAACCTATTTCAAACTGGTAGACCACAGGTTGACCAAGAGATGTTTAAGTAAAACCGAGACATTACTAAAACATCTGTAATGGGGCCTCATGCACGTCATTGTGGTACACCTGCAAACGCTTCGAACACTGTGGTCTGATCTTCTGAGGTGAATCCGGAATACAAACACACACAGCGAGCAGCATAAACATGAGTCAGAGAGAGCTTCTCGTCAAAACATTATTCCGATAAAAGCAAGACCTGCAATTTGCCTCCATTTTCCACAGAGATGCATTATGTGCTGTCTCCCGTGAACAAGGACAAGAAGGATTTGAAGATAATTAGCTGTTCTTGTGACTATTTCATACCGCACGTTGACATTGACGTTGATTCACTGACATTGAGAGTTATAAGGCATAGTTCATGTAAAAATTAGACCATTCGCTTCAAATTAATTACATAAGTTCTTCTGTGGAACACAAAAGAGAATATTTTATAAAATGATGGTGCATATAATTAAATGTTTAAATATTTATTTATTGAGAAAAATCAAACAAATGTTTTAAAGTTTTTTTTTTTTGGTGAAATTAATTTAATTAAAGTTGTTAACATTAGTTATTAAAAACACTTAAAATGTAAGATTTTTTTTTTTACAAACAATGAAAAAGTATAAATATTTAAAATGAAAATTAATAAAAAAAAATTCATATAAAATGTATAAAGGGATGCTCCAATCAGGATTTTTGCAGCCGATACTGAGTACCGATTCTTTGTCATTGTGATCAGCTGATGCCAAATACCGATTCTTTTATATAACTATGCCCATAACAAGCACATTTTCCCTCCATGTATGAGATCTCGCCTGACCTAGGAGAATAAATTAAGGATGTTGCATGCAAGCACAGAAGCAGCTTTACAAAAAAATAGTTGATAAAACAGACAGAAAAAAATTGTTCGAAAAATGACTGACAATGCAATTTGGAAACATGGCTCACGTGTTGTAGCGCTTTGGTGTTTAACCTGAGTTGTAAACTCGTAAACTAACACTTGTGATCTGTTTATGAGATCGACAGATCAGCGAGTACAGATCAGGTCGTGAAATGTGATTATCAGCCAATACTGATCATCGGCCGATCGATTGGAGCATCCCTAGTCTACGGTAATTATTTGTTGTTTGAAAACCTTGTTTTTTGTATTTTACATATATCTGTACATTTATTGAACATAAATTAATACTACACTGAAAAAAGGTTCATTATGCAAATTTTTGGCAAACAATTTATATGTGCTGAATTTAACTAACAAATTAAGTTGAACGTTACTACAATTGTTTGTTTGTTTTAATTCAATCCATATAAACTGTTTGCAACCAGTTACCCTAAAACAATTTAGTAAATTAATGAATATTGTTTTTTCAGTGTAATCAACAGCTGTTGTAAAATATTGATGTTAATACAATATGTAATGAATCCAACCTTAATATGAAGAGTGTTCTCCGTTTTTGTGCTAAAACTGATTGAAAACTAATAGATATTTATATTTAAACATTTATTTATGTGCTTTTTGCATTTTTACACAAAATAGAGAAAACCCCAATACAATACAGTAGTAATACATATAAAATACAATACATAAAAATACTAGCCTATGGCAGAACACATAGAGACAAATGCGCACAAAAGCAACATATAATTTGGCTGATCAGGTCATGCATAAATAAAAGTATTTAAAAAAGTAGCATTGTTCTCATATTAGCAGAAAAATGCATTATCCTGACTATAGTTTTATTGTCAAAGAATAGTTTGGCCACATAAATAATAACACTGTATAGATTATGAAAAGTGAATATCAATTACACTCAGGGGCTAATAACAAATTGATTAGGAATTTTCACATAGTGATACCGGTAAATTTCCGGAATGACTTTGCCAGTAAATTCAAGAAAGCGCTGTTCACTCAGGCAAGAACGTTCCGGAATTTTTCCGGAAAAGACCATTCACACATTCACTCCAAAATACCGGTATATTCTGATATTAACCAGAAATTACCTCTGAACCGCTGCGCTTATATTAGTATACATATAAGGGGTTGGCCTTTTGTTGATTGTTTTACTTATTTAAAGCTTTAGCATTCATGCGGCTGCTTTTGTCCCAGAGACATCCAAAGGCAGAAGCGCAAACCGCAGCTAAATGTGTACACATTTGACTACATTACAAATTCTGTGGATGGATCAGTATTGTGAACAACCTCGATGAAAACATATGGAGGAACACTTTCACATGTCGAGATGTTCATAATATGTGTGTGTGCTGGCGCTCACCAAAGCAGAAAGGTAAAGCCTTGAAGGTAAACAAACAGCGGTTTATTATAAACATTTTATCTATAATTTTCTTACACAGTTGGCATTAAGAAACATTATCTGACTCGCATTCATTCATTCATTTTCTTTTCGACCTAGTCCCTTTATTAATCTGGGGTCGCCACAGCGGAACTGCCTACTTATCCAGAACATGTTTTACACAGTGGATGCCCTTCTAGCTGCAACCCATCTCTGGGAAATATCCATAGCAGCTAAATGTGTCTGGAAAAATATTCAAAGGCTTTTATTTTCATATACAGCGCAGATGTGAATGCGCCAGAATGTTCTGATTGGTTAGAGTAGACATCCCACTTCAGCACACTCTAAGCATGAACACACTCTTTCGCGAATTAATGTTAATATTAAATGGTGTAATATTAAATATTGAACGGCATAAACATAATGTTACAACTACTCTTTCCGGAAAATTGCCGGTACAAATTTACCGGTATTTTTAAAAAGGCCCCGTTCACACAATGATCCCTTTCCGGAAAATTGCCGGTAATTTCCTGAAAGGTCTGTTTGTGTGAAAGGGGCTATTGACAGGGGTCATTGGTTATGCTTGCATTTCTTCCAATGCATAAAGGTGTTCTAATGTCTGTCTTAAGTAAACTTAGGTACACATAGGTAAAAACTAATATATTTGGAATATTATTAATGATCAAATAGCTCTTAATGGTCTATTAACTGGATAGTTCAAACCCCCCAAAAATAAAATTCTCACTATTTACTGAAGTGCTTCAACTTAAAAACTAAATTCTGAAAAATGTTGGAAAAAACAACCATTGACTTCTATTGTAAGAACAAAAATACTCAGGACGTCAAAGGTTTTTCCAAAATTCATCAGTATATAATCATTTGTGTTTAGCTGAAGAAAGAAACAAGTGGAGGCTGAGGAAAAGAAGACAGATTTTTTTTCCTTTTTTAGGTGAACTATCCCTTTAATGTAACCTGAGGAACATTTAACATTGAGAGAACCTTGACAGAATGTTAGTTTTGGCAGTGTTCCTTGCAGTTTCCAAGTTTTATTACTTTTTGTGTAGCTTAAACACTGGGACAAGTTACACGTTGAAGATGAATAGCTATTGTGCTTATTGAAATCAGTATCTCTGTGCAATGGTAATAATAAATGTTGACCTGCTCGCAGAACGTCAAAGACAAGGCCATGGAGATAAGACTGAAAAGCAGACTTACAGCGGGGGTGTCCTGGTTGTCCGAGAGCTCAGTCAGTGTGGGACTGTGTTTGGGCTTCTTGTTTTTTTTAAGCTCGTGTGTCAGCGGCAGCAGCAGCAGACTTCTGTCACCGTCCTCTGTGACCCTCACGCCCGGAGACGGGACATTCTCTTTATCACCCTCAACCCTGAGAGACACACAGTTTCACATTCAGACACCACAGAAATGAAGAAAGACCAGACAAGGACTTTCTGTGCTTGTCCTTTACTCGCGGGTTCACTCATAAGGCCAGAGGCTGAAATGAAGCCATCTGCGTGTGATGCCTGATCTACTTAAATGCTGACCTGACTGTTTATTTACATCTCTTTTGCCGGAGTTGGATCAGTATGTGTCAGTTGAGCCACTAATCTAATGTTTTCCATGTCTCTGTGGATGGTTTGCTCGGGGTTCCAGTAAACAGGATTAGTTTGATTGCTGTGAGATGTAGACATCAGCAACTTAAGCTGGAAGGTAAATGGCAACCCAGGATCATTGGAAAGTTGTTAAACACGTTACTCTGGGTCAGGGTTGGGCGATGTCTACCAAATTGGCATCGTACGATGTCTAATGTGATACATCGCGATGGACGATGGCATTGTTGTCGTAGGCATTGGTGAATTAATTATTTATGAATAATAATATTTGTAGCTTACCTTTTCAACTATCTGACCCCGCATGGTCTTTGTTTTACTCATAGCCAAATCATAAATAAATAAAGATAAGTTACACACAAATTAACACATGCCAATCACTTTTTCCGCGGAACTCTGGCATGAATAGCAGAGTGATCTGTGTCATTATAATGGTGTCGACAAACTTGGTTGCACAACCAACAGCAACCAACCAACGGTATCTGAGGTTTTCATTGAAATTACTAAGTACAAGCAGGAAAGCGAAAGATTGAAGCAGTGTACTGACTCTGTGACACGTTACCTGATAGATTCAAAAGAGTCATTATATAGAGACTATATGAACTAAATATCACCTGTAACAACTATAATGAGACTCTATCCAGCGGTACATCCTTGATAAACTGTCCGACGTGCACTGCTCTCTGGGGTTTTGTGCTCAAAGCACCTGCTGACTGCCTGGAGCTCAGACGTGTGCGTTTGCTAGAACCCATGACAGAGAATGTGTGTGTGTGTGTGTGTGTGTTGTCACGCGTTTCCAGTGTGGACGTGGATCGTTTTCAGTTTAGAATGTCATTTTAAAACAAAGACTTATTAGTGTAAACTGGGCCGTGTGTATTTTTCACGAGTGGGTCCCTGCTGCGATGAGGATGGGGCGGAGGATCGCGATGCAGGCTCAACATCATGATGTCTTATTGGCCATCGGCGTTGGACGATAAAATCGTCTATCGACCCAACCCTACTCTGGGTACATTCTTTGCACATTTCAAATGGCAAATCCACTAGAGGGCACTGTCAACATTTGAAATAATATGCTACTTAGCATTTGTTTTGTAGTTTGTGTCAGATATCTTTCTTGGACATGTCCACCAAATGTAGGGAATGTTGTAGAGATCACCCAGCGATCCACTAAACCTAAAACTAGGGCTGCACGATATTGGAAAGTGGCATTACAATATTTTTTTTTCAGCGATTATACATTGCGATATGAAATACATTTAACCAAATAGATTAAATAGCTCTAACAATTCACTATTTTAGAAGGTTTGAGGTGGTTTTGTAGTGGAGCGCATCTGCAAAAATGATAAAATTTAACTTCATACTAGATTTTTTGGGTCAAAAAGCCATACAAACAAAAGATAAAGTGTTTTATGTTTGTCTGGTGAGCCTTAAGCATGTCATGATTTTGCCAAATAAGATGTGATCCTGGATTAGCATCTATGTTGATCATGGAACATCATTTTTGTTTGAAGATGTAATCCAAACCTATTACCTACCTCTTAACTCAACCATGACTGTAAATTATTCCCATAGTCATAGAGGAATAATAGTTGGATAGCAATCATGTAGAAGTGCATACACCTAACCATGAGCCTAAACTTAACATAAACTGTAAACGTGTCCCTTAATTCTGATTGGCTGATTGAAATGTTGTTCCAGGATCAACAAAGATGTTAATCTACAAACATGTCCTACTTGGTGAAATCAGGTTGGCAGAGTTCTTATGGCAGTTGAACACAATTAAATTGAATGTAAAATAGCATTTACATGTCATACTCACTTAATATGCTAAACAGAAAACATAAAAAACGAAATATAATTAAGTCCACAATAGACAAATTTTGACAAAAATCTACAAGCTCTGGTCAAAAACTTATAATTGACAATGCAGATTCAACGATGTGACTAATACACAATATTACCATATCCTTATTGTGCAGCTCTATCTAAAACCCAACCATTAGTGTTTTCAAAAGCAAACGTATCAGAAAAATGTACTGCAATCAAACAGTTTTACCTTAATTTGACAGTATTTTCATTTATTTTGTGGAAGTGTGCTTCATAATGCTGTTTACACCAGACGCGGTATGCAAATTCGATTCATTATTGCGTCAAATTCACTTCACAATAGATGCGGATTCACCTCTGTCTAATACGTGATTCTAGTTTCATTATTAAATGGCTAAATTATAAATACTTAAAAACAGAGTAGATTCGTTAGGCGCCGTGTCTGCTACATTCACTTTAGAAGGATCCATTAGATTCTTTCTGAAATGCACCCAGCTCTGTGAGTTTATCAACTCCTCCAGAAACTACACATGGATGATGGAAGGTTTCAACGATGCTTCAGACTGAGCCAAGCCCAGTTTAATGAGCTGTTGTCTGATATGGGTAGGAGGATTTCCTCTCGGGACACGCACTACAGACGCTACGTTATAATCTCACCCATACTAGAGCAAGCTCATGATTGGTTACTGCGATGCGAATGTCCGCTAAAGTTCAGGTTTTCCAACTCAATCGATTTGCGCAATTCTGACATCAAATGCTCAAAACGCTCAATTCGCGCTGCTTCATTCCTACTAAATGTGTAATTTGCACCGCCTCATTCGCGCAAGTCACTGCGCAGGATGTGTATTCATGTCTTTGCATTGACTTAAATCTCTTGCGCTTAACACTTCATCCACTTCTGGTGTGAATGCACCATTAGACTCAAACAAGACGAACGTACAAAGTAAACATGACATTTTATGAGATTGATGTCCCGTTCACACTAAGCATGATGACTAGGAAGGTAACGATAAAGATAGATTTCGAAAAACTTTCTGAATGTTACAGCAGAGGTCAAACCACAACTATAACAAAAACACAGATAAAACACAGAAAGCCAGTCCGAATTCATTGAAATATAAGTCTACAGGCAACAATTTGGAGTAGCTCACTACATTGCCAACCTGATTTTACCAAGTAGGACATGTTCCTGGATTTACAGCTACATTACATTAACATTGCAGTTTATGTTAAGTTTCGGGTTACGGTTAGGTTTATGCACTTTTACATGATTATCCAACTATTATTCCCTTCTGATAAAGTTATGGTTGGGTTTAGGGGTAGGGAGTTGGTATTGATTACGTTTTTCAACAAAAATGATGTTTCAGGATCAACATAGTGTTAATCCAGGATCGCATTGTACTTGGAAAATCGTAAGCTCTCCTTTTAAAGAATAAATAAAGACAATGACTGTCTAGAACACAATTATTTATACTATAGGGAAGAATGATAAAAATTGATTGAAGTTGTACAAGCCAGGCTAACAAAATGAAGTATAAAAATAAAAGTACTTCAAGTATGCAGTGCTAGTTTCAGTTCTCATTTAAAAATGCTGGGGAAAATTGTCTGGTTTCATTCCACTACACTGTGATAACTAAATTTTTTTGTTTAGAATACATTTTTCATCAAATATTTACTGGTAAGACGTGCTGATACACTGAGGACATTGGCTGGTTCCAATGGGGTAATGCTAAAAAAAAAACTACTTCTATTGGTCGTCTGTGTGGACGCAAATATATTTATGGGTATGTTTGTAAATATTGCCCTTGGTGTGGATGGACCTTCATACCTGTTTTTCTTCCAAAATTAAAATGTATATAACACAAGTACTTTTAAAGTAAAAAAAATGGTTATTGCACTGCAAAATATTTTTTAACCATTTTTTTTTACCAATTATAATTTGTTTGTTTTTTCTAGTACAAATATCTACAAATTACTAAAATCACAAATTACTAAAACAAGAGGTAATTTTGTAGACAAGCAAAAATGTGGTCTTGTTTTATGAAGTAATATGCCAAAATTAAGTGAGTTTTTCCTCAAAACAAGGTAAATAATCTGTCAAATGGGGTAAGCAATAACCTTGTGTTAAAAATCAGGGTATTCAGCTTGAATATAAGCCAATTGCACTAGGCACTTTTTGCATAATAAGCACAATTAAAAAAAAAACACTGTACATTGTTTACATCTGTTTCATTACTCAAATCAGGTTTATTTATTGTTTACTTTCATAGATATTTATATACTTTTTATAATCATTCTTCAGTCACTTCTCCGTATATATGTGTATTTATGTGTATGTTGTGTATGATGTGTATGTTGTGTGTATGACTTCACTGTGGACGGCAAAGTAAGAATCTCATTGTACAGGGAGACGTGTTTCCTTACTGTGCACATGACAATAAACAGTTGAATTGAATTGAATTGTTTCAAGGAAAAAACTCAATTGATTTTGGCATATCCTTTCTTAAAACAAGACAATATGTTTTGCTTGTCTAGAAAAGGCTTGTTGTTTTAAAAAATATTCAGACATCTGGACTAGAAAAAAGATCCCAAATTGGTGCATCTCTAATATATAAACAATGCATCTCGTCTGACCACTAAAAATGTTAATACCATGTGAAAACAGGGCTTATGTTAATCAGGTTTGTTCAGTTGTAAACCAATACCATCACACACAATGACACCCGACGACTTGCTAATTGTTGTGGGAGTTTCTGTAGAGATCGAATCACAAATGTAAATTGCCGTAAAGCAAGCGGAAGAAGCTGGTTTGAAGAGTGGCACAACATCTTGAGCAATCGAGGAACGTGTTACATTATTGCACTGAGAAGCTGCCAAGCCGTCTGGCTGCAGTTCCACTATAGTCAACAGAACCCAATATAGCCGTATATCAGGAATCCTACCTGAAGCTCTCCTGCTGCTCTCGCTGATGTCTCCTCCTCTCTCGGGCTGTAGTCGCTGGAGATGAAGAATGAAGAGTCGGATTGGAGCTTTCTGAACTCTGACCTGCGTGCATGAAGAGGTGCTGCTCCACTGCTGAGCGAATGGTCTTCTCTAGAAAACTGGACAGCGAGAGAGAGATGTCAATGGACAAGCGATGATTGCATTAATTATGTAAACTCTGGGGTCTGTTAATTGATTTAAGGAATTGAATTGTCATATTAAAATCACTTACTTGGTTAAGTCAGATCTGCTGTGTTCAGGGGAGATTTCAGAGCTAAAGAGAGAGAATATCATATTATCAAAATGGACAAAATGAAGTCAATGATGTGCTTTTGCATTAGTTTCAATTCAACTCACAAGTGTGATTAGCAAAGTTTAACCCTTTGTGATGTTTTTATCCACTCTAGGGTGATTTGAGTCTTAATTTGACCACAGCTTTCATTGTGTTAGCAAATGGAATGATTTTTTGACAGATATTTTGGGAAAATGCTTTGACAATTTCCAATAATTCAACAATACACTCTGAGCACATTAACTACCCTTGGATATGTTTGTGGTTGTTTTAGCCCCATTGACTTTTATTATAATTGCATACAATCCAAAAAACGTCCTTATAAAGGAAGTCAATGGGACATGTCACGAACATAACGAAAAGGTAGTCAATTTGAACGATACACAAGGGTTAATATATTAAGATATTAGCAGCCTGATCTCATGAGGCAACGTAACTATTTTAGGTATTGTCATTTAAGTGGCTTTGTGTACATTTTCACATCACTGAACTCGTACGATCTTATAAAGGAGGCGTAGCACCCAACCCCACCCCTAAACCCAACCGTCACTGTGTGATGAGCAAATCGTACTAAACTGTACGAATGAGAGCGTACAAATTCATACAATTTAGCCACTAAATTAAAAAGTTACGAATTGCTGTGAGACAGCGTTGGATATTGGATAGGAACGAAATTAACATAAAGTGGTGCTGGCATATGGAAACTCACTACCATCATGCTACGGTGTGTTCTCATTGGTTGACATGGCGTGGTTTTTGGTTGGTTGGTTTTTAAATAATGTTTAGGATTTTACTAGGGCGTTGCCAATGTGTTTCTAAGTTTTTTTTTTGTGTGTGTTTTTAGGACATTGATTGGGTGTTCTGTGTGTTTGCCAGGGCATTCGTAAGGTGTTTTTAAGCAAGGCAAGTTTATTTATATAGCACATTTCATACACAGTGTCAATTCAAAGTGCTTTACATAAACAAGAATAAAAAGTAAAAATAAAAAAGACAAGTATAGGAAAATTAAAAATAAAACAAATAATAATAATGATTTTAGATATTTTGTTTCATTGTTAGGGTGTTGCTAAGGTTTTCTAAGTAGTTTTCAGGGCAATGCTACGGAGTTCTGAGTGTTTTTAAAGACTTTGCTAGGGTTAGTTTCTTTGCTACTTTTTATAATGCAGATTTAGTGCTCAACACTTTTTTTCCCACTAATGTATATTTTATTTATTTATTAATTTTTTTTTTTTTTAAACAAAGTAATTTCATTTACGTCACTTTTTTATAATTGGAAAAAGTTCAAAAGAATTTCAAATTAGAAACAGATTTTTTTTGCCAATGTAAATGTCTCTATTTCACTTGCATTCATATTGAACACAAACAGAATATTAACAAGTGGGGATGTAACGATTCACCTGACTCATGATTCGATATAATTTACGATATTAATCTCGTTATACAATGTAGTCACGATTTTTTTAACAAAATTATTTGATAAACAAATTTAAGAGGAAGAGGCCTTTCATTTTTTTCCTAAATGCTGTACATTTTTGCGAAATAATACATTTTTCTGCTATAACTAAATCGCTATTTTTAAAACAAATAAATTCTAAGAATAAAAAAAAAAAGAATAATACAAAGTAAAGACTCATTAATATAAATCAACTAAAACTGTGACCATGCTGAGATTTAACATTTTTAAAACGAATTATCTACATTTCTATGTTTTCTAGCATAAACTGAGGTCTTTGCACCTTTACAATTTCCACCTGCTAAAAAAAAACACAGCGCCCCCTCTGTTCAACAAATGCATTGCGATTTGTTCAACATTTCTACTAGTTTTAATCGTCACATTTTTTAATCGATTTTCAACCAGCTCACGGTGAATCATTACATCCACATTAACAGGACATTTCAACTAAAAATAAACACAAAATATTTTTAATTATGTTAGAAACCTGTACCCATTGTATTTCATAGTACAAAAAAACAACAACACTATGGAAGTCAATGGTTTCCAACATTTTTTAAAGTTCCTTCTTTAGTGGTCGTGACAAGTGAAGGGTGAGAAGTTTTTCATTTTTCGGTGAACTATCCCTTTTTTTTAAAAATAAAAGCCTCGATGGCTTTTTTTCTTTCTTTTTTTTAAGTTTGGTTGTTTTTGTTGAACATTGAACCAAACTCTAACATTAGATAGAAAGTTCCCGCAAATGACTCCATGGTAAAAAATAGTAGCATTATCTTGTGGATCCGGAAATAGGCTGTGGGGTCCAGACACAACAGTGTGTGTGTCCTTACCAGCAGCAGCACTCAGGGTCAGAGGCAGTTAACTGCTCACAGCTGACTTCACGCTATTTCAGCTCCATGAGTGAGTAAACAGTTTTCTCAGTATTGAGCTGTATCGTCAGATGTTAACCTAGATGATATCACAGGCTGCCAAGAGAGTTTGCCAGTGAGAACAGTTATGTGTTGAGACGGAGAGCTAAAGATGATCTGATGAGGTCCGTCAGTCTTACATAACACAGTGGTCAGAGGGTGAGAATGAAAAGACTAAGGAGGAGAAGTGCCTTTAAAAACTGCTCATATGCTTCACTGAGCATTCCTTCCATATAGTCATCATCACCCACATCAAGGAAAAAAAGTTACTTGCACACAGAGAAAAATGGTACAAAATCTGTCACTAGGAAAGGACCATTTATAAATTTTGCACGTTACTCTGTAAAAAATAAATAAATGCAGGGTTCCACAGTCGATTTGTGTTGGGACAACATGGAGGAATTTCAAGTTACCTTCAGTTTTTTTTCTTTCTTTTTTTAATTTAAGTCAATTGAACCTAAACCAATTTAGTCGACCCCCCCCCCATTATAAAAAAAACATAAATAATAAAACATAGCAGACTTTTTAATTGTAATGACACATTTAATGTACATTTTAAGGATCACAACGCTAATCCAGTATTATTGATATGAGCTTCTTAGGGTATATGAGAAAAGTCATATATATATATATATATATTTAATTTATTTAATCTATTTTTTTTAAATAATTTTTAAGGGTTTTTTCACCTTTTATTATGATAGGACAGTAAAGATTTCAGACAAGAAAGCATTGGGAGCAGAGAAAGGGGAACAATCAGCAAAGAACCTGAGTCGACAATCAAACTCGGGTTGCTGTATGCACATTGGTGCTATATGTCGGCGCAAAGTACCACTAGGCTATTGTCGCAGATGAGAAAAGGGATTTTTATCTCTATACAAAAATTTTTGTATAGCAAGGACCACCATTCAGTGTAAATGCTCATACAAATATTTCAAAATATTCATTAGATAAAAACAAACATACTCATTTGATTAAATGTAATAAAAAGATTTTTAGTTAGATTTAATGTTTTAATTTAAATCTACATTTCTGCTAAATTGTAAAGGAAAGTAATTGGTTTTTCAGCATTTTTTTGATAGATGGAAAGTTCAAAAGAACTTTAAATTTGGAACAATTTTTGTAGTAATGCAGATTTCTGAATAAAAGTCTTTCTGTCACCCCAAATTTAAGACCATAGACCACTATATATTTTTTTTTCTTTTAAAAGGTAGGTTGTTTTTGCATTTTTTTTTACCAGGATTACCTTATAACTTTTGTTTAATTATTCATTAAATAAAAAATAAATACAGAAAAAACACATTTTTTTACATTGAAATTACTATATACTATAAAGTTTTGAAAATCAAAGTAACATTTTCCTGAATCAAGGACACATTATGGACAAACCCAATGGGTTATATTTATTAATTTAATACAGATATTAACCCAGCAATTGGTTTAGTCTGTATTACACCCAAAATAATGTTGAAATAACCCAGTATTTTTTTTTCAAACTGTATACTATGAAAAAATATGCAACATTATCTTCATTACACACTGTAAAATGCTGGGTTCCAAACAGTTCCTTCATGTTGTCTAAACACAAATCGATTAAGTTAACCTAATTGCGTTATGTTCAATCCACTTAAATTTGTAAACATAACTAAGTTGTCAAAAAACTGTGCTGATTCAGCTCATTTTAATCAAATAGTTTAAACAAACAGCAAAAACAAAAAAAGTTTTTTGAGTGCTCTGTAAAAAAACTGCTTGGTTCCACACAATTCCTTCATGTTGTCTCAACACAAATTGATTAAGTTACCTTAATTGTGTACAAAATTAAGTGGATTGAACATAAAACAACAAAGTTGTCCTAAAAACCTTAAGAATTTAGTTATTTCAACTCATTTTTTTAAATAAGTAGTTTTGAACAAGCATTTTTTATGGAGTAAATAATCCTGAAGTAGATAAACTAGTGAAACCTCAACAGATAAATGAAGAACTCTGTATTTGTGTCAGGCTGGTGCAGGTTTAATTTTTGTGTGAACTGTTCCTTTAAGGCTCTCAGGGAGAGTGTGGCGTCCGCGACGTGAGGGCAGGGCTCAGTAAACTATGTGATGGGAAATGTGTGAAGGGTCAGTTTCTATGGTACGAGAGGCGACCTGAGCTGATGCAATGAGTCAACACATGAAGGAACTGAATAAACAACCACGCGAGAGGTTTGTTTTCACCTGCCCACTACCAGATCCATCACGCTCAGGCTGAACTCGCAGAGAAAACAGGAGAAGCTGTCCCTGACGTGACACTAAGTGGATTTCAGTTGTTCGAGGGAGCATTCGTGCTGACTGTTGTGTTTTTATGCAAATGATTTGAGCAAAATAACATGACATTTACGTGACTGTCACGATGCAAAAACATGAGTTTATGAGTGTATCTGTCACTTTCCAGCACAGATGTGTAAATATTGTTCAGTCATGATCAGGAAGTGAAATTACAAAGTGTCTTACAGTATAATCCTGAAGTAAGTTATTTTAAAACTTGTTTCATACATAAAATCACATATCGAATCATACGGAGCTATTTTATTATTATTATTATTATTTATTTAAATAGTTTTCTTGTTTTTGTTTCGTTCTTTTTGAGGAAATGCCGTATTACTTTGTTTAAAATTAATTTCAATACGATTATTATTTTTTCATCAAGAACCACCCTTCAGTAAAAAGCATAAATAAATATTCCAAAATATTCCTGAAGTCAGTTTTAGCTTAAAACAAGAACAATTATTTTCCATTCAGGTCATAAACATTTAACACTTGATCTCCCTTTTGAATTACTTGTAAATTAAAATCTCCTCGGCTGATATTTAGTTTTTTATGCTTGAATTTTCCGATCATTTACATGTATCTTGTAGTATTGGAATGATAATAATTTTGAAAGTTTATTGCGTTTAAGTTACAATTTTAAACCATTAAAATTTTCTGTTACCATTCCTACGGTATATGCAAGTTTTTTTTTTGTTTTTTTTACAACTAGTTTTAGTTTTTTAGGGCAACGGTATCTCCAGCAGAAAAGGAGTCTCCACATTAAAAGTGAACAGTGCAGTGGCTTTATATTCACAGAAAAGAAATATCTCCAAAGATGCCTTTTCAACTGTGTTTTTGAAACTAATGAAGACAGCAGAAGCCAATGATTTATTTGAATTATTTAGCCTGACATGTTTACTGCTTCAAAATACTTTACAATTTTCTTAAAATAAACCATAATATATTAAAGGGGGAAAAAAACAATTTTCCCCAGACATGTAAAATGAGCATATTTTAGAGCTGCTTTGCGTGATGTGATTACTGCTTCAAAATAAGTTATTTTTAAAAGTCTGAGTAAAAAACATCATTTCTCCCATTGAACACAATATATTTTATTTTAGGAAACATTTAAACTATTTTGGACCAGTAATGTTTGATCTAAACGTTCCTTTTCTGCTAGAGATAAAGAATAAAAAATAAAATAATTTTGAAAAAAAAAAAACTTACACACACCTTAGGATTGGTATAACAGAAACCTTGACTTTTCCAAACTGCGGTAAACCTTGAAACTGTAACATCATTAGACGTTGATTTTTTGTTGTTGTTGTGTTTCGGTTGTGTTAGAAAGTAACCAAAATGCAACATCTTTCCGATGTTGACGTTGGGTTCTGACATGAACCTTATTTTAATTTTTAAACAAAATGCAGTGTCCCATGACGTTGAGGTACAATGTCAATCTGACTCCATGTAGACGTCCTTTGCCTGCTGGGCTTGTCAATTTTTAAAAAAGTTACACATTTTCACAGAAATATATCTCTTATGATGAATTAGACGTGAAAAATAAATTTTATGGGTAAAAATAGATTTTTCCTTTAGGCCAAAATCAGTCAAATTTTAAGAAAAGATTGAGTTACTTGAAGATATTTTGTAAATATTTAAAAACTTAATTTTTGATTAGTAATATGCATTGCTAAGGACTTCATTTGGACAACTTTAAAGGTGATTTACTAAGTTTTTTGTTTGGTTTTTACCATCAGATTTCAGATTTTCAAGTAGTATCTCGGTCAAAATACATACAAATTTACTAAAATATTTTCTCTAATAATAATTTTTATAAGTAGTTGTATCTCGGCCAAATATTGTACTGTCCTAACAACAAATACATCAATAAAATCTTATTTCTTCAGCTTTTAGATGAGGCATAAATCAGAATTAAAAGTAAAATGGACATTCATGACTAGTTTTATGGTCCAGCGCCTCTCATATCATCATCTTTTGTATGTTTTTAACATTCAAAACATCTCATTTCTAATTCATGTACTATACATTTGCGCAATAAAACACAACATCTAGATCATTTTCATTGTGAGATTCATTACCCCCCCAAAAAAGCATGTTTTTCAGCAACAAGTGCAAAGAGGTTATATAATTCGAGCGTGAGCAACTGTGAGTGTTCCTACCTAATATAGAAAGGAGATATTGGTCTTTCATCTTCTTGTGGGCTGGAATGGAGAAAAAAAACAAACAGAACAAAAAAACCGAGGTCAGAATCACCGAACAGCTTGCTCTAAATATATCTGGTATTTGTCAGAGTAAACAAAACAGTTTTTTTGAGCACATGGGCCGAGTGTCTAAGAGTACCTATTGTCTGGGGAACAATGCACACGTAGTGCCGCCGTTCGGAGCTTTTGTTTGACTTGTCTCCAGTAATTACTACAGCTGCAAAGAACCATATCCACTTCACTTTTGCTGGAGACCGGCCAGAAAAACACGATGCGCTCAGGAGTGGACGGTTCACAGATTCAGATTTGTCGGGAATTAATATCACAATGGAAAGCAAAACAATCCACATCTCCGGGAAACCAGTGGGACTGCATTAGCACCAATAAACAATGGCTAACATGGTAAAAACCAGGCTCAGAGGAAAAACAGGCGACTTTATCATCATTCGTTGGATTTGGAACAAAATGTCTGTGGAAATGTGGCAAATGGAGCAGAGAGTTTGACACAAAAAATAAAAAAATAAAATCTGCCAGATTTTTTTTAATGCAATAAAATTGATCGAAGACCAAAAAAAAGTACAATATTGTCGCTGTAGTAAATTTAAAGTGGAAACTCTCTATAAAAGTATAATAGTAAGGTAATAATAATAATATAATAATTTATTATATATATTATATAATCTTTTATAATGAAGATTGTCAAAACAGCTTATCATAGAAGTTCTTGTAAATTGAAATGGTGTCAGTCCAGTGTTCAGAGTTGAAGTTCAGTTTAGTTCAGAGTGGTTTAGATTCACTGCTGAAAGTCCAAACACTGAAGAGCAAATCTATCGATGTGCAGCTCCACAAGTCCCAAATCAAGCAAGCCATATGTTAGGGCTGCACAATATAAAAAAAAACTGATATTGCAATATTTAGTTTTTCTGCAATACATATTAAAATTATGTTAAAATTTCACAAGATGAATCTATTTGGAAAGAATTCACCATTTTACATTAAGATGATTTAATTTTACTGAATCAGCATAAAATGTACCAAATTATACAAAAAAAATGTATACACACAATTTAATAAATTAAAGCCAAGATGAAAACAATAGAACGAAGATAAAATGAAATAGATATCGCTGCATAGTTTTCAGAGGAGTCTAAAAGTTTGAGGTACAGAAATTCGATAATGAAATGAAAAACAGCACTTTATAGTCTTTGTTATGTAAATAATTTAACACAATCCATCCTTGTGACAAACTTGTCCAAGTAGTTAATATTCATTTGAAATTGCTTGGCATACTATTGCACATTTACACATTGCTATATCGATGCTAAAACGCTACATAGGCTAAAAAGCTACATAAGTTTATAGGCGGTGCACATGAGAATTGAGTAAAAATATATAATTAACCAGAAAACTAATAAATAAAATGGAAAATTAGCTACTTTTTCATGTTTAAGGAGCAAAGGAAGAGTTCAAATGCAAAAACCTCTAAATGCCATCTAAAAATTTCCTTCAAAAACAAGCATTTTTCAAGCATCTTCTATGTTTATGTTAAGTTTTTTCACATTACAGGCAATGAAAATACACTAACTTATAAAAATCTTGTCGCCTATTTAAGTTTTAGGATCAACAAATAATCACTTCTAGTTGATCTGTTGGTCTCAGATGTGGCTTATATGAAAGGCAAAGGCCTCTAGATTACGCTTATTTTACCAAAATAAAATCTGATCATGCCTTGATTTTTAAGTATTTAATTAGGACAGTAAGTAAGGTCTGACTTAGTTGAGACAAAAGTCTTGTCACTTAACAGAAATAATGTTTAGTATAGAATATAAACTCATGCTGCAGTGGAAAAAGAGTTAACATTGTGTATGACTCCCATGAGCTTGGAGGACTGCATCCATACATATCTGCATTGACTCAAATCACTTAATAATAAAGCCATCTGGAACGGCAAATAAAAGCGTTCTTGCAGGAATCACAGAGTACATCAAGATTCTTTGGATTCTTCTTCAATGCCTCCTCCATCTCACCCCTAGACATGTTCAATAATGTTCATGTCTGGTGACTGGGCTGGCCAGTACTGGAGCACCTTGACCTTCTTTGCTTTCAATATCTTCGATCATGAATTTTCCTTCTCCAAACTTGACTGATATCTGTGAGAATCTTGGGGCCATGTGGGTTCAGTAGGTCTTCTGCAGTGTTTGTGATGATTGGTACGCAGCTCAACAGATGACTCATCAGAAAATTCGACCTTCTGACACTTTTCCAATTGATCAACTAGAAGTCAAGTTATTATTGTATTATATTAACACAACTGGGATCAGTGACAAGACTTTTGTCAGGTAGTGTGTTTATCAGCATAAAAGTTAAATTACTTGACCCACTGACAAAAGAAAAATGCTCCTTTTAAAAGAAAAAAGTTTAGATGACATTTAGAGGTTTTTGCATCTGAACTCTTTAAATATAAATGTAAAATAATAATTGAATGCATTCAAAAGATAACAAATCAAAAATTTAAATATAAAAATAACAATTAATAAATAGCAAAAGTCTAGACTGGAAGACAAGACTTTTTTATGTAGCTGAAAATATAATTAAAAACTACTTGTGATCAATTTAGTTGTTATTTCTGAACATTTTCTTTTAAAGAAGAGATGCAAAGGTGACTGAAGGGCGCATTTATTGAGTGACTTGGCATGCGATTTACAGAAGTACGTGCAACATTGCCATGAACATTGTTTTAAGACGTGCGTCTGTGTGCGCACGCGTGTGTGTGCGCTTGAAAGGGGAAGTCAATAATAAAGCATTGGCAACAATCAGTGCAAACTATTCAGCTCTTATTTACACTGTATTCAGAAAAGGTCAGTTTGGCTCCAAAACAGCTCTCGGATCACATGATTTCTGGTCAATTTGTGTATGTTGTGGTGCTTCCCTTTTGTTGTAAATGCGTAAGTTGCATTCTTACCGTAAACCCAGCTAAGAATTAGGGTACCGCACAGTACCTTAAAAGACGTTTCGCAAGCTTGCGCAGGGAATATTTTTCCACAGCACTCGAGCTATTAAGTGGTGTTACACTGTCTGACAAGGGTATTAAAATAATGACTGCCGTCATGAATTACAAAACGGAAATCCTGCTTAACCACCACCTCCCTGAGTGAACAACAAGGCCCTTTTAAAAAGCTTTTGTGTGCTGCGGGATATAATGGAAAATTACCACTTGACTGCATCATTATAATGATCATAACTGAAATCAGTGCATTAATCTACAGATTTCCGTCACGAGACCTTTCGCTGGATGCATTTCTGAGATGGATATGCTTCGGCAGTCACAGAAGTACGCTGTAATCCATCTAATATTTGGCACAAAGGCGAGATTGCGGGATTGCTTTGCATTTCAAGAGACCACAGGAAGATGCAAGGTCCACATATACATACAGAAAGTGACAGCAAGCTGACAACAGAGCTGGATCCACTCAAATACTCTGCTCTTGCCTGAAATACAGGGCTAATTATTGGAAAACTGACTTGTCTGGTGAAATATTACAGTTCAATGTTCTTTAGTGCCCCCCTCCATGTTTTCAGTATTGTAGTTTAGGGTAGTATTTTTCCAATAGGCATTATTTTCACAGTATTTTAAAATCGTGATAAGCCATGAACCAAACCAACAAGTGAATTGTAACAATAACCAAAAGAAACAAAACCAAAAGAATTGTAACAATAACAAAGAAATGTAAAGTATGTATACTTAACGGATTAGAAAGAAAAACAAGTACAATCCCATTAAGCATTTCAAATGACGATTGAATTAAAAATTGAGAAATACACTCACTGGCCACTTTATTAGGTACACCTTACTAGTACCGGGTTGGACCCCCTTTTGCCTTCAGAACTGCCTTAATCCTTCGTGGCATAGATTCAACAAGGTACTGCACTGCAAAACATGCTTTTCTTGCTTAGATTTTTTGTCTTATTTCTAGTCTAAATATCTAAAATTTCTTAATATTAAGAAGCATTTTCTAGACAAGCAAAACAAATTGTTTTTATTTGAGAAATAATATGCCAATATTAAGTGAGTTTTTCCTTAAAACAAGCTAAATAATCTGCCAAATGGGGTAAGCAAATTAATCTTGTTTTTTCTTTTGACGTAAGATTATTTTGCTTACCCCATTTGGCAGATTATTTTGCTTGTTTTAAGGAAAAACTCACTTAATATTGGCATATTATTTCTCAAAACAAGACAGTATGTTTTGCTTGTCTAGAAAATTCTTCTTGATTTAGGAATTGTTAGATATTTGGACTAGAAACAAGACAAAAAATCTAAGCAAGAAAAGCATTTTTTGCTGTGTGGAAATATTCCTTAGACATTTTGGTTCATACTGACATGATAGCATCCCGCAGTTGCTGCAAATTTGTCAGCTGCACATCTATGATGCCAATCTCCTGTTCAACCACATCTTAAATGTGCTTTATTGGATAGAGATATGGTGAATGTGGAGGCATTTTGAGTACAGTGAACTCATTGTCATGCTCAAGAAACCAGTCTGAGATGATTCACGCTTTATGACATGGAGCATTATCCTGCTGGAAGTAGCCATCAGAAGATACACTGTGGTCAGAAAGGGATAGACATGATCAGCAGCACCATCACACCAACACCACCACCAGCTTGAACCGTTAATAAAAGGCAGGATGGATCCATGCTTTCATGTTGTTGGCACCACATTCTGACCCTACTATCTGAATGTTGCAACAGAAATCAAGACTCAACAGACCAGGCAAGGTTTTGCAATCTGCTATTGTCCAATTTTGGTGAGCCTGTGTGATTTTGTAGCCTCAGGCACAATTGTAGACTGGCACCAACAACCATGCCACGTTCAAAGTCAATTAAATCACGTTTCTTTCCCATTCTGATGCTCGTTTTGAGCCGCAGCAGATTGTCTCGACCATGTCAAGATGCCTAAATGCATTAAGTTGCTGCCATGTGATTTGCTAATTAGAAATTT